ACCCAAGCTTAGTGACTCAGAGATGACAGCTGCTGCCCCTATCTAGTTTCAGGGGCGGAATACGGTCAGAGAGGCACTGGATGAATCATAAAACTGTCACAGAACAGGAGTAGTGGAGGAGAACTGGGCAGGCCGGCCCTATCATAAGGCAGGGTGCAGCAGCCTGCCTCAGGGGACAGATTATGGGGTACAATTATAATTACCAGTCGCCTAGTTCCTGTATGATATTATTACCAGTAGCACCTGCAACAAAATGTTGGAGTATTACATTCATCCTCTAACACAAGAGTGCTCCTAGTGATGTAGTGGAGGGGCAGTGACATTCTGGGCCTCTTTTTAGAGCAGGAACAATGATGTCATTGTCAGAACACACATGAGCGCCAGAAGAGGAGCTTATAGCCAGTTTGCTCTACCTGGTCCTTTTCTCTGTATTAATGGGGAGACAGGCTAGTGAGCATCCACAATTTACTCTGCTGTGGACATGCCCACAGATGTCTCCATGCTAACGTGCTTCCACTTTGTATCGAAAGAAATAATATCAGCATTAACTGGAAACGCCTGTGTTTGCACGCATGTTGGTGGTGGAGAGGAAGGGGCATGGTTCATTGGCAGAGCATCCAATTTGCACGCAGAAGGTCCCAGAGTCAACCCCCAGAATCTCCAGGTAGAGCTGAGAAAGAATCCTGCCTGAAACCCAGGAGAACCTCAGTAGACAATACAGACATAGAGGGACCAATGGTCCGACTTTGGGATCAGGCAGCTCCCTACAGTACATTTCCAAGAACAATTCAAAGTGTTGGTGCTGACCTTTAAAGCCCTAAACGAACTTGGTCCAGTATACCTGAAGGAGCGTCTCCACCCCCATCATCCAGCCCGGACACGGAGGTGCAATGCCAAGGGCCTTCTGTGGTTCCCTCGCTGCAAGAAGCCTAGTTACAGGGAACCAGGCAGAGGGCCTTCTCGGTAGTGGTGCCCACCCTGTGGAACGCCTTCCCACCAGATGTCAAAGAGAAAAACAACTACCAGACTTTTAGAAGACATCTGAAGGCAGCCCTGTTTAGGGAAGCTTTTAATGTTTAATAGATTATTGTATTTTAATATTGTATTGGAAGCCACCCAGAGTGGCTGGGGAAACCCAGTCAGATGGGCGGGGTATAAATAATAAATTATTATTATTATTATTATTATTATTATTATTATTTTGATTACATTGCATTGGCATCTACCTTTTTATTTGAAACCATGATCCACACCTTAAGGTCAAATCAGGGGTGTTTTCACCCTGCAGAGTAGTTGGCAGTGCAGGTTTTACTTCAGAATGAAAAGCCAATGTTAACTGTGTTCCAGATTCTTTTAATAAACAATGCCTGTAAAGTTTTTTTGGTTTTTTAAAAACTTTTATTTAATTATATGTGTTTTATGTGTTGGAACTTGGAAGACGCCCAGAGTGACTATAAGTGTGTTATAAGTATTTCCCACACATATCTCCCTCGCCGCTGTAAAGCAGACTGGCACAAATCTTCTGGAACCTGTCTTCCCTAGTCATCTGCTCTCTTTCTCTCTGCTTTTATTTTTGCCTACTGTTGGGTCTGTGTAGGATAATGGCCTCCATTACTTAATTCTATGGCTACCGAGTTATTAGTCTGAACAAGCAGCCAGGAGACTCAGCACTCGCTGCCAGCACCAAAGATATTTCATTGGCTTTATAGCCTAAATACTCTGTCAGGGGCTTGATGCGTTAGTTATTTCTCCTTTTCTTTCTTTCTTTCTTTCTTTCTTTCTTTCTTTCTTTCTTTCTTTCTTTTATGCATCCCAGGCTTAAAAATATATGTTTGTCCTAGCCTGCTTAGTTGTCCTTGTGACAGGAATGGACTTCACTGAATTACTCTTTGTTTTTTGTTTTTGTTTGTTTTTTTCATGTCAGAATCTTTATTGGGGGGAAAAAATCACAGCATCTCCATTATTATTCAAACACATTTAATAAACAAAGAGAAACAGTAGCAAAGGGCACTGACATGTGACGAACTGTACAAAACCTCAAGGTTTGCAGGCAAAACCTGAGGGTGAGGAGCCCACGGCCCAGCTGCGGAGGTCCGAGGAGCCAACCCCACCCCTTGTGGAAAACCCTCCCCTCGGACCACTCAGTCACCCCTGAGAAAAATTGATTAAAAATGTGCAGAAACAAAGACACTTTTAAGAGGTTAGCTCCAACCTTGCTGTAACGGAATAATTGGCCACTGGGAAACTGGACCTGCTACTGGTCCCCAGGGGCTAGCTAATATTTTAAAGGAAACCTCCTCAAGAGATGCAAATCACCCAGATAAATACCCATCCTATCATTTGCTCCTCTCTTTTCATTTACTGCCTTCTGCAGGGGATACAGGGTTCTTACTTATTTTCCAGCTTTTAGTTTAGGAGATAATGTTTGGACAGAGATAAAGGCAAATGGAAGGAAAAGCCCTGTTGCTAATAAAGGCAGAGATAAAACTGGTGCAGAACATGGAAGCCAGTTCTTGAGATTAACAGGGCCTGGAAGTGACCTGTCTTTGTGGGGAAAGAATATCACAAATGGATGAGCTAGAATGGTGTCTGGATTACTCTTTGTAAAGGCATAGAATTCTTTCCTCATTTGGAATGGCACTAAAGGCTGCAAATATAAGTATATACAGTGGTACCTCGGGTTAAGTACTTAATTCGTTCTGGAGGTCTGTTCTTAACCTGAAACTGTTCTTAACCTGAAGCACCACTTTAGCTAATGGGGCCTCCTGCTGCTGCTGTGCCGTCGGAGCACGATTTCTGTTCTCATCCTGAAGCAAAGTTCTTAACCCGAGGTACTATTTCTGGGTTAGCGGAGTTTGTAACCTGAAGCGTATGTAACCCGAGGTACCACTGTATCTCTATGGGAATAAGGCCCATTAAATGCTCTGAGTGTTACTGGAACTCGCATCCTACATATCTGGGGGAAAGGGAGAAATTATTATTTGAAACCCGCTTATCATTTGGAAACCAAATCCGGGGTAAGCACAGTACCCTGCCCCCGGAGTCTCTTGCTGCTAAAAGATTGGGGTGCAGACACATAATAATACTTTACTTAAGTGAAACAGCTACAGGAATACAGTAGAGCTCAGGAAGACCTTCTAGTTCAGACAAGGCTTGATGGGAGCTGGAAGTCCTTTATACTCCTCCTTTTCCAGAGTGATCCAATGGTTGGCCTGGATGGGAGGAATCATCTAGCACCCAAAGGTGCTGAGAAGTTGCTACCTGCACTTCATCAGATCACCACAGGAGGCAAGCTGTGCACAGATCCCCGCAGCTCCTGACATTGTGTTCCACTGGCTTGTCTTCCATCTTGGCCACCTGACTCCGTCTATCTTTCTCATTGGCTGTCTTAGGTTACAGACGGTTCTATCAGTAATCACAAGGAACCCAAAGATAATTCCCAGTTGTGGACCTTTCTGGGTCAAAGTCTTCTAGTCCAGGTTTGGCCAGTGGCTGGGAAGCAGAATAGTAGCATAGCAAAGCGAAGTGTAGGAGTGTGTAGCTACAGGGTTATACTATTTTTTCCAGAGCACAGGAGCAATGGCATTTTCTGCTAGAGGGCTAGGGAAATTGATGGACCGTCTTTGCTCTGGCATGTGAATGAGGTGATAAGGAGGCTTTCGAGTTTGTTTGTGACAGCTTAGCATAGACCAAGTCAGAGAATGAGGACAATAACCAAGCAGAGGCTATATATGGTTTTTCTTTGATGTGGTTCCTGCTTTGTGGTAGCAGTTTAAATGGCAATACCCCTTTACAAGCTTGCTTGAATTTCTAATTAAAAACTAAAGGTAAAGGTAAAGGTAAAGGTACCCCTGCCCGTACAGGCCAGTCTTGACAGACTCTAGGGTTGTGCGCTCATCTCACTCTATAGGCCGGGAGCCAGCGCTGTCCGCAGACACTTCCGGGTCACGTGGCCAGCGTGACAAGCTGCATCTGGCGAGCCAGCGCAGCACACGGAACGCCGTTTACCTTCCCGCTGGTAAGCGGTCCCTATTTATCTACTTGCACCCGGGGGTGCTTTCGAACTGCTAGGTTGGCAGGCGTTGGGACCAAACGACGGGAGCGCACCCCGCCGCGGGGATTCGAACCGCCGACCATGAGATCAGCAAGTCCTAGGCACTGAGGTTTTACCCACAGTGCCACCCGCGTCCCTAAAGAGAGAATTTCAATTGCATAAAGATCTTTTGTTAAAGCTTAACATGCTGTATACGTTGAACCTGCAGTCAGACGTAAGCAACTCTGATTTCCTTGGAGCTTGCTTGCAGAAAACAGCATAGGATTGAAGTCATGCCACCTAATAAATTAGGTATTGTGCTATGTCCTGCTTCTTTTGTGTGTGTGTTTAATAATGGATCAATACAGCTGCTTATATGTTCAGACTCTTCTTGGGGCTATAGGCTGTATTGCCTCATAGGCTGCAGACACACTACACCTTTAAAGAACATTCCACTCCGCTCCCCGGACACTGCTATGTACTCCTCACAGAGTTTCATGTCTCAGCAACTACAATGCCCAGAATTATTTGAAGGAGGAAACACAGGCTTTAAAGATACTGTATAATAGTCAACTATACTGTATACAGTATGAACTTTATTACGGTCGGAGACCAGGATTAAGAAAAGCATATAGATAAAATAGCAGTTGGGATTTTTGACCGATAATTGTTAGGGCAAATGAGGACAAGGAAACAGGCATAAAACATCTGAATAAAATATTAAACACAGATAATGGATGGATAAAAAACTAATAATTAAAACAGATAAGAGCTAAAAACCAACAAAGACACAGAGTTAAAACAACTGTAAGAGCATATGAACTAAAAGACTCGCAGATAAAACAACTATAAGAGGCTGCAGAGTAGAAGCTTCTTAAATAGAGGACACTCACAACGTTAAAAACTGCTGTGCAAATATGGTTAAAACAGACAATTAAAACAATATACAACACTAAATTTAGAAACAATGTACAACAATAAACTGTCCCAGGGAGTTGGTATACAGTATAATATACCAGGTAAAGTATGGTCTGGTGATGGCACATCCCCACCAACAGGTGGCAGTACAGCACACCAGTAAAGAGTTGGGCTAAATACAGTGGTACCTTGGGTTACATATGCTTCAGGTTACATATGCTTCAGGTTACAGACTCCGCTAACCCAGAAATAGTGCTTCAGGTTAAGAACTTTGCTTCAGGATGAGAACAGAAATCGTGCTGCGGCGGCGCGGTGGCAGTGGGACGCCCCATTAGCTAAAGTGGTGCTTCAGGTTAAGAACAGTTTCAGGTTAAGAAAGGACCTCCGGAACGAATTAAGTACATAACCAGAGGTACCACTGTACATTTTAAATAAGAGAGAAGCACCTGAATGAGAGAAGCATAAAAATTAAAATACAAAGGAAAAAAATGGCACTTGACAAATCAGATGTAGCATTTTGTATTGTTTTGCTCTTGCCTTTTAACCGTAGGTGATTGAGCAGCAACCAGTCATTGCTGTTCTGCTTTAAGCATACAGTGTTAGTGGCGTAGAATTTCAACACCCAGTACTGCCTCAATACAGCTGCACGCTTCTGCCACTGTGCTCTGTTAAAAATGGCTTCTCCATGTGAGCCAGGAAATGATCTCTTCAAACAATGGAATGACTCTTCTTTTCTTATCTCTGTGGCTGTGATCTCTTGGGTGACGCGGACACCGTTAGACAGTTGAACGCTCATGCGTACGCAGTCCGTTTCCCTCCCACCCCATCCCCTCCACATGGCCCCAGGCTCTGGCAACCTACGCTACACCACTGACCTAAGTACACTTCCTCAAAACATGGAGGCTCCGTTTACCCATCTCGTCTTATATTAATGATTCTATTGGATCTTGTGCTTTTAAAAACTAGAATAGACTGGGCTTGTTCCATAGCTCACAGATTCCTGCACATATACTCCATTTTTGTGCATGTGTACACAAAGTGGGATTTCTCATGTCCCCCTCCCACTGGGACAGACCTACTAACATTGCAGGACTGTGCCCCACACCCAACCTCATGTTTAACTTGCCTAAGGATGAAATAGGCAAAATAGGAAGCAACACACTAAATTAGCCACCCGTGTGTGAGAGAGAGTATGAAAACACTAATTGAGGGAAGGTGGATAGAGAACACCATTACACACTAGTTTGTAAACATGCCCACGTGTATACAGACAACACGGATAGTAGATGACGTTATCGTGCAAAGGTGTGTACAATTGCAAACCACCATGTACAAAAGCAGACTCTTGGGGGGGGACAGCCCCTGTGCATTCATAGGCTATGTGTGTACACAGGCTTAAATGGGAACCTAAACAAATTTGAATACACTAAACTTAGGTGCAGACAAGCTCTAGAATGCTCACAATGTTTTTGTGAGGAGGTTATATATACAGTGGTACCTCAGGTTATGTACTTAATTCGTTCCGGAGGTCCGTACTTAACCTGAAACTGTTCTTAACCTGAAGCACCACTTTAGCTAATGGGGCCTCCTGCTGCCGCCGCGCCGCTGGAGCACGATTTCTGTTCCCATCCTGAAGCAAGGTTCTAAACCTGAGGTACTATTTCTGAGTTAGCTGAGTCCGTAACCTGAAGCGTGTGTAACCTGAAGCGTATGTAACCCGAGGTACCACTGTGTGTGTGTGTGTGTGTGTGTGTGTGTGTACACATATTGCTGCAGACAGGTGGGGAACTAGAAATGAGAATGGAAATGGGTAGTTTAATCAATCCCTATACAATGGTTAGATAATGCTGATCAGGGGCTTATGAAGTCTTCCAAATGCAGCAATCTCCCTGCCTGCCTTCCTACCTACACAGAAACACCACAAGAGTTTAACCACACCACTGAGCTCTTAGGAAAGGTGATGCATAGCAAAGCCACAGGAGACTGAGCGCATTCTTTGGCTGACAGACTCCTGCAGAAGTCAAGAGATGGAGAAATAATAAATACTTCCCTGCTCTGGCTTGCAACTTAAAACACTTCTTGTAGCGCGGAGGAAAATCTAACTCTGGAAGGTGATCTACAACTGAGGTTGACTGGAGTGCTGATTAAACAGAAAGGAGGGTTTTTCCCCCAATGCTTGTTCCAAGAAGAGATGCACAACAGAGCATTTCTACTTAGGAGAGGAGGGTGAACCTTGGCCAGTTACCACCCAGTCAGGAATGGATGCACTGGCAGAGCCAATGAGTACAAGAGGCATAGGGTGTGCAGTGCCCAGTTGCTGAAGGAGGGCAACATAAGGAACCCAGGCGGTGGAATGGAGAGGACCTCAGAAAGCATCCAGACCGGGGCATCCCATCTATAAAGCCACCTGGAGCTTTGATCTGCTATACAAAGGGTCCAGCTTTCTTGGGAGAAAAGGTACTTGTAAGATGAAAGTGTTTACTGACTCTAATTTATGTTTATTCATTTATAGAAGCCTAAGTACATGTAAAGACATTTGTGGAGATGTGTCCCTGTTGCCTCATTCTACTGCTTTGGTTCTCCCTCCCTCCCTCCGTTCCTTTTGCTGCCTTCCCTATCTGAAATGTAGATTGGAATTTCCTTGGGGCATGGCCTTGTCCTTTTGGAAAGTGCCATGTGCATCAACAGCATTGCATAAATCATTTGCCTGTTTCTTTGAATTATTTGGCTTACACTTAAAATAAGTGGTGCATAGAGAGATGATCAACAATTAGCTGAGCAGTGTTTAACATGTGAGTGTGATGATCATGATGATGATGATGATGGTAGGGAACTGTAGGCAGACAGACTGTATTTACTTTCTTAAAAAAAAACAACTGCAGTTGTAATTCTATATGCACTTACCTGGGAGTAAGCCCCATTGATCGATGAGGGTTGGTTGTGGGGGAGTGAGAAATGTTCTTATTTTCATCTGAGGAATGTTGGAGAGTTTGAAACCAGGCTGAAAGCCCCCATGGTAGAGTGGGATATATAAATTATAATAAACATGAACTGGAACTACAGTTTTAATGTGCTTGTGGCAAGTTTCCCTTAGTTATAACAAGCAGGGCTTCTTTGAAGATACTTTATTAGTGATGCTAATCAACGCTCCACGACTGAACAACACATGAGTCTTCCCACAGCCTAGACTTGCTAAAGCAAGTTGGACAGATCCTACAAAGAGAGACCTCTTGTCAAAAGCATCTTTCCAGGTAAAGGTTATGCAGATCTGGTTTTCAGAAAATGGAAATCTTGGTTTTGTGGAATACAGCTGATCATAGTATCACAGGAAGGTCTTGTGCTTCTCCAGCAAGCATCCAAAATCACTCTTGAGCAGCTTCTTGAGCAGCTTGTGGAAGTGCTTCACCTGAGACTCTCTGCCAGGGTACATCCACTGGAGGAACTTGCACAGAGGTTTAACTGAGTACACCTCAGAGGTCTTCTTCAGCAGCTTATATTGTGTGGTGGTTATGTTCCAGGGATGGCACGTATATCTAAGAATGCATATACTCAAACTGTGCCCGTGTGAGCATCACCCTTCCAGAGCCTTGCCTGCCTGGGGGTGCTTATGTGAGATCTCTCGAGAACTCAGACAGCCCTGCAAGATCTCATAAGAGCATCACTGAGCACACATGCTGAGTGCCTTGCCTGGTAAAGAAGGCAGAGAATTTAAAAGTTATTTTGTGCTGGGTTTTCCCAGTTTGTGGAAAGAGCTTTTAAGCTCTCTGCCTTCCTTACTGGACAAGGCCTGCTCAGGACCTGGAATGGCTGGCCTGGCTGACCCAGCAAGTTTTAACCCCCTAGGTCAGTAGTTCCCAAACTTTACCAGGCTACTGATCCCTTGGTTCCATAAACTCATCTCAGTGCATACTATCCTACCCTATAAAAAACATTATTCATAATAGTGTTTTCCACAACCCACTAAGGAAGATAACACAATAAAAGTCAAAATAGTAGCAATTATTTACACATTGAACTTGATCCAATGATAGCACTTTTTCAAAGTCTGTTAGTCATTTATACCTTCAGTGCCCCCCTGCCACCCTCCTGCTGCCTGGCTGAGGTGAATTTGCTGCATTACTGAGGAGATGGATCACTCTCACTTCCTGAACTGGGAGTAAAGGCAAAAGAGTGGCAGTTGGGGAAATGCAGGGGAGCTGCCTTGTTCTGTTAGACTACTGATCCGCCTGGCCCAGTATCAACTGCATGCTGAGGCTCTGCCGTTCTAGAGTGGGTGGGGGGGATGGACAGGACCAAGACTTATCAGATGTTTTGTTTTGATTTGTTTTTAAGTAAATGGCCACCATCACCAGCAAGGCTTCCTGGCTGACAGGTGCCTAGACTGCCCAACAGATTTTGCAAAGCACCAAGAAAACCTTAAGCACAGGCAGGCAGGCAGTTTTGCAAGAGGATGCTTAGGCGGGTGACGTCATCACCACAAGATGGTGGAATAGCTTTTCTCTCCCCAACCCCAGGGCTCACAGATGTTTACATTAGATAACTCTAAATCTTAAAAAAACGCTTATCAAAATAGCGAATTCTGTCTGGACATGTTACAGCGCTCATAATTAGAACAAAAACGGGTGGGGCTGATTTAATTTTAAAGAGATTTACTGTGGTTAGAAGGGGGTAAGTGAAGACTTCTAGATCTCTTCAGAGATTGCTTGCCACAGGAGAAAGCAAATGGCTTAAGCCACTTTTAACACAGTTGTAACATAAAGAAAAGGGCTGCCCTCTGAATGGGAAGGGTTTCGAAGAGATCAAGGGAAAGAGGAGCAGAGAAGGCAGCTTGTAGAGCACAGACCCCTGTCTCAATTCAGGTGGCTTCACAGCAACAGTCTGCAATGACAGTTACAGCCCTCCCCCTCAGCACTCGCCATTTGTGGCAGCTGGGCAAGCACTGGTCCTTCCAACACAGCTCAAAAGTCGAGAAAAGGTGGCAAAGTAATAGATGCTGATTTTACGATGAGGATTCCTTTAAAACTTAGAACAGATATAATGTAAGACTGGGGTGAAACTTTTGTTGCCCCTTAGAAATCAGCTCAGAGAACTCACAGCTCAATTGGGGGGGGGGAACAACTTCAGTCACTCCAGAGGCTAAGGAAACAAGTTTAAAAAATAAAGCAGTCCTAAAATCACTTGCCTTGGAACAACAGGAAATCTGGTGCTGACAACGAGGACAAAAATAGAAGGGAAACTATTTGGGTGAAGGGGCCCCCAGAAAATGTGGAAAATAATAATATTATTGAAACTTTTGTCGACTGTCTTAATACCCTTCTTCCTGATTTAAATCTGAAATCAGAGGGTATGAAAAGAGTGCACTGAGCTCTTTATCCCAAGCCCAAAGTAGGGGAGCATCCACACAATGTAATTATTGCTAGGTTTGAAAAAGTTTCCACTAAAAAGTTTCCACTTTACAAAAGCTATGCAAAATTGAACAAATAACTTAGAAAGGTGCTTCCATCCTTGCTTTTCAAGATCTCAGCCAATTTACGCTTAACAAGAGATGTGAAATGAAATCTATTAGAGAAGCTCTTCTCAGAACCGGAATTTTTTGTGGGAGAAACTAGTCTACTCCTCTTTTCAGCTCCCTCCCCTAGACCTGGTGTCCCTACTGGGCATCTTCAGGCAGCTGGTACCTTTCCATCTTGACCCCCTCAGGTCTAACAAGCATTCTGCAGCTAAACTCATCCACCTCTCTCATCTCTTTGATCACATGATGCATCTCTTCTCAAATCCCTCAACTGACTTTCTGTTCATTCCCACATCCAGCACAAGCTCCATGACCTTCCTGTCAAAGTCCTCTGTAGCCCCCACAGTAGTTTTCTCTCTGCTCTCGTATCCTGATCAGCTTTTGTCAGTGACCTCCACTGCTTCAGCTACATCACTCTTAGCCATCTGAGGGCCCCTCCACGCGTCCCATTTATTGTGCATTCATAATGATTTGTGCTCATGATGGTGTTGGGGCAGTTACACACAATCCTGCTTTCAGTACTTTTTTGAGGCTTCAAAGGATTCAGGAGGTTTGTTTCCTCCAGCAGGTACTGTTTGGTATGCAGGCACAGAAGGAAAAAAGGAGCACTGAATTCTCTCGCAATACAGTGGTACCTCTGGTTACGAACTTAATTTGTTCTGGAGGTCCGTTCTTAACCTGAAACCATTCTTAACCTGAGGTACCACTTTAGCTAATGGGGCCTCCTGCTGCCGCTGCACGATTTCTGTTCTCATCCTGAGGTAAAGTTCTTAACCCAAGGTACTAATTCCAGGTTAGCGGAGTCTATAACCCGAAGTGTTTGTAACCTGAGGTGTTTGTATCCCGAGGTACCACTGTACGTTGCGGCAAATCTTTCCGGATTCTCTCGCAATATGCTGCTGTTATCTCTTTCTGCTCTGTGTGCAAACACAGCTGCACTTGGTGACTTTTTCCTCTCTTTTCCACTCCAAAAAGGCACAAGATAAGAGCCATGTTCTCTTCAGCTAAGAAGCAATCCTTCTTAATACAGCTGAGACTGTAAACCTGTCATTTTTATAACCAGTCTTGTTCTTTTCCCACGATGCTCTAGTTCCTGGATTCCTCTGTTCCTGTTTTTCCCCAGTGAAAAATATTGACAGGGTTTTAGGTGTGCTTTTGCCTCATCACCTGAGGGCCCCTGTCAGCCTCTAGATTTTGCACCCAAAGTGGCACAGACCTACCACAAGCATGCCACCATGCTCAAATATTAAAATACAATAGTCCGTTAAACATTAAAAGATATGTGGGAAACAGCCAATTCGTATGTGTGAATGCATTGCTTAATGACAGCATCATCAGGTGTGCATCTCACAGCCCAAACCATAGAGAGAATGCCCATCTCATCTCATCTGTACCTGCCCATCTTCTTACATCCAGTCCAGGGACAGCATTGCCTATGAGCTTCCTCCTCCTCTCAGGCTGGGTATACACCATACATTTAAATCACCACCAAAAGAAAGCTTCCTGGCAACTGTAGTTTGTTGACAGTTTGGGGAATTGTAGCTCTGTGGGGGGAACTACAGCTCCCAAGATTCCTTTTGGGGGAGTTGTGCTTTAAATGTATGGTGTGCACATAGCCCAAGTGTTGCCTTTGTAGATCTCAGCAGAGGACAGGATGGGGGCAAATTAGAATTAATTGGCTCCTCTCATTGGCACTGACTCCATCTGCTATTGGTCTTCCTGCCTTCTGCTGCACCATTCCCAGTGGGCACCAGCCACCCCTGGAGGCAAGGGAGCGATAAGTTTCTCCTTGACACGTTGCAGCGGGAAAGTGGTGTACAGTACTCTGTTTCATTGGAGGTTTTAAACAGAGGTTGGAAATGTATATTGATTCTGTAGTTTGACAAATACTACGGTTTGATGCATTCCTGTCAGCCAGGAAGCCTTGCTGGTGATGGTAGAATTTGTAAAACTATAGGATCAATATGGATTGTGGCTAATGTTGTGTCAGTGCGGCTTCAGAAATTAGCAGTGGGAGTGCAGTGGATGCAGAGTAAGCAGTCATATGAACATACCCAAATAACTTTGTATGAACATGGATTAAAGACCAATCACTGGAAAGGCACTAAGTGCACAGCAAACAGGACTCTGAACATAGCCCAAATTTCCAGACAGCAATCTTCACGAGATTGGCATTTATAAGAAATATGCTCAAATGTCCCTTACTGGCAGAATCACTGTTGTTGCTTCTAATGTGCCTACCTGTTTGTTTGCTTTTCTGTCCTGCTCCTCATTAGGGAACAACAGGTTTTTGCAGGGTTTCAAAGAGGGCTAGTTGTCAGGTGTCTGATGATGTCCCAACACCCCAGCAAGGGCCCATTGCTGCCCCCCGCTACCCTGCTCCTCCTCCTCTTCATTCACCTGTCCTTTCTAAAGTGTGCAAGAAGATCAGGGAGAAAGAGTAACAGCCTCCATTTCCCTTGCATTCTCTGTCTGGGCAGTGGTACGGACTGGGTCCAAAGGAAGAGAGTAACAAGGGGGACAACCCAGGAGGAGGGTTCACTGAGACCATCTTGCCCAAGGGCTCTCCAAATTCTGGAGCTTCAAAACCTCCTTGAGAAGAGAGACAACAGTGGGACAAATGAAATTGGTGTGAGTGTCACAAACAAAAGTGCTCTTTGCAAACAACTCTTTTTAGAACATTGCTTACATTTTCTGGTGGTGGCAACTGTTAACACAGAGATCTCTGCCCCACAAGCCCTTTGTGGTGGCCGCCTTTGGAGAGCTGTTCCGCTCCTGCAACCTGCTCTCCTGTCAGAGCTGATGCCTGCCTGCTTTCCTTCCATTTCAAAGGTCGGACAGAGAAAGCCAGGCACAGAATCCTGGAAAGTCCCAGCACAGATCAAGCCAGCGCTGAATCTCACATGGTCTTCTTTTTTCTACCACATCCCTCTACTCTCTGACATACAGCTTTTGCACGTTTCTGTGGTTCTTCTCTTGCAAAGGCTGTTACTTTGTGGTTTTAGCTCTCCAGACATCTGTTCTTCCCACAGACTCTTGCGGAGATCAACATTTGGGCTGATTTTGTGCAACTCTTTCGGATCAGGTGAGGAAATCGCAAGAAGTCAGCCAGGTAGGTCCTTCCCAAAATTTCATTTTACAGCGGTGTTTATGACAATCCTGCATTTGAAATTTGTAGTTGGAAGCAAGGCGTAAAAGGGTCTTTTGATGATTTTTTTTTACATGAAAAGTGATTGAATACTGTAAAACCAACATTAAAACCTTACGAAGAAAATTGCATTTGATAATTGCACATGCATCTGAGAAGCTGCAGAGTACAGTGTGCTGCTTTTGAGAGCCTTTCTAAATAATCCAGGTTCTCTAGTCAATAAATGTGCAGTAATTCATTGCAGGAGAGTGAGATGAAATTGAGAGAAAATCTCAGGGATCTCAATAAGTCTTTAAGGCCTTTTTTGAATGTTACACTAAGTTGTGGTTTAGCTTTATATGAACAAGCCTGCTCAAGCTTCAGGTGTGCTCCAAGAGAGAACACTGAGAATGTGCTGGAGTCAGAGAACAAAAACACCTGCTTTCAATTTTAAATTAATGACAGTTCCCTGTCAGAATCCATGGAATAGGGATTACCTTAAATCAGGAGTGGCTAAACTCTGACCCGCCAGATGTTGCTTTCCTTAACTACATCTCCTGTCATCCCTGACTATTGGCAATGTTGGCTGGGGCTGACGGATGTTTGAATCCAACAACATTTGGAAAGCCACAGGTTCTCCATTCCTGGTTCAAACTACAAATAGCTCAAAGAAAGCAGGAGCAAACCATGGTTTGTGATCCTGGCTTGTTCACTAACCAGAGTGCACACAATCCAGAGTTTGGACATAATGGGGAACTCTTGTTAGTTTAAAATGCTTCTGATCTACTGACCATGCAGGAGGAGAGATGGTGAGGTAAGGAGCATACATGTTTTGAGGCTCAGTCAGGCTTGTTTATTTAATACTAAAGCATAGTTGGGCATTATTCCTGAAGCAGCCCACTGTTTTTTAAATGCTCGCTAATGTTATCTCTCATTGGGTGGGATTGTAAAGAGTGGAACAGCTCATTAGCAGAAATGCTGAAAATGGCTGGCCTTTATCAAATTCTTATCTTCTGTAATATAGAAGGCTGTGCACACATGGCACCTTTAAAGCACATTTGAAGTACATTAATTCCCTCAAAGAATTATGGGCTTTGAAGCTTGTTATGTTAAGGGCTGCTGGGAATGGTAACTATATGAGGGGTGAATTACAGCGTCCAGAGTTCTTTGTGGTGGTGTGGATGTCCTTTGAATGTGCTTTAAATGTATATTGTGACTGCAGCCTTACTCCCCTTTCTTCTATCACTTTTGCATTTCACTTCAAATTGTTGGAGGAAGGACAATGAACAACACGATCTCAGAACATGGGGTTTCAGCTGCAGCCCCACAGTTTTTTGCAAAGTGTGATTCTATCCTATGCAAGGTACACTCTCCTAATTAGAAAGAAGGTGAATGGGTGTTGATGTGCTAAGATGGAGCTTCAGTCTCAATATTTTCTCTTTAAAAGTGGCTAGCAAGAGACTCCTGAGAAGCTCAGAAGCAGGGGATAGCCATATCCTGTTGTTTGCCTCTAAGAGCCAGGAACTGTACCTATACTTAGGGATGGAAGAGGAATTCAATTCAGTTCACATTTGAAGCTGAATCTATCAAATTCACACTTTCCAAAACAATATGAGAACCAAAACACAGCCATCATTTGAAATTCACACTTACCTGAATTTTGCACTGCACTTCTCCAACCAATGTTTTAAAAAGAGAGTATGTTAAGGGAAAGTGTGCATAGAAATGAATGTGTTAGTGAAAATAACTTACCAAAATACATTATATTAGGAGAAATTGCTCACCAAAAGGGTGTAAATTTGTCACAACTACATGGAAAAAGGTGTTATTAGGAGAGATTTACATTAAAATGCTGAATATTTTTCTTGAAGACTTTTTAAAAAAAATAATCACATATTGCTACAAGAATGTGGAGAACTGAATATAAGATTGCAGAAATGAGAAGCTGCGGAAACAAAAATAGAGCCTTCCTTCCCTAGCTATGTTGCCTTTGAGTGTGGCGGTTTCCTTTAGCTGTCATGACTAGATGTTTCAAGGAGTTATGTCAGGTAGCCCAGGTTTACAAAAATCCAAAGCACAGACCAGAATCTATCCAGAATGCTGTGTGCTTGGCAGAAGCAAACATTAGAAAACAGGAGCTAGCAAAAGCAGATGTGGTGCTGTAAAAAAGCTCTGGAGGCAAGAGGTTATAGGGAATGTTATGTAGTTGCGGACCCTAACCCAGGGCTTGGAATAAGGCTTCAAAGCCCATTTAATTGAGCTCTATTAGTAGCATCAAAGGCTGCCTAACTTCTCTTTGCTAGATTCCCCCCCAAAAGGGTTTCTAAGGGTATTCTAGTTAAAGAAGTATGCTTGTGAAAACAGGAAACATGATGGAAACAACTTCCTCTTCAGAAAGAAAACGCCTTTTAGCACTTCTGCTTCTATTATATCATTGTTTTGGTTTTCCCATTAGCTGCTTTATACGCAGGAGCACAGAGCATGTCACATGCTGCTAGCCTTAAATGCACAAACAGTTCATTACATAATGTCATCTGCATGCCCTCAGCCTCAATAAATAACTAGCAGTTTTGCATAACCATGCATGTACAGGAAAAGAAAACATATAAATGAAATGTATATCTTGTTTTTAATCTTTTAAAGACAGTGTAGATGCACCAGTATAGTGCATGAAAAGATGAAGAGGCTTTGCTTCCTGCATGTTCTTAAAAGGCTACAGAGCTACACCTGTGCTGTTACTCCATTGTGGAGGAGTGGGACACTTCCAGACAACCTTGTTACTGAACATTCATTCTGCCTTTTTCTTTTAACAAAATGTATATACCACTTACTAGAGCAAAAGACCTCTAAGCAATTTACATGATGCTGCAGCAGGGGTCAGCAAACTTTTTCAGCAAGAGGCCGGTCCACTGTCCCTCAGACCTTGTGGGGGGCCAGACTATATTGGGGGGAATGAACGAATTCCTATGCCCCACAAATAACAAAAGCACACATTCTACTCATGTAAAAACACCAGGCATGCCTCACAAATAACCCAGAGATGCATTTTAAATAAAAGGACACATTCTACTCATGTAAAAGTTTTAGATTTAGAAGACGATGGGGCTGGATCTGGTCCCCGGGCCTTAGTTTGCCTACCCATGGTGTAGAACGTTTATTTAAAATACAACAAACCCATTAAAAACTAGTTACATAATTGTTCAAAAAAATCATTAACATACAAAACCCAGGAAGCATCCAATGATGTAAAGAAAAGGGAGAAATGTACTGCAAAAGTGCTGGATAGGATTATTATTTTATCATTTAATTAGCTCTTTGAATTTTGGCTCAGGTACCTATTGAAAGTGTTCCTAGTTTCTTTACAAACTGCTTAAAATTCTCCATTTCAAAGATCTTGCAGGACAAAAGTGCCTCAGGATGACTTTTGAGCAGTTTGTAAAACATAAAGACTGGCAACATCAGCCCCGCCATATGGGAATCCCTCACAGATGACCACAGTGCCTGGAGACAGACCACAGTAGTGACCAGAGGAGAAATGACCACTGGGAGGACTGCAGAGAGAAGAAATGCCATGGTGCATCTGCAGCAGCACAACTGAATGCCTTCATTTGCCCCAGCTGCAACAAAATATGTCTCTCCTGTATCAGTTTCAGCAGACACTATAACTCTCCAACAGTTTGACTTCACCCTCAAAGGCGCACTCCTCCATTGTCTCCCAAGACAGCCAGATGACAACTTGAAAGGAAACAAAGAAGCCTTTGAGCCAAAACATGCTGGGCTAATTGAATAATAAAATAGCCATCCTCTCCAGCATCTTTGAGATACATTTCTCCTTTTTTGCTGTGAGGCCTAATAGAAGACACAAATGTGACTGAGTAATTTTGTGCAATTCTTTAAAATGCAATTTTGCGTTTAAAAAAAAATGAAGAAAAAGAAATGAAATGCAGTATATAGTAAAACGAGGAAGGAAGGAATCAACCAAGGAAACTATGCAGCTAAAAAGGGCAGGGTGTGTGTGTGTGTGTGGCAGATAGAACTTAGTAAATACAGGGTGGAGTTGAGCAGAATACATTGATGGCATTTGTACACTATTATATATTTAAGTTCTCTCATTTCCAACTCTCTTGCAGTTGCACCATAAATACTGCAAAAGAAGACAACGCCTTTCAGAAGAAAGCTTGCTCACTCTTGAGTTCACCGGCATGGAGAAGTGCAAGAACACCACGGCCGGCACCTCTCAATGCGGCTCCAGTGCAACGCCCATGGAATGCTACATGGTACTTGACAATTCAGCTCAGACTGTCATTGCCGTGCTCTGTTACAGCGTTGGGAGCCTTTGTATCTTGGAGAACTGTTTGGTGCTATACCTCATATTTTCTTCCCCCAAGATCCGGAACAAGCCTTCCTACCTCTTCCTTAGCAGCCTGGCCTTGGCAGACACGCTAGCCAGCATGATATTTGTCTGTAGCTTTGTCGCCTTCCATGTTTTCAATAAGATTGATTCATCAAAGGACATCTTCTTGCTAAAACTTGGAGGGGTCAACACGTCTTTCACAGCCTCCCTCGGCAGCCTGCTGCTGATGGCCTTTGACCGCTACATCTGTATCCTCAGGCCGACAGAGTATAAAGTCCTTGTCACGAGCAGAAGAGCTGTGGTGGCCCTGGTGATGCTGTGGGTCATCATCATGCTAATTGCTTTCCTGCCGTTGCTGGGATGGAACTGCTGCCACCTCAGCTCCCCCTGCTCCGAGCTGTTTCCTTTTGTCGACAACAAATATCTCTCAAGTTGGATTGTCTTGGTGGCCATCCTTCTGATATTTATTGTCTATGCCTACATGAATGTTCTTTGGAAGGCCCGCAAGCATGTGGTGTACATGGAAAAGTACCACATTCAAACAGGCCAGCAGAACACAAAGGTGAGACTAGATGTCACGCTTGCCAAGACCTTAGTGATTGTCCTGGTGGTTCTTGTGATGTGCTGGTCACCAGCCTTGGCTCTCATGACTTACAGCATCTTTGCCGAACTAGACAACTCCATAAAGCAAGCGTTTGCCTTCTGCAGCACACTCTGTCTGGTGAACTCTATGGTGAACCCCGCTATCTATGCCCTAAGGAGTAGGGAGTTGTGCTCCTCCCTGAAGAGAGTCTGCTCCTGTTTTGGAAGACTGCTGGGTGTATCTGAGAGCAACCCAGAAGTGGAGAGCACTCAGAAGTCCTGCCCAATCGAAACCATTTGCGATTAATTTGTCGCCGGAACAGGGGCAGAACTGATGAAGGTCTGCACTCCAAATGGCAGCAAAACTTATACATAGAAACTGATGTTTTATACTTTGTTTGAAGGGACTCTAGAGCTTATTTTCTACATGAGTTTGACTTGCCCTTTGAGTATGGTAGCAGTTTTTCAGTTGCAATGATTTCCCAGTTTATAGATCGCAGGAACAACTCCATACAAACCATCAAATCACCAGCAATGGATGTCAAGGACAGTATGAAACCAGGGCCATTAAAGTGGTCCACCTCTGGAACAGACTATCAGGTCTGACCAACAACAGGGTGGCATTTGGAGAGTTTATTTGTTATTTAATAAAAAGTAAAGTGGGAGCACCTCTCTACACTGTGCAAACACAAACTCCAATTATTGTGGGCCAGGATTGGACACAATCAGGACTACTCAGATGTCATATTTATGTGGGAGAGCAGAAAAAGGCAGAATGTAACACTTTGGGAGCTGACCTTAGCTGAAGAGAGTTTGGGAGGCTAATACACAAATAAAGAAATACTGGGTGCAAAAATTGGCTTCCTAAGAATCTCTGCTTTCACTTTGTGTAGATTTATTTAATTAATAAAAGGTATCTAGTCCTTACGATTGAAAAAAAATTATGCTTGGCAGTATGTGATAAATTTGTGCAGGCATGTCTTAATCCAGAGAGAGGTCTACATGCAATTTCCAGTGGTTGTGGGCAGAGCCTCACCTTGAATAGTTTCCTGTCCCTCTTCATCCACAACAAGCAACAGCTGGAACGAACTACAATGTGCAAAATAAAAGAAAATTATATTGTGCTGGCTGTAGACTTTTCTGTTATTTTTAGTACAGAATCTAAACCATCTTACTTCTTGATTCCTATACTTAAAAGAACACATACTAACTCCTGCTTCCAGATTTCCAGATGAAGGATAGAAAGAGATAACCCTTCTCATCCACAAATGACCAAGGTGGGCAGGGAGTGTGTGTGCAGAGTTGAGGCTTAATGGGTGTCAGGGGAAGACCTAAAGGGCACCTTTGCTCCCTGGGGCATTGTTATGTACTGAGTTGAATAGGATCCAAACTGCAGCAGTCTGATTGGTCCTAGAACAATAGGATCCAAATTGCAGCAGTCTGATTGGTCCTAGAACAATAGGATTCAGAATGCAGCAGTCTGATTGGTCCTAGAACAATGCAGCAGTATGATTGGTTGGCAGGAACCACCCAATCATGCTCCAGATATAAGTGAATCCACAACCTGATTGGCTTACAGTAGAATTCCAGAATTAGCCAATCATGTGCGGCCCATTGTGTAAATAATGTATATAAAGCAGATACTTTGAGGGGACTTTCTTTCATTCCTCCTCACCACTATGAGCTGAATAAAGAGCATGAAATCACTTTGCGACTCTGAGTATATTTCAGGCATCATGTTGGTGCTGCATGGCTTAAGGTGAGACTTAAGGTGACGGAGAAAATAAAGCTGCTGCTTTGGACATACAGCTTAAAAAAAAACAACTGCTTAAGTTTTTTGTAGTTTTTAAAAAAACCTTTCAAAAAAACCTTTCTGAAAAGTCCAAAAGCAAAATAAACGAACAGTCAGGTTTGTTGTCCCCCACCCCATTCAACTGGCAATCATGTGTACATGTGCTGGTTGTGAATATTTGATATCTAGAAAGACACAAAAATGTGACCAACCTGCAGTAGTGCAGCCCATTTTGACCCTTACGATCTCTACCCTCTCATTCAGCTCCATGTGTACACTTCAGTCTTATACAACATGCCAGGCATGTTAAAACTGATTACCTGTGAAGGTTGTATCGAGGTTGTATCAAGTGGTTATCGAGGGATGGACTGGGACCTGGGAGACCAGAGTTCAAATCCTCACTCAGCTATGAAGGCTAACCTACCTCACAGGATTCTTGTGAGGATAAAATGGGGGAGGGGAGAACCATATACACCAGCTTGAGCTCCTTGGAAAAAAGGTTGGCTATAAATGTAGTTATATTAAAATAAACACGAGTAGCATTTACACACTGCCCTATGACACTTGCCAGAACCAAGAATTCATAGTGTGGTAATGTCACACTTGGCATGACTGAAGGAGGAAGCAGTCATGGCTGAACCAGTCATGTGGAGCGTCAGCCCAGGGGTAAGGAAAGTTAAGGAGTAAATCAGTTTTCCCCAAGAAAACCAGGCCTCATGCTGTGTGAGATGGAAGAAGAGCCTGCTGTCAAACCATTTGGATCCAGGTTGCCTCCAGCTCTACCAGTCTGCCTTTTCTTTAAGATAAGCTCCAGAAGCAGTACAACCAGTTCGGCTGGCAGATATGACCTGCCTTCTTAGTGATCATCCTACTACAGTGGTACCTCGGGTTACATACGCTTCAGGTTACAGACTCCGCTAACCCAGAAGTAGTACCTCAGTTTAAGAACTTTGCTTCAGGTGGAGAACAGAAATCGTGCGGCGGCGGCGCAACAGCAGCGGGAGGCCCCATTAGCTAAAGTGGTGCTTCAGGTTAAGTACAGTTTCAGGTTAAGAACGGACCTCCAGAACGAATTAAGTACATAACCAGGGGTACCATTGTACAACTATGAAATTCCCTGATCTGAACAACAAAAAAGAGACATTGCACATTCTTTTGTAGTTCATGAAAATCTTTAATAAAAATTATTTCAAAAACAAAACAAAACCCCAACTATGAAATTCCCGCCCAGGATATACATACACACACACACACACACACACAGGCACTGAGGACAGATGGCATTGGCACAGAAGTTGTGTGTTATAATAGTTTTAAGGTTTATATGCTCTGAAATGGTATTAGTAAGCCAGTTGGATTTTTTTTATTGCTACTTTTATTTATTATACTTATGTATGAGGAAGTTGAGGCAGGATACATGATTCTCCCTATTTTTTAATCCTCGCAACAACACTTCAAGCTAGGTCAGGCTATGAGTTGGTGATCGGCCCAAAGTCATCTAGTGCATCTAGTGCTGAGGATTTGAACTCGGATCTGGTACTGCAGTCAGTGCATCCGGCTTGCCTTTGGAGCTATCATTATGCGACAGCTTTCCCCCCCTTTTGACTGTTGTTACGCCTTTCTATCTTAACCTCGTATGGAAACCGCCTTGGGAAAGACTTCCGTCTAGCGAGTCTTCTAAAAAAAAATGAAATATTGTACAAGCCACACGGCCCATTTCCTTTCTCGAGACCCAAGCCCTTGGGAAACGGCTTGAGTTCCGCTCCTGTCGTTATAATGTATGCCACTCTCACTCCCTCGCGCTATCAGCTGCTCGCTTTCATCGCCCGGGCGGGTCGCGCGCTTACTATGCATGATTTACATATGGGAGCGAGGCTGCGATTGGCCGAGGGCTGAAGCGCTTAGTGGCGCCAATAGGCGAGCGCCGTTCTGAGCGGCGATTGCTGAGGGGAAAGACATGGAGACGGGCCGGGGGCTTTTCCTGCGGGCGGCGGTGGCGTGGCTCTGCTTCGTCGAGGCAGCCTCTGCCTCGGCGCCCCCTCAGCGCTACACCCCCGACTGGCCCAGCTTGGACGCCCGGCCGCTGCCGGGCTGGTTCGACGCCGCCAAGGTCGGCGTGTTCGTCCACTGGGGAGTCTTCTCGGTGCCGGCCTGGGGCTCCGAGTGGTTCTGGTGGCACTGGCGGGGCGAGAAGCAGCCCGACTTCGACCGCTTCGTCCAGGCGCGCTTCCCGCCAGGCACCAGCTACGCGGACTTCGCCCCGCGCTTCACCGCCCACGACTTCCAGCCCCGGCAGTGGGCGCAGCTCTTCCAGCAGGCCGGCGCAAGGTCAGCAGCAGACGGGCGGAGCGGGCAGCAGAGGCCGCTTCTGCATAGCGGCCGGCCTGGGGCTTAGCACGACTGAGCAGTAATAATAATAATGGTGTATAATAATCCATGTGACAAACAGCACAGCGAGGACTGTGTTAATCGCAGTTGTTGTTATGAATTTCCCGCCCTTCACCCTAAGGTCCCAGGGTGGGCTACAACATAAAAAAGAACATCAGAAGCAGTTTAAAACAACAGTCACAGAAACAATATCAGGAATATATATATATATATAGTACAATATTTTTTATTGCGTGGCATTTTCATTGTTCTGCGATGGATAAAATACTCTTGCCTAGAAAATTATTGTTACTACACACCATTGCTCTTTCATAATATAAATCATTGCAAAACTATTATAGCATTCATAATTATTAGGATATAGCTATATTTTCTAGGCTTGAGTCTAGCTTGAGTACAGTCTTAACCTGCAGAAGAATGAAGGTGTTGCACTGAACTGTGTCACTTCCTCTTCCAGCTTTATCTGGAGATGCCAGGGAATGAACTTGGGATCTTATGTCTGCAAAGCTATGGTCCTTTCCTAAATTCTGTCACAGCATCACCCAATAAAATTGACATGCAGTGGATTTTGGGACTTCCAAAAATGTAAAATACATACTAAAACACATAATTAAGTTTTGAAATTTCCTGCTGAAAGATGTGGCAATGAGAAAACTATTGCCTTCAGACATGTCCTGTTTGGGGACTTCCCAGAGGCATCTGGTTGGTCATTGTGGGAAACAGGATGCTGAACTAGATAGACAATTAGTCTTATCGAGTTGGGGTGCAAAAGGTTTTGCTGTAGTCCTCCCTCAGTCATTCAGTTCTTGACCAGCTAGCACACCCTATCTCTTGGTGAGGCTTCTTACGAAGCTGGGCTAGCCATTTTCCAGACATTGCTGTTGGGATGATCTAATTTAAAATTATAGGCTTATTGAGGAAACACCTCAAAAGGTATGTGCCATACAATTGTATCCAACTAAGTCCTACTTCAAGTAGACCCATTGAAGTTAATCGACTTAAGTTATGTTCATTATCTTCATTGAGTCTGACTCTGTCGGAATAGCATTGTATACAACCCTTGATTTAAAAGGGCTTATCCATAGAATACAATACAGTAAAGGGAGGGGGAGGGATACAAAAGGAAGTGGAATGGGGAAGTCAATGCAGAAGTTACAAGAGGTCGAAGATTTTGGGGAAGAAGTTCAATCACTCGCAGAGAGGAAGAGATAGATAAGAAGGGGCCAGAGTATGAAAATAAATAAAGAAAAGTAGTAACTGGACAAAATGCAGGGCAATAAAGAAACAGAAGCCAGCAAAACAAGAAATGGAAAAAACCCCAGCTGTACAGGCACCAGAAATAAGAATGGAGGAGAAAGGGTGAATCTGAGTGTACAAAGAGAATTTCAGTCATCAAACTGGGAAAATAAAAGAAGAGATCTGTGTTTTTGCAGAAGATAACAGAATACACGAGCAATAGTTGTTTGTACAGTGTCTTGAAGAGTACTGTACACAGGGAGACGGCAAAATAGAAGCATTACTTAAGTGTCTTTCAGGCCAACTTGTTTATTAAGTAGTTGTCCTAATTTGGTTGCAGGGAGATTAGATGCCATTGGCTATTTAATGAGCATTCATTCTGATTTGTTCGTGGGGTGGTTGAATGCCATTGCATCAAAGCAAATGTTATCCCAACTTTCCAGTTCATTTTCCTGTCGCTTATCACAAAAAGTCAGACCTTTGGAGGAAGCGGATTTGCTGCGAGACCTCCCAATCAGCTATAATTGTACAACCTGAATTAGCTGGTACATGATTGAATCTCACATGAAATTAGTGACAGTCTGGAAGTGCAGCCAGAGTGAGAGAAAATGAAGTGATTTAACAAAGTTGGGAAGGCCCATCTTGGTCTAGTCTCTCCAGCTCTCACCTACCCTCCCTGTTAGATTTGGGAATATTGTTGATTAATTTTGCATGCTCTGGTTATCTCCCGCTTGGATTACTGCAATGCGCTCTACGTGGGGCTACCTTTGAAGGTGACCTGGAAACTACAATTAATCCAGAACGCGGCAGCTAGACTGGTGACTGGGAGCAGCCGCAGAGACCACATAACACCGGTCTTGAAAGACCTACATTGGCTCCCAGTACGTTTCCGAGCACAATTCAAAGTGTTGGTGCTCACCTTTAAAGCCCTAAACGGCCTTGGTCCAGTATATCTGAAGGAGCGTCTCCACCCCCATCGTTCTACCCGGACACTGAGGTCCAGCACCGAGGGCCTTCTGGCGGTTCCCTCACTGCGAGAAGCCAAGTTACAGGGAACCAGGCAGAGGGCCTTCTCGGTAGTGGCGCCTTCCCTATGGAACACCCTCCCACCAGTTGTCAAAGAGAACAACAACTACCAGGCTTTTTGAAGACATCTGAAGGCAGCCCTGTTTTGGGAAGCTTTTAATGTTTGATGTATTATAGTATTTTAATATTCTTTTGGAAGCCGCCCAGAGTGGCTGGGGAGGCCCAGCCAGATGGGCGGGGTATAAATAATAAATTATTATTATTATTATTTTCTTCCCTTCTAATCCTGTTTCTTTGGTTCCTACAGATATGTGGTGTTGACGACAAAGCATCATGAAGGCTTCACCAACTGGGGGTCCAACGTGTCATGGAACTGGAATTCGGTAGATACGGGGCCCCATCGAGACTTGGTGGGTGAACTGGGGGATGCTCTCAGAGAAAGGTATCTATGTGGGTTAACAAGTGGGGAGTGGAAGCTTATTGCTGTGCAGGGTCCTGGGCTTCACAGCCTTCTGCTGACATCCAGACCTATCTAATTCTATTACTGTGTTTCCCCCTTTGTTTAATCTTTAGGAACATACACTATGGACTGTACCACTCCCTCTTTGAATGGTTTAACCCGCTCTATTTATTGGACAAAAAAAATGGCTTCAAGAGTCAGTTTTTTGTCTATGGCAAGATCCTGCCTGAGCTTTATGAGCTTGTCTTGAGGTAAGATTGAACAACCTCCACTTACATGCTTGCTCCCTAGCAAGCCCCATTGAACAAAGTGAGACTTTCAAGTAAATTGGGTTGCTCAGAGGTTTCCCCTTGCTACTTGTTGCTGTGGTAGATTGTTATTGTTCTTGCAACACTTAACAGAGTGTATGGGGCTGTATAAAGTTACATAGGCCGCCTCTGCCATAGTCCCAACATTTTACCACCATGTTTCCTACATTGAAACCATGACTTAGCTATGAAATCTCAAATGGTTCACTATGTGTCCCCTTAAACTACCTTGGTGGGTTGTTATGAGGATGAAATGGATAAGTTCATAAGCAGTGTCCTGATCTCCTTGAGGAAGGGCAGGATATATATGCCAGGGCTATATATGCTTGTATTGTTTTGATAGTCTTAGAGGGGGAAATAGCTGGGCAAGCCGCTGAAGCTCTTCCTCTTAGGCCCTGTCATGGTTACTTATTTAGAAATGGTAGCCAAGCTTTGCCCCATCCCCTTCAGCTCTTTGTAGGCATGTTTACTCAGATGGAAATCGTACTGTGTTCAGTGGGGTTTGCTCACAGGTAAGGGTGCATAGGATTGTAGTCTTAGTGAGTGTAAAGGTCAACCCCTTTTGTTTTGCCCACAGTGGCTTCCAGAATTTCAGCAAACAATGCTGACAGACTTTCAAGCATATCTTTACAGACGAGAGAGCTAGGAACATTAAAAAAACAAAAAACACCACTCAAGTTCTGTACCTGGTGTCCAATTTTATGCTTTATGGAACTGCAGTACATATGCAACCCTATAACTTTGTCATTTCTAAAACATGTTTGTAGTGCACAAAGAACTCCGGTTTTGTAATAAGAATGTAGGTTTCTTGCGTGCAGACCACTGGCACAATAGGCTTCTGTCCACCCAGTCATTTGTAGACAAGTGTAGTTAGCACACTTGGTGTAGAAAGGTGGGGTATAAATTGTTGTAATACATTTACAAAATAATTCAATACCATAAGCAGCTGTTAGTGGCTCATCTCTGCAGAAAGACCAACTCGGATTTATGACGCAATGGTACTTCCATCTTAGATACAAGCCAGATCTCATTTGGTCTGATGGAGACTGGGAGGCACCAGATACTTATTGGAACTCAACCTCTTTCCTCGCCTGGCTTTACAATGACAGTCCAGTCAAGGTATCTCAATTTCCTTCATGTTTACTGATCAGTTAAACAGGTTAAGAACTGGGCAGTCTCCTTGTTTGCATTTGAGATGAATCTCTTAGAATGGTTTCTGGTATATGGGATTGTCACATTTCTTGTGCTCCTTTGTAAGTTCTGCCCCTTTCCCTTTCCTCCGGGGTGAGATGTATTAATTGCTTCTGATGCAGGATCAGCTTATGGTTATGATTATATATGTGTTGCTTTATTATACCCAAAGGTCTCATGGCAGTTTATAAACAAATATTTAAACCTACAACCACAATAACTAAAAAAGATCACACTATGTGTCCCTCCAAGAGTGCACTTCCTGCCATAAAATTAATCACACACAATCACCGTAAAACCATAAGCAGCTGAAAACCTTCCATTGAGCTAGCGAGAGAATGATGTCAGTATTCAAATATTGGGGTGTACAGTATTTTTTTTAAAAAAAACCAACCCGACAGAGAAAAGATGTTAGATTTGCAGCCAGGTGCACCTTTCTGGGGAAGGTAATCCAAAGGCAGAGGGCCTCTAAGAGAAAAGGCACTTTCTCACGTGGCAATTCTCTGCACCACCATTGGAGATGGTATTCAGGAAAGGGCTCCAGAGATGACCAGGGGGTTCAGAGCAGGTTCATAAGGGAAGAGACACCGCATAAGCCTTAAGGCAATAGAGTGTTCATCCATATGACACTTTATAGGTTAAAATTAGCACTTGGAATTTGGCCTGGAAATCAGCTGAAAGCCCGTACAGATGGTGGCACTGTTATTAGATTATTCATCATCCCAGTTCCACTTATAAATATGGCAGCCAGATTTTGCACCAGCTGAAGTTCATGAAGCCTCTTCAGAGGTAGCCCCACATGTAACATGTTATACTAGACTTAATGCGATGTTACCAGAGCATAGGCAGCCTATCCCCATCCAGCACCCTCATCCAGTCTGTCACTGCAACTAGGCAGCTGAATGGGTGTACAAACTCAGCTGAAAGGCATTTGCTTAAGGTGAGGTGATACAGAAGTTCCATCAGCAGTGGCTCATTCCCACATGCAGATTGCCACCCAATGCTGCAGTCATCTGGGAATGGGCAGACAACAAGCCAGGATTCTGTGACATTGAAACTAAACTGTAGCAAAGTCTTTTTCCTCACTGCACTGTCAGGGAGCTGGGTGCAAGCCCAAGCCTTTGTTAAGGCTCGTTCCAGCTCAGGCACAAGTCTTGGTTTTGTGTGAATGAGGCCACTTTCTTCAGAGTGCTAACAGGGATTCTACAGCCATCTATAGGGCCACGTGTTGCTGTCCCCCGTCTTTGATCCAAAGCAAAGTGGACGAACAGAACACACTGGATACTTCCATTTTTATCCTGAAACATTAAGCTCTGTTTTATCTGGAGGATTTCACACGCACCTGTAATTATTGAAGATTGTAGCATAAGGCAAAACAGCTGCAGTTATTTCATATGAATCTCTCCCTCTAGGATACTGTAGTGGTGAATGATCGATGGGGCATCAATTGCTCTTGCCACCATGGAGGTTTCTATAACTGTCAAGATAAATACGAGCCTGGCACTCTGCCAGACCACAAGTGGGAGATGTGCAGCTCTATTGACAGAAGATCTTGGGGGTATCGAAGCAACATGCAAATCAATGAACTCATGGATGAATCCAGCATCATTCAGGTGAGCACTTTGAAGTGTAAACAAAGGCCAAGGATTGGCCATCTAGCAATGATGTTGCAAAAGCTTGCAGAGAGTTGCCTGGAGGTTGCAACAGCCGGAGCAGAGATTTGAATTGAGCCTCATCTCTAGTTAAAGTAGGCCACATTCTTTAGGAAAATGCTAGATACTTTTGTACTTCAGCTTAAGCGCATGTAAATGGTGCTGGACAAGCTCAGTATCTTTTTTTAAAAAAGGCTTTTTCAATCTTCCCCAAACTGACTGCCTCCTACAACCACAGATGAATACCTGAAAAGAGAACAAACCATGCAAAACCATAAGCAGTCATCCTTTTTGTTGACTTTTGAAGGGACTGCATAAGATAGAAGGTGAAGGAGAGGATAAGAACTGGCATGAAATGCCACCACCACACCTGCTCAGACAGGCCCTTTTCCTTCTTCCCAACTTATACTTAAATCCCCCACAAAAGTTCGAGGCATCAAACATGAGCATGCAAGATATTTATGTTTGGTGAAAATTTTGCTTTGTATATTTATCAGAGTCAGTTTGTTGAAATTACTGCAAGAGCAGCAGGATACATTCTGCAATGTGAATATTTTACTATAATGTTGGATACTTGTGAGGTTATGGAATTTCCTAAGTCAGGAAAAAGGAGGCAGGTGTCTGTGTGTTGTTCTACAGCAGGGGTGGCTGATGTGTTGTCCCCCCAGATGTTGGACTGCTGCTACTACTACTACTATTATTATTAACATTTGTTAGTTGCTTTATCTTGCCCAATGAAACCCAAAACGACTTACGAACAGACAGTAAACCCAACATAGATACATTAAAACCAAGAGGAAAGAGAAGGACATTAAAACATCCCGTTTGCTTCTAAAAGGTCACAGATAGTTAAAGGCTAAAGACCTGTTTTTGCCTGACACTTAAAGATATGTAGTGAAGGTGCCAGGAGAGCCTCCCTGGGGAGAGCATTCCACAAATGGGGGAGCCCCTGCAGAAAAGGCCCCTTGTCATGTTGCCACTGTCTGGACCTCTAACAGAGAAGGCACATGAAGAAGGGCCTCAGAGGATGAGTGCAGAGTCCAGGTTGGTTCATATGGGCAGAAGCGGTCTTTGAGGTATTGTGGGCCATGTTATCTCCCCTGTTCTAGAGTATCCTTTCTCAGTGTAAAGGACTGGACTAGTTAAACAGGCACTTGCAATTTTATTGCTGCTTTGGGGAATGACTTTCTTTCTCTCTTGACTTAAAAATGTTTATATGTTCTGTTTCTGTCTTTACCACAGGAACTTGTGCAAACTGTGAGCTATGGTGGAAACTATCTTCTCAATGTGGGACCCACAAAAGAAGGGGTGATCGCTCCAGTCTTCCAAGAGAGGCTCCTAGCCCTTGGGAAGTGGCTAGGCATTAATGGGGAGGCCATTTATGAATCAAAGCCATGGAGAATACAAAAGGAGAATTGCACTTGCAGCACATGGTATGGCAAAAACTAATACAAAAGTGGGCTTCTTCTTGAAGATTCAGGGAGGTAGCATCTAATGCTTCAGCTATCTGTAGTTAACCATTATTTGCATAGCAACATGAGGAGATGTCACAGTGTCTTCATGTATATTTGGTTGCAGTGTTGGCCTTAATGTGATGAGTAAACTGTGTTAGAACCTCTTTAGGAATGAGCACACTTGCACAAAATTCCTTTTGTAGTATCTTACACAAATTCAGGTGTGAAAGAAGATCTAGTCTCTATAAGCCTTTATTACTAGACACTATTTTACTGAGGTAGTAAGAAGGGCAAACCTTTTGCATGTGCTGCAGTAGTTCAAAGGAAACTGAAATGCAAGAGGCCTCACCTTAGAAAAAGAAATAAAGTATTGTCAATCACAGGTGATGCAGGCTGTTAAAGTATTTGATTGGACTGCACTTCTCTGCTCTTTCAGCACCCAAAGCCCATGAAGGTGTGCTATTCAGATTAATGCTTTCTTTTCTTACTGTGCTTTGCTTTATTTTACTTAATGAGAAGGTTTGTGTTAGATTTAACATCTGAAGCCACAAATGGCTTTGTTTTGTTTAAATTCTGGTTACACTTTTAAATTTTCTTGGTTGACCTTTTGGTATTTGCTACATTGGGGGTAGTTATTTTATTTATCTAAAAGGTGCACAAATTGTCAATAACCAATTATCTCCAAGGCAGCTTTTTGTAGATCACAGAATTGAAGAGTTGGAAGGGATCCTGAGGGTCATCTAGTTCAACCCCCATTCAATGCAGGAATAATTTTTGCTATTAAAAGCTCCCTCATACATCAGCTATGACATGGTGATTCGCTAAATCCTAAGTAGAGGGAGAGATGAGAGAATACCAATTCTGAAAGTCTTTCAGGAGCAGAGAACATTTAAAAGAGAATAGCCCAGCATAGAACTCTAATGGAAAGTTTCCACAGGCCCCTGCCAGACCCACCTCCATGTTGGTGACGGCAGCAGTTGAAAAGCAAGGACAGACTGTCATGCAATGTTTGCTTTTAGGGGGTGTGAGTGTAAAGGTGGACTTTGAGGCTTTCATCATTCTTGGCCATGCAGCCACAACATGAGAAGGAGGAAGAAGCGCTAGATCCCTGCAAACATCAGCAAGGGAAGGTATTTCCGAAACAGATGTTCTGCTCCTACAAAAGATGGGTGCTTTTTCTTTGCTTTGGAACTTTTGTGTCTGTTTCCACAACTTTGCTTTGCTATATATTTTCTCAGGTACACTTCAAAGGGAGAAACAGTCTATGCCATCTTCTTGACTTGGCCAGAAAGCAGTGTGTTGATTCTTCCATCACCTGTCTCATCTGCAACCACTAAAGTAAGGAAAGAAGGGAAAGCAGGCCTGAAAATTGCATCTACTGGCATCTCAGTAATTTTTAACATTTCTTGAGCCTTTGTTATGACAAAGAATAATTTTAATGGCTCTAGCAGGAACTTGAATACCCCGTATTCAATACAAATATGAAATTGCCTTAGTCTGGCTATTGGTCTGTCTATTCCAGGCATGACCAAATAAACGCCCTCTCAGTTACCTTTGCCAAGATACAGTAGAAGTTGTGCTGGATTTCGCTTGAAAGGAAATGCACCACAGAATCTCCATATCAGATTCATATGCATATTTGCTCTGGAAAGGCAAAGTACCCCTTCAAGTATCACTTCATATCATCCATGTTCATGTGCTCCATACATGGGTACCCATTTCTGCTAAATGATGGCAACCTAAACCCTGACTGACCAAGAGGAGGCTGGATTGTTCCTGATCCTGAACGTGGCTGCTGGTGGTCTTGGGCAAAGCTCTCTCCTAGCTCTGCTTCTTGAGATCTTTTTAACTGGAAATACCAGGAGTTGAACCTGCATCTTCATGCTGTTAGGGCACTTCCCCAGTTATCTGATTAGCTGGGTTTAACCTCTGAGGGGCAGGGAAAACTGCCCAGCATGAAGGCAAGTAGCTCCTTCCATCTCCCCCACCCCATGCACTGCTCTTGTTGCTCTTGCCCACTTTAGGGCTGCAGATTTGCTGGACTTCCAGCTGGCTCCAGGTCACTATGATGCCCACACCGGAAAATAATAGGCGTGCATTGTTTGCATTTCCCTGTCAGTCATGTGCCTTCCTAGATTCTCTTCTTTTCCTTTTGTGAGGAGGCCACAAATTAACACAGAGGCTGCAGCCTCTGCTCCCTATAAGTAATGCAGTTGGGTGAGGTGGGCAGCAGGAGAAGTAGTAACTACAGTGTAGGAAGGCAGCCTGTCAGTGGTTAATCTAGTCGCTGAGTATTTCCAAGAGATTAATTTATCTGGGATATTTATAATTAGCCAGTCGCAGAAAGAGCTCAGGGTGATACACATCAAAACATATCAACAAAAATACAGCAAATATAACTAAAGCATATTCAAATGAGGGTGGAAATTGTAACAGCTAATTAAAAAACATATATTGATGCTCAGGGTAAATCTTCTATTATCAGACTACAGAAATAAATTGAACTGAAATTCACTTGTAGAGGAGATCATTCCAGAGATGTGGTCTTACCACAGATAAGTTCCTTCTATACATCCCCTCACCCTGAATCCTGGCGGGGCCTGTGAACAGAGCTGCTCCCTCCACCTCCCCACTGGCTCATCTTAAGATCAAGCTGTCTGGCATTGGAGGAGATGCTCTGGCAGATATTTGGGCCCAAAGCTGGTTAGGGCTCTTAGGCCATCTCTAACGCCTTGAATCATGCAGGCAGTGTAGAGTTTTCAGGGTTGGCACATGTTCCCATCTTGCTGCGCCATCTGGCAGCCGTAGGTTTTCCCTCCTAAAATTGCCCTATGACTCTTCAGAAAATTAGATTGCTGCAAATAATCAGAGAAGCTCCTTCCTTCAATAGGCAATTGTAGCTAGATACTTGCCAGAATGTTCTGTAATAGACTTAAACAGCAAAATGCCATCTGAAAACAGAATTCACATCTTTAAATGCCATTTTATAAGAATGTTATTTGCTTCCTCTTGCATCCTGTGTATGTGGTCTACCCCGTGCTCTGCAATCACTTTTTAATTATTCATTTCTGACAAGAGATCAATCTATGCAGATGGATACTGTGTCCTCTTGTTGGGAAGGAAGCAGTGGTAGTTTTGTGCCTGTTCAGGCTACCCACAATCCCTAGACTCTTCAGGCCTTAAGCCAGTAAGCAAGTGCTTGGCAGATGTCTGTGCCTTAAAGTTATTTTTTCTTGGTATTTTCTTAACTGCAGTAAGCTTGATAAAGGCAGTCCCCTCCTTACAATCTTGGTACAGTTTGTTTTTACACTGGTACAGTTTTCTCTTAAAGAGCACAGTGAAAACCTTATCCCTAATTGAAACTTGCCATTTCCATATACTTCCTTTCTTGGAAACTCTTACGAAGCAGAGGATATTTCTGAAATCATTGTGCTTTATTCTGAACATTCCTTCCACCCCAATTCTGAATGGTTTGAAGACAGTTGAGTTGTTTAGTGCAATGGGGATCCTTCTTGGAGTAGCTGTTTGTTTATATTTCTCATGTTTATATCCCACCATTCCCCCAAGAAGCTTAAAAGCAGTACATTGTGCTCCCCCACTCCATTTTCTCCTCACAGCAACCCTGTGAGGTAGGTTAGACTGAGAAACTGTTACTGGTCCAGGATCGCCTAGTGAGCTTCATGGCTAAGTGGGGATTTGGACCCTGGTCTCCCAGTCTAACACTAACCACTACTCCTCACTGGTTCTCCCCATGTGATTGACACACAGTACCTGCATTGGGCTCATGGCCCAGCTAGGATGCTGTGGCGGGGTGGCCATGTCACTGAGAAAAGATGTGCAATCATAATATACATTACTAGTCAGGTTATGAGCTGTTTGGTGGTTCCACATGTTCCGCAAGACCAATATGGAGATTGCTAGCTATGTGAACCAGCCTAATTATCTTACAATGTTTTTGTATAAAGTAACAAATAAACAACTTTTGTATCCTTGTTGTAGGTGACTATGTTGGGATTCTCTGAACCTTTGAAATGGCAGGTAGCCCCAGACAAAGGACTGAAGATCATGCTGCCCTCTGCTGTTCCTTCACTTCTCCCTCTGCAGCATGGCTGGACTCTTAAGCTAGTTGGAGTGGCATGATGGTGAAGTTGGAAGGAAATTGAGGAACGTCTGTTTCTCTCTCAATGACGAACCATTCAAGCTGGTGTGATTAGTGGCATGAATGGGTTTGAAATGGTGGGTGGTCGGGGCTTAAAAGATGGGTCTGCAATGCAATGCAGTGTTTATGTGTTAGCAATCCTCAGGTGTTGCATTTCAGTAGGGAGAAACCGAAGAACGGGCATTCTCCCGGCAGGATTTAATTTGCCTGACACAAATGTCCAAAAGCACTCTGCTGTAGTGCATTGAGCATCATTTGCACAGAATGAGAACTGTCTCCAGTAACTTCTCGGGGAAATCAGCTTGGGCTGTGATGAGTTCCACTTCATTTACATGTTATGGGAAACTATACCTAGTGGCTAACTGAACACCAAAGTTGTTGTGATCTTGGCCACTTAGCTTGAAATAAACTGTGATCCTTGACTTAGCATTACACCTGAAGCAGAAATTGTGGTTTGTTTCAGTCTCAGCATACCCTGATCTGTAGCCAAGGTTTGTCCTTGGCTTACTGATGATGCTTTGTTAGAGCAAAAGAAACCATGATTCCTGGCTTAGCGTTACCTCCAAAGCTGGGGTCATGGTTTGTTTTGCTCTAATGCTAAGCCAGGGATAATGGTTTGGGTCCACTTGCAGGAAAGGGACAAAAGCAGCTCTGAAAAGCACATTCCAGCAAACCATTACCTGGTATACTGTGATATGCAAACGTAGGCCATCAATTAGAGGCAAAATGAGCAGAGCTCAGCAATTGATCTCAGTTGAATTAGAGCAGGTCTCCCATTTATGTATCGCTTTACACAGGAGGAGTCACAAAGCAGTTTCCAGAGACAACAGCATACAATCGACAATAAAAAAATATCAAAATGAATCATATATGAAGTATAAAACAAAATAACTATATTAAGTGTTCATTCACAAAAATCACTCAAAAACATGAATAACTGCCCCATCCAATAAGTATGAACAGCAAAAATATATGTCCAAAATATAGACCATTAGTATTAAGAGGTACTAATTAGAACTTTGAAAGCTTCTGAAAAGTGTTTTGCTTGGAAGTGGAAAGGAGAGGCCTTGTATCTAAGTTCACAAACCAGCAAAGTCCAATGGGAGGGAACACAGAATTAACTAGAATCACTGGTAACAAGCCATCAATACATCACAGTTGTGGGGCAATAGATAATTAAATGCCAGATTTTGGTGCAGTGATTTGAGGGGAACAAAACAACTTTGTTCTTGGAAGGCAGTGATGATATGACCTTCATGCTTTCAGAATTGTGTAAGTTCATCTCTTGCAAAAAGTGGAACGTGAGCCCATGTAGAACAGGGAAAGGACTCTCTTAGAATGGGTTTCAAGGTCTAGACTTACAAATCAATTAAGAATTCACTTGTAAATAAGAAAAGTAGCTGGTCCCTCACTTGCCTTTCTCATGCATTCTATTGATGAAGAGTTAATGCTATCCTGAAACATCCAGTTAATTCATATTGCTGCATATGGCATTAAGTGCCTTTTCCACAGGCATGGCTGGCAAAATTTAGAAACTCTCACCATTGGCTGCTCATCTCACCCCGTTTTTCCTTAGCTAGTCCCTTCCCTTATGTCAAGGGTAGCAAATCTGGTGCCCTCCAGATGTTGGACTTGAACATCCTTGACAACCGGTCATGCTAGCTGTGACTGATGGAAGTTGTAGTCCAACATCAGGAGGATACCATGTTGGCTAACCCTTCCATAGCATATAAACTTACCTTCTAAATGAATAAACATACAAGATGGGGAATACGATTGCAGGACCTTTTACCCCATTTCTTGAGGGATGTTCTTGTGCTCTGGAAGTACAAGCTAATCATGCAGTTGAGGGCAAATGTGGCTCTGAGTGAAGGGTATGAGTAATTGGGTTGAAATGTTGACCCTGCAAGGGATGGATGTGGGATCTGTGGCACTACAGATGTTAGTCCTGCTTCCATCTGCACCAGCCAGTTGAGGATGATGGAACTTGTAGCCGGGCAACATCTGCAGGACTACAGGTTCTCTATCTCTGCTGCAAGGGTTATGTAGCAGTTAACTGCATTCTGCCACCCCCACCATGGTCTCTAGACTATGATCAAGCAATGCAGTAGATCCCAGCAAATTTAAGGAGTGTGTTGCAGTTGCTTAGCAACTATAACAGGTGATTTCCTCACCTCCATCATATGGCCTATCATGACAAAATACGACAGACAGTATATTTCAAAGAGAAACTCGTACGGTGCAACTCTGTAAATGAAGGACTTTAAATCAGATGTTTAAATCTTTTATATATATATATATAAAACCAAACTGCTAGATTGAACCACATGGTATGAGTGGTCCTGATGTGTTGTTCTGCAATGTATTGATCACAGTGCCTTTTCTGTTTTTCATATCTGATTTGAAATGTTGGTTTTGCAAAAATAATAAAACATTGGAATTGAAGTAAAAGCATTGCATGATCTGAATATAAGGCATTGCAACAAGTGAAGTTTGGAAGCAAAATGGGTAAGAACTTGGGAAGGGGTAGGCAGCTATTAGAACTGGCTTGTGAGAATACCCTTTGTGGTGTCCAGTTTTTCTGCACATAAAATGCAGCTTTTCAGTTATCCTGTGGAATAATAATAATACCACATTTAATCACCATCTTAGTATTATTATCTCCATAATAGATAAGCATAGGATGAGAGAATAGGGGATTTATCTAGGACTTAGCAGCTCACAGCATGGACACAGGCTCTTGAGAAAGCCAAGGAGACATCAGAGAGGTGCCATTGTTTTACTCCAATACTTTTCAGAGGTATCCATTACCTCTGAGGCAAAGAAAATCCTCTCCCAACCCTTTAGTTACCTTCAATCATTTCTAAAATGATTTTTAACACATTCAAGGGGAAAGACCTATGCGTGTTCCAAAGAAAGGTGGTTTCCAATGAACATCCTGGTTCAATCATTAATTGCAGTGCTGTGAAGTAACAGTCAACCTCAAAAGCTCAAGCTCAATGCCAGCTAGGGGGATCCAAAAAATGCAATTGATGTCATCTGTCTCCTGGCTTGGGAACATTGGCAAATAGCTTTTGGCATTGATCATCCCTTGCAACATACTGAGGAAAATGCCACGATGCTAAAATACTGAGTATATACTGGGCATACAAACTCTCTTGGCACTGGGTTGCAACCATTGTGAACTTTGGTGGGAGGGAGGAGAATATAGTAACACACCTTTTTGCTTCATTACATAGATCCTTGGATAAAGGGAATATCTCAAGTAAATAAAATTGGCAGTTTTAGAGCCAAAACAAATAGCTCTTATCTCAGAGCCACAGGTTTCTGTTGCTTTAGTGGTATAAATGCACATAGGGCAGTGCTGCAAGTCACCCGTGCAGGCCAAGCTAAGTCAAACCCCTGTGTGAGCAGGAGACACCAGAGTGCAAAATGGGACCTTTACGAAGAGGAAGCCTGATGGGACAGGTATATTTTTCAAAAATGGGTGCAAATAGTATGTGTAATGAGTTGTTTCAGCTATTAGAAAAAATCATGGTTATCTCTTGTATCTTCTATGCCCACTTGAGAATTTGGGTACACCTGAAGAAAGATGCATGGTACCATACTGTATAGGTTGGGGGTTTTTTTTGAAGGCCACTATAAATATGTTAGGCTGATAAGTGTAGCAAGCAAAATGAGGTGTAATTGATTATGTGTCATTACATTGCTTTCTTCAGCCTTTAAGTTGTGAAGAACACAAAGCAGGGCAGAAAGGTGGGGTCAGCAGCAGCAGTTGTGAGTGGTCAAAAGCCATGTAGGGCTGCCGTTCCTATTGTGCATAAGCTCAGATTGTTAGCAGGAAACTTCATAGTAGCCATGTGACTAATGCTAAGAGGTGGAAAAGTTATGGGGCAGAGAGATAATCAGGCTTGACCAGGAAGAGCTTTGAAGGTGAGGGATTTGCTTCGGATGTTGAGGTTCAAGCATACCTCAAATATGCAAAAATGTGAAACTGATGGGGAATTCTTTTATGGCACAGTATCCTGTCCATGTTGCTTGTGTGTCATGCTTACCTTTGTCAAAAAGAATCCTTGTTATGCTTGTATGAGTCTGGTGTCATTTTATACATACAGAGAGCTGGATTTAGGTTTGATGAGGCCCTAAGCTACTGAAGGTAATGAGGCCCTTTATATGTCCAGCTGTCCTTTGTCAACAACAAATTGTCACTGTTTTTTGTGTTGAATATATGCTATATGGTAATTTCTGGACCTAATAGGTATCTAAAGCCATTTGCACATAACAAATAGGAGCCTACACAACACAAAACACTGCTGCTATAGGTTCTATTTTATTTGTTTTTTATCTTATACTTCGGAAATGTACATCAGTTTTTTTTCCTTTTACTTTTTTGGGGGCCCCCAAGAGAGAGGGGCTCTAAGCTATAGCTTGTTTAGCTTATAGGTAAATCTGGCACAGAGCTCTAACAGTTGTAGCCGGTCAGAAAATACAGGAAGCGCCTATTCCCTTCTTGAAAGCCTCCCAGGGGCAACGCCTGCTTGGAGGCGGCAGCTACTAATGCCAAGAGCAGGCATAGGCAAACTCCGGCCCTCCAGATGTTTGGAACTACAATTCCCATCATCCCTGACCACTGGTCCTGTTAGCTAGGGATCATGGGGATTGTAGTCCCAAACATCTGGAGGGCCGGAGTTTGCCTATGCCTGGCCAAGAGGATGTCTGCCACAATAGGCATTTCGCCCAATTCATCAAAGCACTTCTTACGCTGTCCTCTCAAGCTCTGGTTCTGGATGCCGCACTCCGAGCTGCGCGGCGGCTGAACTCCCAGCTGCTACTGCTACTTAGCCAGGGGCGAGGGAGGCACTCTGCACATGCTCAGGCGCAAAAGGGCATAAAACAAACCGCCCCCCTCCCGTGGCGGGGTCTCCCATTCTCGGCCACTTGTCAGGCAGAGATTCACCAGGTGAAGCCCTGCCCACATTCCTGGGAAGGCGAACGCGCCAGCGCCGCCCACTCCGCCGCACGCGCATCGAGGGAAGCGGGTCACGTGGAGGAACAAAGCCACCGTCACGTGACCCGCTTCCAGTCGCTGGAGAAGAAGGAGAAGCGGCGACATGGTGGCGGCCAAGCGGGCGCTCCCGCGGCTGGTGGCTTCGCTGCGGCCGGTGAGCGGGAGAGCAGAGCTGAGGCGGGTCCAGGTTGGGAAGTGGGACGTTGCTGCTGCTGCCGCTTCGGGCGCTGCGGTTGTGGCGGCTCTCCGTGGGGAGAGGTGTCCCTAAGCTGCCCTGGCAGCTGCTATGGGGTGTCCTGCGAACGGCAGGGGCCACCTCCAGTTGTTTTCTATATCGTCCCCAGACAGGCTGCTTTTAGGGCCTGTGGGGAGGGCACGCTTCAGGTTACTTGTTGCACTGCAACCTCCCGAGCTCCAGCAGCTGCAGCCCAGTGTGCAAGGTAAACACTTGCAAAGGCGCGCAGATTGAGACTGGCAAGAGCAACAATTGCGCCTTTGCCGGAGAATGGTAGAGGTCCGTTTCGTTTACAAGTTCTCCAGAAAAACAAAGACCAGTTCCAAAGGTTTTTACTAACTTGTGAATCACTGAACAAGAACATGTTTTATGTACAGGAATATAGGGTTTTTTTAAATGATGCACTTACCCAGGGGTCTCTGGGGAAATACATGAATAAAGTGCTGTGAGGCATGAATAATCATTTGGAGGTGGGCTTATAGTCCTTCCACGCACAAACCCATTCCAGTTTAAGCTTTCTTCATTTCAGGATATTAGGATTCACGCCCCTCTCCGGGGATGACATTTTGTTGTTGCTATTCTGAAACAATTGGGAGTCCTTGCTGATCTACTGTAAATCTCCCAGAGATCTACCAGTACTGTAGATCATGGTCTACATTCTGCCCACCCTTCCAAAAATGCTAGAAGGGCAGATGTCAAGCTTAGTTGAATCTACTCTATAATTTGGGTTTTGCCCTCCGTGAATTGGTTTTAACCTCTATGAATTTGTCCTGAACCCCATTTAAAGCCATCCAAATTGGTGACCATCGCTACATCCTTTAGTTTAGCTATGTACTGTACCAAGATGGACTTCCGTATGTCTTTTCATTATTTATTCATCAGGCATGTTGACTGATAAGAACATTGTGAAAATGTATTGTTCATCCCAGTTGTAAATAAATAAATTTATCATTTTTTCCCCTCTACAGCTCAGCTCCACAGCAGCTGGTACGCTTCCCAAATATGTGAAAATAGTTGAGGTCGGTCCAAGAGATGGCTTGCAAAATGAAAAGGTAAATGACTCCTGATAAGCTATTTGTCTTGTCGTGAAACCTACAGTAGTTTGTTCTCATGAACCTGCTCTTTCAACATCTGTGCTGTTTTGATTTTGCTGCCAACTAGAACATGGGTCACAGCTCAAAAATTCCATCCTCAGCTTTTCACCCTACTTTGTTTCTGGCAATTCCTGTATATTGATCACTAGAAATGCGTCAATCCAGGCTGATGGGTCACATTAGACTCACCTCAGAGACTTACGCCTGGGCAAACTACAGTCTCTGCTGCTCAATTTCTCATTTGTTCATTTCAATACAGCAGCTTATATAAATTAAATCAGTCTGTGAAATGGGTACAACCTACTGCTCAGATGATGCAAAGATGCCATGGACCATCATAAGGAGCACCTGGAGAGATAACATTTCATAACATGCTCTAATCTAACATTTTGTTATCTTTGTTGCATTTCATCAGATTCATATGAGCATGCACAGTAGTATGTATAATGTTTGCAGGCTCTGGTTGAAAAGCACTCTGCATTACACAGACCTTGATAGTTTCAATTTTTAAGGATTTAAGGTGGCATTGTGATGAGGAGACTGGCACCCTAATGAGTGATGCTGACAATAACATGTAGTATTTATGTCCCTCTTTCTTTGCTCAAAATGCTTTTGCATACCTTATTTTTGTTCAAACAGCAAACATGTAAGGTAGGTCAGTGGTGGTGTACCCATATTGCAGATGGGAGATTGAGGCTCAGAGAATAGTCTGCCCTAAACTACTTCCATAGCAGAGGCAAGATTTGAACTGGGCTCTTCCTGGTTCATAGCAACCTTAGCTTCTTAGCCACTACATTTTACCAGCTCTTGCCTTGAAATGGCATAATTCAGAAATATCGAAGGATTTCTGTACTAGGAGGAGAAGCTGCAAGAGCCCAGGCATGAAGTCAGAATTGTCCTGTCTGCCTCTGGCTTCAGTGGGAGTCTTTTCAGCTTGTAGGATGTGTATGGTTTTGTTTATGCCTGTGAACCATATCTTGGAAGTTCCATTGGGGGATTTTAGCAGTCTTACCTGCACCCCATGGAGATACTGACTTCATAAAGGCATAATGAAAAATCCTGTTGGAATACCAAGAATACGTCCCCCTCAGGCCAGTGTTCTGTCTAGCCCCACACCCAGATTCCCAAGTGGCCCACACAGTGCCCCTGAGAAGCCCACATGAGAATAATGGGCCTCTCCTGCTGCTTTTGCTTCACAGCAACTGGTATTCAGAGGCATAATGCTTCTAAACTGGAAGGTTGCTTATTGGCATCTTGACTAGCAGCCATTGATAGACCACTTCTCCTCCCTGAATTTTTCCGATCCTCTTCTAAAGCTATTTAATCATTGCAGGTAGCCAACTAGATAAAACAGTACAAGTTCTGATCTACGGTAACTGTGGAGAGGGGGAAATATCTCCAAATACACAGAGTCAGAGCCAGGGAGTTTGTTTAAGGCTTGATATGAATGTTTACCCATTGCAAAGTCTGTCCAGCATTACCACGTTGCAAAACAGGAAATCTTTGTCCCTCTGGCAGGCTGTGTGGTATGCAATACTCACAGTGATGCAAAATTGACTAACCACGTAAGCTCCACTGAGTTCAGTGTGGCCAGTTCTTACGTATTTATTGTTTATTATAATAGGAGATTTTTAGTCTTCTCCATTCTCAAAAGCTCAAGGTCAGATGCAGTTTAAAAATTAAAGAAATGCAAAAAGGTTGTGGTAATTCATCTATCTGTAAAAAATAATAATAAGATCATTGTATCAAGATCCCAGCCATTTCCACTCCCTTGTCTCCAATAAGAGGCATCCTTCTTGCCTTCCAGTTTGTGATCCTCCACCTCAGTGGCCTTCCCCAACCCTTCGAAGCCACTTTTGTTCTACTTCAGGGAAGGGTTTGATTAGACTTTCTGGAAGGGATTGTGGAATTGCTATAAGTGGGAAATGTGTTTCTCTCTTTTTGTAGAACATCGTCCCCACCCATGTGAAAATTGACTTAATCAACATGCTGTCGGAAACGGGTCTTTCGGTCATAGAAGCTACCAGTTTTGTGTCTCCCAAATGGATTCCTCAGGTCAGTATGGGTGAGCCTCAAATTCACGTTGCTGACGTGTGAGTCTCATAGTGGGATGCAGTAAAGAGAGCGGGTCCCTGCTTCTCCCGTAACCTTGCTGGGTGGCTTAGATAAATTACTGTGTCTCAACTTGGTTTCTTTCATAGGCTGCATTTACATAGAGGTAATTCCAAACTATAGTTTAGTGCAGGTCTGGGAAGCTGGGAGCCATTCTCTGATTCTCAGGACTTCCCCCCCAGGGCTGCTAAGCGTAATGTGGCTATGCAGCAATTTAACACAGCAGCATGCAGAGGCGGTTGTTTCTGTTATAAAAAGTTTCTGATCTTCGTAGATTACTGAGCATTGTTCTTAAAGCCACCTGTTATTGTAAAACATTGTTCAGAAAGCTAGAGTCCCTCTTTAAAAACCAGCTAATAATGGAAGCGGAGATTGCAAGAGGAGTCTGCTTTTCATTGAGGAAAGTCTGTCTTGAATATGCCAACATTTTAAAAATACTTTTCATTTGCCGCCTAACAATCCTATTTCTTTTTCTCATTTTGGTCTGCGGGGGTTTGGAAGCTTTAAGGTGCTCCCCTCTTTTACAGTGGAAAATTAAAATCCTGTATTCTCCGTTCTTTGTTTTGCAACTTAGATGGCTGATCATACTGAAGTCATGCAAGGGATTCGGAAGGTTCCTGGGATCAGCTACCCTGTTTTGACTCCCAACCTCAAAGGCTTCCAAGCAGCGGTAAGGAAGATGGCAGTGCAGAAGCTCTGAGGCCATGGCTTTAGTAGTGAGAAATACACAACTATGACTATAATTTCATATCCTGTTCCTGGTATGGTGCACCTGGACAGGCAGCTCATTTATTTAAATAGGGGAGGCACATCTCTCCCACCCACCCCCCCGAATTGAACTCAGTGAAGGTGCTTGTATATGTAAAAACCTGTAGGCCATGCTGGGAAAAGTCTCTCCAGCATCACAGGAATCTTAATTAGCTCAATGTAGCCTTTAATCGGATCAACTAGACCCATTTTGGTACGATTTTTGTACATTATTTATTTGTTGATTGTATTGATTTAGTTAATTTTTTCCAGAAAGGTGAACTCAGGGTGACTTACAAATAAGAACTTTAAAAATGAATGAAAAGAAGAATAAACACAACCTAAAATGGTTGTGCCAATAATACATATAGTAGATCAGATCCACCCCACTAAGACAGAGGTTCCCTACTCTGCACCTTGCAAAGGCTTTCACTGCTGTCCCAGGCTCTAAGTTTTTTTATAAAAAACAACAACAACCCAGTCTCTATTCCTCATAGGAAGAAAGTTTTGGGGCAAAATGTTTAGGTACCTTCTAATCAATTTCTGTGAAATGAGAGCGAGTGTGATGTCGCCACCTGGTGCTGCGAAATGCCTTCTGTTATTACACAGTAACATCATTTATACGTGTAGAATCAATATTACGTGATCTCCACAACCAGGAGCAGCTGGACATAGCTGACTTCCCATGGTTAGGTTAAGGTTGTTAGGGAGGTACCATACTTTTCTGTCTATAACACGCCCCTGTGTATAAAACTACCCCTCAAATTTTAGAAAAAGGGAGTAGATGGCTCAGAGTTGTTGAGCTTTTTTTTTGCCAAAATGTGCTCACCGACACGCGATGCGAAGTCAGCCTCCTATCTGTCCCATCGCCAGCAGAAGCTGCCAATTGCCCACCCAACTGCTAGGATATCAGCCAATCAACACCGTTCATTGACGCAGCAACCAATAACATGCAGAATAGTGATTGACAGCCGCGGCAGCAACTAATCAATCATCCACCCTATGTACTACCCATGTATAAGACAACCCCCACTTTTTAGCATAATTTTTAAAGAAATAAACACAGTCTTATACACGGAAAAGTACAATAATTAATTTTGAGTTATGCCACGCCGCCCATAGCCATTTTGTGACTGGCCCCCCACAGCGCTTCTCAACATTCAAAAAGTGCCCCCGATCCAAAAAGGTTGGCGACCCCTGCGTTAAAAGATAAGCAGAAAATCAAGATTGCTTGCAGTCACTACCTGAGTTTGAAAATTAAATTGTTGTCACTCACCAGCACCTGAGTTCACTTATCAGAGGGAGTGATATATAGGGCATATTCCCTGTATTGGCAGGTGGCAGCAGGAGCTAAGGAGGTGTCAATCTTCGGGGCAGCATCAGAACTTTTCACAAAGAAGAACATCAACTGTTCCATTGAGGAGAGTCTGGACAGATTCAGTGACGTCCTGAGTGCAGCTAGAGAAACCAGCATCCCAGTCCGAGGGTAAGCTTTAGGGCTATGTGCTAACTGAGGTGTTGAACGTTCCTCTCTACCTGCTAATCTACCGTGATTTATTTATTATTGTTATATTTACATTTACAAATGGACTGGTGAAGTTCGGGAGAGGGGAGGGGATTCAGAACCAAAATACTGGACCATCTCTGAGATGGCCTGAAGGAGCTTTCCATAACGCGGTCCTGATGAGCCATAATTGGGGGGGGGTGGCCATTGGTCACTGTCTTTCATGTATGTGAGGAATTAGCTGCCACTCCCCAGTAGGTGAGTGAGGGAGCTCTTCACATTTTATGTGATGGAGTGAAGATTCTCGTGTATATAACAGGCTGCGGTGAGGTTTTCATACGACAGGCTTGGTCGTAAATCCCTAGGAGCTACTCTTACTCTGCAAATGATTTATAGGTCATGTGTGAGGCTGGTGGTCTGAGGCTGCCATTCTGGTTGTGTAAAAGGCATTTGAAACTCCTGCATGTATTGGGTTTAATAATGCCTGTTTTTCCCCCCCTGCATGCAGGTATGTCTCCTGTGTCCTTGGCTGCCCATATGAAGGCAAGATTTCTCCTGCTAAAGTAGCAGAAGTGAGTATACTAAAAGGCATTTGTGGGCTGTGGTGGCCTTCTGTATTTGATATTCTTGGTAACCTCAGTCACGCATCAGCACTGCATGTTGCAGCTGCCATCGTTTCAGTTCTCATTGCAAGGTGGAAAAAGCAAAAGGCGCCTTTTTCAAGATGGAATTGCATTTTGCAAAGAGCATAGGGCTGCCATCCCAAATGGCAGCCCTGTATTAAGTTGGTACGTGTATATATGTGATATAGGCACACACACACACACACCCCATTCACCTTGCACTGTGTTCTGACAGCAGTGCAAGGATGGGAAGAGCCCAGTACTGGGCCAGGTGAAAGAATGGGTTGACTTAGTAAAAGGCAGCTGCATGTATTTTATCCTCACCACCAGCAGCCAACAATGCGAAGAGCAGGAGAACACACACTGTAATATTGAGACATGGGGTGAACGGAAGTATATGTTATGCAAAGGGAGGATGGAACTCAGCCAGGGGCTCCCGCTTTTTGCTTTGTCCCTGTGCTCTTTACATTGTGTAGCTCAAACTTTAAATGGTAGGTCTGCATGGGGAGCGCAGTAGTAGAGCACATGCTTTGCTGCGCAGAAAGTCACAGATTCGGTCACTACCCTCTCTAAGTAGGTCTGGGGACAGCCCTGTCTGAGATCCTGTAGAGCCACTGCCACTCACTCTAAACCAGGGTTTCCCAAATGTGGGTCTCCAGCTGTTTTTGGACTACAACTCCCATCATCCCTACCTAGTAGGACTCGTGGTCAGGGATGATGGGAGTTGTAGCCCAAAAGCAGCTGGAGACGTAAGTTTGGGAAACTCTGCTCTAAACAACAGTGAGCTAGATGGGCCAGTGGTCTGAGTTGGTGTCAGGCAGCTTCACGTGTTGGAAATTCTGTAAATGTTCTGTTCTCTGCTGCAGGTTTCAAAGAAAATGTATGCCATGGGGTGCTACGAGATTTCCCTTGGGGATACCATTGGCGTTGGGACCCCCGGCAACATGAAGGACATGCTCTCTGCTGTCATGAAGGAGGTGCCTCTTGGAGCACTGGCTGTTCACTGCCATGACACTTATGGGCAGGCACTCGCCAACACACTGGTAGCGCTTCAGGTGACGTCCTCGCTGTTTTCATAGCTCAAGACAAAATTCACTAAAATGGGTGGCACAAATCAACCGATCCAATCCACTTGCTAGCCATGAACAAGCCCTGGTCATTGGCCAATCTTGCCTGAGATAGAGATTATCTATTTATTTTGACTGTTTATGTATCACTTAATTAGAATTGCCTGTAAGCCATGTACAAGAAAATAAATTGAAACAAACGAAAGATTAGAATTCTGTTAAAATGCCTGCTGGAATAAAAAGCAGTCTTCAGTAGTAAGTAGTAACAAAGAGGGGACCTGTCTGACCTCAGCTGGAAGGAAGTTCTATAAAATTGGGTCCTCTGAATGCACAGCCTCTGGCACATATAAGCCGTGCATCTGAGCCATGGGGGACCACTAACAGTTACTCTCCAAAGAGCTCAGTGACCTGGAATGAATAAAAGGGTCCCTGGGACATGTTTTGGCCCCACAAAAGGCATTCGGACTACATATAAAACAGGATCCACGCAGAAGGAATGCTCTTGGGAGCCTTTCCAGCATACATCCACCTTCCCCTAACCATACAAGAATTTCTGATACCCTGGAAGAAAGGGAGGCGACCTATTTTTATTTTATTTTTTGCAAAAGAAAAGGGAGGCAGAACCCCTTACCTGGATTTTCAGTCTAATTCAGCGATGGGAAACCTGTGGCTTTCCCAGTTGTTGGCTCACAGCTCCCCTCATCCCTGGCCATTGGCCATGCTGGTTGGGACTGATGCGAGCTAGGAACCACCCGCATCAAGAGGGCCACCGCTTCCACATCCCTGGTCTAGTTAATCAGCCCATAAGTGGCTATTTCACTGGACGGACCAGGCAGGACTTTTCCTTAGAACGTCTCTGCTTCTGTTTGCAGATGGGCGTGAATGTGGTCGATTCCTCAGTCGCTGGCCTTGGTGGCTGCCCCTATGCCCAAGGAGCATCTGGGAATGTGGCGACAGAAGACATGGTGTACATGCTCAACGGTCTTGGCATCCACACTGTAAGTACTTGGTCATAGGAGGGGGACACACTTGTCTTGGCTTTGGGAGTTAGTACCAGGCTTTGCTTTGATAGAGATGGGTGTCTGTGGCCCTCATTGGCTGATCAGCTGCTATTGTACTTGATGTCTCTCTTAACTAGAGCATCCAGCCAAGCTTTATCTGCCACTGTGTGTAAAGTTGTATATGTGTTGGAAACAGGTTGTGTGAAGTTTTACTACATGTGGTCACTGCATGACTTGCCTGAAAATTATATTCTTCTGAGTAAGAGATGTATCTTTGGTCACCTTCATACCATCCATTTAAAGCACTCCTATGCCACTTTTAAGTCTATCCCCACCCCCAACAAATCCTGGGAACTGCATTTTGTTAGGGGTGTGCATAGTTGTCAGGTGTAGCTTTGTGGGGGAAATTTGTTGTTTGGTTGTTTAGTCGTGTCCGACTCTTCGTGACCCCCTGGACCAGAGCACGCCAGGCACTCCTGTCTTCCACTGCCTCCCACAGTTTGGTCAAACTCATGTTCGTAGCTTCGAGAACACTGTCCAACCATCTCGTCCTCTGTCGTCCCCTTCTTCTTGTGCCCTCCATCTTTCCCAACATCGGGGTCTTTTCCAGGGAGTCTTCTCTTCTCATGGTGGGGGAAATAGGGGTCTCCTAATGAGCTCTGTTAACAAACTACATTTCCCTGGATACTTTGACGGAAGCCCTGGTGGTTAACACAGTATAGGTGTACTTTAAATTCATGGTGCGGATGTGACCTCTGAGGAAGAGCACATGTTTTTGGGTGTAGATGGTCTTAGGTTCAATTCTCTGCATCTCCCCTTTTTTTAAAAAAAGAAAGAAAGTGGGAGGACCTCAGTTTACTGGGCTAGAAAGACCAGTGTCTGAATCTTTGGACAGCAGCTGACAGTCTAAAGAGCAGGCAGTACTAGACTAGATGGACAAATGATCTGACGTCATTTAATGCAGCTTTGTATGTTCAAGTAAGCAGCTGTGTCTCTTCTTCCCTATGAAGGGTGTGGACCTCACGAAACTTCTAGACGCAGGAACCTTTATTTGCAAGGCGTTGAACAGGAGGACCAATTCGAAAGTGGCACAGGCCTCCTGCAAACTGTGAAGCAGAGCAGCGCCTTTACGGGACTTGTTGGAAGCAAAACTACAAGCGACACTCTGGAATCTGCCATGTTTGCACTTGGTCTCCTCTCCTAACTTTATTTAAGCACTCTCCGGACTCGACGGCAGGAAGATGAGTCAGCCAAATTTTACCCTGAAAAGAGACATTAAAAAAAGTAGTCTAAAGCACTGTATTTGCACTTGGTTGGATATCTTGGGCTTCGCAAAGAACCTGAGTCCTTTCCACTGGTCACAACTTGCCTCCAAGGAACAGATTTGTTGCAGGGGGTCATAAAAAGAGCCCTGCTGGGTTGGGCCAAAGGCCTATCATGGTCCAGCATTTTGTTCTCACAGTGGCTAACCAAGAGTCCTATGGGAAGCTCACAAGCAGTACCAGAGTGCAGTGGGGCCTTCCTCACCTGAGGGTCACTCCAAATGATATTCGGAGGAATCCTGCTTCTGACAGGGGAGGGAGAACCTAGCCATAGTGGTTCATAGCCTTATCTACCATGAATTTGCCTTTTAAAGCCATCCAAGTTGGGGGTCGTCACTACATATTTTGGGAGCAAATGCCCTAGTTTAAACTCTGCAGTTTGTGAAGAAGAACTTCCTTTTTCCTGTCTCGAATCTTCCATCTTCAATGGGAGCTTTTTAAAACATTAGTCTTCATGGGAGCACCCTGAGTTCCTATATACCTCTATTCCTATTTGTATTTTTGGACCTTGCATTTGCTTGGGCCATAATTTACCTTTTCCTCTTCTCTCATTCGGAGTCTCCTATGTGGCGTTGTGGTTGCGTCAACAGTGCGCTGTGGAGTACCCTCCCCACCCCCCAACCAGGATGCCTTTCTCAATCAACTCGTGGGGATATAAGTGGGCAACCCAAAACAGGCAATAGTTTTTGCCTTCTGTTCACCACACCTGTCCCAAGGTTGCCCAGCTTGCAAAAAAGAATTAACCAATTAAATATGCTACTTTCTATATCTAAAAGCAAGTAGCCTCTCTGAAACCTTTGCTGAAATCTTCTTGTTGGGCCTCAGAGGGTGGGATCCTGGTCTGACCCCCAACTCCTGTCCCCCGAAGACTCCCTCTTGTAGAACAAGCCCCTCACAAGCTCCTCTTGCTGCCAGTATCCATGCCAGTTCAGCCTCCCCACATGATCTTCCTTAGGAAATGTGGGGCATGCTCAGTTTCCTACTCGCTCTTGGAGAATGGTGTGCAGGCCTTCATTCCTTCTTGTGCCAGTATGGGATGATGGCTTCCAGTCTTGGGGGAAGAGGTGTAGCATGGATTGTGTGCCACTGAGTGATGGTGTGCCTGCCCCTAGATTTGGGCCTCTGCAGCTGATTGATCCTTGTGCTGTTCCAGCCCATGACCCATGGATGACACAGCTGATAATGCCAAGGTTGCAGGTTTGATCCCCATATGGGACAGCTGCACATTCCTGCATTGCAGGGGGTTGGACTAGATGATCCTCAGGGTCCCAACTCTACAATTCTATGATTCTGTGTCATCCTAATGTCCATATGGCGCTCGCCCTTTTGCTTCCCGGTTCCTTCACTGCTTATAGTTCACTTTCCCTTTCTTTGTTAGGCTCTTAAGTCTTTCTGAAGATGAGGAACAGCAAAGGCTCCAGGGGTTGATAGCTTTCTGGCAATTCTAACAGACCTGTGCTGGAGGAATTGGTGCCAAATGATTGTTAACTTCTTGTTGCTGGGGAAATCCTTCAGAACTGGTTAGAGCAGAGGTAGCAAACCTATGGCCCTTCAGTTCTGAGACTCCCCAAACAGCCCATGCCTTAGAGCAGGCATGGCCAAACTTGGCCCTCCAGCTGTTTTGGGAATACAGCTCCCATCATCCCTAGCTAGCAGGACCAGTGGTCAGGGATGATGGGAATTGTAGTCCCAAAGCAGCTCAAGGGCCAAGTTTGGCCATGCTTGAGTTAGAGGTACATGTGGTGTTCAAAATGCCAGGCACATGTGTTGATACCCATGCTGGCTAGGACTGATGGGAGTTGGAAGTCCAGCACATCTGGAGGGCACTTGGTTGGCCCCAGGGGGGAGGGCTGAAATAGAATATATGGAAAGGGGTTGTTCTGGTTTTCTATATAGAAGGTAAAGGGAAGGGAATTATTAGGTAAATAAGCAAGTTGTGCCTGGTCCTGGACAGGGTTGGCCTGGCCACTGTGACCCCTATATTGGTAACCTCAAGACTGGACTGTTATAACACACACTGTGTGGAGCTGTTCTGGAAGCTGCAGCTGGTATGAAATGCAGCTGCTAGGCTGCAGGCTGGGGCAACATGTGCATGTTACACTAATCCAAGGAGTTGCACTGACTGCAAACAGGCTGCTGGGCCAGGCTTTTAAGGATTTTGGTAATGACTTCTATTGCCCTAAGCAACTTGGTACCAGGATACCTGAGGCTCTTCCTGTTGGGCTGCAGCCTATGGAGCTACAGTTTGCAGCCACTGGAGGGAGAGTCTTTTCAGTGGTGGCACCCATACTATTAAACCACCTGCCTTCTGAGAGTGGAAAATACAGTATGCCTAAACCTCATTACTTTGCACATCTTAAAACCACATTGTGCCGTCAGGATTCTGGTGCCGTTTGGTCTCAGAATAAAGCTACCCTAGATTTTCAGTTGTGTTTCCTTCCCACATTTTAATGTTTTGATAAATGTATTTTAATATTGTTGTACACCACCGTGAGACTTGATGTGGGAGGTGGTATAGAAATGTTTTAAATAAAGTATTAGTTATAAAATCTGTTGTTCTTTTTTGGAATTGCTGTGGATGGGCAAGGGGAGTGGAATGGAGGGCGTATCAGGATCTTAATGCGGAGCACAAGCTTAACATGAGCCAACAGTGTGATGCAGCAGCAAAAAAACCTAATGTAATTCAAGGCTGCATCAACAGAAGTTGTCCAGATCAAGGAACGTAATAGTGCCACTCTATTCTGCCTTGGTCAGACCCCACCTGGAATACTGTGTCCAGTTCTAGGCACCACAATTTAAGGAGGATATTGACAAGCTGGAACATGCAGAGATTATCAAGAGTCCGGAAACCAAGCCTTATGAGGAACAGTTTTAAAAAATGTTTTCAAGGTTGGCTCCCCTGCGCCTTTAACGACAACCTGAAAAGCACAAATGTAACACAGCTTTCCCCATCTCTGTGTATACCCTTATGTCTGGAAAAGCTACACCTGCTAGGTTTTTTTTTGCAGGAGGAGGGCAGTAAAAATGTTGGCGGCTCAATTCCTACATTGCTGCTTTTGCAGGGAACAAGAGAATTAAGCTCCGTGCCCGTTCAATCTACTTTCTGGTCCCCATCGCAGGTATGTTGAAACACAGTCACACTCTGTGGGTGTGCAGAGTGTTACGATATAGAAGCAATGCAGCTGCGAGCTGGTAGCTTGAAAACATTTCCCACTGAGGACAATTCAGATGATGATTTTACTGATTACAGTGGTACTGAGAGTGACAGTGATAGTTCAAAGAGCTCAGTTGACACAGTCATTGAGAGGAAATCTCACACAATGGCTAGACCTTCACACGTGAAGGATGAACCACTGTTTACCATTGGAACTGGTTCTCCAAAGAGTCCTGAGACTGAACCAGTGAGCAGAGAGGATCAGCACCTCATACACAGGTCTGAGAGAGTTACAAAGGGCATACCACCCAAGAGGTATTCTAAAGAGTTTGCTAACTCAGCCGTTGCATGTGTTACTATTGTTGACAACTCAAGACAGGTTAAAGGTGTGTCCAAGTCAGAGACAAAGACACAACAGGGAGTTGCTAAGCATAACACTACATTCCCTAGCCAAGGTAATGCAGATGCACTCATTCCTTGGAAGTCAGACAACCAGAGAGGTACACTGGTGAAACCAGTGGCGGGTAGTTCCAAGGGTGGAATTGAAACAACAGGGGATTGTTATATGTATAACAACTGTTTGTTTTCTTCTCTGGATCAAGCTTTGTTCGCAGCGCACATTGATTCATATGGGGGAGTATGTTACGATATAGAAGCAATGCAGCTGCGAGCTGGTAGCTTGAAAACAAAACATGATGGAATGTTGGGACTGTTCCGTGGGAAACAGAGGGACAGTCAATTCACAGGGCAATGCACCGGAATTAGCTCAGAGTGTAATATGAGCTCTTCTTCTTGCTCTTGTACAGGAAGTACAGGAGGTGTTTGTCCCTCGACTGCTGGAGCTTGAAGAGAGCAGTCATGTTTTCTGTAATGTTGCAAAGACAGGAATAAAAGCATGTAAATACATTTCTGTCTATCTCCTTTTCCCTGCCGGGGGGGAGCAGGAGGGAGGGAGTGTGCTCTTCCCACGCTGGGAAGGGTCGCTTATCGTGACCTAGCCTGGATCTTGCTGGGAATGCAGCCAGGGAGGTCAACAGGAGACGAAGCCGGGTGCCTGGGGGTGTTGCCAGTTACTCCCGATATAGGCTTGATTTCCAACACAGAGTCAGTTACATGGGTGGGAGCCAACCTGCTTCAGAAAACAGGATATGGAGACACCAAAGTCACACAGTTCCTGGTCAGAGATAAAAGGGGGAGTGGCATGATGGACTGGAACTCACCTGGGCAGGCCAGATACCTGCAAGTGGAAATAAAGCCTTAGGAGGAACAGCTGAGGGAGTTGGGTAAGTTTAGCCTGGAGAAGAGAAGGCCGAGAAGTGATATGATAGCCATCTTCAAATATCTAAAGGGCTGTCACATGGAAGATGGAGCTGTGCTTGTTTTCTGCTGCTCCAGGGGGTAGGAGCTGAACCAACGGATTCAAATTACAAGTAAGAAGATTCCAAGTAAACATCAGGAAGAACTTTCTGACAGAGCTGTTTGACAGTGGAACGGACTCCCTCGGAAGTGACGGACTCTCCTTCACTGAAGGGATTTTAAACATTGATTGAATGGCTATCACTGCTGCTGCACGCAATGGCCACGCTGTAGCGCTCCTCCGTGCAAGGAGGAACATTGGCACAATCTGTGGGAGATTAGCAGCCAAACCCAACAAGTGCATGTTCTGGCTAGTTAGCATGAGAAGGGGCTAAGTCCACAGAGTTGTATTGCCAATAGCCAGATACTCAGCCCATAGAAATGCAATTCATAGAGAGGGCTCTGTGTGATGTCATTTCCCCTCCTCTCCTGGGGAGGAAGCAGCATATAGTACTTCCTGTTCTTCTCTCTCCTCCTTTGACCAGTGTTGGACGCAGGCATGCCTCTGCTTTCCCCATCTTTAGGCACAGGCCTGAAGCTGGTTATATTGTAAATATAAGTATCTTGCCTGCATAGTTGTTACTGCCATGTTGCTGTGAACCAATCCATGATTATAAAGTAAGTAAATATATTTTTAAACTTACTTCCTAAATTATTCCCTGATTCTTTATTAAACAGGGTAAGAAGGGGAAAGCAAGCTTACTTCAGAGTTGGACTTGCTCCAAATAAGGTTTTATAGCTCAATTCCCTATGCTTTTAGTTTTGATGCCAAGTATGAGATTTGGAAACTCTGTTCAACCCACATGCATGGGTGTCTGGAGGGATACATTGTAATCAATATATCCTCTCCAGCCCATTGAAACCCATTCCACAAAATCAAAGTCCACCCCCTGCAGAGAGGGGTGCCCGCTGTGTTTGGCTGAGGCATGGGGTGGGCTTGTTGTTGTTGTTTAGTCGTTTAGTTGTGTCCGACTCTTCGTGACCCCATGGACCAGAGCACGCCAGGCACTCCTGTCTTCCACTGCCTCCCACAGTTTGGTCAAACTTATGCTGGTAGCTTCGACAACACTATCCAACCGTCTCGTCTTCTGTCGTCCCCTTCTCCTTGTTCCCTCCATCTTTCCCAACATCAGGGTCTTTTCCAGGGAGTCTTCTCTTCTCATGAGGTGGCCAAAGTATTGGAGCCTCAGCTTCACGATCTGTCCTTCCACTGAGCACTCAGGGCTGATTTCCTTAAGAATGGATAAGTTTGATCTTCTTGCAGTCCATGGGACTCTCAAGAGTCTCCTCCAACACCATAACTCAAAAGCATCAATTCTTCGGCAATCAGCCTTCTTTATGGTCCAGCTCTCACTTCCATACATCACTACTGGGAAAACTATAGCTTTAACTATACGGACCTTTGTTGGCAAGGTGATGTCTCTGCTTTTTAAGATGCTGTCTAGGTTTGTCATTGCTTTTCTCCCAAGAAGCAGGCATCTTTTAATTTTGTGGCTGCTGTCACCAACTGCAGTGATCATGGAGCCCAAGAAAGTGAAATCTCTCAATGCCTCCATTTCTTCCCCTTCTATTTGCCAGGAGGTGATGGGACCAGTGGCCATGATCTTCGTTTTTTTGATGTTGAGCTTCAGACCATATTTTACACTCTCCTCTTTCACCCTCATTAAAAGGTTATTGAATTCCTCCTCACTTTCTGCCATCAAAGTTGTGTCATCTGCATATCTGAGGTTGTTGATATTTCTTCCGGCAATCTTAATTCCGGCTAGGGATTCATCCAGCGCAGCCTTTCACATGATGAATTCTGCATATGAGTTAAATAAGCAGGGAGACAATATACAGCCTTGTCGTACGCCTTTCCCAATTTTGAACCAATCAGTTGTTTCATATCCAGTTCTAACTGTAGCTTCTTGTTCCACATAGAGATTTCTCAGGAGACAGATGAGGTGATCAGGCACTCCCATTTCTTCAAAAACTTGCCATAGTTTGCTGTGGTTGACACAGTCAAAGGCTTTTGCATAGTCAATGAAGCAGAAGTAGATGTCTTTCTGGAACTCTCTAGCTTTCTCCATAATCCAGCACATGTTTGCAATTTGGTCTCTGGTTCCTCTGCCTCTTCTAAATCCAGCTTGCACTTCTGGGAGTTCTCGGTCCACATACTGCTTGAGCCTTCCTTGTAGAATTTTAAGCATAACCTTGCTAGCATGTGAAATGAGTGCAATTGTGCGGTAGTTGGAGCATTCTTTGGCACTGCCCTTCTTTGGGATTGGGATGTAGACTGATCTTCTCCAATCCTCTGGCCACTGCTGAGTTTTCCAAACCTGCTGGCATATTGAGTGTAGCATCTTAACAGCATCATCTTTTAAAATTTTGAATAGTTCAGCTGGAATACCATCACTTCCACTGGCCTTGTTATTAGCAGTGCTTTCTAAGGCCCATTTGATTTCACTCTCCAAGATGTCTGGCTCAAGGTCAGCAACCACACTACCTGGGGTGTACGAGACATCCATATCTTTCTGGTATAATTCCTCTGTGTATTCTTGCCACCTCTTCTTGATGTCTTCTGTTTCTGTTAGGTCCTTACCACTTTTGTCCTTTATTATAGTAATCTTTGTATGAAATGTTCCTTTCATATCTCCAATTTTCTTGAACAGATCTCTGGTTCTTCCCATTCTGTTGTTTTCCTCTATTTCTTTGCATTGCTCGTTTAAGAAGGCCTTCTTGTCTCTCCTTGCTATTTTTTGGAAATCTGCATTCAATTTCCTGTATCTTTCACTATCTCCCTCGCATTTTGCTTGCCTTCTCTTCCCCTCTGTTTGTAAGGCCTTGTTGGACAGCCACTTTGCTTTCTTGCATTTCCTTTTCATTGGGATGGTTTTCGTTGCTGCCTCCTGTATAATGTTGCGAGCCTCTATCCATAGTTCTTCAGGCACTCTGTCCACTAAATCTTAATCCTTAAGCCTGTTCCTCACTTCCACTGTGTATTCATAAGGGATTTGATTTAGATTGTATCTTACCGGCCCAGTGGTTTTCCCTACTTTCTTCAGTTTAAGCTTGAATTTTGCTATAAGAAGCTGATGATCTGAGCCATAGACAGCTCCAGGTCTTGTTTTTGCTGACTGTATAGAGCTTCTCCATCTTTGGCTGCAGAGAATATAATCAATCTGATTTCAATGCTGCCCATCTGGTGATGTCCATGTGTAGAGTCGTCTCTTGTGGTGTTGGAAAAGCGTGTTTGTGATGACCAGCTTGTTCTCTTGACAGAACTCTATTAGCCTTTGCCCTGCTTCGTTTTGATCTCCAAGGCCAAACTTGCCAGTTGTTCCTTTTATCTCTTGATTCCCTACTTTAGATTCCAATCCCCTATAATGAGAAGAACATCCTTATTTGGTGTCATTTCTAGAAGGTGTTGTAAGTCTTCATAGAATTGGTCAATTTCAGTTTCAGAAGTAAAAAAAGTGGATTCATTGCACTAGGGCAGGGATGTCAAACTCCCAAGAGACTGCAATCTACTTACAGAATAAAAAACTGGCAGTGATCTACCCCTTTTGGAGGGGTTCAGGTCAAAGTTGTTGAGCTTTGTTTTAGGGAGGAAAGCCAAACTTGTTGACTTTAGGGGGGAAAGGTAAAAGTCACTTACCAAAAGAACACTCAGGATCATGACGAAAACTGTCTTCCGTACTAGCGATTGTGCACAAATGGAGGACGGGGCAAGGGGGCAGGACCGGATGCTCTTTTGCCCCCACAAAGGAAAAAGAGCCCAATTTGACATCCCTGCACGAGGGGAAGTGTTGTTTAATCCACTTAAATACATAGACCTTACGTTCCACTTTGTGCTGGAATCACACATAAAATACTGACCATCTGGAAGAACCCTAGCTCTCCTGTTTGTCAGTCCCAGTGGTGTTCCAATTCTGTCTGGTGTTTCCATTTAACACTGTTGCTTTTAAGTAGAACATACCCAAGTTCAAAAGTTCTCCAAATACAGTGGTACCTCGGGTTACATACACTTCAGGTTACATATGCTTCAGGTTACAGACTCCGCTAACCCAGAAATAGTACCTCAGGTTATGAACTTTGCTTCAGGATGAGAACAGAAATTGTCCAGTGGTGGCGCAGCGGCAGCGGGAGGCCCCATTAGCTAAAGTGGTGCTTCAGGTTAAAAACATTTTCAGGTTAAGAACGGACCTCCAGAACGAATTAAGTTCTTAACCTGAGGTACCACTGTAGTTTGTGGTGTGTGCTGAAGGACCACCCTTGAATGCTGGCAATATAAGTTTTGTGACGCTTAACAGGCAGGCCTGTCCCATGCTTGTTCCCACTATATTCTGCCCAATGTTCCAAATAACTATTGTGATTAATAGTCATCAACGGCCCTTGGGGTCATAGAAGCATAGAGTTGGAAGGGAGCCTGAGGATCATCTAGTCCAACCCCTGCAATGCAGGAATATGCAGCTGTCCCATATCTGCCATCCATCAATTGGTCTAATCCTCAATTATTACTTTTTAATGTCCCCTCAAAGCTATTGACTATCAGAACTTTGCGAAGGAGTGTTTTCCTCTATTGGTTCTGAATCTACTGCCAGTTAATTGCACTAGGTGAATCCGAGCTCTATTACTGGGGGCCTCAGTACATGTCTGGACTCCAGTCAGAATGGGATTCTCAACTAAGAAGCTCATAATTGTGGAAAGAGGGGAAATGGAGTTTTCCCAGTGCAGCACAAAACACTGAAGTCAAAAGCCTGCTAAGGAAAACATGGATCTTTTCCTCATGGGACAGCAAGTATTTTACATGTGCGTTGTGCGATGCCACCAATCAGCTTTCTTGCTAACACTCTTGTTGTTGTTTAATTCTCAAAGCTTTATTTGTTGTTGCACATTTTGGCCAATAGGAATAACGTAGCATTGATTAAAATCACATTTTACTGAAGGTAAATCAAGTGAGTTATGTCGTTGACGGCAAAGCATAATCTTCCAAGTACTGCTTTTCTAAGTAGATAGGGCCTCTGCGTATGTGTGTCTTCTTCTTAAGGGAAGATGGCAGCCAGCAGTGCTCCACCAGCTGTCACTGCAGCTGTGGTAGCAGTGGACAGCCCAGCAGCACCTAGAAGAGGATTAAGGCACACAATTATTGTGATGAAGATCTCAAGGTGCGGAGACTGGCTCTGCCAATCATGTGGTTCTTGTCCTGAGAGCAGCAGACATACCGACTGACTGAAGCGCGGCAACAGCGCTCCCAGCTGCTACTCCTCCACCATTGGCGATGGCCGCTGCCGACATCATTTTTGCAGCCAGAGAGCCAGCTGCAATTCCAGCTCCAGTGAAGCCTGCTGCTCCCAGTGCTACTGGGACAACAATCGTGGCCACTGCTGCAAGAACACAGAATAAGGTATATGTTACATGATAGAAGTAGGGGAACTGACTATGATAAATCATCATCATCATCAAACCTTTTATTGACATCACATACAAACATCCAAAACAAATCAATACAGAATTACCACTTCCCCAGTGGCACAAAACATTTGCTAAAAGAAAGGAGGCAGAGCAGACTATCATCACATCTCTAGGTCTCCAGGGAGATCAGACGTCTGCAGTGTATTTCAATGACAAAAAACCAAATAGCTATATTTAGCCACTAACTTGGTGAGCTCCTGATCATTCCCCAGTAAAATAAAATGTATGACCTCCAACTCTGGTTTCCATTTGGGGATAGAGAGTTGCTCTAGAAATTGCTGAAGGAGATCAGCATATAGTTTATAATGAAGAACCATGTGTGGAAGGGTTTCCACCAGGTGGTCTTCACATGGGCAAGTTCTTTCTCCTTCCACCCTGCCTCAGAACCTTCCCCTGCCTGAGGTTTGATGGATTTGAATTAAACCTGGCCAGCGAAAATGCCCTTTTTCTTGAGGGTTAAGCAGAAATTCAAGGTAATTGTGGTTAGTTTCATGTGCCCAAGAAAGTTGAAAATAAAGAGGGAAACATGTTTCCTCTGCTGCTGCTGCTAGTTCTTGGCGTTCAATATCCCACAACCTAGTTTTTAATATAGCCTTGGCAGATGGCTATATTAAATCGATCGCAAAAGTTCCACTGACAGCCTGAGTCGCAGTACCTTCTTGTTAAACTGTTGTAGCCCTGGGGAAAGAAAGGGATCTAACAAAACGTCGCTGAGGAGAGGATCTTTATCTGATGTAAGGCAGATGTTTAACCAGGATAGAAGAAATCTTGCCCAGGCGACAGCCTCTACCTTGTGTTGACCTCCCTCTAGACACAAGGCTCCATAAGGTGCACAGCGTGGGACTACTATGATATGTAGATATATAGGGCTTCTTATAAAAGCCCTGTACAATGGAACCAAACTGCAGGTCCGATGCAGTCGACAGGGACAGCTATCGAACAGCATCTAGATGACTAGGGGGGGGTGAGACAGGGTTGTATTTTGGCCCCCACATTGTTTTGTCTATTCTTAAATGACCTAGAAGAGAACTTAATGGACCCAGATGGACACATTCCAAAAATAGGAATGAGAAGGACCCCTTTGTTGTTGTATGCTGATGATGCAGCCATCATCTCGCATTCCAGACAGGGTTTGAATTATCTGTTGAGGAAATTTTCTGATTACTGTTCTGGAAATGGTTTATCCATTAATTATGAAAAATCTAAAATTTTAGTCTTCGAAAGAAGATTCTCCCAGTCTAAATGGGTGCTGGATGGCCATAACCTTGAACAGGTAAAATACTTCAGTTACCTAGGGCTCACATTCCATCATACAGGATCTTGGAAGCACCATTGGCAAACCTCCCTTCAAAAGGCGGAGATTACAAAGCTAGCCATACATAGATTCTTCTTCACAAAGGGCGGCAAATATGTTCCAGCAGCCTTAAGGGTTTTCAACGCAAAGCCTGTTTCCCAACTCCTGTATGCAGCAAATGTCTGGCATAATGGGGACCTGCCAAAGCTAGATGGCTTTCAGGCAAAATTTATACGATCTCTGCCGCAGGTACCTAACTGCGTCCCCAACTCCGTACTTCTGTTGGAAGCTGGTGAATGCCCAATTTCAGCTAGAGCGTGGTGGGCTGCCCTAAAACATTGGCTCAGGATTTCAGTGTTTAATCTAGGGAAGGGTCTGTACCAACATTTGACCAATGAGGAATTTGTCAGCAAATGGCAGAAAACCATGGCTAAAAAAGCCACCTCTATTGGTCTGTCTCCCCCCCAACTGTATTACCTGGGTTATGAAGGCGCCCAAAAGGTTTTAAAGCAAAGATTATGGGACAATGCACACAGTGACTTGCGATCTCGATCACACGCAGTATGTAGTCCGCTGGCAGCAGGAGTTCAATATGGGTATGTCTTTGAGTTAACATCTTACATCAAAAACCTGACAGTACCTAACTATCAAAGGCTTTTCACCAAAGCCAGACTAAATGTCTTCCCCTCTGCAGTGCTGGATGGTTGGTTGAGAGGAGTTCCCTACCAGGACAGACTTTGCTCGTGTGCTCAAGACATCGATTCCATAAATCATATTTTCTTGCATTGTGTGAAGTATGAGCAGGCCAGGGCTGAACTGATACTACCCTTGCTGGTGCCTTTCCTGGGAAAATCAGAGGCTCACTATGTCAGGTTACTACTGGAAGACCGGACAAAAGCTAGAACGTTGGCAGTGGCAAAGTTTTTATCGGTGGTTGCAAGAACAAATGAGCCCTATATTCTAAACAAAATGCTTGATTAACCTGGAGGTAGGCTGTATGAACTGTGTATTTATTTGTAATGTTTTGTTGGGTCTCTGGACCGTAATAAAGATTGTTGATGATGATGATATGTGCTTAATGCAGAAAGGGCATCCAAATTTTGTTAAATTTAATGCTGTTGGCTATCCCTTCAGTTATTCTGTTTTGATATGCCAGGTGTTCTGTCAAAGCCATTTCACAGCTCTCATCAAGCCAGACTTTCATTGTGAACTCCACCATTTCCAATGACTTGCAAGTTTCATTCGTGCTGCTGCAAGCAAAATAATCACCAAAATTTGCCCAACTGGAAATCCAGATTACTTACCCAAGCCGGCTGCACCTCCCAAAGCTGCAATTACTGAAAGAGAGACTTGTTTTAATAAGATATAATGGATCTCAAGTACATATACAGTCATACCTCGGGTTACGAACTCTGCGGGTTGCGCGTTTTCGGGTTGCAGACCGCACAGAACCCGGAAGTACCAGAACGGGTTACTTCCAGGTTTCGGTGCTCGCTCATGTGCAGAAGCACAAAATGATGTCACACGCGTGCGCAGAAACGCCGGATTGCATCGTGCGCAGACGCGGCGCTTCAGGCTACGAACACTGCAGGTTGTGAACGTGCCTCCCGCATGGATCACATTCGCAACCAGAGGTGTGACTGTAAAATGCAAAAAAAATCAGGTGAGCTACAACTATGATGGGCATATTTGTCAGTTTCAGTTCCTTTCTGTTCCTCATTTTTCAATCTCAGGTTCAGTTCACATTTCCATATCACCTTGATTTAAAAGCAAATACAAACAAATTCTCATGAAAATTTACCAACATTTCAATGCTGATTTCTCCTAATATATACATTTTTATGCAATATTCCTTAGTGCACACATTTTTTTTTTTGCAAAGCAATTTCTCTAAAACAATACATTTTTAAAAATGTTATTTTTACTAATATACACATTTTTAAGGACAGTGTGTGCCTTTTTGTAAACATTGCTTGGCTGAAGAACTGCACTGCAAAATTCAGAGAAGTGCACATCTCAAAGGGTTGTTGTTTTGGTTCTTGTACTGCTTCTGAAAGTGCAAATTAGGGAGGTTCACCTCCAATTTGAAAGGAAATAAGTTTCTCCCCCATCCCTACCTTGGCAGAGGGAAGTGGAAGCTATCAATTGGCACTGTGCCCAGAAATGAACTGCTATTCAGTGCAAATCTTTTAATACTGGGCAAGATATATTTCAAACTGGCATTTTCCAACATAATGGCACAGTTGCATTTCTTAACCAGCTTCTGTTTCCGTGCTGTCTTCAAAAGCTGCCCAAGATGTGGTCTGTTACATTAATCTAAGATGTTACAAGAGCATGCAACTGCCCATGCAGAACTAGAAGAAAAGTATTTCAGATTTGTTCAATTCTTTCATCTAGTCTTGGTCACTATGTATACAGTTGTACAAGATTTTGAAATACAGTGGTACCTCGGGTTACATACGCTTCAGACTTCGCTAACCCAGAAATAGTACCTCAGGTTAAGAACTTTGCTTCAGGATGAGAACAGAAATTGTGCTCTGGCGGCACAGCAGCAGCAGGAGGCCCCATTACCTAAAGTGGTGCTTCAGGTTAAGAACAGTTTCAGGTTAAGAACGGACCTCTGGAACGAATTAAGTACTTAACCTGAGGTACCACTGTACTTGCATTCATACCCACAAGAGACCTCCAGTTTCAGGAACGGGGAAGTTCTAATTGAAGCATGGGGCAACACACACATTTAACCAAGTACTGCCTACTAGTGTGCATGAACATTAAGATAGATTTTGGAAACATAAAATTAAAAGCACTCCTATGCGGATGAAGGCACACAAATACATTCACAGAAACAGTGTCTGTGTACTGGGATGGAGGTGGCGCTGTGTTCTAAACCACTGAGACTCTTGGGCTTGCCGGCGGTTCAAATCCCCGCGATGGGGTGAGCTCCCATTGCTCTGTCCCAGCTTCTGCCAATCTAGCAGTTTGAAAGCATGCCAGTGCAAGTATGAAGAAGAACCTACAGGGGATGGGGGTAGGCCAAGGCTTTGAAAACGGTATAAGTGCAATTTATTCAGAACAAAAGGCTAAACTAATTGTAAATAATGTGGTGACGGAAGAATTTAAGATAGAAAAAGGGACACGACAAGGTTGCCCAATTTCCCCATTGCTTTTTATATCGGTCCTGGAGGTTTTGCTGAATATGATTAGAAGGGACCAGTTGGTTAAAGGTATACAAGTCGGAGCCAAACAGTACAAATTGAGAGCATTTGCAGATGACTTAGTATTGACGTTACAGGAGCCAGAATCTAGTACCAAAAGGGTTTTAGAACTGATTCAAGAATTTGGTCAGGTTGCAGGATTTAAACTGAATAAGTTAAAAACCAAGGTTTTAGAGAAAAACTTAACACCGATTGTGAGAGAGAGGTTTCAGAATGAGACAGGTTTAACAGTGGTTAAGAAAGTGAAATACCTGGGGATTAACATGACAGCAAAGAATGGGAATCTATTTAAAGACAACTATGAAAAATGCTGGGCTGAAGTGAAAAAAGATTTAGAAATTTGGTCAAATTTGAAGCTTTCACTGCTGGGTCGTATTGCTGCGATAAAAATGAATGTATTGCCTAGAATGTTGTTTTTGTTTCAAACATTGCAAATTGTGGACAAAATGGATTGCTTCAAGAAGTGGCAGAGAGACATTTCTAGATTTGTCTGGCAGGGCAAGAAGCCCAGAATAAAATTTAAGATATTAACTGATGCAAAGGAAAGGGGTGGATTTGCCCTGCCAGACTTTAAACTTTACTATGAATCAGCAGCCTTTTGCTGGTTGAAAGAATGGCTGCTTCTTGAAAACACTGACATTTTGGATCTAGAAGGTTTTAACAATGTATTTGGATGGCATGCATATCTGTGGTATGATAAGGTCAAAGCACATAAAGCATTTAAAAACCATATTGTCAGGAAAGCATTGTTTAATGTTTGGATAAGATACAAGGACTTATTGGAAAATAAAACCCCAAGGTGGCTGTCACCGATGGAAGCGAAAGCTCTGAAAAAGCTCAATATGGAGGTCAAATGGCCGAAATATTGGGAAATTTTGGAACAAGATGGAGATAGACTGAAATTGCAGAGTTTTGAGAAATTAAAAACAAAGTGCGAGACTGGCTTCATTATTATCAGATAATGGAGGCATACAATTTGGACAAGAAAATTGGTTTCCAGGTGGAAAAATCAAAATTAGAAACAGAACTGTTAGAACCCAAAACTAAGATTTTGTCAAAGATGTATAACTTGCTGTTGAAATGGAATACTCAGGATGAAACGGTGAAATCTGCTATGATTAAATGGGCACAAGATGTTGGACATAACATAATGATGGCTGACTGGGAACAGTTATGGACCACAGGTATGAAGTTTACGGCATGCAATGCCTTAAGAGAGAATATTATGAAAATGATATACAGGTGGTACATGACCCCAGTCAAGCTTGCAAAAATCTATCATTTGCCCGATAATAAATGCTGGAAATGTAAAGAAACTGAAGGTACATTCTTTCACCTTTGGTGGACGTGCCCAAGGATTAAGGCTTTCTGGGAGATGATTTATAACGAATTGAAAAAGGTATTTAAATATACCTTCTTGAAGAAACCAGAGGCCTTTCTCCTAGGCATAGTCGGCCAATTGGTGCCAAAGAAGGATAGAACTTTTTTTATGTATGCCACAACAGCAGCAAGGATACTCATTGCAAAGTATTGGAAGACACAAGATCTACCCACTCTGGAAGAATGGCAGATGAAGGTGATGGACTATATGGAACTGGCGGAAATGACTGGCAGAATCCGAGACCAGGGAGAAGAGTCGGTGGAAGAAGATTGGAAGAAATTCAAAGACTATCTACAGAAATATTGCAAAATCAATGAATGTTAGAATGATGTTGGATAGAAATTAAGTGGTTTTCAGCTGTAATACTATAAGGGAATATGAAAAATGGATTATGAATAGGTAAAAATTTAACGTTACAATATTTTAAGATTAAAGACTAGGATAAACAAAGAGGGTAAAGATTTGCTGAGCCAACAAACCGAACTGGAATACAAAAAAGGGAGGCGTGAGGAGGTCCGGGAAATAAGTTAATGAAAAATAAGTAATGGAAAGATTGAGTTGTTTTTAACCATTTTTATTTTGTATTTTCTTCTTTTTTTATTTTTATTTTGTAACATTTTGAAAATCTCAATAAATATCTTATAAAAAAAAAATAGATACCACTGTGGCGGGAAGGTAAATTGCGTTTCCGTGCACTCTTGCTTCCGTCACAGTGTTTGCACCAGAAGTGGTTTAGTCATGCTGGCCACATGATCCAGAATGCTGTCTGTGGAGAAATGTCAGCTACCTCGGCCTGAAAGTGAGATGAGCGCTGCAACCCCATAGTCACCTTTGACTGGTAAAGGTCCAGGGGTCCTTTACCTTTTCCCCTTACCTGTGTACACATTAATGCCATAGTGTCAACAGATCCTAACAGTGAAGCATGCTTCCAATTTTAATCTGCGCTGAGTGGGGGTGGAGGTGAGGAGAGTTTGTGTCACTGACTGAGAGTTTGAGACAACTGCTTTGGACTATACGGTTACAGTTACCCAATCCCCAAGAAAGTAAACAGGCTCTCTTACCTGGCTCAACCATGCTGGCTTCCTAAAGACCTGTATAGAGATGCCAGAAACTCTTGTTAGGATAATTCAGTGTACAATTGTGTGATAAACTCTGGAACTCAATCCCACAGGAGGCAGTGACGACCACCAATTTTGGGTGGCTTTAAAAGAGGACTGGACAAATTCATGGAGGACATGGCTATCAGTGGCTACTAGCCATAATGGCTGTGCTCTGCCTCCAGTTCAGAGACTGCAGTGCTTCTGAATACCAGTTGCTGGAAACCACTGGAGTTGCGATTGAGGGTTTTCCAGATGCATCTGAATGGCCATTGTGAAAACAGGATTCTAGACTAGATGGACCATTGGCTTGATCCAGCAAGATCTTATGTTCTTAACTAACAACCACTCAGACTCCCACTGCGTCCAGAACCCACTCGCACATTATGCCACTGCACTGTTAAACTGATTTGCTTAAAACAATTCCCAAGGTGGGAAACTGCTGTGTTAATTCTGTTTCACAGCAAAAGCAACCAAGAGTCTCATGGTAACATAAAGACTAGCAAATTATATCCTGCATAAGCTTCCATGAGTTAAAAAAGGACTCTGGTTCATGGGTGTAGCGGGGGGAGCAGCTCCCCTCCAATCAAGTAAAACAATATACTGTAAATTCTTAACTGACCAATCACGTCGGTTCTGCCCCCCAACAAAAGTCCTGACCCCCCCCAACCAAATCCTGGCCCCCCCACAAAGATCCTGGCTACGCCCATGTGCTGGTTGACAGTATTATACCACTTTAAATGGTCCTCATGGCTTCCCTCAAAGAATACTGGGAACTATAGTTTGTTGAAGGTGCTGAGAGTTGTTAGGAGATCTCTGTTCCTGTTTGAGAGCAACAAGTATCAAAGTGGTTTAACAATCACTCCCTAAATAGTTACAGTGACAACTATCATCCTCTGCTGGTCTCTGTTTCAGGAAGTTTTTACTGTGTGACATTTTATTGTTTTTATATTTTGCTGGGAGCAGCCCAGAGTGGCTGGGTATTTATACCCAGAAGGGTGGGGTATTATTATCATTTCCCTTTACACAATTACCAACTGCCTGGGGTTTTTTCGCATTTTGTTTCCCTCTTGACCTCTCCATACCCTCTGCCTCCCAAGCATTTGTGTGTACATCACTTGGCCAATTTAGGATAATTCTGTGCATCTGATAAAGTGGTTTAGCAATCAATCCCTCTTCCCAGGGAACTTAGAAAACGGTGTCCCCTCAAGGAATCCTGGGAATTGTAGTTTGTCAGTTTGTAGTTTGGCATGCAGATAAACAAAGTGCTGGGAAGAGGGTTCCTCACTCTCATCTGCCTGACAGGAAAATACCGTATTTTTCGTCCTATAGGGCCCATAGGACGCACCTCGTTTTTTTGGGGGGGGAAATGAATAAAAAAAAATTATTTCCCCCCCAGCCGCGGCTGCCGCCCCAAGCCTCGCGCGGACCTCCCGCCGGGCTTTCAAGACTTGCGGATAGCTTCCTGAAGCCTGGAGAGCGAGAGGGGTCGGTGCGCACCGATGCCTCTTCGCTCTCCAGGCTTCAGCGAAAGCCTGCATTCGCCCCATAGGACGCACACACATTTCCCCTTCATTTTTGAAGGGGAAAAAGTGCGTCCTATGGGGCGAAAAATACGGTATTCAGAGACATTTCTGCAGGCCCGGCTGCTGCTAAAAGGCATAGAAGAGCCAGTAAGAAGGGCACTGGTGGAAAAAGTTAATTGGATAAAAAGTTAGTTGGGGGTGAGGGTGGGGTGGGTAGCCACGTTTTTTGCTGCGGGTGAAGCCTCCAGAGGGGTGTCATTTTTATTTTATTTTTATAATATTTTTTATTAATTTTCAATCATAATCCAATAATACCCTAATTATAACAATACCAATTTATAACACAATTAATAATATCAATCATTAGGATACCAAATTATATAATTTAGATAAGGTGGCCCCCAGGTGCTGGAATTGATGATTTGATGATTTTCTTTATTTTTGTGTTCCAAATTTCAATTACATTCCGGTCATAATAATAATAATCCCTATCCCGAGGGGCGTCATTGAGGCTCCCAGCCTGCAGGGCTTCAGGGATTAGCTTGCGTGCCCAGCCTTCCTGTTCGTAAGAGAGCAATCCTGATTCACGTTTCCATGCATGTATATTGTTCTTTGCACTCTTATTCCCCACCCACCCCCATCCTCAGTCAGTTTGGCTCTGGCCTTTAATATATAAGAACAATTTATTTATCTCACAGCTAACCTGCAGCAAAAACATTATAATGCTCTAAATAGATATAAATTATATCCCCTAAAACTGTAAAAAAAATGCATAATTTTTATTACTTGTCGATAAAAGTTATTTTGGATATTCTGTTGTGTAAATTATGCTGGGGGGAATTTTTTTTAAAAGCAAAACTTTGTATTCAAATAGTATTTTGTCTACTTGTTACGAACAAATGTGTTGAGATGTGTTTGTGTATGCAAATGCCTATGGCGTGTTTGTGGGTGGGTGTGCCAAACTGTGTCTTTGACCTCAGTGAAATAAAGCATAGTTTCACCCCTGAATACTGTACTGTGCTTTTAATATAACCAAATGTAAATTTAATATGTGCAAACTTATATGATTAAAAATTCATAGTACCAGGAAAACAACCAACAGCCACCAGGTTATACTCAGGTGAAGTAAAGAACGTCCTCACAGCCAAAGAGTTAATCTTTAGAATTTCCTACCTAACATTTCCATATGACTTTAATCCAGAAATTTAACAAGCGGCTGCCAATTATAAGAGGAGTCGGCTTGTTTCAATCTACTGTATCCTATATATGTTGCATTAAGCTAACAAATTGCTAACGATATGAGCAATTGTATAAAGTTACCTCTCACCAGATTTTCTTTTCTTAAACGAAGGTATTGTTGCTTTTAAAAAGGCATTTGGTATTTGTGTTGAAAACAACCTATTAACAATACTTTAACAGTTAGAGCTTTCATTTTAAAAACATCCTTAATGTTGTCTAACAGCAAAACCAAGGGGGCAAGGGAAGCTCACACCCTGCTTTTTCCTTGATTCCTTTTATGATACTTTGCCAAAAACACCACGTATCTTTACCTCCCCACCAAATACAGTGGTGCCCCGCAAGATGAATGCCTCGCAAGACGGAAAACCCGCTAGACGAAAGGGTTTTCCGTTTTCAATGCGCTTCGCAGGACGAATTTCCCTATGGGCTTGCTTCGCAAGACGAAAATGTCTTCCGAGTCTTTAGATTTTTTTTTTTTTGCTTTCCCCCCCTTTTTCTAAGCCGCTAAGCCTTTAATAGCCTTTTAGCAGCTAATCCGCTAAGCCGCTAAGCCTTTAATAGCCGCTAAACCACTAATAGCGCTAATCCGCGAAGCCGCTAATAGGGTTGCTTCGCAAGACAAAAAAACCGCTAGACGAAGATACTCGTGGAACGGATTAATTTCGTCTTGCGAGGCACCACTGTAAGCTTAAAAGCTACTCAATTCTTGGAAAGTATACATTCTGAGAAGTGATACTTGGTCTTGCGTATTAAGAAATATTTCTACGAAATAGAAACATCTCAATATTCAGCTGCTGGGGAAGGAACTGATGGAGTCACCAACTTCCCTTGCTTACCCTTTGGGTAATCCTCCGAGAAGTTCCTACTCACCCACTCCGCTTCTTTCGTATCTGCAGCCACTGCCACCTCTTGTTTATATCCTTCTCTGTAGTGGGGAGAGGCTAGTGACTGACAGCATGCTCCACCAATGTAAACAGAATCTGGACTCTAGTTCCATGCTGCAGCCCTGCTCCAGTTATTAAGTAACGTCCAGGGACCATTCCACAAACCTTTAGGTTTCTATTTCCCAGCCCTCTGAGAAGAAGGAGGGAAACGAAAGTGATACACAAATATTTGAGCAAGATTGGATGACAGTCTCTAGAACACAAGACTCTTAATCTCAATGTTGTGGGTTCGAGCCGTTGTTGTTGTTTAGTCGTTTAGTTGTGTCCGACTCTTCATGAACCCCATGGACCAGAGCACGCCAGGCACTCCTGTCTTCCACTGCCTCCCGCAGTTTGGTCAAACTCATGCTGGTAGCTTTGAGAACATTGTCCAACCATCTCGTCCTCTGTCGTCCCCTTCTCCTTGTGCCCTCCATCTTTCCCAACATCAGGGTCTTTTCCAGGGAGTCTTCTCTTCTCATGAGGTGGCCAAAGTATTGGAGCCTCAGCTTCAGGATCTGTCCTTCCAGTGAGCACTCAGGGCTGATTTCCTTCAGAATGGATAAGTTTGATCTTCTTGCAGTCCATGGGACTCTCAAGAGTCTCCTCCAGCACCATAATTCAAAAGCATCAATTCTTTGGCGATCAGCCTTCTTTATGGTCCAGCTCTCACTTCCATACATCACTACTGGGAAAACCATAGCTTTAACTATACGGGCCTTTTTTTTTTTTTTTAAATAATATTTATTACTTTTCCAACAATTTAAACACTACAAAAACAATACAATACAATACAATACAAAAACACTACATAACACTAACACATTAAACTAACAAAACAAAGCCAAAACAGTTTAAAACACATCAAACAGTTTCAATATCTTATCTTTCATTCACTTATTTCCATGACCTCCTTACACCTCCCTTTTTGTATTCCACTTCTGTTAATTATTTCAGCAATTCCTTTCCATCTTCCTCTGTTTTCTATCCTATAATTATCTTAACACATTCTAACCTTATTTTTTCCTTTAATACTCTATTAATCTATTTATACTTAATTCCTTATAACATTTCTACTAAAGCCATATAACTTCATTCCAACATTTTTCTAACATTCATTAATTTTACAGTATTTCTGTAAATAGTCTTTAAACTGTTTCCAGTCTTCTTCCACCAACTCTTCTCCCTGGTCTCGGATTCTGCCAGTCATTTCCGCCAGTTCCATATAGTCCATCAACTTCATCTGCCATTCTTCCCGGGTGGGTAAATCTTGTGGCTTCCAATACTTCGCGATGAGTATTCTTGCTGCTGTTGTTGCATACATTAAAAAAGTTCTATCCTTCTTTGGCACCAATTGGCCGACCATGCCCAGGAGAAAGGCCTCTGGTTTCTTCAGGAAGGTATATTTAAATACCTTTTTCATTTCATTATAAATCATCTCCCAGAATGTCTTAATCCTTGGGCATGTCCACCAAAGGTGAAAGAATGTACCTTCAGTCTCATTACATTTCCAACATTTATTGTCAGGCAGATTGTAAATTTTTGCAAGCTTGACTGGTGTCATGTACCACCTATAAATCATTTTCATTAAATTTTCTCTTAGGGCATTACATGCCGTAAATTTCATACCTGTGGTCCATAACTGTTCCCAGTCAGCCATCATTATATTATGTCCAACATCTTGTGCCCATTTAATCATAGCTGATTTCACCATTTCATCCTGAGTGTTCCATTTCAACAGCAAGTTATACATTCTTGACAAATTCTTGATTTTTGGATCTAACAATTCTGTTTCCAATTTTGATTTTTCCACCTGGAAACCAACTTTTTTGTCCAAATTGTATGCCTCCATTATTTGGTAATAATGGAGCCAATCTCGCACTTTGTTTTTCAATTTTTCAAAACTCTGCAATTTTATTCTGTCTCCATCTTGCTCCAGAATTTCCCAATATTTCAGCCATTTGGCCTCCATATTGAGTTTTTTCTGTGCCTTCGCTTCCATTGGTGACAACCATCTTGGGGTTTTCTTTTCTAACAAATCCTTATATCTTATCCAAACATTAAACAATGCTTTTCTAACAATATGGTTTTTAAATGCTTTATGTGCTTTTACCTTATCGTACCACAAATATGCATGCCAGCCAAATGCATTATTGAAACCTTCTAGATCCAACACGTCAGTATTTTCAAGAAGCAGCCATTCTCTCAGCCAGCAAAAAGCAGCTGATTCATAGTAAAGTTTAAGATCTGGCAGGGCAAATCCACCTCTTTCTTTGGCATCAGTTAATATCTTAAATTTTATTCGAGGCTTCTTGCCCTGCCAAACAAATCTGGAAATATCTTTCTGCCACTTCTTGAAACAATCCATCTTATCCAAAATTTGCAATGTTTGAAACAGAAACAACATCCTTGGCAACACATTCATTTTTATCACAGCAATTTGGCCTAACAATGATAACTTCAAATTTGTCCATATTTCTAAATCCTTTTTAACTTCAATCCAACATTTTTCATAATTATCCTTAAATAAATTCACATTTTTGACAGTCATGCTAACCCCTAAATATTTCACTTTCTTAACCAATGTTAGTCCTGTCTCCTCCTGAAACTTCTCTTTCTCATTCACAGTTAGGTTTTTCTCTAAAACCTTAGTTTTCATCTTGTTCAATTTAAAACCTGCTACCTGTCCGAATTCTTGAATCAGTTCCAATACCCATTTAGTACTAGATTCTGGCTCCTGTAAAGTCAATACTAAGTCATCAGCAAATGCTTTCAGTTTGTACTGTTTAGCTCCCACTTGTATACCTTTAACCTCTTGGTCCTTTCTAATCATATTTAACAAAACCTCAAGGACTGATATAAAAAGCAATGGAGAAATTGGGCAACCTTGTTGTGTCCCTTTCTCAATCTTAAACTCTTCTGTCACGACATTGTTCACAATTAATTTCCCTTTTGTTCTGAATAAATTGCACCTATACCATTTTCAAAACCTTGACCTACCCCCATTCCCTGTAAATTCTTCTTCATAAAACTCCAAGAAATGTTGTCAAAGGCTTTCTCTGCATCTACAAATATCAAAACTGCCTTAGTATTAATATTCACTTGTAGTTTTTCTAGAATATTAATTATATTCCTCATGTTGTCAGACAAATGTCTGCCCGGGAGAACTATACGGACCTTTGTTGGCAAGGTGAATTCTCTGCTTTTTAAGGGGTAGGCTTACATTCTTTAAATATATTGTCATCTGATTCTTTTACCCTGATGATAATATGTTAAAAGCATTAAGCCTGAGAACCACATTCCCTTGTGGGCAACCTCGCTGGGGGTGGAACATCCCATTTGTGGGCAAGTCAAGGGCAATGGGGTAACAGGTGTGATTCTTTACTGTTTGTTACATCCCAGCTGTGCAAAAGCCAAATCTTTTTACACTCACGCACCCTTCTCCATCCAGGCAAGCAAGAGGCATTATCACAGGTCAAGGAAATGAGATTCCAACCAGGCACAAGCAGTCGAGGAGGGCCTGGAGTAGGACCAGTGTGGAGTATGGCTTGGGGTAGAGTCTGAGGGCCCCATTCGGCCCCGGGGCCAGGCGTTCCCAACCCCTGTACTTCGAGAATTAAGTACAAGAAGGTAGATATCAGTTTGCACATTCGGCCACTAGGGAGCAGTGTGGTCTAAGAAGCAGCCGCTGATACAACGCATCCAGTGAAATTAATTTTTAAATCAGGTAATGCTTGTGACGTTATTTTCCGAAGAGGTAACGGTGTCTCTCCCACTTTTTGAATATAAACTTATTTTCATGAACAACAGCAAAAAGAATTTTGTTGGGCGGGGCGGAGTCGTGCGGGAGTAAATAGTTATTTGTTCTATTGTTACTTTATGTATTGCATTCATCAACCTTTGCAATAATTGATTCTAAAATGACACATATCTGTATTACGGAAGACATGTTTATTATTCTGCACCTCGATATTCTTCTTGAAAGGAGAGGAAAAACAACAGCAACTATGCACTTTGTTGTTGTTGTCTAGTCGTTTAGTTGTGTCTGACTCTTTGTGAACCCATGGACCAGAGCACGCCAGGCACTCCTGTCTTCCACTGCCTCCCACAGTTTGGTCAGACTCGTGCTGGTAGCTTTGAGAACACTGTCCAACCATCTCGTCCTCTGTCGTCCCCTTCTCCTTGTGCCCTCCATCTTTCCCAATATCAGGGTCAGGGTCTTTTCCAGGAAGTCTTCTCTTCTCATGAGGTGGCCAAAGTCTTGGAGCCTCAGCTTCAGGATCTGCCCTTCCAGTGAGCACTCAGGGCTGATTTCCTTAAGTATGGAGAGGTTTGATCTTCTTGCAGTCCATGGGACTCTCAAGAGTCTCCTCCAGCACCATAATTCAATAGCATCAATTCTTCGGCGATCAGCCTTCTTTATGGTCCAGCTCTCACTTCCATACATCACTACTGGGAAAACCATAGCTTTAACTATACGGACCTTTGTTGGCAAGGTGCACTTAGGGCATCCTTTCTCAGCCTTGGGTCTCCAGATGTTGGACTACAACTCCCAGCATCCCTCACCGCTGGCCCTGCTGGTTAGGGATGATGGGGTAGCCCAGCTGCATCTGGGGATCCCTTGTTGGAGAAGGCTGCCTCCGAAGCCAAGCAGAGAAGGTGCTCAAGGCCAGTCACAATGCAGCTTGGAGCTGAGCAGGTCTCTGCCTAGCCGGTGCCTGGCTGGGAGAAGAACAGCGCCGACTTGTCTATATCCAATGGCTGATGGCTTGGCTGTTTTTGGCTCTTGCCTCTTCCCGTAGCGGGGGGCGGGGACGGGGCGGGAAAAGAGTGACACGTTTCCATGGGGAAGCTGCTGCGTGTCGCCACGCTACGGGCCGGGGCGGGGCCAGGAGGGATCAAGGGAGGAGGGGGACCCAGGAGCTCTTAAAGGAGACGCGCCGAAGAATGCGCCCCTGTTGAATTGGAGGCGCTTTCAGAGCTGCTGGTGAGTGTGGGAGTTTGGGAGGCGGTACCGGGCAGTGTGTGTGCATTTTTATATATTTGTGAATGAAATGGAGGGCCCTGGCAATTTGAAACCTCATAGGGAGGAAGATGCTACTGACTGAGGTTTTGATTTAATACATGCGATGCTGTTCGAGGGATGCTGCTCATCCTAAAAGCGGGGTGAGGAAGTTTTTAGGGGGGGTTAATAGGATCTCTTGGTGTTCAGCGAGGGAGGTCAGCAGCCCGGGTAGCCTTTGTGCAATCAGGTTGCCACCTTTTCCTGATGGCTCTGCTCGTGTGCCTTTAACAGCAGGCTGGAGTATTAGCAAATGAGCAGCCTTTCCCGGCCTGCTGTACCTCCATGCAAAGGAACGCCTTCACCTGATCGTTTCCATCATGTGTCCACCTGCTGTGAAACAATACAGCTGTCTCCATTTACTTCCCGATACCTGTCTTAAACCTCTTCAAGGGCAATAACTCAGTGGTGGAGCATCTGCTTTGCACCCAGAAGGTGTTAGGTTCAATCCCTGGCATTTCCAGATAGGGCTGGGGGCTGGCCTGTGCCTGAAACCCTGGAGAGCCACTGTTAGTCAAGGTACACAAGATGCACGAATGATTTGACTCAGTATAGGCAGTTCTCCGTATTCCTACATTTCCTGTTTGCTTTTGGGGTAATTACATTGCAAGAGCTAGTGGAGGGTGAGTGGGGAGGTTAGTCTGCATTCCTATTCTTGCTTTCTCCTGAATCTCCAGAAATTAAATATCCGGAGGCAGAGCTGGCATCTTGCTTCTAGTAGTATGCAAGCAAACACCTGTGTGTTAAAATCAAAGCAAGCCATGTTTATCTGCTGTTTCCACATGCTGGTCTGGATCACTTCAAACGGTGGACAATCCATTATATTTATAACCGACTGTTGTCGCACCTAATAAAAGACGAACAAATTACTCAGTGGAAGCTTATGCCATAATAACTTTTGTGCTTTTCCTCTAAAGTTATAACCAGCTAAATGCTGGCTATGGCAAAGGGCAGGGTTCAGTGCCTGGGGCACATGCTGTGCATGCAAAAGGTCCAAAGTTCAGTGCTCAGCATTTCCAGGTAGACCTGGGAAGCATACCTGCTTGAAACCCTGCAAGGCAGTTACAGTGGTACCTCGGGTTAAGAACTTAATTCCTTCCGGAGGTCTGTTCTTAACCTGAAACTGTTCTTTACCTGAGGTACCACTTTAGCTAATGGGGCCTCCTGCTGCTGCCGCCGCACGATTTCTGTTCTCATCCTGAAGCAAAGTTCTTAACCCGAGGTACAATTTCCGGGTTAGCGGAGTCTGTAACCTGAAGCATCTGTAACCTGAAGTGTCTGTAACCAGAGGTACCACTGTAGTTGCCTGTCTCAGTGTAAAAGACAATAATAAACTAAATAGACCAATAGTCTGACTCTGCAGAAGGCAACTTCCTATGTTTTAGAATAGGAAGTAGTAGGAGAAACCAGTGTGTTGCAGGGAGCCAGGTGTGTTCAGTGTACCCCAATGTTTTCTTTACACAGAGATGCACTTTCCCCATTACATAATCTCTGTCTGTAGGTTTCAGATCGCCTAGCATCACATATAGAGGGAAGATTTTGCTTCTCTGCAGTGATGAACTTTTCTGTAAAGGAAAAATTTCCTTCTAGTAGCAGCCAGCATGGAAATATCTGGAGTGTGGACGATGTCCTCAAAGTTGTGTCTATACAAGCTGTTACTCTTGAGTTTGGCATATTAATACATTGTAACAGATTACTAAAGGGTTTGTTAGATTAGAGGATGCTGTTGTTGTTGAAGCAATGTGGTTCTCATGTCTTTTCTTTCATTAAAATTGATGTACTTGGGATTAAGCCCCTTGCTGCACGTGACTTGTGCTGGAAGTATATTGTGGTTTGATGGCTGTTTGGGGTGATATTAAGGTGTGTGGCAAAACATTTCCTATCCCCCTGAGGCTACACCTGTGTGCTTTGTTTGGAATGCAAGTTCTTTTTTAAAAATTGTTTTTATTAAAGAATTTCTTGGATCACAAATATGTTTTCAGATCATAAAGTCTTTTTTTTTACAGATCGTTTTTATTCAATTTGAAATTTTAATGCTGTATACAGTATATGGTGGGGGGAAGATGGGGAGAGAAGGGGGTAGTAAATATTCATTCTTTTACATAGTGTATGTGTGATGTTTTTGGAACGTAAGTTCTATACAGGATATGTTTCATGTTATACTCACTTTTCCCTTGTATTTGAAATTGAACCATAAAATAAAAAATCAAAGATATCATATTGAAGTCATTCTTGGCATTGTAACCTGTGGCCCTCCAGATGTTGTTGGACTCCAGCTCCCATCAGCCTCAGCCCCCATGGCCAAAGGTGAAGGATGATGGGAGCTGGAGTCTTACCAGTTTCCCCCACCCCTGCCCTTTCGTTGTCAGGAAGGTTTGGTGCACTTTCAACTTTATCCCAGACTGAGCTTTCACATACAGAACTGGGTGAGTGAGTGCCACTGAGAAATGAGCAAGTTGGACCTGCATAGCTCCATCCCTTCATCTTCATATTCTTGCATCATGTTGGTGTGATACTATGGCCAACAAAGACTTTGCACATCATGCTGAGCCAAGCCATGGATTAGCACAAATGCATGGGCTGTGGGAGAGGAGATTGAGGTCACTTTGCTCCCTGCCAGTCAATCTGTAGATGTGCCAGGACAAGCTACTGTTTGCCTTACTTAGCATGTTATCTGAAACAGAGCTGGTGGTTTGAACCTATGGTTTACAGCTCATGGTTAGTCCAGGGGAGCTAAACCATGAGCCTGGGTTCAGACAACATGTCAAGCCAAACCATGGCTTGTCTTTTTGGTTAACTAATTACCAGCACTGCATAGCTGCCTTGAAGATAAGGGAAGTGGTTGAAATTTCCCTCTGGTGCTATTTCCTTGATTGAAATCTTTGCCCCTGCCCCTGCCCCCTCCAGCATACAGGTTTCAGAACAAATAGTGGTTGGAAGGGGGAGATTTCAGATTAAGGAAAAGGCACCCCTTCAGCGATGCAGATGCTGTGAGCTGCGAGAATGCTTGTAACCCACAGTCCTAGGATAAATGTTGGCTCTTGCCAGTTAATAAACGGAAGCTGTACAAGGTTCATTAATGATATGACAGAAGACTTTTCTGGTCATTACAAGAATAAAGAAATTTTCTAGACATGTCTCCACAATCTGGTTTAAAGCAATTTGTACCTGTCAAAATTCACAGACATGCCAATAAAGACCTGTCTGTATTATACATGCTTTTGTGTTCCTGCTAGTTGATCTACTACCTGGATTTCTGCATCTTGCCCATCACAGTGTCTCTTTCTGTTGTTTGTACAAGGTCTGACTCAAATCAGCTTTCTTCCTGCTTCTCCTACAGTTGTTGACAGCTTGTGGTTCTTCTCACATAACTGAGTCACCTTAACTTGTCCTCATTCATTGGGCTGTTAGAGTTGCGCTCAAATTGTGGAAGAGAGGGCTGTGTGTACTCAAGGTGTGCCAGCAGAGCCAGATGGTCTTGGTGTGGCACTGCTGGTGTAGCTACACTACAGCTTGTATACCTACCACCTTCTAAAGTCTCCTCTGAACCAACCTGGACCCAGTGAGTGTCATCTGAAGCCCTTAATCGTGTGTTCCTTCCTCAGGATGTCCAAGGGTGGCAACACAAGACCGGGTCTTTTCTGTGGTGGCTCCCAGCTTGTGGAATGCTCTCTCCAGGGATGCTTGCCTGGCACCATCATTACATAGCTTAGAAAAACATTTGGCTGTTAATTATCTGTGGTCTCCTTGATAGAATCACCCTTTTGATTTTGCTTCAAATGTTTTTCTTTTATGCTGGTTTTACTGTACAGTGGTACCTCAGGTAACATACGCTTCAGGTTACATACACTTCAGGTTACAGACTCCGCTAACCCAGAAATAGTGCTTCTGGTTAAGAACTTTGCTTCAGGATGAGAACAGAAATCATGCTCCGGCGGCACAGCAGCAGCAGGAGGCCCCATTAGCTAAAGTGGTGCTTCAGGTTAAGAACAGTTTCAGGTTAAGAACAGACCTCCGGAACAAATTAAGTACTTAACCCGAGGTACCACTGTATGTGTTTCTTTGCTTATATACCGTAAGTTGCTTTGAGTTACCTTGGTAAAAAAAGGTGACCAATACATCTAATTAATAATAATATGAAAAGTCCATGCCTGAATCCATCTACTATTCTAATGATTACTGTTTAGGAGAGTCTAATTATCACAGAATTGTAGAGTTGGAGGAGACTCCAAGTTCAGCCTCCTGCAATACAGGAATTACAGATAAAGAATCCCTGAAAGATGGCTAGTCAACCTCTGTTTAAAAAACCCCAGTGAAGGAGAGTCCTTCAGATATTTGAAGATGGCTATCATCACTTCTCGGCCTTCTCTTCTCCAGGCTAAACTTACCCAACTCCCTCAGCCGTTCCTCCTAAGGCTTTATTTCCACTTGCAGGTATCTGGCCTCCCCAGGTGAGTTCCAGTCCATCATGCCACTCCCCCTTTTATCTCTGACCAGGAACTGTGTGACTTTGGTGTCTCCATATCCTGTTCTCTGAAGCAGGTTGGCTCCCAGCCATGTAACTGACTCTGCACACCCACAGGGTGTGACTGTGTTTCAACATACCTGCGATGGGGGCCAGAAAGTAGATTGAACTGGAACGGAGATTAATTCTCTTGTTCCCTGCAAAAGCAGCAATGCAGGAATTGAGCCAGCAACATTTTAACCTCCCTGCTCCTGAAAAAACAACAACAACCACCAGCAAGTGTAGCTTTTCCAGACATAAAGATACACAGAAATGGGAAAAGCTTTCTCTGTTACATTTGTGCTTTTCAGGCTGTTGTTAAAGGCGCAGGAGCAGAACCTGTCAACATATTTTTAAAAGTTGGCTAATTTGGAGGGTGCTGGGAACTGCACGGTTGTCGGAAGCACAGTATATCCATTGCCTGTCCTGGCAATCAAAGCTTAAACGTTAATCACCCTCTAGCAAAGGTTGCAGATTATAAAGCAGAAACGGATTGAAAACATGGTTTTGGGCGGAGGCGCAAGTGAGGTTACGCCAGGGCAGTCCCAGAAGGGGCTAAGCAGATGGTCTGTTCAGCCAGGAGAAATGGCAGGGGGGAAGCATCATAGCTGCTGGCTATCACCAGGGCTTCTGTTTTGGCTAATCATGATTTAAAATAGTAAAAATAATAATCCAAATACTATATTGGATCAAATGTGCTTGCAGGAGCGCCAAAGTCCATACAACTGCTTTATTATGGTGTGAAAATGGGCCTGAGGCCCTGGAAGAAGCTCATATGCTGAGTTTGTCATAGGAGCTTATGAACATGGGAAGCTGGTCCTTCTTGCAACTAGCAGTGGCTCTGCAGGGTTTTGTATGGGGGTCTGTCCCACTTGGAGAAGCTGGGGATTGAACCTGGGATTGTTGGCATGCAAAGGTGCTCGACCGCTGAACTGCAGTTCTTTTTGCCAGCCATAGTCACGCCATAGTCATTTGCCAGCCATTTCCTCACGCCTGTTCCTTTTTCTCTTTTAGGAAGTGGTGGGGATTTTGTGGTGGATGCCTTTGTAAGAGTTATGTTAATGGGCATCAGATGTACACTTGGGTCCTTCGTATTTCCTCTGCTGGGTGTCTAAACCAGCCTTTCTCAACCAGGTGCTCTCCTCCAGATGATCTGGGTTCCATCAGCCTAGCCTAAAGCATCTGGAGAGAACGAGGTTAAGGGAGGCTGGCCTGGACATTAGGCATGTTTCTGGTTTCAGATTGCCATGCTCTGCATCTCTTCCATGACCTTGTTCTCACCTTGTTTTTAGTTTAGTTTTTAATCGTTCATTTCCATAGTGGTATCAGCACTTTACAATGTATAAGTCATTGCCCCCATGGCATTTCCAATCTGTAATTTGACTCAGTGGGCAGCAGATGCAACAGAGGAAGGGAGGAAATGGGGATAAAATATGTATCCCTTTCAGTTGCATGTGGCTTCAGTAGGATATTGGGGTGGGGTTGTGCCAAAGATTTCACAAAAATGATGGGGGTGGGTTTTGAAGGGGGAGAGGTGGTATCAGGCTGGCATTGTACGAGGCAGTTTCTAGCAGACAGAGGAAGAATGAAATCTTTTGAGAAAACGTTTGGTTGGTTGAGGGTGGTGGAACTGAAGGAGGGAAGATCACGGACAAGGGTTTATTGAATACTATGAGCCGTGGGATGAGGAGGGGGCAAGGCCAAGAAGGGCTTTGAAGCTAAGGACAGGGCGCTCTTGCTGGATCCAGAAATAGACAGGGGCCCAATGTATCCCCATTTTGCAGATGAAGACTACTGAGGCTCTGGGGTAATCTGGCCAAGGCTGCTCAGGAGCATGCCTGAGGCTCAATTTGAACCTTAGTCCAAGCCTAACAGCCCAGCCACATCTCTGCGATGATTTTTCCCCAACATGAATGCTTTTCTCTGTGTATGTGTGTTTGGATATTCTTTCCGTTGGCCTTTGGAGTGAGCCCAGTTTGTCTAGTTGGCTTAGTCTTCTCAGCTGCTACTCTGAGGGCTTCTATTCCAAGCAAGACGCTGAACCTTGCCAGCTCAAGAAGACTAAAAGCTTGTCTGTTCTCTGGGAAAAAAATTGTCCATTTGGGAGGATGAAACACCCGTCCACCCCTTCCTGCTCCAGCCCCGCCTTTCTCTCCAGGGAGCAGAAGGACAGAAACCTCTTTCAGTGGGCAGAAAGGTGGGGCTGACCCATGTGTCTGTCGACTGCGAAGAGGCTCACTTGGCCAAAGGTGTGCTTTTGGGCAGCTGCCCTGTGGTGTTGGCAACCCACTCTTTGGTTCTTGGGCAAAACAGGGTGGATCTCAACAAAGTGACTCATTGCCCTGGTCAGAGTCCAACTCCCCCTCCCCCCCAGTGGTTGATCCTGTCCTCTCCCAGATGACTATATTTTTGCCACTCGCACGAACTGCAAGTTTCTTTGGTCCCTGGCTAAGGACAGTGTTGGTTCTGTATGGCATCTACCACACAGAGGACCCCAAAGGAGTGGGAAATAGATGATGAAGTAAATGTTGCAATTTACTCCAAATTGTATTGAGGTGGAGGGAAGATGTGGGAAGGAAGGAGGCAGGCTTGGAGGGGGTTTCATCCTGTGACGTTAATGTCACATCTTCAGAGAAGGTAACCCTCCCCTATTTCTCTTTAGCATGCAAAGGGCGCCAAAAGGCATCATGGTTCTCTTCACAACTCTGCACTGTCTTAGTGCAGTTTTAATGTCCTGAGTACCTCAGCGCCACTGGAAGCCCATCTTCTGAAACATCACCAGGCGCTGTCTGATTTCCAAGCCTGCCGTTGCAGTCTTAAAGAATAGAAACTTGCTATGTTCCCTTATTAAATATGAGCCAAAACACTCAGGATGCTGACTTCTGGGCCTGAAAAGAATGTCATGATCTCCCCAGTGCCATCACGATATATGAAAGCTGTGTGCATTCATTCTATGCAACACCTGCCTTGACTCAGGCTGGATTTTCGTCTCTTGTGCCATCCAGGCAGATATCAGTTGGGGGCACCTACATCCTTCCTAGGTCCTCCGTGAAAGCTTCTGCAGCCCTGAGGTTCCCATGAAGGCCCCCATCCCTCCTCTCTCAAGCAGCTTCCATGTCCCCTTTCAGGTGACGATGTCGGAAAAGATCCTTGTGACGGGCGGAGCCGGCTACATCGGGAGCCACTGTGTTCTGGAACTGGCTGAGGCCGGCTACACCCCTGTGGTCCTTGACAATTTCCACAATGCCATCCGAGGTAAGGAGGCAGCCAAGGCCAGGGCTGGCAGCAACTAGTTTGACGGGGATTTAGAGAAGGGCCATAGCTCAGTGGTAGGGCACCTGCTTTGGATGCAGAAGGTCCCACGTTCAATCCCTGGCAAAAGAGGCCTGCTAGATCACACCTGATGCTTATCCAGAAGAATGGAGAAGTCCCATCTCCTGAAACCATGGAGAGCTGCTACCATTTCATGCAGACCAGCCTTCTTCAACTGTGGGTCCTTTGATTCTGTTGGGACTGCACCTCCTATTACCCCTGGCCATTGGCAAAGATGGCTAGGGATGATGGGAGTTGTAGTTCAGTAACATCTGGGGACCTGAGGTTGAGCTCTGATGAACTAGATGGACCTCTAGGAATGCAGGAAGCTGCCTTCAGCTGAGCTCAGGCCATTGGTCTATCTAGCTCAGGGTTGTCTACAGTGACTGGCAGTAGCTCTCTATGAATCCTACCTGGAGATGCCAGGGATTGAACATGGGACCTTCTGCATGGAAGGCAGATGCTTGACCACTGAGCTATAGCCCTTCCAATGGTCCGACTCAGCAAAGGGAGATTCATAACTGAGCAAAGCCCCATAGGCCAGAAGCATTAGCTCCACCCACTGATTTGCAGAGGCAAAGGGCTCTTTAACCCTCTCTTTCCCAGCGTGGCAACATAGGCTTTGGCCTTCCTCTTCCCAGGCCTCCCCATTCACTCACTTGAGATACAGACAAAAGGTTTCCTTTTTTCATCCAACCCCCCCACATGAACAGCAACTGGTCAGTGGCAGGATTCTGCTTTTGTGCACCTCAGCCAGTCATCCGACCAGGCACTGTTGCTCCACCTGTGGAAGGGATCAAGAGCCCTTGGGCCTCCAAGTCAGAGGCACAGCAGAGTGATGGAGGAATGTCCATTGCCGTTTGGATACGAAGGGGCTGGCTTGGCTCAAGTAGGAGGAAGGAACTGAGGGGTCAAGGTGGGGCAGCAACATTGGCTGCACCCACCCATTCACAGAAGCAGAGGTTTATTTAACTCTTTAGGACAAGGAGGGGAAACCTCCAGATGTTTGTTGGACCCATTGACTGTCCTGGCTGGGACTGATAGGAGTTGAAGCCCAACAATTGGGGGGGCCACAGATTCCCCATCCCTGCTCTAGGCTGGAACATGGATGGAAAGTCCCTGAGGGCCCAGACCAAGCTCCTGGACCACCAGGTGCCTATTTCAGTCCTAAGAAGGCTGTCATAGATCTGGATGTGTGAGTCCTTTCAGTAGTGCTGTTAGGATAATTTAAGTCCTTAGATGGAAACATGTATTTACCTCACAATGTGATCATTAACTCAGTTGTTCCGTATTTGACGGTCCCCCACCCGTTCATTCTGCTGAGTGGGGGCCCCTGGGTTTCTGCCCCCCAAAAGGTACCACTAAGTCTTCCTCACTGAAGAGGACAGCAATGATTTGGGAATCAGGTCCACTCTGGCATGGTTTCAAAAACAGTCTTTCTCCCCAGGGGGCAGCACGGTCCCCGAGAGTATTCAGCGGGTGGAGGAGATCGTGGGCAAGAAGATCCCATTCCAGGAACTGGATGTCCTCGATGAGGCAGGTCTCCACAACCTCTTCAAGAAGGTGAGGGCTTAATGTTTCCTTCCCCATTCCCCTATTGAGATGGGTCAGAGCATCACCCCCTTCCCCCCCCACCAATGGGGGCACTATTCTGGCTTACTTTTTGCCCTCTGGGTGGCATCAGGGCCTCCTCAGTGGTGATCTCCTAGATCTCCTGTCTTCACTGTCTTGGACTACACTTTGGGCTGGCAGGAGAAGGGTTCCGTCTGCTCATCCCCCCGTTGCTCCCCTCAGCACTCCTTTCAGCCTCTGGGGAGATTTTATTGTTCCCAATGTGTGTGCATCAGAGCATCTTTGTGTTGCTGCCATGCTGCTCCCCCAACACCCCTGCTGTGTATATTTCTGGCCCATTTATTCATTTATTCGTTTATTCATTTAGTATACCGCCTTTCACCCGAAGGATCATAGGGCGGTTCGAAACATGATAATTTTGTATTTTGTAAATACATAATAAAAACAAGAACGAAAAGAAATCAATAGTCCCCTCTCCCACAAACACATGGGATGTTAATTAGCCAAAGGCCTGTTTCTAGAAAAACATTTTCACCTGGCACCTAAAGATATGTGGCAAAAGCGCCAGATGTGCCTCCTTGGGTTTTGCTGGGGAGCCACGAGAGATGCCTGTCAATCCCAGAACTCAGAAGTGGCATCTGCACCACTCAGGAGCCACGCCACCCTGTTGTGGGTTGTGTCAGGCTGGCATCTGGCTCGCCTGCCAGAGATACAGGACATCTGGCTCTGGTGTGTGTGTTTGCAAGCTTGGGCCAAAAGCCCTTTGAAATCGGTACACAAAATGGCTTTTCTCATTAAAAAAAAGCACCGCAGGCGCTTTTTGCCCTCTTCCGGCTTTTCATTAGGGGAACACTTTTTTTTATTGAAATGGGCATGTATAAATAGAAAACGTACTGTAGCCTCCGCAGAAGTATTCCTAACGCAGCTCCCCCTTCTGTTTCCCCTCAGCACAATTTCTCTGCCGTGATGCATTTTGCAGGCCTCAAGGCTGTGGGAGAGTCTGTCCAGATGCCGCTGGAGTATTACAAAGTGAACCTGACTGGGACCATCCGATTGCTGGAGGTGAGCAGGAACATGGCTTATTCCACCAGGGTTTGTAAGGCTTCTGTTATAAGTCTGGGTTTGCGGGAGGATGTCAACTGCAGGAGGCCCATCTCGCGTGTGGCACAGATGCCTGTCAGAGCAGCCCAAAGATGTTTCCAGCATCACGTGCGACAGGCTTTCCATAGTGTCACTCTAGGCGCCATGTTGGCCTGGAGGAAGGCTGGGCAGGGGTTGGATGTGGCCCATCCGTTGGCCCGCCCTGGCCTGGGGAAGTGTTGTTCACCCACCATCAGGGCTTCCTCATGCTCTTGAGGAATCACTTTCAAACAGAACCCCTGCTAAATGGAGCCTGGATAGCTCAGTGCCCTTCGACCCTCGCTCCCCGACTCTTGTTGGACTCCCATAATCCTCAGCCATCTCAGTGGTCGGGGATGATGGAAGTTGCAGTCCAACAACATCCAGAGACGTCTGGAGGAAGAGCACTGAGCTTAGGTTGTCTGCATTCCTCCACAGGCCATGAAAGAGCACGGGGTCAAGAACATTGTGTTCAGCAGCTCAGCCACAGTATACGGCGACCCGGCCTACCTCCCCCTTGATGAAAACCACCCTGTGGGAGGCTGCACAAACCCTTATGGAAAATCCAAGTATTTCATTGAGGAGATGATCCGAGACTTGTGCAAGGCAGAGCCGGTGAGGGAGCAACGTACCACACCACCAACCCCCTTATCACGCAGGGGTACAATTTTCCTCAGCAGTATTTTCTGGGTTATTTTTCTTCTAAAATAATCTTTATTGTCATTTTTGCAAAAACTCAGATAGCATTAATTTTATTTCATTACTTCTGGAACTAATGGAAAGAAAGGCATATATTAAGAATCCACAAGTACATGGCCTTATAATACCAGCATAAGCCTATCCATTTAGCTTAGTTTATCTGCCCCAGTATATAAAAACATATATTTAAAATATAATTGACATAAGCCAGAGATTGGTTACAAGTAATTCCATATAAATGAATTGTGTCTGGGCATATAATATTTAAGTGGATCATTGATCCATGGCCACCAAACAGTGGCCAGATCCTCAGAAGTGGCTTTACCTCTTTGGACCTTTGAGTGACATGTTACTTTTTCTGATACCACTATAAATAAAAGCTTTTTATCTCATGCCTCTAAAGTCAGACTTGTGCAAGGCAGAACAGGAAAGCAAATGGCCAGAGTCCTCCATACAGCTCTCCTGGGCGGTATTTTCTGATCCGATCTCTTGTGCTGCTTCTCTCAGGACTGGAACGCAGTTCTCCTGCGATACTTCAACCCCATTGGAGCCCACGAGTCGGGGAGGATTGGCGAGGACCCCCAGGGCACCCCAAACAACCTGATGCCCTACGTTGCTCAGGTAGCCAAGACCCCCCAGGAGAGTTTGCTCTGCTCCACCTCTTGCACAGCGAGTTTCTCCTGCTAACTCCTGTGCCTTCCTGTCGTTTCTTCCTTCTGTTCACTCCAGGTGGCTGTGGGGCGCCGAGAGTACCTGAGCGTATTTGGGGATGACTATGATACAGTGGATGGGACCGGTGAGTTGCTTGGAATCACCCTAGCTTGAAAGGAACGATGCCTCCACCTCCAAACCTACTTGAAATATGGCACTGGGAAGTTTGGAGATGTGGAATCCAGAGAGGTTATGGGCCTCTAACCCAAGTGGTTTATAGACACACATAGGCACGGGGGTGTTTTCTCTTTTTGTTTGTGTTCTAGGGCAGAGATGGGAAAACTTTAAGGGGAACCTTTTGAGGGTCACAGGCCAGTGAAGGGCAGGGCCAGCAAACGTGGGTGGAGCAATGAACATGAATTGACCCCTTATAAAGGGACATGGGTGGCGCTGCGGGTTAAACCACAGAGCCTAGGACTAGCTGATCAGAAGGTCGGCGGTTCGAATCCCCGTGACGGGGTGAGCTCCCGTTGCTTGGTCCCTGCTCCTGCCAACCTAGCAGTTCGAAAGCATGTCAAAGTGCAAGTAGATAAATAGGTACCGCTCTGGCGGGAAGGTAAATGGCGTTTCCGTGCGCTGCTCTGGTTCGCCGGAAGCGGCTTAGTCATGCTGGCCACATGACCCGGAAGCTGTATGCCGGCTCCCTCGGCCAATAAAGCGAGATGAGCGCCGCAACCCCAGAGTCGGCCACGACTGGACCTAACGGTCAGGGGTCCCTTTACCTTTACCTTTATGATAGGCTAGTTTTGAAACACCCGTCTCTGTCTTCCATCCAGGCAACCAAGAAGCAGAGCACCTTCCAGCCAGGCGAAAGCAGTCTGGTTGCAAACCATAGCCTGTGAGGGGTGTGGCCTGGGGAGAGTCTCAGTCCCAGAGTGGTTTAATAATCAATCCCTCTTCCCAGCGAACTCTGGGAATTGAAGCACCGGGAGGGGAATAGGGGGGTCTCCTAACAGCTCCCAGCACCCTTGGCAAACCGCAATCTCCATAATTCTTTTTTGGAAGCCCTGTTTAAAATCAGACTTGGCAAATCCACGATCTGCTTGGAAAATCTTCCCTGGGTTGTTTCTTTCACTTCATAGCAGGATAGCGTATTTATCATCCCTTCTTCTGATGATAAACCAGTTCAGCCTTCGCCATCCTGGTGGCGACCCAGTGAGCTGGGGCTGATGGGACTTGTAGTCCAGATCATCTGGAGGCTACCAGGTTGGCAGAGGTTGAACTAAGTTAGATGTAGGCCTACCCAGAGGGGGCGGACAGTGCGCTGGCTGATGGGTTTCCTCCTCCTCCTGCAGGCGTCCGGGATTACATCCACGTGGTGGACCTGGCCAAAGGCCACATTGCGGCTTTGAAGAAGCTCAAGGAGAACTGCGGCTGCAAGGTAGGGAAGTGCATAGACTTGGTCAGAAGCACTGCTTCCATCCCTGTTGTGTTCTGCTGGAGCCCACGTCAACTGAGCCTCCGTCACCTGGATTTTGGGAGCATCCTTGCTTGCAGACTCCAGGCACTTCTCCTAATTTGTTCAGGAGACGGGCTCAGTTTAGGCAGGGGTGTGTTCAAAATTTTGTGCCAATAAAGTTCCACCACCCTATATGATTACGCACACTTCCCGTTTCACATAATGCTTTTTCCATGAAGATTTTGGCATGGCCCCCTAGTTACTTCCCACAACCTACAGAAACTAAGCTCTAGGGATGTGTACCTGAAAACTGAATGCATTTCCTTCCTATAGACCCTTCCCTTGTGGTGCAGTTTCTCTTATATTTGTAAGTTCCTTGGGACAGGCACCTGGAAAGTGCCGCACAGGGCAATAAGGTCGACAAAGCCTTTGTCACAAGAGTTGCATCTTTGCAGATATACAACCTTGGAACTGGCACCGGCTGCTCAGTCCTGCAAATGGTGAAGGCGATGGAAAAGGCGTCGGGAAGAGAGGTAGAGTATCAGGACAACCTGGGTTCCAGGAAGGATTGAACTCCTGTTAGGGTCCAGGTAAAAGGGGACCAGAGAGAGGAAGGCATTGCCAATTGGCCAACCCTCGCTGAGCCCACCACCAAGCAGGAGTCAGGTTCAGCCTTCCCCAACCTGGTGCCCTCCAGATGTTCAAGGACACATTTCAGCAATGCAAAAGCACTTGAGAGTGGAGCAAGGCCAGGAAGGGGAGTGGCCTGGAGAAGTCCTGCCTTTTGCCCCTGGACTGGAGGCTCCCCGCCCATTTTAGCACTTACCAGACCATTGCCAGGCTGTTCTGTTCGCAGTGCTAGTTATGACAGCAAAATCAGGTTGGCTGTCAAGCCAGGTCTCCATATATGGCTGATGGCTTGCATCCACTTTTCTGCAGGACTGGGGAGAACCTGTGGCCCTATAGATGATGTTGGGGATGATGGAAATTGGAATCAAATGACTTGCCACAGGTTCCCACCCCTGCTTTAGGAGCTCATAGGCTATTTAGCCTGTGCTAAAATAATAAATGCCTGCCATATCTGGAGTAGCTTTCAGTATTTTGGGATCCAAAATCTGCCTCCTTTGATATGAGGCAAACATGGCCTCTTTGACCTGCGACCCTGTTTAAAAAGTGTTGACAAAGAACTGTGGCTGGAATGTGTACCTTTAAATTTTAATACTGGGACTATAGAGAGACTCATTGCCCCCCTCTGCCAGTGGCAGGACCAGCCCACCTACTATGCAGAATGCAGGGTGCTTTTGAGGGGACCAGCCAACATTTTGGTCTAGGAGCCTCACACTAGAGTAGAGAACTTCAACCAGCGCTTTAGTCTTCTTGAAGGAATGCCGTTGTGGTTAGGTTGCAGATTATTGAATATTAAGCAGCTTACCAATGATTGCCTTTAAATAAATGAAAAAATGCTCTCCCCAGTGAGGTCCACCTGGCACCATCATTAACATCCTTCCAACTCTCTTCTCCCATGCATTCGATGGCTTATGATAAATGTTTTGTTTATTGCTGTTGGCGATTTGCTCCACTGTAATGCGTAATTTTTTCATTTTCATTCTTTGCCTGTGACACTTAATTTGTTCTTATGTCTGAGAGGGTTTTATTTTGTAGTGAGAGACTAATAAATCAAAATTATAGTACTACTAATAGTAATGTGTCTTATCATCTTGGCTGCTGCCCCGGTCGGTTTCCCATCGCTTAATGACAGGCTGCCGTCCTTGTTCTAGATAAACTACAAGATTGTTGCACGTCGGGAAGGAGACATCGCCTCCTGTTACGCCAACCCTGCCCTAGCTGAACGGGAGCTGGGCTGGAAAGCTGTTTTTGGCCTGGACAAAATGTGTAAGTGGAGCCTCCCCACAGAGGGCTATCTGCCTGCTCCTTTTCTGCCAGCATTTGCCTCCCCCTTCTTTATTCCTAGGGGTGGAAGCTGGAGAAATAAATGGGTTTCCATTCCCTCCTCCTTATTTCAACCAAGTTGCTTCACTCGCCACTGTTCACCTGGAGTCTCATGGGGTGGGGTGTTGCATTGACATCTGCATGCAAAGAATCCTGCAGGGTCAGGCCTCCAGCCCAGCTAGCCTAGCATCCTGCTCTCACAGCAGCCCTCAATGGGAAGCCCACAAGCAGGACCTGACTGCAACAATATCTCTCCCCCTTTGCAATTCCCAACGACTGGTATTCAGAGCTATACGCAGCCTCTGGCACTGGAGGTAGACCATAGCTATCACAACCAGTAGCCATTTTTAGTTTTATCCTCCACGGATTTGTCTAATCTCTCTTGAAATCAAGGAAAGGGCCTTCTCCGTAGTGGCACCCACCCCCACGGCGTGGTAGCGAATTCCAGTTTAACTCATTGCCGTTATTCTCTTGCCCCTTTCCAGGTGAGGACTTGTGGAGGTGGCAGTCACAGAACCCCACTGGCTACAGCAAGAACTAGCGCCTGGAAGATGTTGCCTGTCCTCCCCAGTGTGTGGCTGCCATGACCCAAGGACAGTTCCAAGGGCTGTTTTGCTTTTCACTCAGGGAAGATGGTGGTTCCTGCTCGTTCCTTCCCCTGCCCTTCTTCTCCCTTTTCGTAAGAGACCAAATAGACTCAGGAAGGGGAAGATTATCTTGGCCTTTTGCTGTACCCATTTCTTTAACTCTCTTGTGCCTTCTCCCTGAACCTTCTCTGCCAGCCAGGTTGGTACCAAACAGGGAGCAAGGAGCTCTGACCCTCCCATTGAGCGGGAAGACTGACAAATAAAAAGTGTCAATGGGAGCCCATGGAGGATGTCAAGCTCCCCTCATTGGGGACAAACTTGGTTTCTTTGGTTTTAAAGAGTCCACCCTCTGCTGCCAGGTTCTTGAGATGTCCTGGTGGATGCAGGCTGCTCCATGAGGTTCTGAGCTGTGGGAAGAGGCTGCATGGAGGTACAAGTGTTAAAATGTAGTTGGAAAACGACAGCTAGGTCCATGGAGCCTTGTCGTTTGCTCCCTGGCTTCCCGTTTCTAAATTGTAATGCCTTCTGTAAATCAGAGGTGGGGAGCCTGTGGCCCTCTAGATGTGACTGCACTACAGCTCATCATCATCCTGGACTAGGGCTGCTGGGAGTTAGCAGTCCGGCAGGTTCCCCAATACTGATGTGATAAAGCAGTAGTAGGAGAGAAGTACAGCAACTCTTTGGCAGGTGATTCAGTGAATTTTCAGGCTTATAGTTTGATGCAGCTTTGAACCAAGTCAAGTGACCCTTAGCAGGGTGGGCCACAGACTGCGAGGGGTCACTGAGGCCGTGAGGCTGGGATGAAAATCAAGAGAGGAAAAAGAGGGGCGTCAGTTCCGAGGGCATGTCTACCACCTGTAGGAAAACGCACTTTTCAGATTAGATCAAGGGGCGCACCCCCAGAAAGCTTTGGACTGCAACTCCTATCATTCCCGAGTATCGGCTGTGCTGCCTGGAGCTGAACGGAGTTGTAGTCCACAACAGCTGGATGCCACCAGGATAGGGAAATCTGGTTTGCATTGTTACTCTTCAACAGGGCAGGAGGCTGCTCCTAAGCAAACATGGAGGGGACAAATACTGCAGCTGAATAGGAATGTAGTAACCTTTTGAAGTATCTTCTAGCAGGCAGAGGCTAAGGAAACAGGGTCGCTGTAAAGGTCAAGCCCAAACTATAATTAATGCTGGCTTTAGGGCTGTAGCTGCAATGGAGGCAGAAGGAGGTAGAATCCGAATATGTACTGCACTAGATAATGAGGCAAATAGCTGACCTCTCATTAAGCATAATTGCGCTTGTGTAGCCCCATAAAAACCAGAATCCAGAGAGTCCTGTAAAATTCAGAGCTGGCCACACAATTGCCGTTTCTTTTCCTCTGGGGTGAAGATGAGTGCCAAGGACTCACAGAATGGCCCCTTCTTGCAGAGTTTTGGTGAGAACCGGCCTGTTCCGATGGCAGTGGAATTGAGGGGCAGGCAATGTATGGTGGTGGAGCAGGGCAGGGGACAGCACATTCCCGTTTCACCTCAGGTGCGCCACAGAATGGGCCACTCCAGTAAAACCAGTTCATTGAGCTTAGGCTGTGCGGCATAGGGGCCAGATCCTAAACCGGAGGGGGGGGGGAGCACTTCCTAAGCTCCTCTTTGGTGTTCATTGTAACTGTGACAGTTGGTGCAAAAATCCGTTAATTGCTTTGGTCAAGTAAGAGACACAGGCTGTGGTCAGCCTGGAAACTCAAAAGCCTAGTCTTGCACCAGCTAGCTCAGCTCATCATCACGCTTGGATTTCTTTGCAATTGCCCTCCTGCAATGCCTGATGATCAGTGTACCATCCCTACTACCAGAGACCAGCCTTCCTCTTTCTCTATTTAATGTATTCTGAGGCAGGACATGTTTTCCTAAACCAGCCACATTTCTTGCCCCCATTGGAACCAATTATTTTGGCCTCTCTAGTGATCTTCCACCACCAGTTTGTGAGTAGCAATCTCTGAAGCATTATGAACATTTTTGGTGGTGTATGGATTAAGAAAAGAAAAAGAAAAGAAACCAGTTGCAAAAATGGAGCATCAGCTAGGGTTTGCTTGGTGGAATAAGTTCCCCTTTCTGGTCTGCCTTGATCTGTTACAACTCAAATTCACACAGCAGTTTCTGTTGCAGCCAAATCAAAATCCTGCTGCAGTCATCTTGCAGCAGATAAATTACTCCAATAGCAAAGTTGTGTGTAGCTCCCGCAGTGGAAAGCCAGATTGTGCACTTAGAAGAAATTGTGTATATAGCAGCTTTCACGAGTACGGAATGTTTTATTATTAGTGTAGAACTTGAGGGCAGAAAGCTTTGAGGGAAAGAGCTCTACCTGATTGACTGGAGCAATGTCCTTCAACCATGGCTCCCTATCTCTTGTTGGATCATAGCTCACATAATCTACAGCAAGCATAGTTAGTAGTCAGGGATAATGGGAGATGCAGCCCCAGATGTTGGATTACAAGATCAAAGAACTAGAGATTACTCTTTCTACCCCTCTGATCTATTTGTGTGTCTCTGTTGTGGTGCTATTGTTGCCATTGTGTTCCCTCCATCTTAAAAAGGACTAAATACTTGATTTTTTGAAGTTAAAAAAAGAAGTCCAAGGCCAGATTTTGCACCTCTGTATTGCTAATAATCTATGATCCGCCCTGCTTGCTGGCAAGCAGTTCACAGGTGAAGCTTTAACTCCCATGCCAGTTGCTAGAAGTTTTTTATCCCCACTGTAAGCACCACCCTGTGCCTGCCTACTCAGAAGCAATTCTTAATGTGTTCTGTGGGGCTTAGAAGCTGCATAGCCTTGCCTATTGGAGTGAACAAGAGGAGAATCCATTTGAGGCTACCATCTTCCAATGTTTGAAAACTTCATTTAAAGCTCATTGCTCCCACTGTAAGATACATGCAGAATTGCAGCTGATTTTTCCCAATTTTAGTGGGAGGTGGGTAGTGTCATGCTATATTCCAACTACATTGGGAAACATAACCTAGTCCAAGGGTTGCCAACCTTTTGGAGCCTGTGGGGTATAGTTGGAATTTTGAGGAAGTGCCAGTGTGGTGTAGTGGTTAAGAGCGGTAGTCTCGTAATCTGGGGAACCGGGTTCGCGTCTCCGCTCCTCCACGTGCAGCGGCTGGGTGACCTTGGGCTAGTCACACTTCTTTGAAGTCTCTCAGCCCCACTCACCTCACAGAGTGTTTGTTGTGGGGGAGGAAGGGAAAGGAGAATGTTAGCCGCTTTGAGACTCCTTAAAAAGGGAGTGAAAGGCGGGATATCAAATCCAAACTCTTCTTCTTCTTCTTCTAGGTGCCCACTCTTGGGCAGCCAAAAAAAGTAGGCATATTTAAAGGGGCGTATTCAACGTAGGAGAAGCCAAGCCAAGTGCAAACACAAATTGAACAGGAAGATCAAACAGTCTCTTATGTTATATATGTTTACCAAGACCTTTTGCAGACACCGTAGGTGATACTGGCTGGCACATTAGCACCTGTGTGCAGCGTGTTGGCAACCTCTGCCCTAGTGAGTTACAGTGCCCTGAAGAATGGCCATTTAGCAGCCTAGCTTTTTAAAGAACTCTTAAATCTGTAGTGAAACACTTCTTTATTTGAGCACCAGCATCTGAATGTGCATATAATTTTTAATGTAGGCAGAAGTATTTTAGGGCAAATTAGAAGTTCAATAAAAATAGACACATTATTAAAGTTGTGCCGAGTAAGTGAAGCATAATGATAGCCGCCGCCACCAGAAACATGGCCAAGTAGCAGCAGAGGTGGCACTGATCCTTCTAAAAGGAGCCAGATTTTTCTGAGGTCTAAAAAAACATATAGAAGGGCATTGGGGAAAATGCAATTGAATGATTATAGATAACTAAGTTATTCTTAGGGTCATCTGCCTGGAACACATCCCAGAAGGTACCAGCAAAATGTAAATCTTGCCAGTGTAAATTTGGTGGCTTGAGACTAAGGGGGATGAGGTTTTTAAAAGGTGTGTTTTGATATATTTTTAGATATTGGAAAATATACACGAAATGATTAACACATAGTAATAATGACTAGGCTCACTTCCAGCTTTTATTATAGCACCAGCAGTAACATGCAAGCACATCCTGGTGGTGAAACAGCGCCCACCGACGTCAATGGGACTGTTTGCGAACAAGTGGATTAAGGCTTCCTGCCCCAAAGCCAGGTATTTACAAGGCCTTGCCTAACATACTCTGAGATAGCAGAGTAAGATTAGACTGCCACCTCAAGACGCACAAGGCATCTCTCTTTGTTGAGACAAAATGTAGGCAACAGGAACTTCCTTGTCCTCACTTAAGACAGATGCCTACCACACACACCCTGGCGATAGCAAGATCTATTGCAATGAGAATGTTGCCTTGGTTGGGTTACAAGTTTCCTGTGTGATTGAGGTGGGAGTTCCTGCTCTGCATGTAATGTTCCAACTTCAGTCCCTAAACATCTCCAGCTGAAACAATTCTCAAGGAACAGAGATCTTGAAGAGTCAGTGTTAAGCAGAGTAAACAATACTGTCCTCAGGGCCAGCCTAAGAGATCTAGCTGCCAGTGCCAGAAAGACAAAATAATGCATGCACACAGACGCACACCCCGTGTGGCATCTCAGCCTTACTTCAGTGCTGGCGATGGAACAGCATTCTCCACTGCAACTGGTGAAACAGGCGGCCAGCAGAGGGGTTGCAAGGCGGATCACAAGGCACAAGCACACAGCGCTAGCCAACACTTCACTGCTGCTCCCTACCTCTTCAACACCTGCCTAACAGTAGAGCTGGCCCTGACTCAATGAGGAGGAGAAGTTAAGAAAACCCCTTTCAAACCGAGGATGTTACATGGGAATAGTATCTCCTACCCAAACCACCCACTCTGCTTCTCTATTACATAAAGCCCTTTTGTACATACAGTATTTGGATTCAGAGCCATTCAGCAGTTAGCCTCAGGAGGCTTTTTTGTGCCACAATAAGGGCTAGAACCTTTTAAAATTTAGTAGACAAAAAACATTTTCTAGGGAGTTCGTCTTGTGGGTCACATGTTGCACTCTAAAAGTCATAGATGGTAACTTGCAGTTTGTAGAATTCCAGTGTTGCAATAGGTATTTGGGCCTGGACTGGGAATATCTGTGATCAAATGCTAGTTCACAAATGAAGCCCACAGGTGGCCTTAGGTGAGTTTCTCTTTCCCCTGCTGATCATCATGTAGGAAAGTCACCTATAAGCACGGGTTGCTAATCTGCAACCCTCCAGATGTTATTGAACTGCAACTTCCATCAGCCCCAGCCAGCATGGCCAATGGTTGGGGGTGATGGGATATGTAGTTCAGCAACATCTGGAGGGTCACATACCAGCCACCCCTGGCCTATGAGCTACCGCACAGGCTTGTTATTCATCTAAACCAAGAGGCGTACACAGTGTTTTAAACACTTAACGACTGTAGGAGAAACTGACACATCTTGACTACACTGAAGAAACAACAAGGTGAGGCACAGATGGTTGTGTTTGTTTAATCTCAGTGGAACACAAAAATAAAAATGATGTATGGGGAAGACAAAAGGGAAAGGGGGGTTGGGGAAGAGAATTAATTCATGTGCAGGAACATACAGAAGCCACTGTTTTGCTTTGGCTTCCATATTCTTAACATATTCCCTCCAGAGACACCCAAGACTTGCAGGCCACTTTGACAATTTGCTTTGAGAAGGATCTAGTCAAAATTGGCAGTGGCAACAGCAGCAGAGTCCAGGGCACTTCTCTGTGTAACTACTATACAGAACAATCCAATTAATGGTCCGAGAAGAGGAGAGAGCAGCAGCAGCAGCTAGACAGCCACAAGCACAGGAGGAGCATCGCCCCTCATGTCTGCTTGCCTACGCTCACTATAGAGAAGGAAGTCAAGGCCTGGTCTGCAGATGGAGCAAAATGCAGAAGGAAAAGGACTGTCACCACAAAACTTCCTTGTGAAGGCTGAAGTGGTGGTGGGATAACATGCCTAAATACTCCCTACGTAAAAAAGCAACATACACACGCACAAAGGTCCCTGCAGGTAGAAATCCAGCAGATGAGATGGCTAGATAAGAACCTCTGTTTGATGTGTTGCTACTTACAGGGATTTGAGTTTTACGTCAGGGAGCATTCAAGAACAGTGCACACAAAACCCACCTTGCAATTGTGAAGCTGTACAGTCCTCTACTACCTTGGGATTGTACCACTTCATTCTGCTGCATGTCCAAGACCAGCCACAGTCCTCCCAACCACTAGAACGTCCAAACCCAAAGCAGAATAGCGGAGGATGCAAACCCTCCACAGAGCAAGCAAGAGGCAGCTTTGACATTTAAGCAGTCACTCAAATTGAGTCTAATGCAAATCAGTTTATGAAAGGATTAGTGCCTTCTGCTTCTCTGGTGATAAAAAGAGGACATACAGAATATTCCGGCCCATTACAAACAAATCTCTCCAACCATCCCTGCTGTTTCTGTGAATGTGAGCTGTTCCAGCACCAAGCCATGTAATCTGGCCCTATTTCCAGTGAGATCTGGGAAGCCCCTGCGACCTGGACCCAGCAAGTTGCCAGCTGCTAAAAAGGAAAGACCCCCAAGTGGGAGGCGTTCCGCTTGGCAGTGAAGGCACTTTGCCTTCTAGAGAAGCCAAGTTTGGCCTCGGCCAAATGATCCCCAAGGCTGGCAAAAAGCAGATTTTGGGGGAAGCAGCGGCTGCTCAGGGCAGAGGAGGCAGCCTTGCACTGAAAGCAGGAAGAGGAGCAACATCTCCTTTGGGGCTGCCATTGTGATGCAAGCTCTAGAAGGGCAGGCCATGTATTCCTACATGGATATTTGCCGCACATAGCTGTATAAAGCACTGGAAAGTGTAGCAGAGGGCTGTCCTAGCTTTGGGGGACCCCAAGCACCCCCCTTGCTGTTGCTGCTACCAACCACCGAGGACCATACAGAGTCAGGGGAAGGAAGTGAGCAGAGAGATCCCTCACAAAGAGCAACACAGTAGGACAATGTGGGAGGCAACATTTAGCCCTTCACACAAAAAGAGGAAAGCTCCTTGAATAGACATCTTGTCCCTGGCTGTCAGTGCTGGTGTCAGCCCACGCCGGTGGATAATTTGGGTGTGGATGCTGAAGGGGTGATGGTAAGAGAACCTTGGCTGCTCAACAGCACAGCCCCCTGCCAGAAATAGGGATGAGAGCCTTCTGCTTGAGGTGAAAGGGGACAGTTACTGAAATAAAACAGACTAGAGACTTAGGGGAGAGCCTCAAAAAAATACGCCAGCCACCAGGGCTAGAAGGGAGAGAGGGGGACCGTGCTTGCCCATTCCACTAACAAGACCAGAGGGGTGGGGAGTGATAAGAGGGAGACTGCACCCCATAGACAAAAAGGCCGCTTGCAGCTACTCGATACAGACTGGATAGGAAGTGGAGGAGTGGTGCTTCTGAGAGCTGCGGTGCCCAAAAGGCTGCAGAGAGCTTGCTGCGTGTCTACCTTCTGGACAAACGCTACCCTATCTGTGTAGGTACAAAACAAGATAGACCCAATGGAGGGGACCACAGCAGAGATGATTTTGAAAGAAACAAACAAAGGAATTTTAAAAAGAACATACATTAGAAGCAATTCCTGGTGAGGTGGGGGCCCCTCCACCACATTAACGCCCCAACCGACGGTATCTCCAGCCCAAGCTGGGAGTTGTTAGCACGCTGAATGGTGCATGTGGCTGACTGGGGAGGAGCAGCCCCAGGACATGCTTGGAGGATGTACAGCAACCCGTCAGCCAGCCAGACCTTCCTCCTTTCGCCTGGCAAGAGTGGATGGGATGGCAGAACAGGGATGGAATGATTGCCTGGGTGGGGCAGTTTACCTGCCTCCCCTGCCCCCAAAAAGCCAAGCACTGGCAACTCGAGAGGGGGGCCCTAACCCTACCTGCACCTCTAAGGTGGTTCCACCAGGACAGGCTCAGGCTCTGCATCACAGAAAAGGGGGGGCACAGGGACTGTGGGTGGGATTGTTGCAAACCCATCAGGGAGCTCAGATACCTTTGCAGATGCTCCCTGCAAATACTGTAACAGCGCAGAACACAGTCTCGTAATACCTTTGTTTTAAGCCTTTGGCTACCACCCAGTTCATTGCCACAGCAAGCATTTGTGTGGGGTTGGGGGAGGGGAGAGAGACAGCAAAGAAAGGCGGAAATCAGGTGACCAAAAATACTAAATTTGCAAGGAGGCAGCCACATGGTTCTCAGCTGTACCTTAAAACCGCTCCGTACCTTCACTCCATGTACAGGAGAGAGAGGGGCAACCCTCCCTATGCACTGGAGGGGGGCGGTGCAGGAGGAAGGGAAAGGCCAGAGAAAGGAAACCGGCTGAAGTGGAGGTGGATTGCTGTGGCTCCCCATTTGCAGCTGGGCAGGTCAAGGTTAAAGATCACAGGTGGTGACCTCTGTCTCCTCTCCCTGCAACAGTCTCGAGTAGCTTTGTTTAAATCCTGGGCAGCAGCTTCTCAATGAATTCTTTCACAGCCATCATCTCCTGCACAGAGTAAAAGAAGTAGTGGTTTTTGTTAGTGCGTGCGCTCATTCTCCTCTCCTTCAAAGACATAAGAGCCTCAAACAGTTCATGTGCTCCCTTTGGGGAGTGACAAGATTCTCTGCATTGAACTGAGGGTCATAAAACAGAAAAAATTTCAAGAGCTGAAATGAGAACTGAGCTTATCAAGAGTCCAGGAGGCAGGGCGGGGGGGGGGGGGGCTTGCCAGTTTCCTTGTTATGCTACATGAGTTGCTGCCCACACATGTACGCTGATTTTCAAGTTTCAAGCAGTCTTTTGGCTGCCACAAGAGGCGGCTGCCAAGCCAGCTGACAGCAATTTATTTCACTGCTCATATAAAATCAGAAGTCAACTGAAGCAAGTCGAGATTAAACCAAAGCCACAATTACAGTGTCATGATGGCACTTGGCTTTATCAGGAGTTGGGGGTCTGGCCCATGAAAGCTGATGCCACAATATAGTTGTCTACCTTTAAGCTTCCACAGGGCACCTGCTATTTTTAGTACTCCAGACTAACACTGTTATTTCTTTTGAATTAATCGGTTAAAAAAAATACATATCCAGTTAAAGACAGCTGATTGCAGCAGTACAATATAATTAAGTGGGGATCAAAAAGAGGCTGCCTGAGACCACCAGGTCTGCAAAGCTGCCTTATGAAACTGGATTATACAAGCCATAATAAGGGCTCATGGCAGAAGGCACTTCAAGGAGTACCTCAAAGGATGCTTTGCTTTTGGATGCCCTCCACCGAACCTGTGAAGGTCGAGGCACCAGGCATAGGACCTTCTCAGATACTCCCAGAGTAAGGCAGAGAGAGAGCATCTCAACCCTAATATCCCAGCATGCACCCTGGCTGCAACCAAGATATGGCACTCAACAAAGACTAGTCAGTCATCCTAGGAAATGGGTTTACCGGCTGCCAACTAACCTGAGGGCAGGAGCTGTGCATCATTCCTGGGTAGGTTCTGAACTGGACCCTGCTTGGAGTCACAATGCCCTTCAGTTTCTCGGCAGTGAGGGCTCCAAAGCGGACTGGGATCATGGGGTCCATCTCCCCATGGCACTGTAGGATGGGGATGTCTTTGTTCATGCTGTTATTTGCTGCCTGCAGGAGGGAGGGGGGAAAAAAACAGCAGCAGGGGAAGGAGCACCAAGCTGTGAACAACCCATTGCACTCTGGGAAATGCAGTACCTGGGCAAGCTAGTTGTGAAGGAACTGCTCTACCAGACAGGCATTTCCCAGTTGAGCAGCCATCCTGGCATGCACCAAGCCCAACCCACAGGGCCAACAGCAACACATTCAAGGGGGAGAGGGGGCTGCAATACCTGAGGAAAGGTCTTGTGCAGGGGGAGCCAGCAGCTGAGGGCCACAATGCCAGCCAGTTGGTGTGGGCACGTGAGCGCCGTGTAGAGGGACAGCGCGCCACCCTGAAGCGCAACCAAGATTAGAAAGCAGGTCAGAGCTTGCTCCAGAAAAGACCCTCTACCAATGCAAAGACGCACACAACTCTCATCTACTGCCACCCCTGTGAACAGCCCTCCCCACCCCACCCCTTTGTAAGAGATTTCCTGGTTCTTATGGCATGACTGGTATGGGGGGGGGCACACAGGTCAGTGGAGGCCACACTCCTCATGCACAGCATCAGAAGAGCCCTCACCGCTTCCTGCCCCACTTAACTACTTGAGGAAAAAAAGACCTGGTGCAACCTAAACCTTTCAAAAATATAGAATCAAATTCTGCAACTTGATTATATTCTACCTACACAAATTTCAAAGGCTTCCCTCTCTTTTTTTGCATGCAATGTTCAGCTTGCCAGAAGGAAACAGGGAAGTACAGTGGTACCTCGGGTTATGAACTTAATTCGTTACGGAGGTCCATTCTTAACCCGAAACCGTTCTTAATCTGAGGTGCGCTTTCGCTAATGGGGCCTCCCGCTGCCGCCACGCGATTTCCGTTCTCATCCTGCGGCAAAGTTCTCAACCCAAGGTACTACTTCTGGGTTAGCGGAGTTTGTAACCCGAGATACCACTGTAGTAGTTAGGAGGGCAGAAGTTCCACTCCAGAAGTCTAACTCTGTCCCCACACCCATCCTTGGGTTGTAAGGTTTTACCAGACATTGCCCCAAAGCATGTGTGTTTCCCATGGCAATAAGGGTTAGAAATGTGTTTTGAATGGAAAAGTGAAAGCAGTATGACCCAGGATACCACTTAACCTCAGTACTGTTGGAACAACTGCACACATCCAAGTTGCTGCTCCAGAGGAAGCTATACCTCATCTCCCATGCTCCCCACCCCCATTAGCAAGGTGGCAGCCGCTAGTTCTCCATCTTCCCCCAGCACCAGTGCCCATGCCCTGTTCCTCATTTCCAACCCCACCGTCCACACACCGGCTTGCCATCCTGGGGATGTAGCCTGCCACACACACACCAGTCACCTGCGAAAAGCCTCCCAGGATGATACGGTTGGCTGGGATCCCATTCTTTATCTCATGTTCGATCACCGCTTTAACTGGAATGCAGAGGGAGAGAGTTCAAGGTGGCATAATATCATAGGCCTTGCATCTCAGGTGCCAAATATGCTGGGTGCACAATAATTACAAAGACAAAGTCTGTTGGCACAGATCTATTTCACAAAGTTTCCTCTGCTTCAAAATGTCATGTTTTTAAAAGGAGTGTGATGTTCTTTCTGGCAAGGCCTCCGGTGGCAAAGATCAAGGGAAAAGGAGTAGTGTTTGAAAAGTGGGGGGGGGGGGGAGCATAAGACAAATCAACGTTTGCATTGGGCTCAGCTCTCCCTCATGAAAAGTGATGCCACAAAATACATGCTAGTCTTTTAAGATGCCAGAGGACTCTTGGTTCTGCTGCAGTGGACCAACATGGCTGTTTCTCTGGAATCTGAAGCTTGCCCAAGACCTCTTCAGTGAATTCACAATTCACAGCCTTCACCACTATGTCACACCAGCTTTGGAGAGAGTTGGTGTGAGATTGCTAAAACCCAGAAACCACTCTTCTTTGGTGTTGAAATGTTTAAAAAAGCAGACAGTGCTAAGATGCCACACATTTGCAAATCAGGAATCCGCCTTGAGAGCACACATTCCCACTCTCTGGGTCTTTCCTGCTGGAGTGATTCATCTCCTCTTCTTCTCCTGCCAACATTAACAATTTGGGAATGGCTGCAAATCAGTGGTGGAGCATTTGCTTTGCATGCAGAAGATCCTAGATTCAATCCCCAGAATCTGGGTAGGGCTGGACAGACCCTTGTCAAAAAGCTGCCCATCAGCATTAGCAGCACCCAGCCAAGGGTCTGACTAGGTAAGGTAATTTCCCCTGTTGCTAGCCAAGGGCTTGTTATACAGACCAATGCAAACCATGGTTACTACAACCAGCTTTCCTCATAACCATGGTTTCCATAAGTTTTGGATAGGAACTATGGCTTGCAACCACTGCACCTGCAACACAAAACTACTTAAAATTGGAAAGGGCAGGCAGGGGTAAAATCTTCTTGGAGAAGGGATAAATATGGTGTGGGAGTGGAGGATGGCTTAAGATATGCAAAACATTGTCTACAGGATGCCTCTGTTACATTTGCACTAGGAGGAAGTGTTTTAAAATGAGCCTTCCATGCATTCAGAATGTAAACATCCCAAACTGCTTCACTCGCTTTACTTTTTGCAAGAATTAGGAAGTGGGCCTTTTTGAACTGGGAATGTAAAAAAGGGCAGAGGCTCTTTATGACTCAAGGAACAGAACCCGTCTCTCTCTTTCTCTCCGGCTTTCAAATGCTGTCAGTTAGAATTTGGAGAAATGTAGACCAGCTCTAACACTACCCCTGGGCAAGCTTTTCTTACGGTTCTCAGCAGCTTTTTTAATTCCAGTTTCATCCTCAGGTGCATCAGGACTCAGGCCCATCAAATCAAACCTGGAAGAAAAAAATGCAAGTTAGCCCCTGCTCTCTGGTCCACCAGCAGCCTACATGAGGCTGGCTAAGCAAGCACATTATATGACTATATAGTGTCCTGGCAGCTTGGCTGTGCCATTCCAAACTCTTCCGTATGAAAGAATTAAAGTGATTAAGGGAGAACTCTGCTGGGAAGCTGGAGAGGTTTCTACCCGGCAGACTATCTGCTGGCTGCAGACATGCATCAATTCAGAGGCCTTCTTTCCACCAGGTCTTAAAAGGCAGCAAGCCTGCCTATGCTCCCCTGCTGTATTGTGAATATACATTAATGCCCATTGCCCAGAAAAGTAACCAGAGACACAGGAAAAGTTTGTAGAAAAATCTAGAAGTGAAACCTGTGGATGTTGAAACAATATACATTTCTTAAAAGACTGTTAAAGGGCTGTGGATCAGAACCCTAGGCAAGGCAAGCTACCTGGTAGGCAGTACCCCTCGACCTCATGGCCCAAATGTCTTATTTAAAGACTCACTCTTCGTCCTCTACAGTGTTTGCACCCCAGCCTTATAGGAGTAGCCATGGTGTGCCCCCTACAAATCATGCACCAATCTGCCCTAGCCAAAAAACACCGGCCAGCTTCCTCAGGTCCACTAAACCTTTGCACACAGCTGCTGCCTTTAATTTCCCCCCTCCCATCAGCCTCTCATCTGTATCATTCCCCATCACTCCTGGTGACTGCCACAAGCCTAGTTCTGGCTGCCATATTTCCTTATGATGTCATGCAGGCCAGAAAAAGAAGTGCCTGGGAGGCAGGAGGCCGGGGCACGTCGCTTATCTGTCAGCAATTAAATTAACATTGTTTTATACTAACCAGGATGGCATGACCATCTTCATGTTGAGGGTGACAGGGATCCTAGGCCTGCAAGCATATGAGAGGGTGGGGGGAGGGAGAGAGAAAAAGAGAGAGAAGCAGGCAATTATGCTCCAGTAGGAAGAGACAACAGGTCATGAGGCTCCTCACAAACCTAAGAAACCTCAACTCATCCAGACATAGCGGAGTTTGCAAAAACCTGCAAAGGCTGCACATTCTCTCAAATCCTGAACTTGTACACTTGTACAAGTTGAACTTGTATGTGACTCCAAAAGGTATGGGATAAACACGACTGAGTTCCAGCTATAGAACTGCTAGCTGTTTTCCCCCAAGTCCCCAACCTCAGGGTCTGCCCAGGTAGGGTTAGCTTTGCAAAGAAGCAGGTGACAAAGATCTTTACATATTCAGGTGCACACACAGCCTGCTCTGCTTGCCCTTACTTCCTTTCTAAGAAATACACACAGTCCCTCCTGGATCAGGCAGTGTTGGTGTGGTTGCCAAGCAGCCCACCCTGGGACCTGGACATTTGGGGACTGACTTGAGCATGAGCTAGGTGCTTTGGCTAGAGTTGCTGAGGAAGCAGCAGCCATCTCCTTTGGGCTGAAAAGCTCACGAGCCTGCACTCACCACAGTGGGCACAGGGTTTCGCGTGTCTGCCTGTTGCTACCAACAAAAGAGCCGGACTCAAGTAGGAGCAGTCTGCAAGTCGCTCCATTTTGTCTTAAATCTAACCCAGGTGGCGTCGCAAAAACAGACGGGCTGCTTTGCAAGGTAAGCGGGGGGTGGGGGGAGATACTGCAGGCTCAAGGCAGAACTGCATGGCTCTTTCCAGTGTTTTGACAAAAAGAATGTAGATGAAGGCAGAAATCAGCTCTTTTGGAGCCTATTTTACTCATCCTGCCATTACCACTGCAAGTCCAGGTTCAAAGAGGCGCCTAGGAAGGGAAACTGATACCTGTTTATCATCTTGTATGGCACCCAGACACACCACTTTAGCCCCACCCCAGCTGATGCATCCCCACCTTGCTTGTCAACATGCTCTTTGTGGCAAACCTAAAGATTCCCCAGTGTAAGGGGGGGCACGATGGTCCAGTTGTGGGGTATGATTATCTGTCCATGTTCCACCTGGGAGCTGCTGGGGGTGGGGACTTGGTGAAGGGAAAACCAGGTCAAACAGACTCTCAAGTTTTGTAACAAGGGCAAAATTATTTGTGAGCCCCTCTTAGTATGTGCTTGGCAGATACTATGTTTGTCCAAAGCAAGCAAACTCGTGCTAAGGGCTGAGGTGGAGAGGCAGTGTGCTTTGTGCCTCAAAGATCTTGGGCTAATTTACTGAAGGCTTTTTGAAATAAGCACCTCTGCTGGGTGGTGTGCAACACCCTGAATGGCTGACACTGGATAATCCATGCATGTTATAGGGAGCTGGAGCTTAGGGAGTTCAGGCAGAGTGTTGGGTTGGCTAGCAAGATCTACTGAGCTCCTTCCAGCCACTGTCATAGAGGCAGTAATGTTTTTGAGTGCCAGTTGCTGGGAAATGCAGGAGGGGAGAGTGCTTCTGTGTTTGGGTCCTGCTTGCAGGCTCCCCAGAGACAACAGGTTGGCCATTGTGAGACCAGGATGCTGGATCAGATGCGTCCGTGGCTTGATCCAGCAGGATCATCTTATGTTCCTCAGATTACAATATCAGCTGATTAAGGCTGACATCCTCGTGGAGAAATGGTGGCTTCTGTTAATGTTGGTCAGTCAAGAAGTTTGCACTAACTGACCTCTAGGTGTTCAGCTCCCAACTGGTTTGGTCAAAAGTCAACATCGTGTCTGATGTCTATTTTTCAGATTGGGTCACCACTATGATATTAATGTACTAACCTCAATCTGTAATATTTAATATAGCTGTTTTACCATTAACACCAAATTATTGTTTTTTGTTGTGATGTTCGTGCGATTGTAGTATCTTACAGTTTAAAATCTTCAAAAAAATTGATTGAAAAAGATTAGAATATCAGGGATAATACAATGATTGGTTAATTAATGATCGGTGGGGATGGTTTTTTTTTTTTTTGCAAGGGCAGAATCTTAAGCGGGCAGCAAAAACTTAAGCCATAGTCCCTAAAAAGCTATAGGTTAAGTGCTATTCTCACTTTGAGACAGCCAGAGCTGGCTTGATCCAACAAGAAAGAGAACTGGGATGCAGCTGAGATTCTGCCTTAGCACATACATATATTTCTATTTTAAAAAGGAAAAAGTGGATGCAGGCAGGAAAAACATCACAGCCCAATTCCACTAATGGAATATATATTGTATTGTGCTTAAGGAAGCGAAGTCTCTGGCACTGGTGCAATGATGCGCCTAAGAGGAGCTCTGCTGGATCAGATCAAAGGGCTACCTACTCTAGCATACTGCTCCCTACAGTAACCAACCAGAAGCCCAGAGAAGCTCACAAAAATGACATAAGGCAACAACCTTATCCTGCCTCTCAACCTATAAGGTTCCAAATTACATGAGAGCAAAGCTGTCAGAATGCCTGCAAACTAGTTTCCATGGGTGAAGAGAATGTTTCCAGTTTGGCTAGGATTAAAACCACACACAGGCCTTAAGGGAACCTGTGTTCCGCACCTCCTCCCCATTGTTGGACTTTGGTTCCCATTAGCCCAGAGTTACCATGGCCATTGGTGAGGGATGATGAGATTGTGCTGGCTGGGGCTAATGGGAGCTGCAGTCCAGAATGACTGAAGGGCACTAGGCTGGGGATGGTGAGTGTATTTTCTGAGCTTGTAAGGGAAGCTTATTTCTGGCTGGAGGAAACTAGACTGATAAGGGGAACACACACCCCAAGCAGAGGCCTGTTTCCTGAAACATATGCAAGCCTTAATTGTAACCCAGGGCAGAGGCAACACTTACGCATGAGGGCAGATGTATTTCACATAAGGAAGCCGGATGGAGGACAGGGCCTCAGCCCAGCTGTGCCTGAAGTAGGGAAGGCAGAAAGAACATAGATCAGAACTTGTACTGCACAGCAGACAAACTAAAATGGAGAAGAAAGCATTTTCCACTGCCTGTCTCCCCCACCAAAACCCATTCTACTGGAAAGCCATGGTGGGACATTTTCATAGCTGCCAACTGTGGTTAGAAGCATTTATGCAAAGCTATGCATAAAGACGCAAGTAAATTTATATACCCTGTATGAGTAACTGCAATCCAGTAAAGTCGGTAAGTTCTCCTCCACCTGGTGCAGCATCCCAACAGGAGAGCTCAGCAGTCAGTCCACACAGACCAGCATTCCCCAGCCTGGCGCCTTTCAGATGTCTTGGACCATAATGTCCATCATCCCTGACCAATGGCCATGCTGGAATGGGCTGATGGGAGCAGTAGTCCAAGGTTTTTGTAAGGCACCAGGTTGGAGAAGGCTTGTGTAGACATACTGAGCTAGATAGACCAATAATCTGATTTGGTATAAGGCATTTTCCTATGTGAAAATGTGTTCTGGATTGGTAAACTATTGCTTTTGTCTCAACATCTCCTCATTCCAATCCTGCCGCTGCTCATGCTGGCTGGAATATTAACATTCAACATTTCCCAACTAGAAACAGGAGCTCTTTTGGGTCCAGGCTGCTGGAACAAAGAAGGTTTCCCCCTTCCCTTCTTGCCTCAGTTACTAACACAACCCAAACACTCACCCTGTGTCTCCAAGCCCATGTAAAAAAATGACCTGTGAAATCAAGCAGAAAATAACACATTAGGCAGCACAACAAGTGCAAAAGTGCTACCAAAGCACATCAGGAGCATCCTGTGAGACCAATTAGTTGCAAAAAAAAAAAAAGCACAGCAGTGAATTATGCTAAAGGGTAAAAGCAGGAAGGACCCAACCTAAAGTGAGGAGGAGAGGCTGGGAACGAAGAGCCTACACATCACCATGTGTGTGCCCCAGCTGTAATAAAAGAAGATGCCTCAACCACACCCCACGTCACTGAAAAGGGACTGCTAACGCATCATGTGCCCATCTGCACCTGGAAGACAGAGGCAAACACAAGACGTAAGCTGAGCCATGCAGAGAGGCCCATCATCTAGGATTCCTAAACCTAGGAATCTAGGAACCTAGGATTCCTAAACCATAATCCAGGATTCCTAAACCTAGGCACTGTGATAAGCTCACCCCATACATGCTCACTTGACTGCTTAGATCTCCAGAACCAGCACTCTACAAATGTCACAAAACATGCATTCCACACTTGTGAGAAATCCATCCTTTAGTGTGGCAGAACTTTGGAACTCCCTGCCCACTTACAGTAGGAGGCACCTACTGTAATACTTTCAGTGCCTGGTAAAATTTTGTTCATTTCAGCAAGCCTACTCAGGCATGTAGTTGCAATTTGTGTTTTTTAAATTTACTTATCTTCTTTTATATTTTAAACTTTTTGATGTAACTTTTTAAATGTTTGCTTTTGCTGGTATTTTTAAATGAATATTATAGATTGTTTGTAAACCACTTAGAAGTCTTTTGTTTGAGTAACCATTATATAAATGTTGTTTAAAAAATATGCCCCACCCCCAATAACTTCTGGGTCAAGGTTATTGCTTTCTGTGAATTAATCCGACAGGCTGCTACCACCTCCTCTCCTAAACCTTGCCTATTTCAAGCATTTAATATTTCACCTCAAAGAAAGTATAAGCTTTCGCAGGATCACAATATCTGGCTTCCTGAGAATCTCCATTTTCAAAAAGAAGATGTTTCTAGCCTTTATTGCTTTGAGGCCAAGTGGGTATGATCGGCAAAGTATCAAAAACCATAGATGTGGCCCAGCCTGGTTTCTAGTGGTTGAGGCTTCTGAGCCTTGTGTAACTCCTCTGCATTCCTCTGCATAATACCATATTTTTCCGTCTGTAAGATGCCCTCATGTATAAGACGCCCCCTATTTTTGGGGACTCATATTCAAGAAAATGGGGGGGAGATGTATCTGTATATAAGACCCACCCTAATTTTTGACATTATTTTTCGGGAGAAAAGCCTAGTCTTATACATGGAAAAATACGGTATATTTATTTGCTGAGAATGGAAACAGTAGAAGTTGTGCAGTAAATTATGCATAATAAAGAAATATTGCACAAATTTGCAAAAAATTATACAGGTTTAAGAATTCAGCATTTCTTGCTGAAGAACAGGGCAATTTATCTTACCATGGAGAATCACAGTGATATAAAGGTCCTATTTAAAAGGCAGGCTCTCCATGCAACGGAATCTGGCCTTTCGAAAATTCACACAGAAATGCTGGTGCACAGCTTCTTGCACCCCTCTGTTATCAATGTTATTCTTGACCAGCAGCCCAGATAGAGGAAACCAAACACCCGCTAGCAGAGCTGGATGTGCTTTGCTTCCCCATTTCTGTTGGCAACCACAAGTTCCAGCCTTCTTGAAGAAAAACAGAGTTGTTCATTAGAAAGGTCAGGGAAGTTAGCAATTCCAGTCCAGGTGAGAGGGTTAAAAAGCTTCCATCAACCAGCTACATGGCTACATCTCTGCAGCAGGTTACCACACTGCTAAACCCAGCAGTATTTTGGCAGTGACAGATCCACTTGCGGGCAGACAGGCCTGTTCGCACCATCAGTTACCTCAGAGTCATGTCTCCTGAGCAGCTTCAATCTCTGTTCACAAGCCAAGACTGTTCACAAGCCAAGTTAACTGAGGAGGCACACTCCGAATATTTACACCTGAGTATTCACATCCACTCCCCATGTGTCAGGCCACCAGAGACCTCTCTTGCAGAGAGGTTAGTGCAAACTAACTTCTCATGAATGTCTTCACAGGATTTACCCAATGGAAAGCTAGAGAATTGTAAAGCTTTGCTTCTGTTGCAGATCTTGATATATGGTTTGGCTGCTTACGACCTCTGAAAAGCACGGCTTTCATTTCTAGCGGAAGAGCAAGTTCCTAGCTATTATCACTGTGGTCTTTGGGAGAGGAAATTGTGCAGTTTCCTTTCCCTTCCTGTGGCTCCAAATGGTTATGCCAGAAAACCTATTACTGTCCTAGTTCCATCTTTCATTTAACACATCCATTCTTCTCTCTTATGTCTAACCCTCACCAAAACGGCTACAAATTCTACAAACACCTCTGCCTACCCCATCTCAATCAGGACACATTACAGCGAAACTCTCAATCACACAGAGTTCTTGACAATCGGAGGGTTGTTTCACAGATTTAACACTCCCCCCCCATGGAACTTGGGTGCAAAGGGGAGTTGGCTCTTTGAGAATTTAATCTCACTCCTTCCCACAGTTCTGAAACATTTAACACCCTACTCCAAATCTTCATAATCCCATCAGCCTTTTTCTCTGTCCTTTAAAAAGGAAACAGAGCCACAATAACACCTGCAAATTAATCAAGAGTCATTTGCATAATAGAACAAGGAGATGGGCTTTACAAAGTACTATTTGCTGAATTCCAGAATGCAATAATTTCTGTTGGCCAGAATGTGGCAAAATTTAGCATCTTTTGTCTGTTGGGCACATATGTTTGGAAAAGCTCAGTTACTAGTCCTTAGGAATGCAGAAAACAAACTTTTTTTTAAAAAAAAGTGTTCTGGGGGTTGGCAGAACTAACCAGTGGTCAGAAGGGAGCACTTCCGGTGTCCCCTTGCCTCCTGACCACTCACAGCCATGCCCCTGGAGACCACTCATCTCTTTACTCTCACAGCACTGAGGAGACCAAATACTGAAAAAGAATTATATACAAATAAGCCAATCTAGGCAAAATGTGTTTGATTTATGTAATGTGTTCTCCTTGCAGAATTTAGATCTTTGTGAAGGGGAGGGCATGGTTCACACAGATAGGCAGGAAATAAAACTGCAAGGTACATCTGATGGTGCAAATGCAGGCAGAGCCAGCAACAAGGGCGAGGATTATAGGAGCTTGGGAGCCTGGTGGGTGTCAGTGTCATTTCTGCAGAAGCGCCTGGCCATGATGGTTGACCACAGCAGCCCCACATTTGCATTAAGGGGGTGGTAGAAAGCAAGCCTTGGCTATTATTTCCTTGTTAGTGCAAGAGTAGTAGCGTCGAGGCCAACACAATTTGATACAGCTGGGCTAATTACCTGCCAGAGGCAGCGGTGGTGTTTTGCGCAGGTCCTACACAAACAACATTGTGCTGTTTACTGGAAAGGAACGAAACCAGGTTGATCTCTTCCCGCAGCCCTCCCCTCACCAAAGTTTCTCTCTGCACAATTCCTCTGCCACCACCCCCACCACCCCTTTCTCTCAAACAGCTTCTGAGTTAAAGGGAGGGCAGCCCCTTGACATTAGCAGCACCAAGAGGAGGGGGGTGGAGGAAAGAAATCCAGTTAATTCCCCTAATCTTTCTGGATCCCGACAGATGGCAAGCCAAGGAGAGAGACAAAGAAAGCCCTTACCGCTGCAGTCTCCCGCTCTGCCCCTGAAATGGTCACGGCATCGGCGAGGAGGGGGACAGACATGTTGTTACCGCACATACACCAATAGAGGTTTCCACAGCTCACGCCTGAAAGACACAGAGATAGAGAAACACACACACATTTATCATATGCATAGCACTTTTAATTTAAGAGCCGCTCTGCAATGCTTAATCTTGTTGGACCTTACAACTATGCGAAGAGCTAGGTCACTTTTATAACCAGGCAGGGTACAGAATCAAAAGGGGTGTGAAAGCCTCTCTTCAAATGTGTGCATGATGTACAAGTTCCCGTTCTGAAGCCCATCAGGTTTCATCTCTTTCCCTGTCCTGCATAAGGGCTAGAAGCTTGCTCCTGGATTAAAAATGAAAACCAAGATTTTCAGAGCAAAGGTTGCAACCCAGAAACCGTGGGCTTCAGACCAGCACCCAAGACCAAAAGCCACAAACAACTAGCTCTCAAGGTGGAATATCTACCTGGAAAACCTGGATCAGCTAGTTCCAGCAGTTGACAGTGGCAAAGAGAATATTCCATCTCTAGGCAAAGCAAAAATCCAGTCTGGTTTCCAAGGAGACTTTACATTTGCTAAAAAGTTTATCTGGGAAAGTTTCCGGTAGATATGAACTAACAAAAAGAAGGCTGCATACAGGCCAGGTGCAAAAAGACTAACATACACAACGTTTAAAAGCCTTGAATACTTTAAACTCCAACCTATCTCAGGCCATGGATCTCTTCTTTAGAGCATTATTTAATATAAAACGTGAAACACAAAGAGCTGCCTGAAATGTGACCTACAAACATTCCTCTGAAGGACACATGCGAGGATTCAGATTATTAATACCTCTGAAAACATTTCTGTACCCTTTTATAGTTGTCCTCTAGTAGACACACGTCAATGAATTATAGAGTTGAGGTCTGTAACAGATTATCTAGTCAACAAAATCCTATCCTATACTGAAACAACCATGAGGGTTTGTCCCCTAGTATTTAATCACAAGGTACTTTCCCACAAATTAAGTATGAACCCGTTTAATGTAGAAATATAAGAATAAGAAGTGCTACATTCATAAAAGGCAAAATTCAAAACCAGGATGCAACTAGAGGAATATACCGTAGGCACAAAATAATATGTATATGTGTGTGTGAACACATTTCGAACAGGCTAAGAATTGGCTACCACATGGTAGCTGAGCTCCCACTCTGTATTTCCCAACTCTGAGGGTTTTCAAAGCAACCGTGACTTGTTTTTTAAATGCTGCTTATCTGTTATATTCAGTGATATGGTTTGATAAGGGTTCCCTGTAACATCCTGCCAAAGGCCTTGGGAGGCACAGCTTAAGGACAGAGTGGGAGTCAGTGGCTTTTACAAAACTGCAGCATAAAGACCCTGATATTAAGCCTGGGATTTCTCATCCCAGCAAACCCCTCCTGCAACCAAAAAGCTGAAGGTTTAAAAGTAGTTTTTGTTACTTCTATGCCACCAGTAAAGGACAAGGCTATTTATATAACCACTGATAACAGTGCAGGGGCATAAAGATTCAAGAGTCTGTGCTGCCTCGGCTGCTATTGGAGATGTACTGATGCAGCCAATACCATGAAAAACACGAGCTATGCCCGATGGCTGCCCACTTGGGTGTAACTATGACCACAAAAGCCAGGAAGGTATCAAGCCATTGCCACACTGCCAGCACATCTGGAAGCCTATTATTAACCTAATCACGCAGTGCAAATCATCATACTACAGTGGTACCTCAGGTTACATACACTTCAGGTTACAGACTCCGCTAACCCAGAAATAGTGCTTCAAGTTAACAACTTTGCTTCAGGATGAGAACAGAAATCATGCTCCAGCGGCGCAGCAGCAGCAGGAGGCCCCATTAGCTAAAGTGGTGCTTCAGGTTATGAACAGTTTCAGGTTAAGAATGGACCTCCGGAACTAATTAAGTACTTAACCCGAGGTACCACTGTATAACTCAATTGCCACCAGATCACCTAAAAGCCCACATCAGTGTTACAGCCAAAAGCAACGGCAAGTTGAATGCTACGGTTACCCACAAAAGCTTAGAGCAGAGGCTAAGAATACAATCCAGAATCTGATCTTCTATTTAAAATAAACACCAAGTTTCTAGCCTCCTGTGACTGTAGCTATGCAAAGAAACTTGCCCGAAAAAGATTAGGAAGGAAGCGGGAATGAGAATTCCAAAAGGTGAGGACAAGAGTTATTATTCACTAATTACTGAACTTATCAGCCACACTCCAGTTTCTTAGCCCATGCTCCCTTGTCTTTGTTGTGAGCCCATCCCTTGCTTCCCTGAAATTAACACAAACAACAGAGATGTTCCCCATCAACAACACCAAACCCCCACACCCACCCACCCAACGGCAGCTCAGCAGACACTGGCCCATGGCAGGACATATTTAGTGGTGGTTCCCTGTTTGTGGAATGCTCTCCCTAGTGAGGTACATCTGTCTCCATCATTATTAATTTTCAGGAGGAATACTAAAACACTCCTTGTTTACCCAGGCATTTGGTGGCATGAACACTGCTCTTGGCAACCCTGAGATCACTGGAATGAATGAATGGTTTTAACTGTAACTTTTAGAATGCTTAAACTGTAACTGCTCTTAGAAGGTTTTAACTGTTTTAGAAGGGTTTTGTTTTTTAAACTGTAGATCTGTTTGCCACCCTGGGAGGGATATAAATTCAATTAATAAATAATAATAATAATAATAATAATAGTAACAATAAATGTATCCCACTTGAAGGATTTTGGCTATTAAAGCACAGAATCTTTAGAGGTCCAGCTCAAGCGGTCTTCCATCTCTACTGCAATAGGGTACCAGTTGCTTGAATAACATGAAGCAGCTGGCTCTGCTTGTTTCCCCCCCTCATCAAACAACTGTTATTTGATTATGTCACAGTGTGGTGTGGACTGGACGGGGCGGTATGCAGAGGGGTCCACAGTTATCTTTGTGAAGGGAGGATGAGAGAGAAAGGTGGACCAGATGACCCTCAAATCATTCACACCCTGATTCAAGTGCTGAGAAACCTCACCAAGCTAGATATCAACAATACATAGGAACCAAGTCTTCTTCACATTGCTGTATTTCCTGCATCTTATTTCTTATCTGGATGAAGCTGATCTTTCATAGGTCCATCAGCTTTTTACCTCCCCACTGAAAATGCCATATTGAGCTATTGGTGCAATCAAGTTGAATGGTTCAGATAAGGCCATTTGCCAAGAGTCCAGACACAGACTGATCCACTGCATTCCACACATGAATGCGTGAACAGTAACCTGCCCACAATTTTTTTCCTTGAATGAAATTATTATTATTATTACAAAATACAATAAAATAGCTTCTACAAAAAATACAAATCAAGTAATTAGACTCTTAGCCCTTACCACCCACAGAGGACAAATAAGCACCTTGGGAGACCGACATTTCCCTATCTCTCACCCAGGGTTCTCCATCCACCATCTACCACTCCCATAAGTATACAATCTCTGGACCTTAATAAAGGCACGAGACATAAGACTCCAAAGAAAGAAGAAAAACAAAAGAGAGAAACAAAAAGAGAAAGGAACAATAAGAAGAAAGAAGGGCGGGGGGAGACAAAAGAAGAAACATTAGAGAAAGATACAAAAAGAAAACTTCTGATTTTTCACCCACAGGTTACATAAAAAAGGAAAAAAGGATTATTTCAAATATTCAGTCCACGCTAACATCCATCTTCTCCACTTTCTGTTAAACAATATTTCTTTTATGTCAAGGTGCCTCTTTTTCTCATGAAAAGTCCAAGATTGGTTCTCTAATTGTTATTGCTATTGATAAATGTCAACCATATTTTTTCTTTTGCCATTACCTCCATTAATTCCCACCACCATTACTCCATATTGAGTGATAGTAAATTCTTCTGCCCATGTCCATTTTCATTCTTTCCAGTCTTTTTCCACAGAGAATACCATAACTTTAGCAGCATCATTTTCTTAATTCACTTCAGATTGTATGCAGAATACTGTCTCTCTACTAGAACTGAAGCAAGGCTAGGACTGAAGTTTTCTCAAAGTTTTTTCACCCCTCAACTTCATCAATACCATATCCAGATAATTTTCAATAATAATAATAATAATAATAATAATAATAATTTATACCTCGCCCATCTGGCTGATTTTCCCCAGCCACTTTGGGCGGCTTCCAATCAAGTGTTAAAAACAATACAGCATTAAATAGTAAAAACTTAAGATAGCCGCTTATTTCCTTCACATCTGAAGGGAGGGCGTTCCACAGGGCGGGCGCCACTACCGAGAAGGCCCTCTGTCGGGTTCCCTATAACCTCACTTTTATTTTCTCCTTCTCATCCAAATCAAGGCATGGAAGTCATTTCCACTTCAGCATCACCATCTGCTTAACTATTTCATGATCCAGTCCTCTAAACTTTTCATCAATTTAGTCTGAAGCCTCTGAGTATTCCCCTTCTCCATTTTCTCCATTAATCTCTGATCCGATCATTTGAAACTATTCAGTCATCAACTGTTGAACTACACCAACAGTCACTGGAAGATCCAAAAGTGCCTTTACCATAATGGACGTTTTTGATGTTCTGGATATTATTAGCAACTCAGTCTAGCTTAATATTTCCACCTTAAAATCACAGCTGCAACGTGTCTTATCTCATATTAACTTCTAACCCACAGCTGGCAACGGCCACTTTACTTTCAGTTTTTTCAGTTGTTTAGTGGCAGGAAAAGAGAAAAAGGGTTAAAGATTTTTCACACAGAGGTTCCCCTTGTCCATTTAATCATTATTGTCAACCATAAATCTGGAATTTTGCTCTGCCGTAGACACTCTGCCTTAGACAACAATCCATTTTCCTTTCTGTTTTCCTTAATGACGAAAGGTGTTACTTACAGATTTTCAGATTGTAGATTTTCACCAGCTGATGGAGGGAATTTTTGTTACAGTTTTCCTTGTCCCAGAAGTGTTTTAAAAAGAGAGGATGTGGGTCTTTCTTACCTGTGAAAATTGATTACGTGGAGTTTGGGCACGATGGCAACTCGTCAGTTTCCCAGCTCGTTATAACTCCCGTCCAAGCCACCAGGCATATAAAAACAGTCTCGATCAAAGCATTTGAGGTCAACTCCCAGATCACCCTTATCTGCATAATGATTAATAGTCAGACTATCTGTCTATTATCAATCACTACATACCGTAATTATCTTCTGTAAGCAGGAGTTAACAGAGAGGCAGCCAAACCGCCATTCCTCTCCCCGGAAGTCCTGTAACCTGCCCACAAATTGAGTGAGATGAGGACATACCAAGCTTGTTTATTCCACACCATCATTTTAAAGCCTACGAAAAAAAGTGACTAGACAGTACAGTATTCAAGCTTAGAATTCCATAAAGGCAAAGATCAGGGCCACAAACCTGTGCAAGGGCCATGTGTACATAAATCCACCAAAAAGCAAAGAACTTAAAGGTGCCTAATTCTATGTTGGGCGGTGACCAAAATATTTAAATTGCTATGCACATAGCATAGGTTGTTTAACTCCAACTTACATCAACTCCAGCCAGTGTGCCAAAGATCAGGTATGTTGGGATTTGAAGTCCAGTAACACCTAGAGTGTCACAGATTTCCTATCGCTAGTTTATATGATCTATGAGCACAAGTTGTTGAAAAGGTTGGTGCAGAAAATAGCAGGATTCCCTCATTCAAGGCACCCTGGCTCATGTGAAAAAAGCCATGAGAAATACAATCCCTAACTGTTAAGAAATCATAATCCCTTCCTCCCCCAAATGCATACCATGGCCTTATTTATATGAAGGAGTGTGAAAGAAATGTGTCAGATAGAAAATCTGGTCATCTGTGCATTAAAAAATTAAAATCAGACACTGGAATCTTAGTACCTTGCATACATTTTCACCTCTATACAAGGTACTCATCTTGAAATTAACACTGGTACTGTAATCTAATTACCCCCGCCCCCATTTTACACAATACAGTACTTAGGCTTGCCTCCTTTTTTTAAAAAAAGGAAAACATACCTGCATGCAGGGCCCATTCATTCCTAGTTGAGGAACAGATGTGAAAGTCTGTCATATATAAGGACTGAGGAGAGGGGAAAACATTTTACAGAACCTCATGCTAAACCATGCTAAACCAGAATGAGCTAGGTAGTTTTCAAGAACAATGACAATTTTGCTTGAATTTAAGAGAACTCACCACTTACAGCATCATGGAAATCAGCTTCCTTATTGGAACACAGCCAGCGTAACACCATTTTTTAAAGGGATCCAGTAAACTACAGATTAATTAGGCTAACTGCTGTCTCTGCTACTGACAGAAAACCTTATTAAGGGCTAGAATTGTTAAACATATAGAGAGGAAGAATCAGCTGAGGAATTAGTATCCTGAGGAAGATTCAGCACAGCTTTTTCAAGGATAGTTCTAGCCATTTTTTGAAAATTCCTTGAGCATTAAACATGAGACCTGCCAGACATATAATTTTGTCAAAAGATTTCAGAAAATTCAAGAATACAAGAACAGCTCAAAAGCTTTTGACAAAACTTTTTATCAAGGGCTGCTAAGAAAAAAACCCTTAGCATTCTGGTTAAAAAACAGGAAACAGACATTAGAAATAAATTGTCAGTTTTCACAATGGTGGGAAGCAAACTAAACTCCCTCAGTTCTGAATTGAGAATGGTGTTATTTCACCTATTCACAAATTATATGGAGCTGTATGTAGGAAACAATGAGGTAGCAGTAGAAGATAAAGCAATTTTCAGACAGGATGGAAGAATCCCAAGGAAAGAGACCGAAAATAAAACAGCCATTACATATATAGAAAACTGTGGTGCACCTACTATTAGAATACTAGGTTACCAGTTGCTCTGCCTCAAAAGGGATATTGTAGAAAAAGACAGAGTAAAGGGAAACAGAATATTATCAGAACTTAGGATCCCAATGAAGTCAAGCAGCAGCAAGCTCAGGATATAGGAGAGGATTACGTTGGGCATGCAACTCTTAAATTTACAAAGTGCACTACCAAATACTGACCACTAATTTTGAAGGGTTTTTTTTAAGTGTTTAAACAAATTCTCAGGAGGATAAATCTACTGGCCAATAACCCTGGAACAGTTGGAATATCCATGTTCAGAGGTAGCATACTACAGAATATCAGCTGCTGTGGACAAACAACAGGGGGTGGCTCTCATCATACCCTGCTCATGATTTTCATTTAGAGGCATCTGGCTAGCCACAGCTGGAAAAGAAAGCCAGACTAAAGAGACTTTCTGCAAGGCAATTCTATGCTCTTATGACCAGCACTTCTTTAGGAAAATGGACTGGGGAAAATGAACATTCCTTGTCCATATCTGAGTGATGGGGCAAGAGAAACAAGCTATTCAAATGGCAAATGGAATTTCATTTGTGTTCTCTGCTCATTCTCTAGTAACAAAGAGAAGTCATGCAATATTAATAATAATGCTTGTTCAGTAATAACAGCACTCTCAGAGCTAAGTACATTGCTAACAAAATCAGTCCCAACATGCTCCCAAAATACATGACATGAGTGAGTCCAAAAGCAACAGTAGCATAAAACTTTTATTAGGACCAACTAAAACGCTACAAAAGAGTGAGTTTCAAACAATTTGAAAGGTTGCTCACTACTTGGTAGTGTTTGAGGTGGCCCTAATAAAGGTGTTATGACACTGCTTCTGGAATTTTTTCTAGAAGACCTAAAAGACCTAACAACTACTTGTAATTGTTGTTTACTGGTTCAAAGAAGTCTCTCCCTAGTGCCTCCTGAACAGGATGCCATAAGTAGATGGTTGCTTGGAAAGAGAAGCCAACTCTTTAAGAACTATTTCACACAAATATGTTGTTCTTTGCCTGATATCAATTCCTATGCTATAGTAAAAAAAGATACTTCATTTCTTATAGGACACATAGCCCAACAAGCTGGAAATGGTTTATCAAACCTCCATGCTACAATATGGAGCATTTTACATGCCTGAGATGTATGGGGAAAGGGACTATATGTACTAAGAATAAATCTTCTTCCCTTCAAACCTTTCCCACACATTCTATTTATTGCTGTGGTGCTTTCAACCTTTGCAAATGGACCTGAGTACTTTACACAACATGAAATAAACTGATAGGATTTGCTACTGCCAGAAGTAGTGATTGATGGCCAACTGAGATGGTATTTAAAAAGGATCAGACAAACGCATGGAAGGACAAGATTAACAGAAACTTTTAGCCACAAAAGTTCAGCAAAGCCTCCATGTTTAAAGAGAGTATAACTGAGCATCAGATAATTGGAAAGGCAAAAGGCTAAGGTTCTTGCTTTCATGCTCTATCTTGAGGCATTTAGTTGGCTGAAGACAGCATAAGTAGTGGGCTCCTAGTCAGATCTAGCAATGTGACTTGTGTGTACTGTAATGAAGAACACTGTGCTGTGCATCTTCAGCCAAAACCACAACTCATCAGCTTGATTCCATTATAACTTGCTCTGGAAATTCTGGCCTTGCTGAATCAATTAACTTACAAATCACTCGATGTGTTTTTCACAAACTGAGTTTTTGTATAAGTCAAATTATAACTTCTGGCATGCTGACTGCAATCTTAGGCAATCTTGGAATGCCAAGGAAACATGGTTAGATCAGTCTGTAGGTTAACTAAGGTTTAAGGCATTCAAACTTGTGGTCAACTTACAACTAACAAAGTTATTATTTCTTCCTAACAAATGTATGTGTGTGTCTCTCCCACTTTAAATATTAAAGAACCCAGTCCATGAGAGACACCCATTTTCTATTGATGTGTGATGGCAAAAGTTCCAATGTAATCTACAGTTATTACACAATACAACATTGTAGTAAAGGCTATTTTGTTTCAACAAGCCTTTGAGTTCAGGTGAATCATATTCTTTTAGTTATCAAAGTTACGTTTTTATGCTGCTTAGTTTATTATTATTTCATACTGTTTTATTATGATACTTGCAATCCACTTTGGACATTATTATACAATGGAAAAAAGACAATATATGCTTTTAATAATGAATGTGTTGTCCACCTTTGTTCTAGGAATAAGGTAGAAGATAGAAACTGAGTGCATATCAGCTATTATTTGCAAGGGTACCTACAATATATGCAAAGGTTGTAAGCAGTTAAAGGTACTCAGGTCACTGCTCACAATAAAAATACAGTTTGCATGAGATACTGCAGCATGCAATTAACTTCTCTCCTATGATTTGGCACAGCTTTGGTTCTTATCCTTTCAGAAAGCGTCCCACCCAGATTCCCCCCCCCCATTCATCTGCACACACACATTCTACCCACGACCGCTTGCATCTTCCTGCCCACACTCATTCCCCCTCCTCATCCCCTGTCCTCTTAGGATAAGCCCATGCCAAGGAAGAGAAAGGTGGGCAGCTCCTGTACATCAAAGGCAAATGTAAATGTAAACTGGGAAGAGATGAGAAAAAATATGCACCTGCCAGGACACCTTTAAAAACACACACACACACACACACACACACACACACACAAACTCTCAGAATGACAGGGAGTCCTGGCAGGTGCATATTTTTCTCTCATCTCTTCCATTGTACTGTATCTGGTCCATGCTAGCACCTCCTTGTGCTCCTAACCCTCCATCACTGACCTCTTCCCACCTGTAACCCCTGGACACCACCCCCCCAAAAAAATCCAGCACCTCAAACCCTCTTCCACTTTCTCAGCTTCCTTTCCCTCCTCGCGAGTGTCACCTCCTGGCCACACCCTCCCTGCAGCCCGCCTCACCCTCTGCCTCCCTCCAGCCCACGCCCCCTCCGCTCCCACCCGCGCCCTCCCCCAACCCTTTACCTCACCGACCTGGGCCCCTTCGCGTGCCCCCCCCCTTCTACCAACAGCCCGCCGCTCACGCAGAGACCGGCCCACCCTCCTCCTCTCTCTCCCCATACAGAAGCCCCCCTCCGCGAAGAGACCCTCCCCTCGAGAACGGTCCCGATTCTAATTGCTCCCCTCCCCCCTCACCTCCTTCCTCTTGTCTCTTTCTACCCGGCTTCCAACTGAAGAGGATTCAGTCAGTTCTCGAGCTCACCAGACGGCTCCGGAACTTCCGCCGCCGCCGCCAGCGCGCGCGAGGTGGGCGGGTCCGCCCTAGCTTCGGCCCCGCCGGAAGTGTCGCGCGCCGCTCTATCCCGCTGGAAAGAACGGAGTCCGGAAGAGGAGCCTCGAGGGGCGCAGCCATCTTGGTTGGCGGAATTAACGACCCGCGGGGTTCTTGGTGCCGGTGTCATAAATTAAATGGCTCAGGATTTTCATATGGCTTTTTGCTGTTATTACAGTGGTACCTCGGGTTACATACGCTTCAGGTTACAGACTATGCTAACCCAGAAATAGTACCTCGGGTTAAGAACTTTGCTTCAGGATGAGAACAGAAATTGTGCTCCGGCGGCGCGGCAGCAGCAGGAGGCCCCATTAGCCAAAGTGGTGCTTCAGGTTAAGAACAGTTTCAGGTTAAGAACGGACCTCCGGAATGAATTAAGTACTTAACCCGAGGTACCACTGTATTTGAAATAGCAGCTTTTTTGTGTGGGTCTTGGTATTGGGGATTATAGCATTTGATGCCATGGCCAATTCATAATTATTATGGTGAACAGCAGCGTTGGCGTTGCTAATTATTTTTGCGCTCTTGGTATCAGCCGTTAGTCATAATAACGTCACACATACTGTACTTAATGGTAGCACGTGCCTGCTAACTGTATCGAGTTAGCAGGATAAATTTTGCCTGACTTGATTTTGAAAGTCTGACCAGGTAACCATACTGAGCATACCAGGTTAGAGGGCGATCCCTTCCTGTGAATTTAACATCCCACACCTATTAGCAATGGGTATGCCCGCGAAAGATAGATTAAGATTTGCTGGTACAACCGTAGATCGGCAATTCTTCTTTTAATTGGGTTTTATAAACAAGAATAATGTTATACAAACAAGTATACCAAGTTTTCTCATGTCATTTGTAGATCACAAAAATAGCATAATGTGGAAAAATATTTACAACATGTTTCATTATTAGTGGTCAGTGTATAAGTTCTTGGTTTATGAATTGGTTTAAATAATTAGGAAGAAGAGGAGAGGGGATGGGGAATCAGCAAGGACTTCTGACACAATTGTTCAACAGTAACAAGATTACCGTACTTATTTTCATCTATGTGCTGAGATGAAAAAAGCTAATTGGTGGTGGTGGGTGTTAATCAGTATGGGATTTTAGGGAGGGGTAGTGCCTCAGGTGGGGGACATGTGTTCTCTCTGGGGTAGTTTGTCCACCTTTGGTCCTCACCCTGCACTTAGCTCTCATAGCTGCTAGAAGCTGTCAGCATGCGACAGTGGCCACACCCTGGGAACAGCTTCCACTGGCTGGCTAAACCAGGTGAGGGTAGCCCATGGGTCTCAAACCCTTGTTGAGTTAGGGACTTCCTCTGCATGTGAAGACAGGCTCCAGTGGATTGAGCGGATGAGGCCAAAAGTGGGTCCAATGGACAATAAGGCAGTTTCTACATGCGCAGTAGAGGGAAGTGATGGGTAGATGGGGTTCATTAACCTGGGAAGGTAGCCCATCTAGAAGGAAAACACTGATCCTAAACCTCCGCTACCTTGCGGTATATCTTCGGGAGAAGAAAAGGCTAAGGAGTAAACCCTACACAAATCCAGAGTGGAGTCCCTAAGGAGGCTGGATAGTGCCTTGTACACTTCCTTCCCTTCCAGCATCTCCTGCAGCCAAGCTGGTGCCAAACGTACTGCTCTGCTTTCCGTTGGACCACATCAGTGAGACCAAAAGGGAGTTCTTGTTGTCTTGGCATCCCGGGACCTTCATACACACTGCATCCCATGGTCTGACTTTACTCCCAGAGGCACATTCCATTGTCTTGAGATGGATGCCAACAAATGGACTTGCTCACAACCACCACTACCAATGAAACAAATATTCCTCTTCCCTCCCTTCATCAAATGTTAAGGTGTAATAGGAAAAGGGCTGACATCTTTAGCCTATAAAGTGGACACTGAATGCACACGTATTTTGAAAATGTACAGGAAGCTGGATTGGCTGTTGTTTATACCCAGCAGCAACAAAGGGTTTATTACTTTGGCACATGTAAAGTGACATTTGCCAGGAAAGATGCACAGGACCGTGCTCTTTAGTCCTGCTGTTCAATGGGGAATAATCTTTTATAAGGGTTTAAGGCTGAGCCTTAGTTAAGAACTGGCTACTAGCAGGTTGGATTAGGAAGACTAAGGAGATCAGGGTTCAAATTCCCAATCATCCATGAAGATCACTGATCTTGAACTAAACATTTTCTCTTGGCCTAGCCTACTGGAGAGAGGGAAAACCACATACACCACCTCGAGCTCCTTGAAAGAAAGGTGGAATATAAATGTTTTGATAATAGGGAGGTTTTTAAGCAGAGGTTGGATGGCCATCTGTCATGGATGCTTTAGCTGAGATTCCTGCATTGCAGGGGGGAAAGATTTTTTAAAAATCTACTGTTGTCAACAAAACTAATGCTGACAGCAGTCCATAAATCTCAACCCTTCCCTACTATTTTATTTCCCCCTTGCCCTGCTTGTGGACTTCCGAGAGGCATCTGGTTGGCCACTGTGAGAACCAAAAACTGGACTAGCTAGGCCTTTAATCTGATCCAGCAGGGCTCTTCTTGTGCTCTTTGTACTCCTCCACATTTATTTTGTACCAGTCAATTGTGTCAGGCACTAAGGGCAGATTTCCTGCTTGGAGGGTTAAAAAAAAATGATATAAGCAAGGGACATACATGTTCTTTGCCATGTTTATTAGAAAAAATTAAGCCACATTGGTTAGAAAGTTAAGCCCAGGAGAGAGACATCCCTCTTCAGGTTTTAAATGCACAGTTGAAACTGTTGCATTTTGGCAAGCAGCTTACCGGATGATATTCATGGAGAAGCATGCAGTACTTTGGTGCACTGTCTGGAGCACAACCAAATGAATACTGCCATGTACAAGTCACATTAACTTTTGAAATTAGCCAAGAGCTCATCTAGAACACCAATAACTTATCCCCCTGTATAAAGTACATTCAAGAGGCAGAACAGAATCTCTGATGGTACAACACTCCCAGACCAAGTCTCCCACCAGCCTCACACCTTTATGTATTGCCAGCAGAAGCAGCAACTGAACAGGAAGATCACTGACTGAAAAAAACCAACTTCTGCCCTGACAGATACAACATAGTTGAGACAACCATGTTACAGGCAGGCAAAGGCCAATATTTCCAAAACCTACTCCTTCAATATTTGTAAGATCTCAAGCCATGATTGTCCTTAGCAATGGTATAATAATTGGTACCTAATTGCCAGCATTTAGTGCCCTGCTTTACCAAAGCAGCCACACCCACACCCACAAAAGAATGAACGCTACAATGCTCCTTATAGCCTCAAGTGTTTGACAGTCTTCGAAGCCTCCACAGCAGTCTGGTGGTGCACAAACCACTTAGGAAATGAAGTACGTCTCCGGTGTGAACTGATCAATTTTGTGGTCAGCTGGGTTTGCTGCTGCTTCGTAGTTGCAGATGGTCACTTCATGTCGATGAGGCTGTACAGGAAAGACAAAAGACTTCCTAAGATGCAGCACAGTAAAGTTGAGAATTGGTGAAAGCCAGAGCAGTCCTTTGATACCATTTCCATTTAGCAGGACCTTCTCTTCCACCATACATTTTCCCTAGAATACTCACTACGCAAAGATTCCTTGAGTAACCTGTGCATGCTTTGATGAGTTTTAAGATGATGCTAATCTACCTCATTGGGGATGCAGTGATGTCTCTTTTCATGTCTTGTCCCCTAAAAGTCTAGCATGCCTTATCACTCAGGTATGCTGTGTGCAGTGAAAAATGGCAGGATTGTCAAGACAAGTCAGCGGCTGCTTTAACCTGGCAGAGCTCTGCACTAGGGAAAACCAGCAAAACAGCTATAACTGCTTTGTTTACAATCATACCCCAATTTGGAGCAGCAGGTGGGATTGAAGACAGGCTGCCCATCTAAGGAATCTCTGCTTTAGATCCTAGGAGAGATCTTCCACATAACTGAAACACATTCTGCACAGAGAGCCTGGGGCCAGATTTGTAGCAATCAAGTGGCAGGTATATAAAAGTGGCATGTCTGCAAACAGCCACTCACTGAGTCATCTGTGAGACATAAGATGCATCAAGATGTGACAAGGCAGGAAAGCTGCTTTTTTTTTTAACAGAAGGGTGGCTCCCTTATACAACGTGCTAAAAGTAACAAGTAACCTTCAGGAAGTCAAGCAAGCTCAACGGGATAGCAGCTTTTGTGGACTCATCTGCATGGCTTGGGTATACGTCATACTCCTCATCATTACCACAGCAAATAGCACTAAGAACCATAAGGGGTGGGCACCTACTAGAATGCAATAGTTGCATTTAAACTTTGTTAATGTTTTACTATGGATGTACCTTAAGCACAGACTTTCACATGCTCTTTTCCACTAGCCACTAACAACAGTAGACGACAGCTAGGAGTCATTTAAATATACAACATCCAAGGTTGTCACATTGATTTTGCACCCACCCTGGAGCCTCTGCCCAGACAGAATTACATACAGAATTGTATGTAATTTGACTTGTCTCCTGCTATTATAAACTCTCCAGTGATGAAGGACGGTATAGAAATTTTATAAATAAGTAACAGTATCCTTGGTGGCCTTCCTGCTGGCACAAGATCTATCTTTGCTTCCCTTCCCTTCCCTTCCCTGCCCCCCCACCCCACATCTCTTTTTCCTTTTTTATTGTGTACTGATCTAGAAGCACGTGGGCTAGGGCTGTCTTGTTTTTCTATCTCTATTGATAATTTATACAAATTTAAGAAGCTCTGCATGGCCCTCTTTCCTCATAACTGCACATTTTTTTCAATTGTCATCTTGGCCCCTTACCTCTGTCCATTCTCCCCTCAGGCCTATGTAAAAGATCTTCGTTGTCTCAGCACCAAAATTCTTGGAGATGTGGATGGACAGATGATAAACATTTGAGAAGCGAGCAATTCTGAAACAAAACAGAAATTTGGTGTTCTGAATATACAATTCTCATTACAGACACGCAAGAGATTGCATTCTGGTCTCAGGGGTAATAATAATCACATAGGGATAGAAAAACAGTTTTGGGGGTCACTGTCTCTACCAACTCCAGACCGAGACACAAGCTCAGGAACTGACAAAGCCTGAAGGGAGAAAGGGATCACCTTAACTTCCTGGATTGCAGCAGCAGTTAAGAGCATTTTTGGCTGTTTCAGCAAACCAATCAGGGCACACTTGTCACTGGTGCTATCTTTCTTTTCTGGGAGAGACCTACCAATGCCTGATCCCTTACTGAAATACTCCTCTATCAGATGCTGCCCCTTAAAGCCACTCAATTCACTTCTTGATTTTTGGGATTTTTCAGTGACTACACTACTGATCACATTTAGAGACCGTTGTGCCTATTTATGCCTTATAGTACCCCCCCCCCCATTTAGAGGGCTTCTAACTCTCTGAAATTCCAGTTTTGTCTGTTCAGCAATACAACCAACCTACTACATTCTTCTTCCTGCCTTTCCTCTTCTGGGGCACATGGGGGATCATGTCACCTTGGGAAGTTAATTCAGAAATTGAATTACTTCAAAACCAGGGCTGCAACTTTCCACACCCTTAAATTTCCTGTGTTTTTTTATTCCAGAAAATGGTACATATCACCTTTGTTCTGTTGTAATGACAAAACATCACATCAATAATAACTAATTATAATATCACAAAAGGAAATGGGAGCAAATGATGGCAGTTAATGGGTGTCACACAAACAGGAGGCCAAAACCCCATGATGGATAGCTTTTGCTACATTTCAAGTCTTCTCCAGCCACAAAAGACTCTCTAAACCTCAATTGCAGAAAAAAGCTCAAGAAGAAGCTGGGTAAGGAAAAAGCTTCTCTACAGTCTAGGTATCAAGTTAACTTCCCTTCTTTGTCTTCTTTATTAATTTGCATGTATCCAGCTATGGTGCTTAGTTCCCACCCAACACATGCGCTTCAGGAGCAGCAATTAAGCACCATACCACATAAAACAGCAGTGGCAAAAATGCTGTTTGTGAGCTATACCAGAAAATAAAATATAATTAAGAATCAGTCTGGAAATAAGACAGTTGCCCTTCTCTTTATGTTCCGTTTCTTACACCAAACATGTCTGTACTGTAGAAATATTAACCAATTTAACTGCCATGGCTCCTTATGCTCAAGAACACGACAAATTATAGTTCAAAAGAGAAGGTTGTGACATCTGGTACATGGAGAACTATCAGAGAGATGGTGCTGAGGCACAGGTTGAATATTTGTTTCCAGTTTCAAAACAAGGGAGTTCTGCACATCCCCTGTGAGAGCTGAGCAATGACTCACTTTGTAGGATATTCCAGTTCTCCAGTAACGTCACGATTCAGGCTGAACATCTGATCTGGTTCTCTGGCAGTATCACCAAAAGACATGTGAGGAATGTTCTTAAAGCTGAAATAAATACAAGACAACAGCAAAGGTCATCCTGCACAAATTCAAAGTTTGCTTACATATCCCAACCACTGTAGTAATTTGGCTTTGTACTGCGAAACATAGCCCAGCTGCTAGAAGCACCACACAAATGGAGAAATCAGAAGACAAAAACAAGTTATTTTTCACATCCTGGTGCCCTCCAACTGTTTGGGACTGCTATGGCCATCATTCCCATGCACCACGGCCAAAGGTCAGGGGGGCAAGATCTGTAACCCACCACCACCAGGAAGGAACCAGGTTGGAGAAGGCTGGCTTAAGACATGCTCTAAGTATGAATTGTGTATTGATTTGTAATGATTTGTTGGGTCTCTGGACCGTAACAAAGATTGACTGATTGACATGCTCTAAGTCTATCTATTGCAAAGGCAGCCCAATATTGTGTTTTGGAGCTGCATATGTTTTTGAGCTACAACTCCCATTAGCCACAACCAGCATGGCCAAAAATCAGGTATGATGGAAACTGTAGTTTGCCAACATCTGGAGGGCACTACAATGGTTACCCTGCTCCATTCCACTGGTCCTCCACTGGTGGGTTGGGATCCACTGCTGGGTCACAGATTGATCTAAGGTAGGTCACAACAGCCGAAATACTACCCTGAAAGTACAGGTAACTTTCATCTTATAAAAGGCTAGGTTCCAGGGGTCCATGCGTATACACAAAGATAAATTAAGTCATGAACCCCCAGAGTCAGCCCCCCTGCAAGGTCCAGCGCTACTTGCCCACCTTTGGGAAGGAGGTGGGAGGACTCTAGGGCCCTGCCAGAGCCCTTATGCCTCATTCCCAAAGCCCAGTGCCTCACTTATCTGGCTCTGGGAATGTGGTTCAAGGGCTCTGGGATGCTTCCAGGGCCCTTGCACTGCTTACCCAAAGCATGGTAAGCCCGCAATTGCAGCTTTGCACAGGTGAGGGGAATAAATAAATGGAGAGTGGGTTTCCTCCACTCTCCATTTACTTAATCATTTCCCTTACCCACTCACACAAAGCTATGATAGTGTAATTAAAATAAGCATAGATGTGAGTTACCTGTATGTAGTAAAAAAAATTAAGAGATACGTCCCCAAATGCATACTTGAGTTGAAGGTGAGTCCCAGGTCTGAAATAGTAGTTGGAAGACTACAGTACTGCCCTAATGTACTACTTAGAAAAGGAAACTGCTCCTCCTGTTGAAAAAGAAAGGAACTACAACTCATGGATCTCTGAGTAACTGGGCTGGTAGATCAGTAGTCCCAACATTGCTACCTAGGGGAAATATTGATTTAATAAAAGTTAGCAATTAAAGAATCTTCAGTCACATCCCCAATTCACCAGCTCCCTGTTCCTTTGCGACTCTGCCCTCAAACCACCACAGATGACAGAACAGCAAGCTACCTGCGAAACTCCTGCACCCAACTGCTAAGGGCACCAACCTGCAAATGCCATGACAGCAAAGCCAAATGCCAGTTTGCCTAGAGCACACAGCCAAAGCAGCAATATTCCACTGCAGCACTAAAGATGGCTCTCATGATTCTACAGTTTCAGTCTTCACAGTTGCACACAGGAGTGTCAAAATGTGCACTCTTCCTGATGAATGTGAGGGATCTATGTATGATTTCTAGGGGGTCCCACAGGTCATATCATAAGCTTTTATTTGTATGGCCCTATTTTTATGGGCTCCACCTAAGAACTAGCATCCTGTATTTTGTTCAGAGGCGACAAAGGTGCGAAGAGTACCTTAAGTACACTATGTGCTACCAAGGTGAGGTGGGAGTGGAAGGAAGGCTTGCCAAGTGGCAAGATGGTTAGAAGGAAATGGGACAAAGCAGACACCTGAGGAAAGAAGGAGCTGAAGAATGGGAGGCACTCTCCTACTTTCTCCTACGTAGGACTGGGGCACAGGGACCATTCAGCAGTGGCAGGAAAGCAAGGGAGGAGCACGTGTTAGTATAGAAGCCAGATCTTGACAAATTCTGCCAATTGTAGCTTCTGATGTCACTGCTACATGATGACCTGGAAGTTATGAGAGTAAAGAAAGACAGTTCTTCGGGCAGAGAATTTGGGTATGGGCAATTTCAAATTTACTGTACTTAACCGTTTACTGCAAGTTACACAATGGCCAGTATTGACTAGAATAATAGAAGAGCTAAAGCAAAAAAAAATAAAATAAGAATAACCACTCAGTTATTGTCTTGGTAGGATTAGGCATTTGCACAGCACAACAATTCCCCCACAAAATATTTCCCCTTCAGCCCCACTTACAGTCTCATTTCTGATGGGTGTGTGTCATCATTGTCTCCCATCACAATTATCCCTTTTAGTTTCACATTGCCGGTAAAACTGCAACAAGAGACAGATTGCTGGTTTTCCAAGTACAGTAGATTTAAAGCATTTTTTAACAATCCAGAAGATTCCTAGGTGGTGTACTAAAGTGTAACATAATCTGTACTCATATGATTAAAATCTTGCTGTAAAAATGTCACACCTTCAACATTGTCTGATGACTCTTCAGAACATTGGAAAGACTGTTGCTGTGGGTTGCCATCTTTACCACCAGTCATACTGCCGCCCAGTCTACCCACAGCTCCTTCTGCACCCCCCTCTGAAATTTCTATTATGGCATCAGCTGCTGGAGAGTGCCATAAACACTTCACATATCCCTAACACATCACTCTTTTTGTGGATTTTTAATTGCAACCTGCTTTGAGAGTCAGTCTTTCCTGAAAATCAGGTAGAAACAAAAATAAAATTATAGTAGCCATCTTCCAAAATTACCTCTTACAGCTTGACTGCCACCCAAATGCTCTGCATTTCAAGTTACATTTCAAGAGTGAGGAAAAAACAGCACTGAACATGGAGAGACGTGAATGTCAATAAATCATGCACTCATGCGAAATAGGTACTTACGGAATATTAAACAAAAGCTCTTCATCATCATCGCTTTCTACAAACTAGAAGAAACATAAAACTCCATTTAATATAAGGAAATTTATATCCAGTGAATAAAAATGTTGTCCTGCATGGCACCTTGAGAACACCAGAGGCTACTTTTGGGTTGTAATTTTTAAAGAACAAGTTCCTAGCTATCACAGCTAAGAAGAAAAGTCTGGATGCATGCAGGCTGGGCAGTAGCAACATAAACTGAAAGAAAGCCTTGCAATTAAATGTACATATGTTACCTCAGCCCACATATTTCAGCAAATAAGTTATGCTACTTATTCGTTTTCTCCTTGAAAAATTGAGGAGGAATCTGCTTCCACTCTGCAAGACCATCCTCTTGGATTGCCTGGAAGCAATAATGATCCACCCTAGGCAGGTGGCTATTTCCAAGCCTGGGGGAGAGGCCATCTATTATGCCTCCCAGAACTAATGCGCTGTGACTCACAGACCACACCTGCTGTCAGTCTAACCCTGTTCTCTATGCCCATACTATTCTTGCCCAGATAATTCAATGTGACTTCAAAACCTGAATTTTAAGTGCACAGACAGAAAATATATAATTTGCCTTAATTCATCTTGCAGAATGCAGTAATTTTCTAGGCACAGAATTCTGGACATCTAGGCAAACACATACAAATCCAAGTCTGTCTTCTTTCAAACCTCTTTGCACTTTAAATCCAATACAGGCAAGTACACCTTAACTACCTATAAAACAGTCCTATAACATAGTGTACACTGGGAATCTATCAGGAGACATAAGCAATAGTGCCAGATGGCACAGCCACCTCTCTGACCCTTTCCAGTCAATACACAAACTGACTGGACCAGGTGGTGTAACAAGACCTGTCCCTTCACAGTCAATGTATTACGTACATTGACAGACAGTACTGGAAACCAGTAAGTTTTTGCTTCTAAAAGTAGGACTGTCTTATCTCTCTCTGACCTAAAATGTACCCTGGACATCCTCAACACTTTGTCTCATATGTTAAGGTTCTAATGGGAAAATGGCATCATGCTTCACATTACTGTTCCCATCCTAAATATACTGTATGCCTTCTGAAGTAATTTATACAGTGGTACCTCGGGTTACATACGCTTCAGGTTACATACGCTTCAGGTTACAGACTCTGCTAAACCAGAAATAGTACCTCGGGTGAAGAACTTTGCTTCAGGATGAGAACAGAAATCGTGCTCCGGCAGTGCGGCGGCAGCAGGAGGCCCCATTAGCTAAAGTGGTGCTTCAGGTTAAGAACAGTTTCAGGTTAAGAACGGACCTCCGGAACGAATTAAGTACTTAACCCGAGGTACCACTGTATTTATATTGATGGAGTTAACTTTCATAGTAAGCATGCAGACTCCCGTCAATCTTATTTGCCATATTAAATTTGTGAGCCCTCATAAGAAGAGCTGCTGGATCAGGCCAATAACCCATGTAGTTCAGCATCCTGTTCTCACAGTAGAGAACCAGATGCCTGTGGGAAACCCACAAGTAGGACCTGAGAACAAAAGCACTCTCCCTTCCTGCAGTTTCCAGAAACTGGTACAGTGGTACCTCGGGCTAAGTACATAATTCGTTCCGGAGGTCTGTATTTAACCTGAAACTGTTCTTAACCTGAAGCACCACTTTAGCTAATGGGGCCTCCTGCTGCCGCTGCACCGCTGGAGCACGATTTCTGTTCTCATCCTGAAGCAAAGTTCTTAACCTGAAGCACTATTTCTGGGTTAGCGGAGTCTGTAACCTGAAGCGTATGTAACCTGAAGCGTATGTAACCTGGGGTACCACTGTATACAGAAGTATCACCATGGAGGCAGAGCATAGCCATCATGGCTAGTAGCCACTGATAGCCTTATCTCCATAAATTTGTCCCATCCTCTTTTAAAGCCATCCAAGTTGGTGGCCATCACCACCTCCTGTGGGAGCGAGTTCTGGAGATTAACTATGTGCTGCATGAAAAAGTACTTTATTTGTCCTGAATCTTCCAACATTCAGCTTCACTCAGTGTCCATGAGTTCTAATGCTTTGAGAAAAGAAAATGGTTTCCCCCCTATCCACTTCCTGAATGACATGCATAATTTTATAAACTTCTATCATGTCATCTCACACTCGCCTGTTCTCTAAACTAGAAAGTCCTGAGTGCTGCAACTTTTCCCCATATGTTTTCTGGATAAAACTCTAGTTTTTGTTTTCTAAGCATGCCGGTTTTCAATTTATACTGTTAAGAAGCCACCTTCAGATAGCTTACCTAAGAGGCAGCTTACAGATATCTTATATAGATAAGCCTTGTTTCTACTGCAACAGAATAAACACTGTTACCTCTCTGGAAAATGCTTAGGATTTTTTAAAAGTTTCCACTTCATAACTGAGTTAGAATTTGTACATGGAAAAATACCTTTCTGCGCAGTTACCACACGCATCCAATCATAATGAATGGGAGGGTTAGTGCCTGGGCGTTTGACACACACCCTTGACCCTCCCTCTGCCCTTCCCCATAACCAGCACCTTCGCTGGGTCGTTATCTACGCCAGGAATGGGGAGGCCTGTGGCCCTCCAGATGTTGCTAGACTCCAACTCTCATCAGACTCAGCCAGATGGCCAATGATAGGGATGCATGGGTGCAGCCAGGGGGAGCAGCAGGTGCCCCCAATCAAGTAAATAAATGAAAAATTCTTAACTAACTGAACAATTGCGTCAAAGACAACTCGATTCTGACCCCCTAACCTAAAGCCTGCCCCTCCCCCAAAAATAAATCCTGGGGGACTTCCGGGGTGGCGCCTCCGGAAAATGGCGGAATTCCCTTCGGACTGAAGGGAACCCGCTGCACGGAGGCTTGGGTCCTGCCGCTACGGCGCAGCGGGGACCCGCAAAAACCACAGGCAGAAGAAGCCTGTGGACGTGGGACTCGGCGGGCACCAAGAGCGCTCTCTCCCTAGGCCAGGAGCCCGGTAACGGGCTCCGGAGTGGGAGGTGCGTGGTGCTGTGAGTCGTCTGCTTCCTCCGTGCAGCAAAGCCGCACTGCCGTTATCGGAGAGCGCTGCCTTTTTCCTGGACAATTTGGCATCTAAAACATCTATCCGTGAGTACCTGATCTTAGAAGAGCTGAACCACTTTTAAGACTGGTGAATAAACAAATAATATTGGACTTGAAATTGAACTTAATTGGGACTCGGAATGGGAAGGTCTAAACAGGAAGTCGCCTTCCGTTCTTTTGTTATGTGAAGAAAGCAAAGACAAAATATACTAAAGCCTGAAAATTAAATTTTAAGAGAACTAGAATTCAACATCTAAGATTTCTGAACCCCCTTTGACAGCAGGAGAAAAAGGGGTTGTATTTGGACTTTTCAATCCTGCGGAAGTGAGTTTAAAATAAAGCAATTTTCCACCGCCCTGAACCAGGAGCGGGCTGTCAGAATTGACGTTCTGAAGTTTATCCAGCTCGACAGTTAGTTAAAAGAAGGGTAACATTTTGATTCTACTGTTGCCTCTTGAATTTGGAAGGGGAATTTTGGATAAAGTGTTTCTGGAAAAAGAAAGATTGTTGCTGTTGCTTTTATTCCTTTAAAAAAAAAAATTCCATCTAGTGGAATTTAGTGAAATTGCAACGCAGAGAGATTAAAAGAGAAGGACTATTGGACTATTCTCGTGGGAAAGAATTTTCTTTGACCTTGAAGGACAATGCTAGTACAAAGGCTTGAACAATTGTTCCTGGAAGGTTTTTCAAAACTAAGTGCCCAGCTGGACCAGATGCGTCAGGAGACGACCTTGAGGATGGAAGTTACCAGAGCACAGCAGCAAACAAATGAAATTCAGTTAAAGGCTATACAAGCATATGAACCTGCTGTAGTGACGGAGGCTTCAGAGATGGAGGGACCTTTGGACGGGCAAGATCAGCCTTTGAACTTGATAAATGAACTTGGGACAAACCAGATTCGGAAAGATGAAATGTGGTCAGATTTGGAAATGGGGGATGGATCGACCCCTCCATATGGTTATTTGGACCTTCCGAGTCTGGTGATGGGCTATCAGAGGATTGGAGTAGCCGAAGTCTCCAAGCTTTGTGGAAATTTGAAGTGGTATTATTTGCTGTCTGGCTTGGGCAATGGGTTTGGGATGGACTTGCTGCAAAGGGTCAAAAGCATTTTCTTGCTGGAGCATCCACGACTGGAAAGGAATCATCAACAAGAGTGGCGAAAGGGGCAAGAAAGAGACTTGAGGGCCTCGGATACGAGACAACCAGGTTAAGGGAGGTTAAAAGGACTGACAATCCCGGGTCCAGGGGAGGGGAGGTTGGAAGCTGACTGGACTGAATTCGACTTATTAATTTTTCTTTTTTATTTTTTAATATTGGGAATGCTTACAAATGTTTGAAGGATGTTGAATGAAATTATATGGCTTAAGTAAGGATTGGTAAATGATTCGTAAAAAGGTAATGATGCAAGAATTTGTTAAATATTGAATATAAGCTATGAGTTTTAAAGTTTTTATATGACAAGAGAGAAAATAGAATAAGGAAACGTAATGACAGATTGTTATGAAAAAACAGAAAGGATTTGCTGTAAAATTAAAAATTAAGAAACAAAAGAGGGGAGGAGGAGGAAGTCTAGAAAGGAAGTCAATAGAGATTGTAAAGGACTTTATATTTTTGTTTTTCTGTTTCTCTTTTTTTTTCTTTCTTTGCGGCTGGGTTTTCTTTTCTTTTTTGTTTATGCACTATTTTTGTTTTTTGTATCCTAAAATTTTTTTTTTTTTTGGAAATTTTTGTTGTTATTTTTTGAAAATTCAATAAATATCAATTATAAAAAAAAAACAACAAAAATAAATCCTGGCTGCACCCATGCAAGGATGTCAAGAGTTGTACTTCAGCAACATGGGGTCTAGTGTAGCAACCTGTGCTGGTGCATTGCACCAACGCCTTCAAGGTGTTGTCGAGCTACAACTCCCTGGCACAGCCCATGACGAGGCCTGGTAGGAGCTGCAGCTCAGCAGCACCGAAACGGCCACAAGCTCCTCCCCCCCCAACCCCTCCGGGAGGCGAGAAACAAAAAAAGGAGGGCAGACCTTCTGGCGGTCCCCGCGGTCTTCCCAGGCGCGGAAGACAAGAGCCCCGCTGCCTTCCCTCCGCTCGTTCAGGCACTCCAGGCGCTCGCGGTCGATGCGCAGGTAAAGGCCCCAGGCCTGGCCGCGCCGCTCGGGAGGCTCTTCGTGGTCGTCGCTATGGCAACAGCTGCCCCCGCCGTGACTGTGCCCGTGAGACATGGCCGAGCGCGTGGCGACGCCCCCCGCACGCCCCGTTCCCCGCAGCGATAGCCGCAAACACGCAGCCACACGCACTGAGCAGAGGGAAAGAACCCGGATGTCAACAATGGCAGAGCATGCGCAGCGCCGCCTTCAAAGGCATCTCCCGGCCCTGCGAGATGAGGCCGGCCTCCCTTGGCTCCTCCCGCGTCTCTTGAAACACGGTGCCCGTTTCGTTATAGAGCTAGAAAAAGTATAGAGTGTCCCCGCACAGCCTGAACTAATCTAGTCCAACCCCTTTCAATGAAGAAATATGCTGGTAGCCCATGTGGGGATCGAACCTGCGACCTTGGCATGATCAGCACCACGCCCCAACCACCTGAGCATTTATCATTAATGTTATTGTTATTAGTTGCGCACTCTTCATCCCAAGGTCCCAGGTGAAGTTACAACATTAAAACACAATATAAAAAAAGTTCAAAACATCTTACAACCCCAACAGCAATATGAGTCTTAAACGTACAAATATCAAGTGTCAGTAAGCAACTGAGGTATAAGTGACATTCATGTGCCATTACTTGGTCATAGACAGTGTCTCCTAAAACCAAGTCACACACTTTATACAGAGCTTTCCAAACTTTTCATGTTGGTGACACTTTTTAGACATCCATCATTTCACAACACAGCAATTCAGTTTTACTAGCAAACCAGAGGTTAAATTAACCCCTTTCCAGCTCCAGGAGGAGTGCAGAGAGTGTTCATACGACACACTAATGTGGACACCGTTTGGAAAGCTCTGCTTTACATGTAGACACGATAGAATTGCCACATGCCACAACCAAGACACATATGCAGATTGTGATCTTGAACTCACAGAATCCTTGAGTTATTTCATTTATTCTTAGTAGTCCACCCGCCATACTTTCATGGCATTTACAATGGCCCTGTGGACACATTTGGAAACTATTGCCTTGTGGCAAGCATGGGTGATCTGTGGCCTTCCACATGTTGTTGGACTCCCAAGTCCCAGCAAGCAAAGCATACACCTCAACAAACAACGCAGAACAGACAGACACAAATGTCCAGTGTTTGGCTTTTATTGAGACACAATTTTCTTCCTTTCATATAACTTATCTAGTTAAAATATTCATCTCCATATAGTTACCACAAAAAAGTAAAATAGAAAACTGTTATTTACAGCTGTGGGAAACAAAAGACAAATGCAATTCAGCATTACCTTTTCCTTGTAGTATGCAAAAAAAAAAAAAGGAAGAAAGGGGAGGAAGGGCACTTTCATTCAATTCCTTTGCATGTAGAATAGCTCTGAAAATTGTACCCATTTTAAAATGTGTGGGAAGCCCCAAGAAGAATCAGAATTGGAGTCATTTTACTCTGCACGAGATTGTTTGTGTATCACCCAGGCACTGAAAAGCTTAAAAAAAATGCTTTTTAAGCCAAACTGATCTAGCATCTGGCTGGAGAAAAAGCCCACCTGTAAAATAGAGGGATATGACAATGTGCTAGTTCATTCTCCATTGGGTCCGCTTTTCCTATTTGAGAAAATTTGTTCCAGTATCACTGAGCTAGACGTCACAGTATTTGCACTGCAACTTTCATCGGACAATGCCACCTAACTAGTCCGTAATACTGATAAGACAGCTGAAGTCTCAGATTAGACACAAAGGGTGGAATATACTCGATGGCTCAGTTTCAGTGGTGGAATACACCCAATGGCATAGCTGATAGCAGCAGCAAGTATCATCCAGACACTCATCTCTACCAACAAGATGGCAATAGCAACAACCAGAAATTAAGGGGCAAACCCTGATCTCAGAGAACTAGCCCACCCAGCTGCCCATTTTCCAGTCAAGCAAGCCTGATATCACATCATTCCGGTCCAGTGGCTGCCACAGTCACCGCCCCCCTGCCATAACTTATTGTGTGTTGTACACTATGGAGCTTTCTCCTACACCAGGGCTGTTGCAGACTAATGATATCATACACTGCAAGGTGGGAGGGGCTACAGCCAGCTGACCATTTCAAATACACAATTCCTCAGATGCTTCCTTGGTTAGTAAAAACAGGGAAACCACCCACGTTTCCTTTACTCTTTGTGGCTAACAGAAGGGATATTTTCCAGGGTCAAATGCTCTTTCCTCAGTGATTGATAATTCTTCAATTCCCCCCCCCCCATCCACACCACCGATCCCAATTATTACAAGGAGAAAATACATTAAGTACAACAGTTGGCAGAAGATTTATCTATATAATAAACTAAATACAGCAAAATGAAGTACAGCAAAAAGCAAAAAGGAGCATGATTTTCTTTTCTTTTTTTCAACATCACAACACACCTTGAAATGCTACACGATCTCATTAAAGCTTCTGCGGAACTTTAATCAGCTCCAAACAGCATGAGAGAGACCAAGAGTCCCGTTTTCGAACACCATCATCATTAAAATTTTCATGTGTGTGTGTGTGTGTATGTATGTGTGCATGTGTATAAAACTGGAACTTCGAGGGACATTGAGGTGCTTTTTTCAGCTTAAAGAGAACATCAAGAAGGTTTTCAAACCCTGCATGGCACACACTTCATAGGTCCCATCGAGCCCCAAGCATTGAGGAATTAGCAGCAGGGTTTTTTAAAGGTAAGCAGGCCTTCTTCAGCTGCTGCAATTCGGTTAACACCACCGAGTGTCAGTCAAACTGTGGAACATCCTTGCAAGGCCTGAGTTTACAAGAGCGAGGCTGAAAAACCACTGAAGAAAGAGATTCCCATCTTCCACTTTCACGTGATCAGGAAAGGGCTAGGCTCCTTCATAAACCCCCTAGCCGAACTTCATGCAGCCTTGGCAACCAGAAAAACACACCGTCAAGTCTCCCAAAACTGATTCAGACCTGCCCAACCAACAACCCCCACCACCATCAGCATAAATAATAGCTGAAGCCTGTGCTCCCTCCAGCTGCTGAAAAAGCAGGCCCCCAAAAGTACAGATGCCTCAAACTCCTCAGACAAACAAGAAAGATGTAACTCCCAGTGGATTTTCTCCCTTGGCCTCTTGCATGGGGAAAATTCAGGTCCAGATTCTACTCAGTTGCACAAGCTGCCGCTTCAAGGTAGACAAAACACCTGCATCTTTTGCCTGGAGCTCCTTCTAAGATTAGGTGCCGTCCAAGATTCTTGGGCGAAGGAAGTTTCATCATCTTCCCATCTAGAAGCTCAATGTGAAAACGAAGACAGGCTGTAAAGCTACTCCATGCATCTCTCCCAAAGTTCCTTGCAGGGAACTGATTAAAGTGCCAGTTGTTGTCATCATTTAATTAAAAAAAAAGTCAGAAAACAGTCTGACCAAAAACTGGAAGTGTGTATTAGAACAACAACAACACCCCCAAACACACCAAGAGAGGTGTTAGGAGCAGGGACACAAAACCATAAACATCACTATTCATTTTTAAAAATAAATTTGGCTTTCAAAAGCAGAGATCAGTCTCCAATTCATCAGACTGCTTTAAATTTAGATTTCTGCAACCTGCCATTTTCTCTCCCCTCCTGAGGCTCCTCCTCTCAGATCCGGTGTTGTTTTTCCTATGAGTTTAAAAGGAAGAGGAAGAAGTGGAAGAGCTTTATCATGTGTTTTTTGCCAAATGAAGAGAAGGGAGAAATGGCAGGGGGCAGGGACTGTTTTGTGTCCATATGTAGAAAGGCCTAATCAACACATATCTGGCATGAGAGTTTTAGGAATAAGAGGGAAAATGGGCATTTAAGAATTGAGGGGATAAGAACGTGCTGCACCAGGGATGATTTGATAGAGGGCTGGCAAAACCATGGGGTGGATCTAGGGCTCTGGGATTCCAAATGGGGTTTGAGAAGCAGCAGTGGCTGCCACAGTCACAAGTAAAGGCCTTTGTTCGTAACAGTACCAGCAAAAAAGAACTCTCCAAACTGGATGCTAGGAGAGATCAAAATCCATACATATTGGGACTGAGAAAAGAACACTGTAGGTAGAGGAAGAAGGTATTCCTTTCCATTCTGGAGTTCAGAGAAAGAGACTGAAGGAAGAGCAACAGTTTGTGGACCTTCTTATCTCAGCAATTGCCAAGACTTCACATTTTAAAAAACCAGGTTGTAGGAGCAGAGGAAGGAACTGGAGGGCTGCTTTGAACAATACTGTGCTGTTGGTCTTAAAATTGGGCTTGGGGGGATTCTTAGCCACCCCAACCCCTCCCTGTTTTCCCATTAAGCACTGCTTCCATCAAAAGAGGAGGAGAATAATTCCCTTCTCGCTCAGGCATGGGTGTCTTTATCTCCGAGAAAATCGGTTTTTGAACTCTTTAATCGTCTTCGCCATCATAGGTGCAATCTCTGAAACAACACAATGAAGACAGAGAGAAAAGGAAAGTTGAGACCTTCTCGTGCAAGAATGTACTTGATCGGATTCCAGTTAGTGCCTCTGGAATACAGAACCCCAAATTGATGTTTAAAATAAGATTCTAGCCCTTTAAATCAAGATGTCCTATAGCTCCAGCATTGTTCCCGGGCTGTATTACAATGTATACCAACAGCTACGAGTTCAAGCAGAGCATAACCCCTAGAGAAATTCCCACATTTGCCTTACTTACTCTTCACAGGAGGCTTCCTGGAGTCATAGCCAGCAGAGGAGGCACTGCCCAGGGACGGCCCCGAGTGGCCGCTGCTAGTGCTGGGTCCATCGTAGGACTGTTCCTCTTCTGTGTGAACAGTGCTGGCTTTAGCTGGCGTGAAGTACACTGGTTTGATCCTAGACAGAGAGAAAAGACACAAGATTGCTCTGTGTGCACCCAAGAAATCACACTGCCGCCGGAATAAGTGAGGCAATTTCAATCCCTCTGAGTTTAAGCTGAGCTTAAGCTGGCAGAATGTAGACGAGAGGGGGTCAATTTAGAACCAGGGAGAGTGGAAGCTCCCTTTTTCTCAGCCTAACATCCCTCACAGGGAGGTTGCAAGGATTAAAAAAACAACACCAGACTAACAATGAATGGAAGAGAAGATATTATAGCACCACTGCTAAATCTGAACCGTCTTAAGCAATCTTCTCCAACCTACTACCCTCCAGATGTTTTGTAATACAACTCCAATCAGCCCCAGCCATCATACTTGCTATGTGAAAGCAACTGCTAGACCAAAAAACAATCAAAACTGTACACTTCAGCCTCACGGACGCTTGCTCCCTCTCCCTACAAATTGTCTCTTGTTAGTCTGGGCCCTGCTAGGCTCAAGGAATCATCAGCTTCTGCAAACACCAGAACAGCCACAGTGGGCCAAAATGGAGGAGAGGAATGAAAAGTACACATCTTGTAAGCTGCTTGGAACTTTTCCTGAATCATAGTGACAATGGCACCTTAAGAACAAGGAAGAGCCCTGCTGGATCCAGGAATAGCAGTCATCTTGCCCAGCATTCTGTTTGCACAGTGGCCAACCCAAAGCCCTAAAACAGGACCTGAGGGCAACAGCAACACTTCCCACTTGTGATTCTTTGGCAATCAGAACCCAATACAGTTAAAAGACAACGCCATACCCAGTAAGATGCTAAGGAGAACCACAACGGCATCTTAGCGAATGTGGAATTGTAACTTTATTGGACTGTATAGGGAAAATGCTGGAATGTGTCAAAGTGAGCTGCCAGAAACCCACTGGTTGATAAAGTGCAAATCGGGAATTAGATTAGATCACCAAATTAACACCCCCAAGTCCTCTCCTCCTCAACATTACAAAAAAAAAGTGACTATGTGGTTTCAGACTCACTTGATTTTCTCTGGGACTGCAGCTCCTCCAGTCCCAAATTTTGCTTGCCGTCTCAGCACATCCCGGGGCGGCTTGGCCACTGAATTGACGAAAGCCATCTTGGCTACTCTGCCTAAAAGGGTGAGCAAATGGAGAAGGATGAGGTTAAACAAAAAGCGCTTTGCAAGGAAAACCCATATATCCACCCCCCTCCCTGCTCATGGCCTCAAGCCACTCATGGAGCAGGGGGAGGCTTTCTCCCAACATCAAGCAGATGGCTTGCATCCTCTCTGATGAAAGCTTCCTCCTGCTGCACCTTTTCCTGCATGAAATTCCAGAATGAGTGCAGTGATAGCATCTTCCCTCTGACAACATGCAATACACATACAGGCCATTTCACTGCTAACCACCAAGAGCAACTCAAACATGCATGATTAGATTCACAGTCTTTTAGGACAGGGGGCACCTAACATCTAGGACATGGCTACGGCCTCTTTAAAAGAACCAACTCTGGGAAATATTCAGCAGTCAAAGTTTCCTCCCCCCCAATCACTGCAAGACTGGAGATAGGAAAAAGTTATTTCTTTGGAAATCTGCCTTCCAAAGAAGGCAGATTAAAGCAGGGGTCGGCAAGGTTTACCTTGCCTGGGATCCCTCCGTGGGCTGGATCACATGAGCGCGCGGACTCACGATTTCCGGCATCTGCGTCTGCAGACGTGATTTCCAGTGCCGTGGAAGCAAGTCCCTGTGCCATGCTGTGCTGGTTTAGCGCAGCACGTGGGGACTCGCCGAGCAAGCAGCTCAGTTCTGGGGCGGCTCGTGGGCCGGTTAAAAGGCCCCCATGGGCCATTTGTGGCCCATGGACCTTAGGTTGCAGACCCGTGGATTAAAGGAACAGGGGCCCCAATCCCAGATGGAGTGCACCAACCCTACTCTGTAGAACAAGGTAGTGCTGCCAACATTTCTGCTAGCTATTATAGTCGTTCCTTGATTTGTAGATGTAAACAGGCAATATTTCACTCCATGCCGTTAGAAGCTTCTTGCTTTTAAAAAGATACAAGAGAGAGCCAGAGCACTTCACTATTAGTTAATAACCTTGGAGAGTCAGCTATGAAAGGGCTACAGGACAGATTCTCATTTCCTAGAATGGAGCCAAAGCCTTCAGATAACTCATGTTATCATGGACAGCCATGCCTCTGAAGCATGCCTCTGAAGGAGCTCTGACTCAAGACCCAAAAATACCGTATTTTTCACCCTATAGGACGCACTTTTTCCCCTCCAAAAATGAAGGGGAAATCTGTGTGCATCCTATGGGGCGAATGCAGGCTTTCGCTGAAGCTTGGAGCTCCAGGCTTCAGGAAGCTATCAGCAAGCCTGGGGAGCTCGGGGGAGTTCCCGCAGGGCTCCCTAGGCTGCGGATAGCAGCCTGCTGCCGGGAGCGCACGCTTTGGGCAGATATCCTTTTCTCCTCTAAAAACTAAGGTAGGTGTGTTTTTAAAAGCTCGGGCTTCCCCCGCAGCTGGGGGTGGGGAATAAAGAAAAAAAATATATTCCCCCCCCAAAAAACCTAGGTGCGTCCTATGGGCTGGTGCGTCCTATAGGGTGAAAAATACGGTACTTCTAAAATGGTCATATCTTGTTTGTCCTTGTTCTTCTGCCTTTAACAAAGGCACAAGGAAGTTAAATGAGTGAAGATCCCATTAGGGCTGCCATATGTCTGGAATTTCCTCGTAAACAGCGCCTAGGCAGAAATCACTTAAATGTCGTGGAAAATGTGGACATATGACAACCCATGTTGGAAGTGTAGGTTTTGGCAAAGTTCCTTAAAAATAGCTCAAAACTTCATTATTTTTTGAGATTTTGTAAAAAAATCTGTCTGGATTTTCACTTTTTGAAATATAGCAACCCTACATTACACATCAGACTGGTGCTGACTCTCTTTTCAGCACATACTGAATACTTTCCTTTTTAAACAAACCTTTTATGTGGAGATTTTTTTCCCCAGTGCATACCTGTACTGGATTAAAAACTGTGTTTATGTATGAAATTGTTTTAATCTTTTTTTTTAATCTATGAAATGATTTTATATAGGTTTTACTACTTGCCTTTTTAAAACTGCTAAATTATTTAAATACGTTTCACAGGAAACAATTCACAAATGAAAGTAAATAAACCAGATTTTCCTTCTTATTGTTTCCAGACTTGATGCTAAATTTCTGTCCACCTAAGCTATTGCTGAAGTCAAAAGAGCAGGACTATTATTATTTTTTTAAAAAAAGTTGGCCGTTCTCATCCACACTTCCTTTCAGTTTCATAAGCAAATGGCTAGCATTTCCCCTTCAAATCCCAGGCCTTCACATTCTACCTTTGGGTTTATTGGCATGAGCCGACTGGATGTTTTTGGTCAACATCAGCAGCCGCTGCTCTCGGGCATCGTGCAGGCGCAAGTACATCTCCCGCCACGACTCGAACTCCTCTGGCTTCTCCTTCTTGAAGTCACGAAGGCAGTGATTGTGCCACAACTGATCTGTGTCCTCGATTAAAACCTGCAGGCCATGAGCAGAGAAAAGGCTTGAGCCCAGCAAATGGGAAAGACAGAAGGCAAAACATTGGACAAACACCGCAGGGGATTAAATTAATTCTCTACACATCCACTTGGAACTGCTTTTCTAAAGGCAGGCTTCTTTAAGGCAGAGCTCTCTGCACTGCTCTTGAGAGACCACTTGTACCACCTGCCTCCTGGTTGTCTGGGGAAGCTGCATTTCATTCCCCCTCGGAGCATAAATTAAAGGGCTCTTGAGTGTGTTTTTTCGCTCTCCAAAAACATGTGACACCTCTCTCTTTTTTCACCTCTGTTTATACCCCCGAGGCTCATTTAGAGCAGCAACAGCTGCTGACCAACCTGCGCTGCTCTAACCAAGATCTAATTCCCTCTACTGAGCACAACTCAGAATGAAAAACGCAGCATCCGCTCCATCGCCGTCTAGGGAACCCTAATCCAGCTGAGCTCTAAGAGATTCTGCCTTGTGGGAAGGTAGCAAAATCCACATGTACTATGAAAGCAGCCCACCCCAAACCAATGCCTTCCTGATGCTTTGGGTTACAATTTCTACTAGACCCATCCAGCACTGCAAGCAGTCAAGGATGATGGTAGTGGCACTCCAAAATGTCTGGAGGGCACCAGATTGGGGAAAGCTGTATTAAGGTTTCTCATCAAAACACAACTGGTATGACATTTAACAAAGTGCTTGCTGCCTTAAGGTGGAAACACACATGCACCCTGAATAAATCTGTGCTGCCTTTTTTTTAAAGCCATCAACAAAGAAAAAAACCCAAGAGGCTGATCGATTTTGTAATTCAAATTCTGAATTAGGAAGCCTAAACAGCTAGAACTTCAAGTTTCACATCCAAATTTGATCTCGGTGCCAGAAATGCTGGCCAGTGTTCCCCAACTTTAAAGCTATGAGTTCTGAACTAAAATGTTACTATTCAACACAGATGTAGTTCAACTGACCCTTTTCCTGAAAAGCAATCAGGCTCATTGTATTCAATACTGTACATAAAGGTTAAGTAGTTAATGATTTACACCCTTAGTAAGGTTGGTAAAGCAAGGGAAGGTGTGTCTTTGGAGTAAGTCAGATAATTTTCATAGGGGTGAAATCAGTTGCATCCTGTCCAACTAGGACACCACTTTGGCCAATGTTGAGCAAACACAACATAATGATTAAGAGCAGCCTTCTGGCTCCAGTTGAGGACAGGAACGGCAGCTAGATTTATAGCTCAGTAGTTTTTTAAGCCTTTAAATTTAGTTTTAAACTTAGTTTTGCCTTTCTAAACTCTTTTAAACCAAACTATTTTTGCATGTTGGAAAAGCAGCAGACAAGACTGTGGCTAACTGCAATTAACAGAGTTTATGTTTTGTCAGCTTTCCTGTGGGAGCTTCAGATGAGTAAGCATTTTATAGATAAGACACAACAGCTGCCCTATCAATCTTGACCATGGAGCACGTTGATACTAAAGGAGGGAGACCCGACTTCCTCTCCCCCTTACCCCATGGGAAAGGATTTGCTCTCCCTTCTCAGCTCCAAGGCTGCCTTTCCTGAGAGGGTGACTGGGAACCCATGCAAAGAACACTGTGAGCAGCCTTCTTCAACCTGGGACAACCCACATGTTACCAGACTAAAACTCCAAAAACCCCTGACCATTAGCTGTGCTGGCTGGAACTAATGGAGTTGGAAGTCCAAGTCTTCTGGAGTACAGCACGTTGGGGAAGGCTGGGGAGTGTCCGAGGGGGACTAGGAAGACCTGGGTTCAAATCCCTCACTGAGTGATCATCAGTCTAACCTGCCTCACTGGATTGTTGTGAGGTCAAAATGGGAGGGGGGAGAGAAGTGAGTCACTTACATTGGCCTGAGCTCACTGGAAGAAAGACCCAGATAAATGGAAGAACTCATCATACTAATATTAGTATATACTAATATTGGTGGGGAGGGATGGAACCCCCTCATAAAAACGACCAGTGAGCAATGAGCATGCTCTGTGGCATGGAATGCTGACTCTGCAAGTTTGGCTGAAGGAGAAAGGAATATCCTACAGATGAACATGACTTACTGGCTGGCACCTGAACAGGAACATTCTGTGCTGCAAAAATTCGTTGCAGATCCCAGGAAACAGAATCCAGGATGCAAAACTACACAGAGAGGAAGGAGCAGTTTTGTTTCCTAATGCATGGGATAACCAGGGGCAGGTTCAAGTCACCCATTTGTGCCCTCAATGTAAGTAAATGGGGCTGCCTTTTATTACTGCAGAAGGCAGTAAAGATCTGGCAGCTGGGGGCACAGTTGAATAAGGAAGTGGAAACTAGTGCCTATTGGGACCAATAGGGCAGAAGGCAGGGAGAACAACAGTAGGTGAAGCCAGAGCCAAGTGATTCTTGTTTTGTCTCCATCTTCCTCCCTGCTGAGCCCTATAAGGGCAACACTGAGGCTAAGGAGAAGGAAGCCGACAGCTAGTGCTACCCTAGACTGGTTGCAAGTAAGAAGATAAGCAAGTGAGGGCTGGATGAGGGCAGGCAGAGGCTGATGCGGCAGCGTGACACTTCCCCTAATGGATCAGCCTCCACTAGCACACACTAATCACAGCCGGTAATGGAACAGCAGCAGCAACAGATGCAAACACTTCTTGCCCCCGATGCTCCCACACCATCTCATAACACTCACGTGATTGCAGTCTTCAATGCGGTACAGTTGCTCTGGGGTGCATCTCTCCAAGACAGGCTCCAGCACAGAGAAAGGGACACCGCCTACTTCATAGATTGCTGTAAGAGAGAAGGCGACCCATCAGATCCACAAAAACACCCCCAAGAGCAGTCAACGACCCAACTGATTTGACTCGCTATAGAGCACAGGCCACTGTAGCACCTTCTGAAACTCAGGGAGGTGTCAGAATGCCACAGCTATTGTGCTGGCTGGGAGCTGTATTCCAAAACATCTGAAGGGCTGGCAAAGGCAGAAACAGATCATAACAAATGTTCCCCACAGGCCATTACTCAGCTGGGGAGGGGGCAGTAAGCAGAAGCAAGACCTAGACTGCTTTGAACTTAACCAGTCACAGAGCCCATTGGTGGCAATGGACAAATATGTAGAAAGGGGTGCTTGAAACTGGCGTAGAGGGGCACACACATCAGGAGTGTTTACCAGGAGAGTGGGGTGTGAATATTCTCCCAGTGGGGCTTTGAGAGACCATATAAGGAAAGGTTTGAGGAAGGCAAAGCAGGAGAATAATGAAGAAAATGAACCAAAAAATATCATGGAGAGAAGCAGCAGCAGCAGCAAACGTCCTACTTCTATTTCAAACCACTATTTAGCACAGGGATGGGGAACCAATAGGCCTCCAGGTGTTGTTATCAACTCCAATTCCCAACTAGCATCAAGGATGATGGGAATTGTAGTCCATCAACATCTGAAGGACCATAAGTTCCCCATCACTGAATGAGCAGAAGGATCTTGAATCAGAGGCAGGAAGGGGAGGAAAGCCAGAGCAACAGGCAGAGAGAACTTCCAATAAATAAAGTGAAAGTTGCTGTTGGTCATGACTCTATGAATACAAATAAAGACATTCCTGTAGCCTGGCACGTCTCTGATGAAAGCCACATATGCCTGGCATTGGCAATTTAGAGTGGCAGCTACTGCAAGCCAATAGGAGCACAGGAAACTGCTTTAGATTGAGTCAGAACAGATCTGGGAGACCAGGGTTCATATCCCCACTTGTCCGTGAAGCTCACTGGGTGACCTCAGGCCAGTCACTTACTCTCAGCCTAACCTACCTCACAAGGTTGTTGTGAGGATAAAGGGGGGGGAGGAGTTGCTATGCACACTACATTGAGCTCCTTGCAGGAAAGCTGGGATAAATAAATGAAATATATATGCTGTATATATTGCCTACCCTGACAGAGGGTCTCCAGCATTTGAGCCAGGAAATAAACATGGTTGCATTAAGGTGGGGCAGAAGGAAGTCAAGGGTGAGGAGCTGTGGAGAAGGCCTAAGCAGCCCTCCCCTCCCCCACTAGAAATACTCAGTCAACATGGGGAACCAGAAATGGCAGTTTTTCTCAGCCAGCCAGAGGCCCCAACCTCCTCCCTGCAAAACCCATCCCTTTTTGTTAAAGGAGCCCAGCTGGCAAATACTCACAGTCAATATTATTGCTGAGTACCCTGATGCATTGCTCATACAGAGACATCATCTTTGGGAGGTAGGCAGTCTTTGAGCCTGAGTACACCTGCATCTTGGAATTCAGCCTGCGTCCTGTGAAACCAGCCTCGTCTTCCTCTGTGGGTGAGGACAGTACTGAAGTACAGGAGGGAAGTGAGATAAAAGCAGAGAAACAAGTCACTGTCAGTTCTTAGGATCCAGTGCAGAGTTTAGGTAAATACAACACAAAGCTCAGACGGCTTGCTGAGTCCTTCCCAAGAAGACCTGCTGTCTCATTGCAGGTCAACGATCTGCCTTAGATACCACTCCATCTCCAGCCCTGGTCCAAAAGCTGCCACTGGGAAGCTGACAGCTCCTGAATCAGGAACTCAGGTATGCTGATGAACCTGGGAAATTCCACATAGCAATCGCCATGATTTATTACAGGGATGGGAAACCAGTGGTGTTCTAGATGTCAGTAGACTGCATTTCCCATCAGCCTTTGCTGGCATGGTCAGCGGTCTGGAATTATGGGAACTGCGGTGCAGCAACATCTGAAGGGCCACTGGTTTTCTAGGAGTCGACAGACCTATCATCCATTAATTTGTCTAGTTCTTTTTTAATAGACATGGCTCCCATAACATGACAATGAACTGTTTTTAATAGTAATTCATTTTAAATTGATGGGACACATGCCATTCTGATCCCAAGAGGTGGTTTATAAGTTCTCTTAATTACTATTATTATTACTATATAACTGTGAATTATTATTATCCTATGATTTCAGAGGGTTGGTGTGAAGAACACAGAAAGCTGCCTCATACCTAGACAAACCACTGGCAGACCTAGCTCAGTGCTAGATTTGCAGCGGCTCTCCGGCATTTCAGAAAAGAGTCTTTTCCTCGCCCTACCTGAAGATGCCACAGATTGAATCTAGAACCTTCTGCATGTAAAGCAGATTCTCTACCACAGAGCTCCAGCCCTTCTTCCACTAATATAATAATAACACAGAAAACAAGGAGCATGCTGCATGGCAAAATACTGACAGAAGTGGAAATAAACCTCGCATGAACCGAATCACGGATCAATGAATTGAAATCCATGCCTGCATTTCAAAGCCAAACAGAGTTCAAGAATTGATCTCCAAGCATGTTCAGAGGGGCGTACTTTTTCCACAAGATCCTAATGACTTAAATTTTGAGTCCATCTATTTCTCAATCCAGCAGGCATATCGGAGGGCTAAGGTCCAAGGTACCCGAGTGCACCTTTCCCTAATACATCACAGGTAGTGAACATTTGGCACTCCAGATGCTGTGAGACTTCAACCTTCCTCACCCCCAGCCAGCATGGCCAACGTTCAAGGTTTATGGGAGCTGGGAATCCAATATCTGGAGTGCCACACATTCTCCACCCCTGCTGTACATTAAGATATTCACATGACACCATTCTCTACACCCTTTGAGAAAGACTCAGGGCAGTGCCTTTCCAGCAGTGGCACCCAGGTGTGAAACCTCCCGCAGGAGGACTGCATGCTGAGCTCTTTAGAGGCCGTGGGGGAAGAGCTATGGTGCATTTCTATTCCAAGAGCCTTTGGAAGGTAAGATTCCTCCAATAATCTCTGTATTGGGTATTTTCAGCACCTGCTTTTTACATTCTACTAGGAGTTTCGTTGTTGATGGTTTTAAAGGAATGGAGCTGTCCCACTAGTCTTAGAAAGGCTTTTCTCAAGCAGATTCTATCCTGTTCTTAGCTCAGAAGTTACCTTTCCTTTTTGGCTGGGGAAGGGGCATCGATTCAATTGTAGGAAGAGGGCGGTAGTTGGCTTGGATTGGGGGCAAGGGGATGTCAGGAAGCGTTGGCACCACGTCAATGATCATCTGGAATAGAGGAGAAAATAAAGTGTTTAAGTTAAGGCAGCTCTGCAAAATAAAGTTCATGAAATTGTTGCTAATCCGCTATGATGTTTACTAGGCTTTCTTCTCATACCTAGTCATTTGTGGCCCGTGGATGTCCTGAAGGAAGACGGCTGGTGGGCAGGAGTGGGGAGAGAGCAAACACTTGTCTGCCTGGTTGCCTAAAGGCAGTTCTCTCTGCCCTCCAAATAGAAGCAACCATACTGAATCAGACCACTGGTCCATTTAGCTCAGTACTGTCTACACTGACTGGCAGCAGCCTGTAAAGGGTGTGGCCTGGGGCCTGAGGGAAGGTTCCAAGGCCAGATAGAAAGCCCTAGAGGGCCACATTTGGCGCTGAGGCTCCCCACCCTTGGTCTATACTAACCTATCAGCAGCTCTTCAGAGTCTCAGACATAAGGGGTATTTTTCTTTACATCACCTACTACTTGATCCATTTAACTGGAGATGCCAGGAACTGAACTAGGGATTCCCAGCATGCAAAGCACATTCACTACCAGTGCCCTATGATCACTTCCCTTCCGCTGCTAGAAATGAGAGCAAAAACATGCACTTAGTCTTCTTTTCAGTTCAAGTTGAGGCCAAAGTTGAGGCTTGTTTATTTCCAATATTTATATACCAGCTAATGACTACAGTCCTCTGGGTGGTTTACAAGTAAAAATTATAAACATAAAATACAGTATGAAAAGAAAATCTAACACGGAATAAAACCAGCAACAGAGATTGGAATCAGTGCAGCATGTATTTTAAAATAAAAGTGCAGTGAAATGTTGTTTGAAATTTTCTTCAAAGGAAAGATACAGCAAGTCCTACCCAGACATGGATTTCCCTGCCAATGCTGCCACTCAAGGGGATCTTGCGGGAGGCATTTTTATTTGGCAGGGCTCTGCCCAACCCCTATGACCTCATGCCATGCCACTTCATGCACTCCATACACCTGAAGCCATCGCTGTTAGGCAGTGTCAATTTTATTTCATTGCCCAACAAGTTGGCTTGCTCTGGTCTCTGTGGATTAGTGCCTGGAGAATATAGTGGCCCCAAGAATACAGAAGTTAAGCAAGCTTTACACAATGTTGATGAGCCATTTTCAGGGTGAGGGAGGTGGCACTGTGCAGGCCGGGCCGGGGAATCTGTGGCCTTCCAGATGTTGTTGGACCACAACTCTCATCATCCTTGCCTTTGCCTATGTTTGCTGGGGCTGCTGAGAATTGTAATTCAGCAACATCTGGAGAGCCAAAGGTTCCCCATACATGCAATTATCCACTAACCATGGATCATCATTACATGTGAATGAGTCTGGGATGAAGACAAGGCAGATCCCATTTCCATGGATAGTCTTCCTGATTCTCACAGCACTGTTCCATGAAGAAGTTCTATCCTCCTTCTGATTTACTAAAGCTAGCTTGCCCCTCAGTGTGCTGAAGCTAGATCAGGTACCAAACTGCATTTCCTAAGCAGAGAGCAGTTCTTTCTCATTAATTCAGAATTTGGGGAGTTCAGAATTCACAGGAGCAAAACAGAGAGCAAGATGCCCTGAGCCATTGAGGAGCAGAGGTGTCACAAGCCCTGCACCACTTGCAATTATGCTGCAAAGGAGAAATCAAATCTCCAACAATTGCTTTTTAGTAAGTTTATCAGAGGCTGGAGTCACCAAGAAGACATAGGGAACTTAGGGAGCTGCTTTATACTGAGTGAGACCAATGACCATGGGCCTATCTAGCTTTGCATTGTCTACACTGACTGGCAGCGACTATCCAGGGTCCCAGGCAAGGGTCCTCCTCTGCCCTACTTAGAGGTGCTGAGAATTGAACCTGGGACCTTCTGGGTCTGCCACTGAGCTGAGGCCGCTCCCACAGCTAAATAGAAATAAAAAGAGGCGAGCTACACCTTTCAATAAACATCATGAATAAAGTAAAATACAGCCTCTGATAAGTGTGCAAATGTTCAAGATGTAATTGCACTGCACTGCTTCCTCCCACATTGTTTTTGCTGCATTTGCAGCACCGATGACCTCTCTGGGGTGCAAGCCTGGGCAGTATGTATGGAGGTCCTGGGCTGCCCAGAAGGTGCTAGACCACAAGGATAAGAGAGACCATATTTCACAAACAGATGGAGCACATGCAGAACCACCCCAAGATAAATGGTCTCCCCTCTCCTCCTCATTAATAAGGTGAGGGTGTATGTATATCCTCATTAATAAGGTGAGACTGTCTTTGCACAAGCCTCGTTGAACAGCAGCACCCTAGAATGCTACTCCAGTTCCCTTGCAACCCAGAGAACTTCCTCCAGAGCTGCCATGCCATGAGGCAGGTCCACCTCTTTGCTGCCTTTGAGGATGCTCTCTACCTGCCATCTCCCCTTTCCTTATTGTAAAAGGCACTTATGAGCAAGTGATCCCTCAAGGGGAGAAGGTGCAATGTACCCCCAAAACATTGCGCTCACCTTTTTTGCTTTGGAAGCCCCCGACTGCTTCTTCTCGCTGGCCTGCTTGTGTGTCTTCCTGCTCGTGTCAGAGCTCTTGGTGCTGGACTTGGAACCGTTCTGCTTGCCGTGCCCTTTGTCTTTTTCCGGGACGGGAGCCGTGGGCTTCACCACGTTCTTCTTCTTCTTCTTCTGCGGCTGGTCATAACTCAGGTAGGACTCAAAGGACATCTTCGGCTTCTCGTACTCATCCTCTGCATCTCCCTCCCCATCGTTTGGAGGAGAGAAGTTGGCTGATCTCTTGTTTGACTCGGAGGCCCTGGCTTTGCCCTCCAAGTTCTTGGAGCTGCCCGAAGCCTTCTTCTCCTTGCTCTTGGAGGGATCGCCCTCCAGCTTGCGCTTCTCCCGATCTCCAGGCAAGGCCTCCAGGCTGCCCAGCTTCACCTTCTCTGGCTTGACTCTCTCAGAGTCCTGGTGCTTTTGCTTCCTCAAGTGGTTGTCCAGCGTTTCCTCCAAGTCCACGTGTGGCTTCTCCTTCTTGCTACTGCTGCCGCCGCCTTCTCTCTTCTTCTCTCGCTTGGTGCCGTCCAAGGCCTTCAGCCTCTCCTTGCTGCCCCCCACCATAGAAGAGTCTCGCAGGGGCTCTTTGGAGGAAGCCTTTAGCAGCCTCTCCGGGCTAAAATCAGGCCCTTTCTCCTCCCCCTTGGCCTCCAGCCGCAGCTTCTCCTTGTGAGAAGACTTGTGCTCTTTGCTCCGACCCAAGCTGGCTTTCTCCTGGGAGTCACTGAAGCTCCTACTCTGGCTTCCCTCTTGCCTGTCCTGAAAGCCATGGCCCTTACTGGACTTCCGATTAAGGGACTTCTGCTCCCTTTCCTGGTTCTCAGCTCTACAGAGGTCCATGTACAGGTCCTGAGGGCTATCACTAGGCTCGGGCGAGGCCGCATGTCCATAGTCAGAGCATTCCTGGTCGGAGGAGAGAACCGGGGACTCTCTGCCCCACGTCCTGTCCTCTGGAACACCATAGCTCAACGTCTCATGGGCTTTTTCGGGCTCATAATATCTCTTGGGCTTTTTTGCCCCATTGTCTGGCTCGTACGACTGGCTGCAGGAAGGCTGGTACGCCTCTGTGTAGTCCTGGTCAACCTCTTCATCCTCTTTGGGGGAAGGTTCCCGTTGCCGTTTCTTAGAGATGCTTCGGTCATAGCTGCGCTCTACAGGTTCGAGGTTAGGTCTTTGCAAAATAGAAAAGGAAAGAAGTAGTAGATCAGAAAAACCTGACATCAAAGCATTAAGTTACTTCTGAGGTTGGCCTCCCTCCCTTTACTGAGATAGAAAAAGAATCCAGCCAAGACTGTTGACATCAGTGCCTCTGTGACAAGGGTGGGGAACCTCCAGCCCTCCAAGCACCGCTAGAGTATGACTCCCATCAGCCCCAGCCAACATAGCCAAGGGTGATGGGAGTTGCAGTCCAACAGCATTGGGAATGCCAGAGGCTCCCCATTCCAGTTCTACAATAGGCAGAATGCTAGAGATTTTTTGAGGCCAAGTTTCTAGTCCTTATGGCTAAAGATGGAGCTTGCACATTTCCACATGTGTCTATAAAATACCACTGCACTCAAGAAGCACAACGTATCTCTTCCTTCACCTTGACAGTCCCTTATTTACTTTCTCACATGCCAACAGTCCAAGTACAGAATATGTCATTTGAGATAACGCAGAAGAAGACAAAATGCAAGTGAACATGTTTGTTTAAACTGGTGTTCTACAGTCATCATTCAAAACAGCCAAAAAAATTGGCACCCATGTTCCATGATCACATACAATGCACAGGAAAAGGCAACACAGATGGTGCAACTCTCTGGGGTTTGAGTTACAGTCTCACTCTCACACACTTAGTCACTGCCTTCCTTGAGCATAAGGGAGGGGAGGTCAGTCAACTTTGCCTTTGTTTCCAGCAGTTCTCAGTGCCTGTTCTTTGTCCAGCAACAGCAGCGAGGCCAGTAATTCTTACTGCTAGGAGAAAGTGGTCAACGAGCCACGATAAAAATAGTAATTAAAGACTCCAAGGAGCCCAAAGGAGCCATCACATGGAAGAAGTTTCCTGCTGCTATCTCTACATGAAAATGCCCGTGCCAACTCTCAGCCAATCTCTCCTGGAGGTGGGCTATTCCTGCTGTGACCCAATTCTGGACTGGGAAGAACAGATTATTTGACTGCACACAACGCAGATTCAACAGATTACATGGCCTCTGAGGAAGATGCCTACTGTCCCTCTGGGTAAGTCTCATATAGCTAGCCTCACTTCCTGCTATGCAGCATCACCTAGAGGTGGACAATTCTGCCGCCTGCCTCTAGAATGGGTGCAACTGGACCATTCAAGCATTCCTGGTGGGGAGATACAACCCACTGTGTTCTTCCAATCAGGACACATGCCCAGATCACCAATTACTGCACAACTACTAGTAATGGGAGGGTTGCTCTTCTGAGGGAAGGTATCCGTTAAAAAAAATATATATAGCCTGCCTTCCAACTAAAAGCGTATTTGCACTGAAGTTCTCTAAAACAAACCAAAGCTTTCCTCTAAGAGTGGCATGTATGTTTAACTACAATGCCTGCAAGGAATTATATGAACGATCAAAAGGGAGAGAAACACCAGAGTGGACAAACTATTCATGGTGTTGGGGAAATGGACAGAGAGACCTTTCTCTCTCCCAGTCTCCCGGTTCTAGAACCCAGGGCCATGCAGAGGAGCCGAATGTTGGAAGAGTCAGGACAGGCAAAAGGAAGTACTTCTTCACACAGCACAAAGTTAAAAGTATGGAGTTCACCACCATAAGATGTAGTGGGGGCCAACTTTAATGGTTTTAAAAAGCATTCAGACAAATTCATTGAGGATAAAGCTGTCGGTCGCTATGCACAACCCTCCAGTATTGAAGGCAGTACGCTTCTGACATTGCTGGAAAGTCCAAGGATGGAAGCACTTGGGTTCTTCTTGCAGTCTTCCCATAGGCATCTGATTGGCCACCACAAAAACAGGATGCTGTGCTAGAGTGGCCTAATCCAACAGGACCCTTCTAACCTTCCTAACGCTTACAAGGCAGATCAGAGATGAACCAGAATCCCCTGTGCTATGGAACAAAGGAAGCTGCCTTGTAAGTTCATATTGTCACTACACAGAATGGGTGATATTCAAGCAGTAGACCCATGGAAATTAATAAACCTAAGTTAGTCATGCCTATTAATTTCTATGAGTCTACTTTGAGCAGGACTAACATTGGCTATAACCCATAGTTAGCACCTCTCCAGGGTTTCCAATAGAGAAGGTCCTTTCCCAGTGCTACCTGGAGATGCCAGAGATTGAGCCAGGAAACTCTACACCCCAAGAATGTGCTGCACCACCAAGTACCCCAAAACAGCAGGGATTCCTGGACTCTATCCCACACTGCTTTGGGCTTACTTACTTGGTCCCTACCTGGTCAGCCACAATCAATGCAAGAAACGTGGGAATCTTTCAAATTATTCTGAGGCATGAAATGACTTCAGCTGATGAATTACAAGTCCCCAGATGTCATCTGGTATAAAAGGTCATCAAAGAACAGAATTAGGGGATGTCTGGCTTACCGTTCCACTTCCTGTGGGACTGGCACTAGCTTTTTCCACCTTGCCACCAAATTCTTGGCAAACTCTCCAACCTGTTCGTGTTTCCGTAAACCGTTCACAGTTTTCCCCACTCCAGTCTCCTGCAGAAGGGATACAGAAAACCTCAAGTTTTGACCATCATTGATTGCCAATGTGTATTTCTTTTAAGTTTGTGTATATCCAGTCTCATCCTGGGGGGTAACATGTCCAATCCCCCCAAGTACATAAAATAAAGCTCGTTTATTTTTACCCCACCTTTCACTCTCAAAAGGGGGCCCAAAACAGTTAAATTAAAAACATCAAAACACAACCAAATAAAAAACCAACTAGAAATAAAATATGAAAGAATCCTTTGCTTGGTTCTCAATTTGGGAGAAATTACTGGGGTTTTGTGAGAATCCTTGAGGTTAGGAATGATGCTAAGGGTCAAACAAAAAGCCACCGGAGCACATTTTGGCTTCCACCTGTTTAATCCTAAAGGTGGTGCATGCCCTCAGTGATGCACTGCATGCCTGGGAATAAGAAGAGCTGTTATCAAAAGAGGTCTTACCAGAAGGATATCAACCGTAATAGGCAACTCTGAAAGCCGCTTCAAACTCTTCATCAGCTGCAGAGACAAAAACGAAAAGGGAGTAAGGCGTCCGCCAATCAAAGGGAGTTCTGTTTTGCAGCAGAAAAGCAGGAAGGGCACAAGAAAACAAATCCATCCAGCTTCTATGATGACACAGAGGGAAATTAAGTCCTGCTGAACAAGAATACTCACACCTTTTGTGGGCAAACAAGGAATCCTGAAGATGCAGCAAAAGGCAGCCCCATTGCAGCCCTCCTCTCATTTGAATTAGTGGAGCACAGGAAGCTTCCTAGCATCTCATAAGGCAGGTGCCACTCTGACTTTAACCCTCCACTGCTGTGGCTTGTCTGCAAAGGCAGCTTGGCCAGGACCAGAAGCTGCCAGAGTCAAGGAGTTGCCAACCCTAGACCTGCTTAGGTGGTCCGGATGCTGCAGCTAGTGTAAAATACAGGAGCTAAGCTATTGGGAAGGACCATGTGCCACTGGTCCCAAATGCGCTGCATGGCCTGCCCAGGAGCTACCTGGCCCAATTCAAGATGTCTGTACTAGCATACAAAGCCCTAACTGGCTGAGGACCCAGGTACCTAAAAGAGCACCTTCCCACAATATCAACCATCTCGGAGCCGATGATTGGCAGTTGTGACCTTGGTGGCAGTATCACCATTAGATGCTGCCCGGTTGCCACTGACTCGTGACAGGGCCTTTTCGGTGGTGGTTCTCCAATTTGTGGAATGCCCTCCCTGGTGAGGCATGCCCATCTCCCCGCATTATTAAGTTTCAGGAAAAGTTTGAGCGTATTCCTGTTTAAGCAGGCATCTGATGGCTGAAAAATACTGTTCTTGGCAACCTTGAAATTGTTAGCCATGAGGACATGCAACTATTTAAAAAATGTTTTTCTATGCTCTTATTTATTTATTTAATCCACCTTCTACCACAAGGTCCCAGGAAAGGTAGCAACAATAAATTAATACAAATAAAAATCAAATAAAAGAGTTACAGCTGTAAAACAAAAAAAAGGGGGGGGGACCAGTTCCATATGTATAGAACATTTTTTTAAAAATCTACATATAAAAACAGTTCCAATGCGGTCATAGGCTGGGATAAAGATCTCCACTTAAAAGAGTTGCTGAAAGAAGAATGTCTTCAGTAGGCGCCAAAAAGTCAACATAGTCGGTGCCTGTCTTAGTATGTATTGGAAGGAATTCTATCATGCTCAACGGACCTCCTAATAAGACAGTGTCCACAGGAGGCCCTCTCCTGCAGAACCCAGTGATTGGTTGGGTGCAGAAGGGGCGAGACTATCTTTTAGGCACCCTGGTCCCAAGCTGTACAGGGCTTTGCACACTAGTACCTTGAACTTAAGCTTGCTGGCAAACTGGCAGCCAGAGCAATTCTTTCAGCAGCAGTGAAACACGGTGGTGATAGTTTGCCCCAAATAGTCAACTTGCCAATTTCTGCACCAGCTGCAGCTTCTGGGCCAACCTCAAGGACAGTATGCATTGCTGACGGAGTCTCTGACGGGTTGTTTCTTTTTTTACTTATCTTTAAGTGTGTTGTTTTGCAGCTTTGTTTGCCGCCATGGGCTGCTTTTGGAGTAAGGGTGAGATAGATGGATAAATAAATAAATAAGGGACCTACTGAGGGCTGCACCATCTTGAATCAAGCACTATCTATCATGGATGCTTTTGCTGTGGCTCCTGCATTGCAGCGGGTTAGGCTAGATGACCCTTGTGTCCTTCCTCACTCTACACGTCTATGATTCTATGACTCAAACTGTGTGATGCCTAGTAAGGTCAGTAACTTCAATGGGCTACTCTGAGGAAGGCTAACACTGTATACAATGCCACGAATATATTCTATTTATGCCCCACCAACCACTAATAATTTCCATGCAATCTTTGAAGGCAATCCCATGCAGTAGTCTAACCTGAAGGTTACCACAGAATGGATAACTGAAGCCAGGCTATTTTTGCCCAGCTAAGGCTGCTGGGGGGCAGGGATTGAACCTGGGGTGTCCTGGAGGAAAGGCAGATGCTCTGCTTCTAAGCTACAGCCCTTCCCCAAACGCAAGGCTCCTGTATTTATAACAATTGTGGAGCAGAGGGAATTCTTCCAAGGGGAGAGTGCCTTTTCGTGGGTGAAAAAGCAGCATCTATCCAAATCTCTTGTTTTACACAACTGTTTTGAGAAAAATTCCGCCCACCTCCTTCCCATCTGCCAAGTCTAAAAACAAAAGGGAGACGTGGCCTCAAAGGTGCAGAGTCTCATTTGGGCCAATGTGGCACTGCTCTTTCTTCAGCAAGGGGGTTGTAAGTTATGTCCACAGTAGACCCATGGAAATTAATGTGTTAGCCATGTCCATTATTTGCAATGGATCTACTCCGAGTCGGACCAACACTGGTTACAATCCGAAGATATTTTAACAGGATAATTGTACAAACTCGCTTACTGAATGGATCTAAACTACAAAGGGAGCCCATCCAATTGTCTTGTCATTTGTTCTTTTATTGCAGTTTTGTTTATAGATGGTCTAAAGAAGAGCTGCACGAGTTAAAATGTGCCGTGCCAAATTATTTACTCTGGGTGCAGCCAGATATCTGCTCCTTTTCTCTCCTGCAGCTGGTCAACCTCTCTCTCTCTGCCTCTCTTCAGAAAGAAGACCAAACTAACAAAGCAAAAAAGAAAACATTGGTGTTGCCACTAGTGCACGCTATCTTTGTTTAAGGGAAGGGCCCTGGCTCAGTGGGAGAACATCCGCTTTGCACACAGAACATTCCCCAGTATCTCCAGGTAGAAGGGGGAGAGACTCCCTGCCTGAAACCAAAGAGCAGCTGCCAATAGGTATGGATGACACTAAGCTAGATGGACCAGTGGTCTGACTTCATATAAGTCAACTTCCTATCTTCCCCTTTACAGCCCCCTTGGCTAAAGCCAGAGCACTACCTCTTCCAGAAACCAGTCTGGAAGCAAAAGACCAGAGTCAGGCAAAATGTTTCACAAGCCGTAAAGAACTTCTGCAACTCAGATCACTGAGCGACATTTTCTGAGCCATCCACATACACAAATGCACTTGCCCAACCCTGGATTAGAGGCTCAATGGCAAAATTTCAGTTAGAGATCAAACTCCTTTCAGACTTTTATTTGCAGCCAGGGCTGCATGTGTTCTGCAGCAGGTCAAGCATGTCTGGTGTCAGTCTGGTGTCTAGCATTTAGACCTGCAGCTAACAGCATGGCTCCAAAACAGAAAAAAGGGGGGGGGGACATGTAAGGAAACAAATAGAAAATGCTTCATAAAGGATCAGACACGGAGGTGGAACAGGGCCATTCTCCGACCCCAGTTTCCTTCCCCCTGGCCACAGTGCACCTACAAGCCCTGACTGGCCAAAGAACACCCATCTCTGGGGTCTTCAGTCCTTTTTGCCACCTTGCCACTTCAGCCTTTCACCCAAAAGAGAAATCCACATCTTTGAAAACTGTCTGGATGCAAAAATAAAACTACAAACTGTGTAATCATTTATGCTAAGCCCAAAATTAGAGTTTCTGTTACGCAAAATCTGGTAGAGTGAAGAATAAAGGCATACAAACAGCTTATTTAAAAAGAAAAGTACGAAAATAAAGTATGGGTGGGGATTTAATGCAGATGACACAACAACAAAAGGGCAATAGAAAAGAGGATTTACAGCAGGGGTGGCCTTCCAGATGTTTTCGGACTACGACTCCCATCAGCCCTGATCGCCAGCTAAGGGCTGGTGTGAGTTCTATTCCAACAATACTTCCACTTCCCTGGGTTTTATAAAACATGCAAAATCCCTATCTCCTGGACAACAGACATAAAGCCTCATGGGGCAGGGGGAGGAGAGGCAAGGGTCTGCTTGAGGTGTTAGCATTTGAGAGGAAGGAGAAAGAGCGCCCTTCTGCCCCTTTTTCCTCATGTGTCATAAGCCTGAGGGCAGTGAACCACTTACTACTGGTTTTTCTAACTGCTCTGGAAGCCTTATTGGCTAAAAGGCAAAGAAGAAATTATTTCAATAAAATCCCCACCTGGGAGCCTCAGGACCATGTAGTTCAGCACAGTGTTCTTCAAACTTGGGTCCTAAGATATTGTACTAAAACTCCCATCATTCTTGCCCATTGACTAAGCTAGCCAGGGATGACGAGAGGTGTAATGTCTGGAGACCCGAGATTGTTCAACACTGGTCTACATGAGTATGTAAGTCCCTTTTTTTCTAAATTGCAGTCCTCTCACCTTGATGATTTATGAAGACTCTAACTATAAAAACTGTTGCAAGAATAAAATCAAGTTTTTGCTAAAAGCAGCAAAATTATTTGATTTCGCTTTTCCAATGGAAATTCTTCTCAGGAAGCTTATATTACTGGTTTCTGGACTTTGCCCTGGACAAAGCTCACAGAATTTTTCAGGATGAAGGGTGAACACAGACGGTCCTTTTACCAAGTGGTAGCAGCTATCACGGTACACATGCTGCCATATGGCACAACTAGTTGCCTGTATGACAAGACCTTGGCCAAACATCTGCACCCATTCAGAAAGTCAACAAAACAGGAAAGGGCACACACTTCTTAGCATTTGCCCGGATATTACAGATCACCCTGATGTCTCACATGGTAACAGGTACACTATGATAAGTTGCCATTTTGGACGGTCGGCACCCACCCCCTAATGAGTAGGTCTAGGACCTTCACAGTTTTATTTAACCAGAAGCCAATATTTTATAGGGCAGACACCAGATTCTAGCTGTGCATGCCATTCCCCACCCCCTCTCACAAATACACAGAGCAGATGATACAAAAAGCATACTTGTGGACATGCAGATTAATAAGAATTAAGCTGGGGGGGGGTGCGTTGGAACTCTCCTTTTCACACCTATGAATTTCTTTTTTATAAATTGTTGCAAGAACCGGGCACTTTTTAAAAAATAACATTTTACATATAAATCAAAAAGCATTTTTGACCTGGTTCGAAACCCCAAGCCTATAGTACTGTAGTTCCCAGAATTCCCAAGGAGCAGGACCATCTGATTTTAAGGAATTTCTAGGTAAAAATGCAACTCACATTGCTAAGCAAACCTAAAACCCATAAAATACAGGAAGCACTACTAGATACAAAGTTGATTTCACTTCGTGGTTTGATGCTGTGCACCAGAGATGTGGTGCTTTCCCTCTAGCACTTAATGTGCTCCAGTACATGGAGTGCAATGCATCTGATCTCTCCCGTAACCTTATTTTAAATCAGTTCAATGCAAAGACATGACGGGGTATTCAGCAGACACCAAAGTTATATTGATTTGCCAGAATAACCCTTTTTTATGAGTCCAGGAAAAAGAAATCCAGCCCTTTCCTTTAAATTATTCACAGAGCCACTCACCATATCCCATGCCTGCCCCCCTCACGCTTTACATCCCCAATCAGCACATAATGAAAATCACTTAGCTTAGCTGCCTCTTTGCACACTTTAACCATTTTGGGGATGCATGTAAACATGATGGTTAAAATCAGTGCTTTTTTCTTTAAAAATGTTTAGGGGTACTCTCATTTTCCTACTCATATTGAAATACTGCCCCTCAATGAAGCCAAACTTAGATTCACAAAATGTTTAGGGATAAGCGTTTCCCTGCTTCCCCCCAGGAAAAAAGCACTGTTTAAAATTAATAGGGATATATTCTACTTTTTGGTCAGCACACCTAAAGTAGTTGCAACTACAAAATCTAAGGGTGGTTATGATTCCACATTTGTGCAGAGGGATTTATAAAATTTTGAGGACTGCCTTGCTTCAGATATCTACAGCAACCCGCTCGATGTGGGGGTAAACCCAACAACCTCCTCGCTTCCTTCTTTACACTGCACATATGATGATTTTATTTGACAGATCGACCCTTTCATAGGTCCACAGCGACAACCCGCACACCATTCATCAGCACACACTGAAAAGGGGGTTCAAGGAACACACTGGAAACGGGGCTTGAGATGGGAGCCCTCGTTGCAACCACCCCGGTTCAGAGTTCAACCAGGGTGTCGTGGGGCGGCGCGGGGAGGGGGGAGGCGTAGAATAACTTAAGGCAAGTTAAGGTACATGCCCTTGGAAACGGAGCTCTGCTGACTGCCACCCCACTTTGAAAATGAGACGTTGGATCTCTTGGTCTTTCCCTCTTCCCGGTGTGAAAAAGTCCAAGCCTGCCCCAAATTCTTAATTTGAGTAGGGGGTGGGATCCCTTACTCCAGATCACCTGGATCCATACTAGGGAGCCACCCCGCCACATCCCACCGACCTCCTCCGAGTCGCCCCCCACCTCCTTCTCAAGGACCCCTCCCCAGTTCTCGTCTCCTTTGCTGTGTGGCCCTTACAAGCGGGGCCCCCTCTTTGTCCACCCAGTTAGCCAGAGTTCCCCAAACCACTCGGCTACCAGAGGACCCACCCGCCACCTTTGCTTCGCCCTCCCCTTCAGGGGGTCCTTTACCTTCTTGGGCTCCGAACTGCCCGTGAGCCGCGACTGCAGCTTCCCTACAACTTCTAGCACCGACTCCGCCATTTTTACTGCTGGCGAGGCCTCTCCTCGGCGGAAGTGGCTGCTGCTTCGCCGTCTACCCAGGAGGACTCGGGGCTTCCCTCCTTCCGAACCTTTACTCCCTCGCTTCCTTTTTTTCCGCGCCGCCATGTTTGCTCCGGGCAAAAAAAGAAGACGGTGGTCAAAAGAAGGGCCAGTAAGCCGTTCTCTTCCATAGGTCGGCTCCACCATCTTAGAAGCTGGCAAGTTGCTTCGAAACAGAGAAAGGTAGAGAGGGACAAAAATCGCCATCTCGGATCAGGGCGAAGCTCGAAAAACAGCTGAAGGGATAACGGGTTGGAATCCTCTCATCTTGGAGAAGGGCAAGAAGTTTCCTTGCTGAGGTGCAGCCGCCATCCTGCGTGCTGGCAAGAACCTACTCTCCTCATATGTTCTCAGCCTGGAGTCGATTGCTGAGGTTTTTCGTGCCTTTTCACATAGTATGAACACGCCAGGATTTCAGCTTTACTGAGTAAATAGCTCAAATAAGAAAATTACTATAAAAGATACTTTTAATGGGGTGGTGTTTTGTTTTAAAAGTCTTTTTTCCACTGCAATTTGTGGGAAATGCTTTCAGAAAGCTCCATCTGTTATCAACTGAGAATTTGTTGCATATTAGCCTTTTCTCCATCCTAATCCATTCTTGGGGATCCCTCTCCCTCCAAAGCATCAGGAGCAAACAAAACTGTCTCTACAGGGCCAGAACCATTCAGGGAGCTCGAAGCCTAGTGCTGCCAATGGGGCCCTACCCAGACCCCAACTCTCACACATACTCTTTTCCCACTGCATGGCAGCAATAGACCTCATTTCCTATTCAAAAGTGGATCTGCCACCCACCCACCCCTAAAGTAGCCAGCCAGGCCCCCAACACAAACAGCAATGAACTGCAGCATAGCTGGGCTAGGCCAGTGATCAGTCCTTCTGCTGAGCCCTGGATAGTTCCCAACCAGACCAACTGCTGGTCCTGTGTCTGCATCAACAAACCCCAAAACTGGAATTTAAGTACAGTGGTACCTCTGGTTACGAACACTTCTGGTTACGAACGCTTCAGGTTACGAGCTCCGCTAACCCGGAAGTAGCTATTCCTGGTTGTGAACTTTGCCCCAGGATGCGAACAGAAATCGTGCGCTGGCGCGCACACAACAAGAGGCCCCATTAGCGAAAGTGTCCCTCAGGATAAGAACAGTTTCAGCTTAAGGACAGACCTCCGGAACGAATTAAGTTCTTAACCAGAGGTACCGCTGTAAGGAAAGAACAAGACTGGTTACTCCTCTTACAACAGTGCTTATCCTTGGCATGGGGAAATGTGTGGCCTTCCAACTCTTGTCAGTCATCTTCCAAGTGTCCCTATTTTTCAGGGACGTCCCTGATTTACAGAAGCCGTCCCGGTTTCTGATTTGATCCCAGAATGTCCTGATTTTCCTTAGGATGTCCCAATTTTCACTGGAGAAATGTTGGAGGGTATGGAGTTATCCAACCCCTGAGCTGTCTGAAGGCAATCCTTTATAGGGATGTTTTTTTAATGTTTAATGTTTTATTATTGTTGTTGTTGTTATATGTTGGAAGCTGTCCAGAGTGCTGGGGCAACTCAGTAAGATATGTGGGGTATAAATAGTAAAATTATCATTATGGAATGGCCCAAATGGGATGTCCCTATTTTCACTGGAGAAATGTTGGAGGGTATGCTATGGCTGATGATGGGAGAATCCAATAATGGAGAGCCACAGTTTCCTCATTCTTGATTTGCCTCTTATTTCAGCTTTCCCCAACCTAATACCCTCCATCAACCCCAACCAGGTCAGGGACACAGGTGGCACTGTGGTCTAAACCACTGAGCCTCTTGAGCTTGCTGATCGAAAGGTTGGCAGTTCGAATCCCCATGATGGTGTGAGCTCCCGTTGCTCTGTCCCAGCTCCTGCCAACCTAGCAGTTGAAAAGCATGCCAGTGCAAGTAGATACAGTAAATAGGTAGCACTGAGGTGGGAAGGTAAATGGCGTTTTCATGCACTCTTGTTTCCATCACAGTGTTCTGTTGCACCAGAAGTGGTTTAGTCATGCTGGCCACATGACCCGGAAAGCTGTCTGTGGTCCAACGCCGGCTCCCTCAGCCTGAAAGTGAAATGAGCACCGCAACCCCAGTCGCCTTTGACTGGACTTGACCGTCTAGGGGTCCTTTATCTTTTTACCTTCTAAGACAGACAAATCTAAAACATATGGAGGGCTATAGGTAGGTTTCTTATCCCTGATTTTACCTCTTACTTCTTCATATGATGCAAAATTAATTTACAGATCTCACCATCACAAAATGTGGCAATGAATCTGTGGTCTGATCCAGTGGGACACTTCTTATGAACTGAGCTTTGTTCATGATAAAATTATGAGAAGCAGGGCCCTCTATTTCTTTTCCCAGGATGAGCCGCTTGCTTTTTAAAGAGATGATGATGTGCGGTGCCACTGCTGCCTAAGAACATAAGATGAACCTGCAGGATCAGACCAAAGGCTCAACTAGTCCAGCATCCTATTTTCACAATGGCTGACCCACTGTCTGTGGAAAGCCTCCATGCTGGACATGAGTGCAGCAGCACTCGGCCCACCTGCCCAAGGCATGTGGCCATTCTTCCCTGCTAAGTGGATGTGTGTACTTGAGGGCATCAGCAGCACAGTGCCAAGGGCTCCCCAAAGTCTGGCACCAGAATTCTTCCCACCATGTCATTTTGCTGAATATGTAATTCAAGCATGCATAACCAATCCTTCCAACAGACCAAGGCTATGTACACACCCCACATGACTTTCTCCAAAGAATCCTGGGAAGTGTAGTTTGTTAAGGGGTGCTGGGAACTGTAGTTCTGTGAGAGGTAAACTGCAGTTCCTAGTATTTTTTTTGGGGGGGGGAGCTATGAGCTTTAAAGAGTCCCTTACCTTTACCTTTAGTGTGTGCACAGCCAAAGGTGATAGGTCAGTTGTTATTGGTTGGCATCCATCTATTATTATTTATTATTTTAATTATAATAATCATCACCCCCACATAACAAATAGCAGCTAAGACAGAGAATGGTGGCTTGCCTAAGACCACTGAATGCAATAGTCTTCAACCTCAGACCCACTTGGAGCCCAAACATTCATTTGGAGTCCCATGTCTTTTTTTTTTTAACCACATACTTGTATGGCAGTAGTGCGTCACTCCCATCAAGCTGGATGCAACTGGCGAGTTGATAAGGGTCGTCAGCTGGCCAGGCTGAATTGGGAAAGGAGGAGGAGGGACAGGGTAGCTGCTACATTTTGGATGTCTGCCTGGGTTCCCAAGTGCCTCTTAGCTTGTGCAGTGTACAGGCATTGGTTGCTATACCCTCCACTGGATCAGCCTCTTGACGCCAAGGTAGGGAGCAAAGGCCCTTCTCTCTGTCTGTCTGTCCTGAACCAACCAGCTTGCCCATTTCTACTTTAATATTTGCCGAGTGGTTTACGGGTCACTTGAGCTCTTAAAAAGTTGGGTGCAGATGGAACAAAGCGAGTCTTTCTTAAGAGAAAGAAACATTAGCTGTGTGAGTGACTGGAATGTGGAAAAAACAACAGGAGATGGCTTAGATTTCCATTGCCTAAACCCTACAATTTTTCATGATTTCAGGGTGGGGGGACAAAATACAAACTCAAGCTATTTATCGACACAAAGTCAGCACTCCAAAAAGTAAATATGACCCAGAATGGCCATAGCAGTATTTTAGCTAAGCTAGAGGTGGGCAGAAAAAAATAGATTGGAGGGGAAGGTCTCGTAATGGACAATTTCTGGTTCTTAGGATTCTTGCAAAGAATACTGGACTCAGTAGTCTTTGGTCTGATCTAGCAAGACACTTCTTTATGTTCTAAGTAAACGTATCATTTAGCATGCTCAGTATCACCTGACACTGATTACTTATGCCTTAACTGTTAAGAGATACTGAGTGTGCACTCTCACTTTATAAATTTAACACATGTTGGTGGCCATGAGTGAGGGATTCTAAGCAGAGGGAGGGAGGACTGCAACATATAAAACAGATTATTCTAACCCTGATCTAATCTGCCGGTGGGGCTTAAAAATGGTCAACAAAGGTAATGTCCAAAAAGGCAGCAGGTGGAGGGAGAAGGAATATAGATATAGAACAGTTGAGGATGTCCTGAGATGGGTACAGTGCTCTGAAAACTCAAAGCAGGAGATAAATGCTAATTATTATTTTATTAAAACATTAACAGAATAAATATCCAGGTTCCAAACATTGTGGTGCAATAGGTTTTGTATTGTGTGTTGTGTGTATACGATATTTAGTCAACAAAGTAGTAACTTTGCACATAATTCTGCTATTGATAGGGATTTACACTGGCAAATTGAGTTGGATATGCTGGATCCAGATTAATGGCATGTTCCTATACTCAGAAGTAAGTCTCATTGAGTTCAGCGGGTTTATTCTCCAGTTAAGGGGCACAGGATTGCAGTTTAAGTCTGCAAGTCAATCACATTTGGGTCCCATTGACTTAAACTTTTCATATTGATTTAAGTGAGACCAAATTGCCACTTGGTTAGTCTGGATCCAAGTCTATATTCTGCAGTGTAATTCAAGAGTGCATTTGCTTTCAGAAAGTGACATTTTCAATTGGGCTTTGCTGTTGTTTTGGCTAGAAACTTCAGCAGAGAGTTGGAAAGGAAAGGGGGAATCCCTGGGAAATGAGAATGATGGCTCATATAAGCATTTCCTCCAAGGCAGGAATCAGCACCCATCTCCACGCAAATGCTTAGGCAAGCCATATGGTTTGTGCAGCAGTGAATGGTATGTCAGCTAGTAGCCCCATAGATAAACCTACAGTGAACTTCACATAGTTGATGCTGCTGTTGCTGTTTTGAATAGTTATTGCATTACAGTGTTTCCAAAATTTTTGTTATGTGGATCGCAGTTAGCATGTTTTTGGCTTCTATTGGAGACACACACTTCACTCACTCCCACTAAAAATATGGATCCATTTTAGAACGCTAATAAGAGCTCTGCTGGATCAGAGCAAGGGTCCATCTAGGTCAGATTCCTGTTTCTTACACTGGCCAGACAAACGCTGACAAGCAAAACATGGAAGCAAGAATCCTCACCTGTCATTTGCCCCCCCCCCCCCCAGCAGCTGTTATTCATTAATGGGTAGACTATATCTAGATGGGGAGGTTCTCTTCAGCTGCCATAGCTAATACCTTAGGGCTCGATTGCACCATCTCCATGAATGTACTTAATGTTCTATGATATAAGCACATAAGAGCAGTCCTGCTGGATCAGATCAAGGAACCACCTGGTCTACAGTGTTTTATACATCACCAACCGGTAATTCAGGACCCCGTCAGGAAAAAGTGCATCCCTATTCCTCCCAATTGCTGCTCAATGGACACAGAGCAGTGGAGGCATCCAATGTAATGGCTCAAGCTGGAATCCTTGGCACACTTACCTCAGAGTAAATACCACTGAACTCAGTTTACTTTTAAGTAGAAGGGATGTAGCTCAGTGGTAGAGCATCTGCTTTCAATGGAGAAGGTCCCAGGTTCAGTCCCTGGCATCTCCAGGTAAGGCTGAGAGTGTCCCTTGTATGAAACTGTGGAGAGCCACTGCCAGTCAGTATAGATAATGATGAGCTAGATGGACCAATGGTGTGATTCAGTATAAGGTGGCTTTCCTATGTACATATCAGGTTGTACCATATATTTTTCAAAACACACATTACAGTGCAATTGTAGATGGATCTACTCAGAAGTATTGTTGTTTTTTTATTAAAGAAAACAGCCTATCGAGTTCAAGAGGCTTACTCCCTGGAAAGTGCCTTAGCATTGCAGTCTCAGACCCTGCTTGCGGCACACTAGCACATCCCAGTTTTGGACTTGCATTGCCTTTACAGATTTTGCATACCATTTTTGTCCCCAGACCGAAGTACAACCACCACAAAACAATAAAACCAATTTAGGAACAAGCAACCCCACTAGGAAAAGTGTGTGGGGAAGGGGGAACCAGTAGCATCATAAATACAACTCTGGGAAACAGACAGCATGGAAAGCATGTCTAAATAAGTCCGCTTGGGACATTTTCCTAAAGACTGGGAGGGAAGAGGCAGGGAAGAATTTCCAGAGCCTAGGCACACCTCTGGGAAGGTCCCGTTCTGTGTACTCTCCATTTGCAAATCAGATGGTGGTAAGATGCAGGGGAAAGCCTCTTCAGAAAGTCTTCACTGGTGAGCAGAGTCCTGTGGAGGGAGCAAGGGGAGGGGTCCTTCACAGACCCAAGCTGCGTACTTAGAACTGGGCTTCAAAAATACACTGAGGGCCACCTTTACCTTTACTAAATAGATACAGAGTCTGTCAAGAAGGAGTCTGTGGCAGTAGCAGAGTATAGTTGTCCAACAGTCTTCAGAGTCAGCCCCATGCAGAGGATGTTGCAGTGGTCCAACCTACATGTAATTAAAGCATGTGTAATTGTGCCTCGATCTGCCTTCTGCAAGAAGGGTCGCAGCTAGCACCTTAGTCACAGATGCACAAAGCACACTCTGTGGCCACAGCAACAACCTGCCTCCAGAGGCAAAGCTGGGTCCAGAAACACTGTTAGACTGAAAGCTTGATCTTTCACAGGGTGTGCTACTCCATCCAGATCCTTAACGCCTACAAATGTCTGCAGATCAAGTTCCTATTAAAGGCACAGCTACAAAGGCTGGTAAAAAAGTTGGCAACCCTAGACTAGGACTTTGCTTCCTCCCCATCCTGTTCTAAGAATTGCCAATTGCTTAACCCTCCAGAAATTTGATCTTTATGTCCAGCTCTGAGAGATGCAAGACAGAGAGGCACTTCGGCTATTTCTGGCCTGTAACAAACAGGTTTGTCACCCAGGAGCTCAGATCTCCTTCCCTCCCCCCCCCCTCAGCGGAGGGAAGGGAAGGTGGACAGAAACAGCTGAGAAACATTAGCAATAAGCCGTCCTGCCTGTGGAGAGTCAGAATCTGTATGCACGCTCAGTTCAGATATCAAATGCAGTCATGCAGCATGTCCCAAGTCATGAAGTCCACACGTGGCAGGCCTTGATGGAAGGAATTATTACAGAAGGGTACACCAACCTTTTCTCTGTGTTGTGGAAGATACGGTGCCTGTCTTGCCCAGAGACACAGCCTATGCTTTCAGTTACACGCAACAGCCTAAATCGTATACTCTATTCTCCCACGATGGGTTTCTGCAAAAAGAACTGTACAGAGCTGGAGTAGCTAAGTAGCTGAAAGTTTGAGCAGTGAGGGAGCAACTCCCTGGTTCAAATCAAACCACAGCTATGAGCTCCCTTGATTGACCTGGGCCAGGCTACTATTTTAAAGCCCCAGGCCCACCCTGCCAGCTTTGTGCTGTGATAGGAATTTTATGGTCTTAGATATATGGTAATGTTCATAAGCGTACCAACCAAGCACATACATAGATCAGCACAGGAAGGCCAACCTGGAACCATTTTGATTCCTAAACTGACCAAATCTTTTCTCTGCAAGGTCAAAATGGAAAAGCCTCCCCATTGTCTTTTCCTTCACAAATCCTGTCTTAAGGGTATGTCTGTGTTTGAATAGGATGTGAGCCTGTGACCTGGCCCAGGAACTAAGTATTTATCATTACAAAAGACTGGCCAGGCTACCCAGGAAATCCTATCAAGTAACCTGCCAGACAGGAGAACAAAAACAGGAGAAAAACAATATTAAAATTTCTATTTTGGACCGCCTTTTCTGTGATGTAGGTGTGATGTATCTGAGGCGTGGTCTTAGGTTACACCCCTTCTGTGATGTATGTATGATGTTTCTGGGGGTGGTCTTGATCTACAGGGTGGCAATTTCAAAAGGCCTTGCACGCCATTTTTCTGGGTCTCTCCTCTCTCCTGCAGGTGAGGGGAGCACCCTGTTGCAACAGATCAATAAAGGCCAAGCCTACAGGCTGCTGTTTTGCTCCAAGTAATCCTGGTTGGTGTCTTTGTTTTTTGTCCAAGGGAGCCCTCAGATTTTTCCATTAACAGTGCTAGGACAGTAATAATACTGGCCCAGTATTATTACAGTATCATAATACTGGACACGGGTGGCGCTGTGAGTTAAACCACAGAGCCTAGGGCTTGCCAATCGGAAGGTCGGCGGTTCAAATCCCTGTGACGGGGTGGGCTCCCGTTGCTCGGTCTCTGTTCCTGCCAACCTAGCAGTTCGAAAGCACATCAAAAGTGCAAGTAGATAAATAGGTACCGCTCTGGCGGGAAGGTAAACGGTGTTTCCGTGCGCTGCTCTGGTTCGCCAGAAGCAGCTTAGTCATGCTGGCCACATGACCGGAAGCTGTATGCAGGCTCCCTCGGCCAATAAAGTGAGATGAGCGCCGCAACCCCAGAGTCGTCCGCAACAGGACCTAACGGTCAGGGGTCCCTTTACCTTTACTTTACAGGAACACAGGAGGCTGCTTTCTGCCCAGTCAACCAACTGGTCCAACCAGCTCAGTATTGTCTGATCCAGGGATCGGCCTTTTCAGCCCAAAGGCCATGTTCCCTTCCTGGCAACTTTCCAGGGGGCCACAAATCAGAGAGAGCTAGTCTGGTGGGTCACTTGGTTAGAGTGTCAGACTACCAGGTTTTGATCTCCCTCGGCCATGAAGCCCCCTGGGTGACTCTGAGTCAGAAACTGCCTATCAGCCTAACCGACCTCACAAGGTTGTTGTGAGGATAAGAGGGGGGGGGGAGGACTAAGTATGTCACCTTGAGATCCTTGGAGGGAAAGGTGGGATATAAATGCAACAAATAAAATAGCAGTCGGGGATGTGGGCAGAGGCAAAAGTGGTCAGAGCAATAAATGTTAATTTTAGCTTTGTAAAATAGGCTTGTTTATCCATACACCCACAAACCCCTCCTCTAGCCCCCATCCAATAAGTAAGAGGCATTCACAGAAATCAAAGAAATTCCAGCATGGGCGTAGCCAGGATTTTTTTTTTTGGGGGGGGGGAGGACTTTTGTTGGGAGGTGGCAGAACTGACGTGATTAGTCAGGAAGTTAAGTATTTCTATTGTTTTACTTGATCTGGGGGGGACCTCCCCATAGGCATAGCCAAAGGGGGGACAGCTGCCCCCCTAAATCAATAAAAATACATAACAAACTGAGGTTCTGCCCCCCTTAAGAAAAGGCCTGCCCCCCAACAAAAATGCTGGCTACACCCATGAAGCTCACCCCCCCCCCCCGGCTATGCCCATGAATTCCAGCTAGGCAAAAATACCAAGGAGAGTATGAAGTAGGGCAGGTGAGAGGTGTGGCCTGGGGAGAGGGTGTGGCTAATAATGGGTTGTGGCCTTGAGACAGTCCCAAGGGCCTTAGAGAAACAGGGGTGGGGGGTAGAATGCATTTGGCTCCTAGATTAGGGCTACATCTAAATGCAATTGCAGTTGATAGTAGAGGCATAGGGAACCTTTAGCCCTCCAATGTTGCTGAACTACAGCTCCCATTGCCCCTGGCAACTGGCCATGCATCCTGGGGCTGATAGGAATTGTAGTTCAGCAACATCAGGAGGGCCACAGGTTCCCCACTCTTGTCTCTTTCAAATTCCACCATCCATTTTGTACAGGAGGCCAATATATATGTCACCTATGATGTTCCTTTACAAAGCAGTGTTCTCCTTAATACGCCTTACAGGCCACGCTTCCGCTCCAATGGCACCCAAGAAGAAAGCCCCAAAGAAGAGCAAGCCGTCGAAGACGGAGACGTCTACGAATGTCACCATGGTAGAGGACTCTTCTCTTGACATTGACCACCACCAGCAGCTGGACGGCTTGTTTGAAAATGGTTCAGGTGGCTTCCTCTGCACTGCCACAGAAGTCACAAATCCTGGCCACGGAACCAGTGTTCTGGAGGAGATGAGCCTCATGCACCAGGAGCGTTTCCTCTGCGACCTCACTATTGTCACAAAAACAAAATCCTTCAGCGTTCACAAGTTGGTCATGTCTTCCTGCAGCGAGTTTTTCAGAAGCCTACTGAAAAAAGACCCAAACCTTCAACAAGTGGACCTCAAAGATGCCTCCTCCTTAGGCTTGGCTACCGCCATTGCCTACACCTACACCGGAAAGCTGAACCTTTCTCTGTACACCATTGGGAGCACCATTTCCATAGCCAGCCGCCTGAGGATGTATGCTCTGCTCAACATGTGCACCGACTTCCTCATCCAGGAGATGAATGTGGAAAACTGGATGTACATCGCCAACCTGGCAGACACCTACAATCTCAGCCAGGCGAAGGATGCTGCAAGGAAGTTCATCCGGGAATGCTTCCTGGAGTTCTCCGACACTGAACAGTTCATGAAACTCACCTTCGACCAGCTCAACGAGCTGCTAATGGACGACAACCTTCAGTTCCCCAATGAAGTGGTGGTCTTTCAGATTGTCATGAAATGGATCGAGTTTGATCCCAAGCGGATCAAACACGCCGCCGACCTCCTGAACAATGTCCGATTTGGCACGATCCCGGCTCACGACTTGATCAACTACATCCAGCCTGTGCCGTGCATGATGCAGAACCCGGAATGCCACAAGCTCCTGGTAGACGCTATGAATTACCACTTGTTACCTTATCAGCAAAATGACCTCCAGTCCAGAAGGACCAAGATTCGAGGAAGCCGTAAAGTGTTGCTCATGGTTGGGGGCCGCCCGTGCTCGGCCGAGAAAGCTCTTAGCAAAGATGTAAGCTACAGAGATCAAGAAGGAAACTGGAATAAGCTAACAGAGATGCCTACCAAATGTTTTAACCAATGTGTTGTGGTGATGGATGGATTCCTCTATGTGGCTGGCGGAGAGGATCAAACTGATGCGCGGAACCAGGCAAAGCATGCAGTTAACAACCTGTGCAGGTAATGGGGAGGTTGCACCTTGATTGACACTGTCTATCGGGTTCCCAAGCAGGAGTCTTCCTCATGCCTGAAATCTTCTAAATCCATGTTGGGGTATCCATGGCCCAACTCCAATTCCTATTATCCCCAGCCATCATGGACAATGGTTTTGGGAGCTGTAGTCCAGCAACATCTGAAGAGGCCAGCAGTTTTCCAGCCCTGGATATACTGGGGTCACCTGCCAGAGGCACAAGTAGGCAGAACAACAAATGTGAATTTTACCTTTGTACAGTAGACTAGTTTCTGTACACCCAGCCCTCTCTATCCTCCGTCTAGGCAAGCAAGAGGCATTGTCAAAGCTCAAAGACACATTCCAGCCAGAAAAAAATAATTCAAAGACAGAATGAAGTGGGGCAGGTGAGAGGTGTGGCCTGGAGAGAGTCCCATGGGCCAAGTAGAGAGATCCAGTGGGCTGTATGTGTCCCCTGGGGCTGAGGTTCCCCACACCTGATGTATAAACTCCCTCATAGGGCACAGAAAAAGAACCTCAAATAAAAAATAGCATCACAAAATAAAAATCACATATAGGAAGGTAGACATAGATCTGAATATCAGTATTGATCTCTAAATGCTTGTGTAAGAAGTCATATTTTACGTTGGCTTCTTAATGACAGTCCTGTAGATGTCTTACATACTTTTAAGAGGCAAGGCATTCTAAAGCTGGTGGGGGGTTCACCACTGAACAGGTCCATTTCAGGGCCAACAGCTAGCAAGGCTTGAAGAGCTTTGGGGTGGTGAGATGGACTGAGGTGTATGGAGGAAAAGGCTATCCCTGGCTGCTAGGGCTGCATGCTGCCTCCAGTATTGGAGGGAATGTGCCTCTGAAGACCAGTTTCTGGGAATCACAAGTGGGGAGAGTTGCTGGTGTACTCAGGTCCTGCTTACACTTTCTCCATAGGCATCAGGTTGGCCACTGGGAACAGGCTGCTGAATAGATGGGCATTTGGGCTGATTCAGCCGCCAGACTCTCCTTATATTATGCTCCTATGGACGGGGAAGGTACTTATTTCTAACCCTGATTTTTATTGAGGACAGAAGCCTAAGGCATGTCACAAAACATTATTTCATGGGTGAGAGAGACATTATAATAGACATCCGTTTAAGCCAAAAAATTAAGGGGCACAACAGGCAGAGGAACTTTAGATGTGTTTTGAGGTCTTTTCCCCCAGGGGCACCTAGAAAAAAGGAATGTTCTCTATGACTCTGGGCTTAGTGGTCTTATGGCCCTGCTGCATTTATTTACAGTGGATGCTCAGGTTGCGAACGTGATCCATGCGGGAGGCACGTTTGCAACCCGCAGCGTTTGCAACCCGCAGTGCCACGTTTGCACACATGTGGATCACAATTTCGCGCTTCTGTGCTGAAACCCAGAAGTAACCCATCTGGTACTTCCGGGTTTGGCACAGTGCGCAACCTGAAAAAGCGCAACCTGAAGCGTCTGTAACCCGAGGTATGACTGTATTTAGAAAATGTATAACCTGTGACCCCTTAAGTTAACTGGTCTCAGGTTTGCTAGGGGCCCCATCTGAGGAGTGGGACCGCAAACTGTTACCCTGACAGCCTCACTAGGCAAACTCAGATCCCCTGCTTCAACCACACATAAGAAGCCAACACAGCAACACCTGTGGAGCCTGCTGGATCAGCCCAATGGTCCATTAAGTACAGCATCCTCTTCTCACAGTGGCCAAGCAGATGCCTGTGGGAAACCCCCAAGCAGGCCCCAAGCACAAGAGCACTCTCTCCTCCTGCAGTTCCCATCAGCTGGTATTCAGGGGCATTACTGCTTCCAACTATGGAGGCAGAGCATAGCCATCACACTCAATGGCGACAATGACAAACTCTCTTCCCCTCTGCAGGTATGATCCCCGTTTCGGCACCTGGCTGCACTTGGCCAGCATGTCACACAGAAGAACTCACTTCAGCCTCAGCGCATTCAATGGGAACCTCTATGCCATCGGGGGACGTAATGCCAAGGGGACCCTAGTCTCTCTTGAATGCTACATCCCTTCAGCCAACACCTGGCAAGCCAAAGCCAACATGGACTTGCCCCGCTGCTGCCATGCCAGCGTGGTCATCGATGGCAAGATCCTGGTGACTGGCGGCTACGTCAACAACGCCTACTCCCGTACCGTCTGCAGCTATGACCCCGCCACAGATTCATGGCGAGATGGGGCATGGCTGAGCAGCCCCCGAGGCTGGCACTGCGCTGCCACCTTAGCAGACCGCGCCTACGTCCTGGGCGGCAGCCAGTTGGGTCCCCGGGGGGAGAGGGTGGACGTCATCCCTGTGGAGTGCTACAACCCTTCCACGAACCAGTGGAGCTACATGGCCCCCCTGCCCACCGGCTTGAGCATGGCGGGGGTGGCCACCCTCGGTGGGCAGATCTTGGTTGTCGGTGGTTGGAATGAGAGTGGGAAGAAGTACCAGAAGAGCATCCACGCCTACAATCCGGACCTGAATGAATGGACAGAGGAAGGAGAACTTTCCGAAGGCACCGTGGGGGTCTCCTGCTGCACCATCGCCCTTCCGCACTCAAGCACCAGGGGCTCCAGGGCCAGCTCAGCTGCTTCAGCAACGGTCAGCATTTAAGGGTGAGAGGATGGTTGGATGGAATGGAGGAAAGAGTCAGAACTGGCCTCAGCTGGCATGATCAGGGGGTTCACAAGAACGTCGAAATACTTCTTTAAAAATCTCATTTATGCCTTGGTTTTGCCAGCTTCCAGGAGATAAATATTCTACCTGTAGAGCAGGTGTGGGCAGCTCTTGGTCCTCTGTATATTGCAGAAATACAAACCTCATCATCCCTGGCCACAGGCCATGCTTGCTGAGGCTGATGGGAATTGTAGTTCAGCAACACTTCCAAGGCCAAAGGTCCCCCAAACTTGCTTTATAGAATTAGCACTGTCTTACTGCAACAGGGGAGGCTAACCTGCAGCCCTCCAGGTGCTATTGGACAACCCCCATCCTTGACTGTTGGGGCTAATGGGGTACAAGAGCATCTGGAGGGCCGCAAATTAGTTACCCATGTACTATAGCTTACCTCACAGAAAAATAAGCAACAGGGCTGAATACAGCACCGCCTTCCCATGGTTTTACTTTAATAACACTTTTAAAGCACAATTTCCAGTCCCTCAGGTGAAACCTGAAGACGTCATTTGAGCTGAAATACAACTCCCCGTCCCTCAGCTTCTACCCCCCAATATCACCACCAGTTTTTTAAAAGAAAGGTGTGACCCTTAAGGCCTACCTTGAATGAACTGCGTCACTGAGATATAGGATTCTTGAGGTCTAAATTAAAAATCTGAAGCACACTTTACAATTTTGTGTTGTGTCGTCTATGTGGTGTGGAACTTTGAAATGGCATTGTGTGTGTTCTGTCAACCAATGACTCTCTTGAAAGGAAGTTTTCAAGGAAGGGATTTAGGCTGCAAATCCTGCACTCTCATACCTGGCTTTGACACTGCCCATTCAGGCCCTTACAGTTTTACAGCCTCCCCATCCCCGGAGAACCACCCATAAGAACAAAAGGGTTTCTCATCAAACCTTTTACATTAATAATTTCTCTTTCACGCCATGCCTCAAGGAAGTACGTTGCTAGGGAACAGAATAATTATGAGAGGCAAATGAAGCTGAGTTAATTGCAGGGTGGCTGACAGCACTTTCCCCCACCACCCTGGGCAAAGCAGGCATGTGTGCTTGGAAGTGTTTGTACTGAGCTGAATCAAACACAGGGGATTGTACAATTGTGGTGACAGCCTTTTGTACAAGGCAGTATAAGCCTCCCAAGAAAAAGTGCAACCATTACAGAGGAAGGCACAAGATTTTCCTGTTTTCACACAGGCCTGCCTCGTGCCAATTATGAGGCTGTTTTATACCAGGTCCGTCTAACCCAATAGTATCTACTAAGTAAGGAAGCAACAACAGGAAATATGTGGATTGCTTTTTAAAATTTCTACAGGTAGCAATAGAAACGGGAAGGAAAACGTCCCTCCCCTTGGCAGTCCTTATCTGGATCAGCTCCCATTGCTACTTGCGGTTTAAATAGGTGGAAATTCCTGCACTGTGTAATTTTGGTGCCAACATTTGTCCTAAAAATAATATTAATAAAAAGATAGGTCTTTCCAGAGCCATTTTCCTATGATGCCTTTAGTTGGAGAGTTCAACACTCAACTTGGGCATTCTGTGTCCATAGTTAGGTACTCCGCCACTCAGCTACAGCCCCTTCAATTACCGTAAGAAATTAAATCTTCCATGCCAGCTCACTTTTGTCTGTCCCCACCTTGAACAAGAGGTGGTATACAGTGGTACCTCTGGTTACATACGCTTTAGGTTACAGACTCCGCTAACCCAGAAATATTACCTCGGGTTAAGAACTTTGCTTCAGGATGAGAACAGAAATCGTGTGGCGGCGGCACAGCAGCAGGAGGCCCCATTAGCTAAAGTGGTGCTTCAGGTTAAGAACAGTTTCAGGTTAATAGATCTCCAGAACAAATTAAGTTCTTAACCCGAGGTACCACTGTATTCCGCTGTTATCACAGCAAGCCTTCAGCTTTCCCCAGTAACTGCACACACAACATGCTAAAAGCCATCCTCCATGGGCCCTTCCTCTTATCTACCCATTTGGCTCTTAGGTCAGAGCAATTATTTCTCATTAGATTGGCTTTGAGCTAGCTCCATTTGGGGAGTAGGAAGTCACTCATTTTGTGTGTCTTTGAATGGCACATCTTGTGAAGACTCAGAATATATTTAATTCTCCTTCATGCTCTCACTTGTGTCTTGTGCTTTTCAAGGAGCGCTACTAATTTGATCTCAGGAAACGTTTGGCTGGCTATCCCAGCCAAGAAGGCCAATGAGTTTTTTACAACCCACCCAAAACTAAAAGAATCACCCACGGTACTCCAGCTGTCTATCAAATATTGAATACAGATCAGAACTGGAGAAAGGGGATTAGAATATGCTAAAAGGCAGTCTGAGCAAAGACTCTGCTCCACTACACACAGAGAATACGAATTGAAGTTTTTACAGAATTCAATTTGTTACTAATATCAGACAGAGCACGATCTGAAGACATGTGATGCAGCAGCCATGTTGAAGCTAACTAGGTCTACTGTCAGTGCTTGGACGCAAGAGGATGGGAGCCCTCTACATGCCACTTTGGTTCCTTAGAAGAAAAATGTTAAGATAAAAGTGGTGGCCTGGATGTCAAAATAATGTGGAGCATTTTCCTAGCACAGGAAATGGATTATCATGCATACAATTATCTAAGAAGGTACAAGATCTTCCAAAGTAGAGAAAGGACATGTATTGTTAGCAATGAGGAGACGGCTACTGGGATCACCTATGTCTTTGATGGCCAGTGGCCTAGGCTGGGGAAACTAGGCTCTTCACGGCCAAGCCAACCACAGGCAACACCTCCAAGCTATTTTTGTAAGAGTGAAAGAGAAAGCAGAATCAGAAATATTGCCACTTTCACCCCACCCTCTGTACTTGTGGAGTGTCTCTGTCCTGTTTTCCATCTACCCCCACCCTGCCAAATGATAGGCTACAGGAACTGTTTGAAATCATGTTGTATGTCTACACAGTCCTTCTCCTATAGCAGCTTTTGCCATGCCTCCGGATTAGGCAGACAATAGCTCCTGAGACACAACATGGAAAGGACAAACAGATATAGTGGCTCAGCAAAGGATAAATGACCACAAAATACACAGCAGCAAGTTAAATGGTGGAAAAATTTATTGACTTTTTTATACTGGAAACTTTTCATTTACCAGGAAGGATGATGCCGTCATACTGCAAGAGAAGAAAAGGATTATCAAAATAATTGTGCAAGAAAGACTAGTCTTTAAAGCATAGCCACCACCAGGAAATTTCTCCCAAATCATGTCTACGGCAAAGTGATTTGATGCACTGGGAAACAAACTCAGAAGTTAGCAGACTGCACCAGCCCACACATTAGTGATTTTTTGTGGCACAGAAAAAGAACCAATTTCTGATTGGCTGAAAGGCAAGAGTATATTTACAAGCCATTTAAGCAGGAAGAGTGCTATAAAAGAGATGCTTACACATTGTAAATAATGATATTGCCATGCAGAAGCATATTCCAAATACTTTTGAGATGCTGCTCACAACATTTCCCAATACTGTGAAGAACTGTATGAATTGCTCCCCACCCCCAAAATCTCCAGCCACCTTGCTGCAGAATGCACAGGTCACACACATCTTTTACATTTGTTAAACAGAGCGCCATTAGACTAATGTAGGCAAACACTAACAATTCAATGCAGCTCTCCAAAACTGTTCCAAACTACCAGAACTGCTGAAGACTTATGTACTGGGATTCTTTTAGAAGTGGAAGGTAAGAACTGAGCACAATTATTTTATTTAAATACTTATAAACAGCACTTCCATAAAAATTTACACCATACAAAACATACAATAAAAACAAATAAATTGCAAATTGGAAAAAATCACATTTCAAAGGCCTATCTAAACAACATCCTTTTTAGGAGACATCTAAAAGAAGGCAGGGGTGATTCCTGCCAAACCTCTACTGGCAGGGAGCTCTACAGGGCAGTGTCTGCCACACTAAAGGCTTGGTCCCTAGTGAAGGCTGATTGGGCTTCAGGAGTGCGCAAAACACCAAGAAGTGCTCCATCAAATGACCTCAGTCATCTAGGTGGAGCATAAGAGATCATAATTGCCCTTACAGTACTTTGGACCGAATTAACACAAGAACCTTGAGCTTGGCCAGGTGGCAAAGTTCAACATACCTCTGCTCTCGCTGACCGTTTGACATGGGCCAAGCTAACTGTAAACCCTATCCTAAAGATGCTAAGGCCAGAAACAGTTGATTGCACTAGATTGTACTGTTAAGCCTCCAATTGATTTTGGCATCACTGTACACTTGGGGGAGGGGAGGGGAGGGCAGGGATAGTTTCTTTTAGATATATTGGTCTAACACAAAGAGGTCAACAAAGTGGACTAAACATGTTTTGCAAGCTTGTTCGCAGCTTAAAATGCAGCAAAACCTACCTTCTGCTGGAACCAACGCATGGCTTCCTCCTTGCTGATTCGGTGCTTGGCCCCAATGCTACCAGTTCGGTGCTTCTTGTCAGCAATGCTGAAGCCTGGCCTGCCCAAAACCTGCAGCAGAAACACAAGCCTCGCTGAGTCCTGAAGACCTACCTTTAGAAAGCCTTTTCAGATAGACTTCCATCTTTCATAGTGTTCGAGAAAGAAATTTAAGAAAAGCACCCAAGTTATCCATAGCACCCAAGAAGGGGGTTCACAGCTTCTCACAGAGTAAACACACTGCAGCAGCTGCTAGAGTGTTGAATTTGGATGCAGGACCTGGGTAACAGGAAGAGCTGGGTGATCTGATGCAAGTCACTCTCCTAGACTAACCTACCTCAGATGTAGGCCTGAAGATTAAAATGCTATGCCCCCCTTTCCAACATTAATGAGATAAGCAAAGCCATCATGAGCAACACTTGCTGAGGACTAATTCCTATGCTCCTTTTAAAGAATCTATAGACATAATGTTACATGAACAGCTATTTAATGTATTCATTGTAAAGCCATTTTTTCGCCTGCGTGGCCCCCACAAAGGGACTTACCCCAAAACTGACTATCAAAAAACAGAGCAGAAAACTGACAATATCCTTTTGATTCCAGTATAGTTTAATTACTTTTAAACTATTATATTTTATATAATTTTTAACTTTCTGTTTTTAATTTTTGTAAAAAAAAAAAAGACTGGAGAAAATGAATCTGGGAAATAAATAAATAAATGCAGCAATCTATTTTTAAAACAGTAAGCGTAACAAGGCAACTTTCAGCAAGTCAATTAAAATTATCTTAGGAGCAGTGTCAGCAATGCTTCACTGGACATACATGTCAATCTCGCCCCAGGAACACACAGTAAACTATTCAAAAAACGATTCTGTTGCAGGCCTGTATGGCTGCAGCAGTAAAGCACAGCAGCAGTCATTCCAGTAGTGCTTTTCAGTTGATGCTTTTACAATTTGTTCCTATTCAATTCTCACAGCTGCCCTGTCAGCTAAAATAGACTGAGAAAGGAGACTCTTCTCACCCAATAAGCTTGATAAAGTGGGAATTTGAACATGAGCATATCCAATGGCAAAGTTTGCAGAGAAAGTAAAAAGTGTTAATTGGTCAAACCACAGGGTTCCCTTTCTACAGCTGTTGCCAGTTGTTATAGCACAGGGGCACAGAGCAGGGAGAGGGCCCACACACATCAAACCACATATTTTGGGCCTACCTAACCTCATACGCAACTCAGGTGTCCATAGATACAAATGTTAACTAGATACAGATTCAAACAATAAAGTATCATGGCATGTTCTGGTCCATAAGCTCTAGCTGGTGCAGAATGCAGCAGCTAGACCACTGATGGGAGCTGAAAGCACGTGACACCTTTGCTAAAACTTCTGCACTGACTCCCTTTATGCTACTTGGCCAGGTTCAAGACTCTTGTGTTGATCTACAAACCCTGAACAACTTGGTCTCAGGATACCTTAAGGATTTGCTAAGCCCTTATATACCAGGTCAATCACAGAGACCCTCTGTGGAGAGCATTTAGTTTTCTCCTGTGTTTATAGAGGCCCAACTAGTCTCAACTATAAATCAGGCATTTAGTGTTGCTGTTCTTGCACCGTGGAATAGTCTTCCAGGAGAGATTCAGCAGGCATCCTTGCTTCTGACTTTTAGGCATATCTTGAAGAACCTTCTATGCCAATAGGTCTTTGCAGCTGTTTACTTTTATCAATAAATATTTGCTTGCATGCATGCACCAAGTGCACTTGCTACAACTTAAGTTCAGGCTCCCCAGATTTGTTTTAGGGCAACAGCCCCTCTCTTGTGTGTCCAACCATGCAGAAAATGGCAGCTACCACTGCAGTGGCACCAAGGCTCAGCGTTAGTAAGACTCACAAAACAACTCTACAGACATGACCTCTGGATTACAGCCTAAGAATGCAAAAGGGTAAGCTAAGTATACAAACCACATAGAAGTCCAAGCCGTAGATACCAATACTAGGATCGTATTTAATCCCCAGATCAATGTGCTCCTGGATTCCAAAGCCAAAGTTGCCGGTGTCAGAGAAGTTATTCTTCCTCAGCTCGTATTCTCGCACCTGAAACATTGACATCAGCTTTAAGCTTTGACATTTTCCGCCTTGCGTGTGCCAAGTTCTCTTAAGAAAACATCCAAATACAGCAAGGACAGCACTTCACCTTCAACCCTTTCTCCAAGATCTCCTCAGCTTTGGCCCCGCGTACAGTGCAGTGAACGGCTATCTTCTCATTTCTCCTGATCCCAAAGGACCTGACTGTGTATCGAGCTGAAGAAGAAACACAACTTTTCTTAAGTTTGCTCAAAGGGTCAGCAAAAGGACACATATGACATGCCATATTCAAGGAAAACAAAAATATGGTGGTCAGAAATGTCCACCAAACACCCAGCTCCAAGTTTAAGATTACAACTTCCAGACAGTAGGTCCACATCTGCAAACAAGCTATACAGAAAACTTGTTGACAGGCCACGTGACTGCAAGCACAAAGAAGGGAAGGCATGCATCACTGTTGATCAGGAAATGGGTTTGAGTGGCAATTCCCCAACAAAAACACCAGCTGTAAGCAGCCCCAGTCAATGGCTTAAACTTCTCCCAACCTAGTACTCACCATATGTTTTTGGACAAGTTCCATTACCCTTACCCACTAGCTGTGCTTAGTGAGGCTGCTGGAAGTTGCCGCCCAAACTTCTAGAGAGCACTAGACAGAGAGGCCTGAGCTAAAGTCTACTTTTGGTAATACTGATAGGCTAACTTAAGAATCCAATTCTCTTTTTTAAAGGTTTCTAGAATTCATAGTTAAAGGGAAGTCTGCAAAGGACAAAGACCTGGGCGCTACAGTGTGGATTCCAGTTCAAAATCAATCCAATTTGATGTAGAGAACTATGAGGTGGGTCAACCCATTCCCTGACTTCCTGCCCTGGGGCAATCACCTTTCCCTATTCTTTTGCCCTAGTCACCATGCTGTGCATGCGTTAAGCTGGACCAGGGTGCCCACCCACACAACAAAAAGAGAAGTCTGGGCAAGGGGAAGCAAATGAAGTTTCCAGACCACTAATGGTCTTAAATAACTTTGGAAACACTGCTATACATCCTGCACGGAAACTGATCCTCCTTTTGTTTTTCAAAAAATAAAAATAAAATGGTATGAATAAAATTTCAGCCTTCTTGCTCTAGAAACGTCAGTAACAGTCTTCCAAAAAAGCTTACCTTTGGAGAAAACAGGAGTCTGGCCTGTGAGCTGCTCCAGCACTTTGGCTGCCCGGGTAAGCCTGTCTCCACTTTCCCCAACACAGATGTTCAGGCAGAGTTTGCGGATGCGCAGCTCCCGCATGGGGTTCTCCTTCTCACCCTTGTCTTGTTGCTGTGCAATGGTGGGGGAAAGAAAGCAGTTAAACCAGCGACAGCTTTTCTCTATACTCAACTCACACGGCATAACACAAGGGCTGGGACAAGTTTTCATAAGACGCTTAACGTTTACAAGCATATCTTATGTCCCCATGTTGGCAATTTAGCATGAAACCCTAGGCTGGGGTGGCGAATGTGTGCCCTACCCCACATTATGTTAGACTCCAATTCCCATCAGTCCCAGCCTGCATGGCCAATAGTCAGGAATGATGGGAGTTGCAACAGCCAGAGAGCCAAAGGTTCCTCATCCTTGCCCTGGACCCTAAAAGGCCTTCAAGTGGCTACTCCACCCCTCTTTGTGGTATTCACCATAGTCATCTCTCATTATTGCAATTTAGAAAGATTCCTGAACTAGATCCTACCCTCTCCAAATGTTATGGCTTACCAATACTGTTGACACTGCCCATCCACTTGAGGAAAAGGGCCAAATTACCATCAAACTCCTTTGTCTGCCCAGTCCCCTTACTCTGCTCTAGTAGGCAAGCTTCAAGAAAAAGAAAATCAGCCTACTAGCCAACAAAATGTGATTAGTACAGGCTTTTGAAAAATCCTATCCCAAAGCCTTTTCTTCCCTACTGGAAGCCTTCCAATACCTCAACATCAATATATGTACCACTGCTATCACACGAGCACCTTATAGAGTAGAATAAGCGGCACCATGAGAAACACAGTAATTGTTAAGATGGTTCCTAATTCTGGATGTGTTTCAAAGTTTGAGGTGTTTCTGTAAAAACTGGTGACCAATACACAAAGGTAAACACAACAAGAACCAGACATGCAACAGGTCCTGGTTTGTTTTTAACATCATGAATTTGTTTTAGCCCTGTTTTTAGTAATACTGACTTTTTATACCTGCCATTTTTGTTGTTTGTAAACTACTTTGGACAGGCTTTGCCCAGAAAAAGCACAACAAAAACAACAAGATAGCAAACAGTCTAGCCTTTCCCTAGACTTCTAGTATGCTAGGTAGAAATATTCTAAACTAGCCTTTCAAACAACATACCAACTTTCTGTGTGCAATGAACTTTCCTTGCATGAGGTATTCTATCCCTCAAACCCTCCAGCACCCCCCCAAAAAAACCCTTCAGCCTTAAGAGAGAGAACTACATCTACAGAATTCAGCAAGCGAAGCTTTTTCAAGCATGGAGACAAAAGCAACAGGGCAAATTGCACTGGCTGCTTTTCTTGTGTTATCATGCTGTTCTCAAAAAACCCAAGTTGGAGGCGGGGAGAAGAAACAGAAGGGAGAGCTGGCAACCACCTATCACCCAAGGAAAAGCATCCTGGGTTAGAAAATGCAGCCCCAAAGAAAGTGAAGTTTGGGGGATGCACTGATTTCCCGGAGCGCGCACCCCAAAGAGAACCGAGTGTGGAATGGAGGATGGGAATGGAACATCCCATCAGGCCCAGTCAGCTTGCCCAATGGTCAGAGATAAGAGGGCCTGGAGGACCACAGTATCTCCAGACCCACGTTTAAGGCCTCTCCAAAGGAGGAAGCTCGACTCCTTAGCCTGGTTTAGCCACAGGGCCAGCTATTCCTACGGCCCTCCCTCTCCGCCCGGCGAGACTCTCGCCGCTTCCCAAAACGGCCCCATGGAAAGCCCCCAGCCCTTCCCCGCCGCGTCTGAGTAAATTCCTGCCCAGAAGGACTCGGACACGGAAGGATGGCGGCGGATTCAAGGGGTCCCTCCGCGCAACTCCTCAAACACAAGCTACTCACCGCCATCTTGGAGGCGTGGAAGAGAGCGCGATAGCCCCGGAACGGGATCTTAAACGCCTAAGCTGCGCTGGACTGCCACAGAGAAGGGGAGCTAGAAGGCTTGCTTGAAGAGAGCGTTGCTGCCCTCTGGAGGCTGGAGGGAAGAACTGCACGCGGTCCCCATCAATGGATAACGACGCTGTGTTAATCTGCCGCTAGACGAGGGCGGTCGCTTACACATCGCCAAAAAAACATGACACGGATTTGCATGAAAATTGCATCTGCTGTTTTATATGTGCAGATGCAAACATATTTGAATAAGATTTGCTTTCAGTACTTTATATGTGCAGGTGGAAATTTAGACATCATTACTATACTTTCAGCAAAAATGTGATACATCTCACTGCAGAAGAGAAGACTGTCATAGAATCATAGAACTGTTGAGTTGGAAGGAACCCCAAGGGTCATCTAGTCCAACCCCCTGCAATGCAAGAATCTCAGCAACCAGGCAAGCTTTGTATCTGCTCAATGTGCTGTTGAGGTGCTGCTAGCTGTGGATGGGCAACTTCTAGGCCCCTCCAGCTCTCCCTTGTTAGGGTTATTTATTGTTAAACTGAACAATTTATCCTTAGGACTGAACAGCCTTTCAACCTGAGAAGTCCTTTAAACAGAAGACTGTGACCTCCCTACACAAAACTCTGTGGTTTTTGGCTGTAATAGACTAAGGATTGTTTTCAACTAAGGCCACATTCACATCATACATTAAAAGCAGTATCATACCACTTTAAACAAACATGGCTTCCCACAAAGAATTATGGGAGCTGTAGTTTGTTACTAGTGCTGAGAGTTGTTAGGAGACCTCTAGTCCCCTCCTAGAGCTACAATTTTCATAGTGATTTAAAAACGCTGTTTCACAGGGAACTCTGAGAAGTAAATTAAGAGGATGCAGTATTGGAGTACTAAGTTGAAATAAGCAGGTGTCTTGTCCGCAGTCTAGCTGCAGCATCCTCTGATTTAATAGGCATTCTCCCCCTCTCGAGGAATTTTAGCTGTGTAATGAGGGAATAGACAGCCAGTGTGGTACACTGAGACTAAGACCAAGGAGACTTGGGTACAAATCTCCACTGCACCGTGAAGCTTCCTGGATGTGCTTGTGCCAGATAAAAAGGTAATAAATAAGACAAACACATAAATAAACTTTAGGAAATCTATTTATTATAATTTTCTCTGGTTTTGAAATAAACAAAGTCCATCCATCAGAACACCAACACAGCTCACCAATAAACAAAACAATGAGGAGGGAAATTAAACACAAACTATTTTCATCCCACTCAATAACTTGGAGATCTCTCCAAACCAAACTAGGCAGCCCATTTCTAGCTGAAGTAATACCCAGGCAAGCAAAAGGTGGTGATACTGTACCAGCCTTCCTTCCCCAACCTGATGCCCTCTAGATGTTTTAGACTATAACTCCCATCAGCCCTGGCAAGCATGATGCTGAGGCTGATGGAAACATGCCTGTGTTGCCTGGGACTAATGGGATTGTGTTGCAGTCCAAACATCTGGAGGGCACCAGATTGGGAAAGGCTGAATGGCAAATCAGTACATTATCAAATCCTGTATATTGTGACTGAGAAGACCAAGCAACTTGGAGCCACAGATGTAGCTTTAACTAGCTGTTATGGGCATAAACACACAGAGAAATTAATTTTCAGGACAGAGCACCAACCCACAAATCAACATTTTTGGAGAAGCAATTTCCTAATTAAACAGAATACAGAGATCTGATCAAAAGTGGTAATGGAATTGGCCTGTCTTATACTAGGAATAAGGCCATTTATTTACATTCCTCTGGTATATTATTTCACCATATACTCACATATTTTGTCTTCCTCATATGGTCAAATCATCAAGGGATAAATGCGTAACAGGAATATTGTGGATCATTGCATGTGCTACCACTGTTACCATATAATCTATCTCTGATGAAAGTCAGGAGTGCTTGAGATGCAAAACAAACAAACAAACAAACAAACAAACAAACAAACACCCTTCCATGCGAAAAATGTGCAAGAGAAAGATCCCCACAGATTTTGCAAGAAGGACCAAGAGGAGGAGCTGACAATCATCTGCTATCCTGCTCACAGATCTCTTGTCTTAACCAAAACTCCATGTGGATTTTCCAGCCCAGTGACACATTTCCCACACAAATTCCATCCTGTAAAACACTGCCTCTAAAGCACTGCTGTGGATTACATCAAAATGTTGCTAGCTGGGTCAGGATGAGATGACTATGATTGGCCATTAACAAAGAAATTCTAAAACACATTTTCTCTCAGTTCAGAAAACCAAACAGTGGAAGCTGATAACCCTACATTTTTAAGTTGCAGTTTGTGGGAGAACAACTGATACTAGAACTATCAGGCCAAGCGTAATCATGAGAGGCCAAGTCATATCAGGATTTACAATCAGGGCAGAAGAGCGTCTCTTGCGGGACACAGTGAACGATTTCATAGCTCCTTCCTTCTCCTTCAGCTGCGCCCATAAGAATTTCAGCTTTGTGGGCGGGAAGAACTTTGCCCCAAACAGGTTGCATTTGGGTAGGAAGAAGTGGGTCAGGTGAGCAGTGGCCACCGTGTGGATGAAATTGGTCAAGACCCTCTCGAAACACTGAGGGACTTCAGAAGGCTTCCAGTCTTTATCGGCCTTCCACTCCCACAGGGTGTGCAGGAAGGATGTCCAGCTGTGGTAGGAACTCAGATGACCCAACATTTGAGGGTATTCCATCTTGAGAGCATTCACAAGGTCATCCAGCATCTTCAAGCAGTCTTTCCTAGAACAGACACCCCCCGTCATTAGCCTGACTCATTCAGATCTTTTCTTAGAGCTTTTCCCCAAACAATGTCCACCCCCCATCTCTCTGTATACAATGAACTATGGTTATCATTTCTGAAACTTGGGTAGTCACTTGACGATAGGATTTGTGGCATGAGGTATATCTCTCTGGCCATACAGTATGTCATCCACACAAGAGCATACATGGAGGATATCTGCTGAGGGGAACTTTTGGGGGCAAGGTGGTGGAGAAAGTGATGGCAGAGCAGTCGCTCTTCCCTTTACTAATATATGACTACTATGCCTTGGAACTTGTCTGTACACTATATTGCTCTAACTCTCTTGTAACCCAACACCAGGGAACAGTTTCTCTCTCACACACACATAAAAGAAGCACTCATCCCTACATGCAGCAGGTAAGCTTTCCGTTCACAAAGGCACTCCATGCCAAACATTGCCACTCCTGGTCAAACACTCCTTTCTGCACTGCAATATCTCGGCCAAGACACCTGCCAAAGAGCAGGCTTTCTGTTATGAGTCTTATGTGAGCTCAGAAATGGAACATCAGGCTGAGACATACATAAGGAGGGGGGGAACAGGAGGATGACATGAGGGAGGAGGCTGAGACAGAGGAACAGAGGCTTCTTTGTGTGCCCACTCCACCAGTAGGTGGCAACAGGAGAACAGGCCTTTTCTGCAGTGGCTCCCCATTTGTGGAATGCTGGTACAGCTGCCCATCTCATTTCGGAAGCCAGGGATGCCATCTACTGAGGGGGCAGGGGGCAGCCCCTCAATATTTTCAAGAAGGGGGCAGCTCCCTCCCAAAATCCACAGCGATCCTGAAAAGGATGCACCAGGATAAAGCTGCTTCACCCTGCCACATCCTTTTGAGGATTGCCAGGGACGTAGCAGGGCGAAGCATCTTTGTCCTGCACACCCCTTTCACATAGGCAAGACGGCTGGCAGGGGAGGGGGTGGCGGTCTGAGCTGGCCTGGCCGGGTTGGCAGGGGTATCATGTGCGTGAAGTCATGCATACACAGTGCCCCCCCCCAGCACCTATGTCAGAAACTAAGTGCTGCCCTCATTAATCACAAACCCTAACAATGTTGCCAGGCACACATACCTGCAGCACTTTGTCTTGTGATACGATTGGGACCTGCTGTTGAGGTTCAAAATCTCTTTTTCAACATGAGAGAATGAAATTCTCCAGGTCTCTGAAATATACAGGACATAGACATGCACCACTCTGTGTCAGTAATCAATATTATCAAGGAGCTGGAGACACCTCCTTACAAGGAAACATTTGGTGGTGTACAGCTTTTTAAAAAAATTAGGGGCAGGAGACATGTTATATGAAAGAGGTGGATTAAATTATGCAGGATGTGGAGGAGGGGTGCCAACTTGAATATTGTGGGGTCCCAGGTAAGCCCTGCCCTCAATCATAAGACGTGGTGCACACACACCATTTGAATGGCAATGCCCATCAATGGGGGGGGGGGTCCCCTGAAATATTTTTGGGGAGAGGGGCCATAGGGACCTCAGTCCCCTGGAGTTGGCTCCTATGGCTGCTGCATTCCTCCTTGCACCTAGCCCCTTCCTTGGCTGTCTTGCCCCCAATTTCCGCCCAGCAGGGATCCAAGATCAGCTGAGCTAAACACAGTCCAGGCTTGCTTCCAGGTGGGGGCTTGTTGCATGGGATCAATGCTCAAATGCATGCACATTTTTCACAGCATCCACACAATCCAGATTTACCATATATGGGGAAAATCCAAAAAGTTTCATGCTTTGCTGACATGTGGCATGTTTAGTTATTTTCTACAAAAATAAAATCCTTAATGGGCATGTGTGTTCGTATGTAAGTGGGAATCTAGGTGAAACATTAGCTGAGCCTACGTATTGGAAGAGTTTGCTGGGAAACTGGAACCTTTGCCTCTATTTCCAGCCTGAAATTTACCCCTAACAACCCTTTGATGGCACCAGGTTGGCTGACAGAGGTAAGAGGGGTATGTTACCTTTGTTGTGCCTCCCGGGGGATTGTTCAGCTATGAAATAAAACACCCTCATCAAGTGAAGCAGTTCTTTCCCCTTCATCAGCTCCTTTGCCTTCTTCATGCATGGCCACTGGCCAGTCATCTCCAGAGCAGGGACGAGGTTCAAGGACATGAACTTGGCGCCTTGGTTGTCCAGCATTACAAGCTGAACTGCTGGACAGTTTGACTTCTTCTTCTCCAGCCTCATCTGCCAACCTGGAAAAGGCACTGAAAGACCAGATGGACAGCTAGGTGAACAACTGAGGCAGCTCAGGGGGCCAAACAGCCTGCAACGCTAGCAAAAAATGCAAGCCAAAAATGCAGTACACCTCCAGGTGTACATGTGTGCAGCAAATTTATGAATTTATTTAGCAGGATTTATAAACCACTTAATTTAAACGCGGGTGGCGCTGTGGGTTAAACCACAGAGCCTAGGACTTGCTGATCAGAAGGTCGGCAGTTCAAATCTGGGGTGAGCTCCCGTTGCTTGGTCCCTGCTCCTGCCCACCTAGCCGTTCGCAAGCATGTCAAGTGCAAGTAGATAAATAGGTACTGCTCCAGCGGGAAGGTAAACGGTGTTTCTGTGCACTGCTCTGGTTCACCAGAAGCGGCTTAGTCATGCTGGCCACATGACCCGGAAGCTGTACGCCGGCTCCCTCGGCCAGTAAAGCAAGATGAGCGCCACAACCCCAGAGTCGTCCGCGACTGGACCTAATGGTCAGGGGTCCCTTTACCCCTTTACCTTTTTAAATCTCTAAGCAGTTTACAGAAAATGGGTTTGCTGGTGATTATAACTCTGTGAGGTGGAAATTACAGTTCACAGGATTCTTTGGGGGGAAGTCATATGCTTTTAATGTGTGTTGGGTATCCCAGGCACCCTAGGGAGTTGCTTGGGATGCCTGCATAGTTCAGCAAGCTGTGGCTGGCAATGTTTACAAGCCTCCCAGGAATGTGTGGTGCCTGGGTGCAGTATAAAGTGGTTCAGGTCTGTAAACAAACCCCCACTCCGGTGTTGGCTATTCATCCTTTCCTCCTACCCTCACCCCAAATCCCTGATTGGCCACACCTGAATAAGAAACTTTAAGAAACTGGTCGACGTGTTTCCGGAATTCCTCCATGATGTTCCGTGGGGAGATGGTCTTCCCATCCTCCAGAAGGAGCATTGCTGGGAAGCTGCGAGACTTTCTCAAGAGAGCCAGGGTGTAAAAGAGGCCGCCATAGCCCTCCACTTCAGTGTACTGGACGTCCTGTGGGACAAGGATGCTTAGCATCACCTCAAACTCGCCCGGATGCAAGACCTGCAGGCAAACCAACAGCATCGTTGAAGACAACAGGGAAGGAAGGAGAGGGCTTGAGGCACAGAACCAACCCTGCCTCACCTGTCACACTGACTCTGAGGTCTTCCCTTCTAGCTGTTTTTGGACTTCAGTTCCCATCAGCCTCAGCCAGTATGATCCGTGGTTTGAGATTATGGGAGGTGTGCCCAATTGCATTGCAGGGGGTGGGGCAGGTTAGTGGCGGTTGCAGCAGCAGAGCAGTAAGGAGACAGATGGCAGCTTCCTTGAGATTAATTATTCCTTGAAGATTTACTCCTTGAGTGCAAATGGCCTGATTTAGATAACTATTATGCTTCACCAGCATTATATTGGCTTTTTGGATTTTAGTACCAGAAAGTCTAGGCAGCATCTTAAAAAAGCAGAGACATCACCTTGCCAACAAAGGTCTGTATAGTTAAAGCCATGGTTTTCCCAGTAGTGATGTATGGAAGTGAGAGCTGGACCGTAAAGAAGGCTGATCACCAAAGAATTGATGCTTTTGAATTATGGTGCTGGAGGAGACTCTTGAGAGTCCCATGGACTGCAAGAAGATCAAATGCATCCATTCTTAAGGAAATTAGCTCTGAGTGCTCACTGGAAGGACAGATCGTGAAGCTGAGGCTCCAATACTTTGGCCACCTCATGAGAAGAGAAGGCTCCCTGGAAAAGACCCTGATGTTGGGAAAGATGGAGGGCACAAGAAGAAGGGGACGACAGAGGACGTGATGGTTGTATAGTGTTCTCGAAGCTACTAGCATGAGTTTGACCAAACTGCGGGAGGCAGTGGAGGACAGGAGTGCCTGGCGTGCTCTGGTTCATGGGGTCACAAAGAGTCGGACACAACTAAACAACTAAACAACAACAACAACCAGAAAGTAGCAGTAGTAAGCATTTATTACAGCACAGGGGTCACTGATGTGGGGCCTGCAGGTGCACAGGCACCCACAGGGACCTTCTGTAGCACCCACAGGGTTCCCTCCCATTGCTTAAATTAAAAGTCCATTAGGTGTGGTTTGATCTACAGCCATTATGTTACACTGCTATTACAATCTTCATATGGCCCAATACCCACTGGTTCTAATGGGCTTAGGCAAGTGAAACTCTGTGGTGGATTGTTGCCTGCAATTTGAATCCCCATGGAGCAGATGCGTTCAGACTGAGGCTGAGAGAGCCTGCAGCTCACCTGAGGCCATATGGTGAGTTTGCTGCTTAGGTGCGATTTTTGAACTTTCCTCCTCAGAGCCCAGTTAGGCAAGGTGTAGGAGGCTCGATCTCCTGAAGTTTTATGGGGTGGAGATGTCCTCAGTTTTGATCAGAGCGACAGCACTGAGATAAGGCGCCTCCCGCAATGGCTGGATTCCTCTGATCGGGAGGAATCCGCTCCGTGGAAATTAGGGTCTGGCCGCCACAGCAAAGGCGGAGACCCATCAAAAACCACAGGCGGGAGAGGCTTGTGGACGTGGGATTCGGCTGGCACCTTTTGCGCCTCCTCTACTCGCGGGGAAACCCGGTTTCGGGGATCCGGAGTGAGGTGGGGTGAGTGGCGCGGTGCTTTGAATCGACTGCTTTTTTCACGGAGTGAAGCCGCATTGCTGTTGCAGGAGAGCGCTGACTTTTTCCTGTGGACAATTTGATCTTAAAACAACAACCCGTGAGTAGAACGGAAAATTGGATTTTTAAACGTCTTAATTTGGCACCGAAACGGGGAGGTTTCAAACAGGAAGTCCGCCTCCCCCTTTTGTAAATAGATTGAAGCAAAGAGGCTGCAAGCTAAAGCCTTGGAAAGTCTCTCATAAAGGATTAAACTTCCATCGGTTAAATTACCAAACCCCCCTTGGAAGCAGGAGAAGAGGGGAGATTTAAGATCGTGTAAGCCTGCAGGACAGAGTGAAGAAAGTCAAATTACCACCGCTCTGAACCTGGAAACGGGCTGCTAGCAAGTATTGAAGTTTTGGATATGCTCATTGACTGTGAACAGATTGTCTGCTGACAGTAAGTTAAAGAAGGGAAATATCTTGTTTCCATTGTCTCCTTCTGCGTTTAAAAAGGAGTAAAAGTAACTGAAAATTGAAACAAACTTTATTGTTTGAACTGTGCCTAAAAGGATTGATACAAATAGAAATTGTTTCCCCCTAGAGGAAACCTTTGAAATTGTTACAAGAGCTGAGCTGGGGGAATTTTCCACTTGCAAGATAAAGTTGTGAGAATCTGGGATTGACCTTGATACGTTAAGAATGTTGACAGAAGAAGCCTTAGTGGTTGCATTTTGTAAGATTAATGACTCACTGGAACAGCTTTTCAAGAAGACGGATGCGAGGACTATAAAAATTGATAACTTAGAACAAAAAGTGACTAATTTGGCACAAAAAGTCAATATTAATACAGAAATTATTCAGGAAACGACACAGGGATCTATTTTGACATGGCAAATCGAGGAGAAGGCGGAGGAGAAAGTTTTCGCTGTGGAACTTAAAGTGGCACAAGTGGTGAGGCAGAGAGTTCCAGCCTTACAGTTGCAATTTGATGATTATAAGTTGATGCCTTCCAAGACTGAATTTAGAGAAAGTCAGACTTCTAGGATTGGAGCCCCCGCTTGGACTGGAGATTGACCTATGGGACCTGGACTTGGGTCAGAAGGAGACTGGAGTTGTGGGGACTGCCAGACTTGGAGGAACTTTGGAACACGATTGGAAATATCTTTTGAATTTCAGTTTTAATTATGGAGATTTGGTTGACCTGTCGAGAAGGAATAAAAACATTGCTAGATGGGAATTCCCCGGAGATTTACTTTTCAGCATCAAAGGAAGGAAAATAAGAACAAGATCAGGAGAAGACAAAGTAAAGAGCACGTATAAATATTAAAAAGACCTGCAGAAGGGACCTGGAAGAGAGTTAAGAGCCTCGGACAGAAGATCACCAGGTTGATGGGCTATTTGGGATTGATGGAAATGACTGGCAGAACCCGAGACCAGGGAGAAGAGATGGTGGAAGAATATTGGAAAAAGTTTAAAACCTATATACGGAAATAATGTAAAATTAATGAGTGTTAGAAAAATGTTGGAAGGGAATTATATGGCTTTAGTAGAAATATCTTAAGGAATTAAGTATAAATAAGTACTATAGTATTAATGGAAAATAAGGTTAAAATATGTTAAGATAATTACATGACAGAAAATAGAGAAAGATGGAAAGGATTTGCTGAAACAATTAGTAGAAATGGAATACAAAAAGGGAGGTGAGAGGAGGTTGATGAAACAAGGGAATGAAAGAGAGGATATTGAGATGGTACGATGTGTGTTTTTTTTTAAATTGTTTTGTTTTTGTTTGGTTAACGTGTTAATGTTAATGTTGCATTCTGTATTGTTTATATATTGTATTGTATTGTTTTCTCTTTTGCTTTTTTTTGCTTTTTTTCCTCTTCTTTCCTTTCTTCTTTTCTCTTTTTTCTTTTTGTAAGGTATAAAAGCAATAAATATTATTTTTTTAAAGAAGAGATAAGGGGTGTTTAACTATTTCTACTAGGAGTGGAGAACTTTTGGTACCCCAGATGTTGCTGAACTACAACTCCCATCATCCCTGATCATTGGTCACCTGGCTGAGTCTGATGGCAACTGGAGTCCAGCAACATCTGGTGGACCACAGATTCCCCAGCCCTATCCTTCAACTTGGGTCCCCTGATGTTGCTGGACTTCAGCTTCCATCATCCTTGACCACTGGCCAAGCTGACTAGGAATGTTGGGGATTGAATCCCAACAACAACTGAGAGGTTGCCCAGCTTTGGATAAAGCTGCTTACCTGGCATTTGTTATACATTACCTTTTCATACTCATAGCTGCTGCCTGGAACGAGTTCCCTGGTGTCCCTGAAGTAAGGCCTGTCTGGGCAATCATGCAGATAGGTGAGAAAATGACTGAGGAAGTTCTCAAGCACATCTGCTGCCTGGGCTCTGTCTGGCTCCTTCAGGGGCAGAGGCTTTGCCTTCTTTTGAACCAGTGTGTTGCTCTCTGCCTGCAGGGTTTGGTGGTTTCCTTCTCTGCCTCCCACAGCCACTGCAGACAAAGCCTCTGCATCTTTGGACACCCACCCATCACCTGCTAGAACAAAAAAACATTTCGGATCATAGTTGTATTTAGTTCACTTGCTAAGGTATTATTATTATTATTATTATTATTATTATTATTACTACTAGTACTAGTACTACTACTACTACTACTACATTCCACACTTCCCAAGGTAGTGGGGAGTTCCAGGAACAGCTGCCACATGAAATTAGTTTTCTTGTGAGATTAATAGTGTATTTGTAATATCTGGAGGTTTTGTGCATGTTTTACAAATATACACATTGGGCAGGGAAGACCGGAGTCAATATCCTTGTGCTGGCTGGAGCTGTTGGGAGTTGTAGTCCAAAACATCTGGAGGGAACTAGGTCAAAGAAGGCTGATCTAAAATGTTTAGTACAAAAGTGGCACCAGCAGTAAAATGAGCATAAAATAAGCAAGATAATAACCTACCTGCCGGCTCCTGCTTGAGCCTGTCTGGCCTCCGTCTGGACCAGGGGGCTGGTGTCCCAGGATGCTCCACAGTTTGAGGGATTTGGGGCACCTTGGGACTTTGCAGATTCCCATCTGCAGGCTCTTTGGACTCTGTTGCTGATAGCAATGGGGTTTTGTAGCCAGGCACCTCCCTATCGCTGGTCTCTGTGCATGTCCTCCCTCTGTTCTTACTCTGAGACCTCTTCTCCATCTTCTCGCCATTCCTGACAGGCATGCTGCTGAGAATGGGAATGAGAACCGGGCCTAGTTTCACAGACCGCTCTGGAAGCCATGTTGAAAGATTAGCAGCCAGTCTTCCCCAACCAGATGCCCTCCAGATGTGTTAGACTCCAACTCCCAACAGCCCCAGCCGTCACAGTGAAAGGTTGAGGGTGATGGGAGCTGTAGTCCAAAATACCTTGGGGCAGGCTGCCCTAAAACTACCTGAGGAATCTCACATCCTGCAGCAAGGGTGGGTGCTAAGGAAATATTTTGCTTAGTCTGTGGTTGGAGTAGCAGCACATTTGGCAGGCCTGGCAGGGAGACTGGTGTGAGAGGAAGGAGACGAGGACAGACTTTTTAAAAGTGAGTTTTCCTGCAATAACGTCGAGCATACAAAAGAGAATACAGTGGTACCTCAGGTTACATACACTTCAGGTTACAGACTCCCCTAACCCAGAAATAGTGCTTCAGGTTAAGAACTTTGCTTCAGGATGAGAACAGAAATTGTGCTCCGGCGGCACGGCAGCAGCAGGAGGCCCCATTAGCTAAAGTGGTGCTTCAGGTTAAGAACAGTTTCAGGTTAAGAACGGATCTCCGGAACGAATTAAGTACTTAACCCAAGGTACCACTGTAGTATATAAACAGACCAACAAGTGTGTGGAGCATAAAAGCATAGTAGATATCAATAAAATTACTGAAATAATGGTTGATAAGTAAGTGAAGAGACACTAAAAGGCTAGCAAATATAAAGATGGAGCTGTTTCGTGTTAAATGAACTTACTCTTGGTTTGTAGGGAAGTTGATCTGGACGTTGGGCTTCTTTGTTTTTACTATATTTAAATCCCCCTAGCCTATATTCACTAGTAGGGACCTGCCTTTGCAATTCCCCAACCCCACAGAGTTTCCTAAGGAGCCTTACTTACCCCAGAGATCACCAACTGCCCACTTCCAACGGTCAAACCCAAACCCCTCAGAATGTTAGGGAGCAAACATTCCTGATCAGACAGGAGGGCTGCTTGGAACTTGGAAAGTTCATTTTAAAAAGGAACTATTTCAAGTTCAACATGTCCCCAAAGGGGACTGCTCCATGTTAGTCCATCCAGAACTGATTCTGCTCCATGTTAGTCCATTTACAAAATGAACTAGTTTGGTTCACGTTTAAGTAAATGGGTTCAGGGCTTCAGCCTTGCAGTGGTATAAGCTTTCGTGGACAAGAGCTCATCTCATTAGATGCTTTTTCATCATGCCCAGAAATACTATGTTGTATCTCTGCAAAAAAACCAAAACCCAACATTTTTCTTTGTTGATAAATAATTATGATAAACTCGAAAGCTTGTTGATTCATTCATGTCTTCTTAGTTGGTCTTTAGTGAGAACATTTTTAGATGGTTTCCATATAGATAGCTAAACCTCTTAGCAATCCTTTGCCACCGAGTTTACTGGAGCTAGTTTTTCATAGGAAGTTTTTAATGTTTGATGTTTTATCTTGTTTTGTATGCTGCATACCTTATTTATGTATTTTTATTAAAGTGGGGTCTCTAAATATTTTGATACAGAAATAAAATAAACTTACTTGGGAGTAAGGCCCATTAAATGCAGACTAAGCTTGCTTCTGAGTAAACGTGTGTATGCTCAGCTACACCAAACCTGTCTTTGAACTATGTTATGAACTACGCTCTGTAAGTTGAATAATTTGTCTTTGAACTTGCTTTTCCTCCTCCCTCTCAATTCCTTTTACTTCACATGTTATGTTATTCTGAGAGCTTTTTTGCCTAAAGAGCAAGGGGTGTGTCTGTGAACTCAGGATAAAGTGTTCATTTCCTAATTATTTTTCTGCAGGAAGAGTGACTAACCAATCGAGCAAAGCTAACAATGAGTTTTGTGGGACCTAAAAGTTCAACAAATTCATTATGGCATTAGTTTTTGTGAACTGTTCATAATAAATTTGTGAGGCTTTAAAGTGCCACAAAGCTACTCCACTGGAAACTGATCAATTATTGGTTCTCATCTATAACAAATGGGTGTGGCTAGTCAAACCTCGGGTCCCGGGTGTTAGATTAAAAGGGACAATGAGTGACATCTCCTAAATCATTGGAGGAAATAGCTGGATCCTTAAAGAAAGTTGAACCTGTAGCCATTGTTCATACAAACTTAATGGATCTTACGAGATGTGTGAATTAAGGAATTTGAATGTATTATACAGCCTAAGCAATGGAAAATTGCTTTACATTCTGTGGAATGTAAATTGAGACTGGAAATTGAGACTGATCCATCAAAAATAAATATACAGTGGTACCTCGGGTTAAGTACTTAATTCGTTCCGGAGGTCCGTACTTAACCTGAAACTGTTCTTAACCTGAAGCACCACTTTAGCTAATGGGGTCTCCTGCTGCCGCCGCGCCGCCAGAGCACGATTTCTGTTCTCATCCTGAAGCAAAGTTCTTAACCCGAGGTAATATTTCTGGGTTAGCGGAGTCTGTAACCTGAAGCGTATGTAACCTGAAGCGTATGTAACTCGAGGTACCACTGTATTCTGTTTGCAGATAAAATGGAAGAATCCAATGAAAGGCGTTCCCCCCCAATATATATATATAAATTCTGCACTAGAAATCTGTCTAGAGTTATGTTAATACTGTATTCAAACCACACACCCCTGGTCTAGCAGGAGCAGCATGAACTCATGCAGGTTTACTGTAGAGCTGGGCAACCTGTGGCCCTCTAAATATTGCTGCACTACAACTCCCATCATCCCTGACCCTTGGCTATGCCAGCTGGATCGGATGAGAGTTGGAGCTCTGGCCTTGCCACTGTCTCAAAAAAAGTGTTTTTGCACTGCATTGTGGCCGCATATAGCACCCTTTTCCCTGTAGAGAAACAGATCCACCGCTAAAACTGAAGGGAATGTCTCATTTTATCATTTTAACTCTCTAGCCCTCATTGTTCCAGGAAAGTAAGAGTTTGTAAAAAAAATCAAATTCCGAAGTAAAGTGAGACACCAGTGTCACCTTACTTCTCTCGTTTGGTCCCTCCACCTTTAAAAAGTTCTGTTTCATGTCAACCCAGCCCTCCCATCAATCCATTGTGATGGCTGAAAAGAAGCGATAGGGGGTGGGGGGGAGGGATTTTTGGCCCAAATTCTGCCCCGCCTTTGAGGACTTAAAAGCCGCGGACCAAAGCACTGCGTGCTTATTGGGCCTTCGGGATTCACACGTGGAGAAAGGTGACGCGGGGTTTGAACGGGAGGACGGCGGGATTTCTCAACCCGTTTTATTCGCGAGTGACTTGTGCGTTGCAAAGATGGGGGGCTCATTTCTGCAAGTGCCGAGGCTGGCACCTGCTTGTGGAAAGGGTTGGGTGTCTTTTACAAGGTTCATTCGAATTGATCCGTTTACACGCAGGCTAGAAAGGGTGTGTGTGTTTCTTTTCAAAGACCCCCCCGATAAAACCGATGCTTGGCCGGGTGTGTGTGTGTCTCCCCCGCTGATCTTAGCAAGGTGAAGGGACTCTGGTCTGGTTTGACTTCGAAGTCGCTTCGGTTTCGGTTAGGGGGCGTTTGGTTTTCGGGTCGGGAGAGGTAGGGCTCAATTCGTGAAATTGCGATTAGGGTGGTTGGGCGAAGGGGCTGTGCTCCTGTGCCTTTAATATCTGTGTTGGGGAGCGAATTTAGCAGCTTGTCATCCCAGGCACACGTGCGGAGGAGAGATTCTCAATTCTACATACCTTTTAAAGGTGCAGGAGACCTGCCCTCTCTGACCCCCTGCCCACCCCAACTGTGACTATTTGGGTGAATTTCTTTGGGGTTAAACATTGCAATCCTATACTGTACATATTTACTGTGCTCAATAGGCTTTACTCCCTAGTTCTTAAAATTGTAGACTCATAACCCACCTACTTTATGCCCATTGAACTGGATAGGATTTCTGAATAGGAATTACTTCTGAATCCATAATGCAGAATATAGGGCTGTCAAACTGGACCAGTGAAGGTGCCAGTTGCTGGTGGGGGTCTCTGCCCATCCTGCTTATTCTGTTCCCTTCTGGTCTTTTCTCTGATCCAAGGCTTTGTCTTGGCTGTGTGTGTGTGTTTGTGTGTTCACTGCACATCTTTACAGCAGTCTAAATGGGTCTCACTCCAGTAACTTTGGTGCATGCACCAGAATTCAAGCCTGGATAGGTTTTTTTGCCAAATCAGATGGGCATGGGCATCTTAAATTAGCAACCTCTGATTGGGGCCACTGTCTTCTACTTACCGCCCCCCCCCCCAAAAATGCTGGGGGGGGGGGGAAGCATGCAGGCATAGTAGAAAAACTTTGATGTTAAATTTGGAGGCATAATTTGGACTCCAGAGGTGTTTTTTTTTTGCAGCTGGCGGCCTGCAAATGTTGTTGTGTAGCTGCAGTTTCAACCATGTTTGTAGACTTTCCCCCCTCTTCCAGGTACATCTGGGCTTTGCCTCTTGCTTCCAATCCTTACAGGCTCCCTCAGCCTTGTCACCATGGGCAAAGAGAAGACCCACATCAACATAGTGGTTATTGGGCATGTGGACTCTGGCAAGTCGACCACCACAGGCCACCTCATCTACAAATGTGGAGGCATAGACAAGCGTACCATAGAGAAATTTGAGAAGGAGGCAGCTGAGGTGAGTTCATGCTAGGCCTCAGGCCTAGAATGAAAGGCAGTACCTCTACGTACGTACAGAGGGCATTCCTGCTTCATTGACTGTGCCTGCACAACTAGGATATTGGGGTAGCTTTGAACCACTGGCACTGCTACTGCTTTTTTATTTTTAATTAATCACTGGCTGCTCCAGGAATCCTATACCCCCTTGTCTGTCCTCTTCTCACTCGGCTGGAGTGTTTTGGAAATAGTGTGCATTTATTTTTATTTTTTTAAGATGCTGACTTAACGGAATATAGCCTCCATCTTCAAGGCTAAGGTGTGTGTATATATGTGTAAATAAAACTATATATCTTAAAGACACTACAGGCTCTGCCATGCCTCATTCAAAAGGAACACAAACCCCGGTTAAGTGTCAAGACCCCTGAAATCTTGCTACCGCTTGGCAGAGTTTGGGGTGGCCGGTAGCAATATATTAACTCTCTCTCTCACACACACAGCTACATCTACCTCCTGCAACTGCACAAGATTCAGGAGAAAGCTAGCTTAGATGTTAATTGCCTACTAGCAAGCATACCAGGGATTTATTTTGTTTCAACAAACTATTGTTAACTATTTAAATTTGTTTTAGAGGCTATTATTATTGGTATATGACCATGGAGAAGAGTTAACCCTTTCTACCCCTGTTACAATCATTTTGAAAATCCCCTTCGCATGCTATTAATTCCAGAAAGAAACAGCTCCTACAGCAATGAGTAGGTATGTCATTTTAATAAGGAATGTGGTAGAGAATGAAAAGTTTAAATCTTCCTAAGTGCTGCACTGCAGTCCTAATTATAACTCCCCCCCCCATTGCCATCCATGCATGCAATTACAGTGGTACCTGGGGTTACATATGCTTCAAGTTACATATGCTTCAGGTTACAGACTCCGCTAACCCAGAAATATTACCTCGGGTTAAGAATTTGTTTCAGGATGAGAACAGAAATCGTGCTCTGGTGGTGCGGTGGCAGCAGGAGGCCCTATTAGCTAAAGTGGTGCTTCAGGTTAAGAACAGACCTCCAGAACGAATTAAGTTCTTAACCCGAGGTACCACTGTAATTAAAAAACAAACAAAGTGAGGCTTCCTGATGATGCATTTTGCATCATGTATAGTTTGGTTGCTAAAAGTAGTTTTCTCTCTTCCTTGCAGATGGGAAAAGGCTCTTTCAAATATGCCTGGGTGCTGGACAAGCTGAAAGCTGAGCGGGAGCGAGGGATCACCATCGACATCTCCCTGTGGAAGTTCGAAACCAGCAAATTCTACATTACCATCATCGACGCTCCCGGCCACAGGGACTTCATAAAGAACATGATCACTGGGACCTCTCAGGTAAGGTTGCTGTCTTCCACTCCCCTGGAGAGGAAACGTGTGCCATTAGTTATGGCTACTTCTTTTTTCTTTGCAAAACAGTGCAAAGTAAAATGTAACTTACCTTTTTAAAGAAAAGGGAGGAAGAACCAGCTGCCCAAAAATAAGATGGGGGGGGCGGGGGGCGGGAATCTGGCTTGCCAGTAGACCACAAGCCTAACTTGAGTCAACCGTGTGATGCAGCAGCAAAAAAAGCTAATCAGGCTATATTAACAGAAGTATAGTGTCTCGATCAAGGGAAGTAATAGTTCCACTCTATTCTGGCTTGGTAAAACCATATCTGGAGTACTGTGGCCAGTTCTGGGTGCCACAGTTTGAGAAGTATATTGGCAAGCTGGAATGTGTGCAGAGGAGGGCTACCAAGATGATAAAAAGTCTGGAAATCAAACCTTTGCCCTAACGCAGCCTCATGGGTTGTAGTTTCTGAGGGCTGTTGAAACTCCATTAAAGATTTGTATCCTGTTTCATGGCACTAATAGTTTCTAGATGAATGTAAATGACTTACGCCTACCATATTAGTTTGCCCTAACTGTCCCCTAGATTCTACCCTGACTCCTTGGGAGTCCCTAGACTCCAGACAGTATTCCAGAGCTGTCTCTTGGTCTCCCCAGGCTGACTGTGCAGTGCTGATTGTGGCTGCTGGCATGGGTGAGTTTGAAGCTGGCATCTCCAAGAGTGGGCAGACCCGTGAGCATGCCCTTTTGGCCTATACTTTGGGGGTGAAGCAGCTCATCATTGGGGTGAACAAGATGGACTCCACAGAGCCTCCTTACAGCAGCAAGCGCTACCAGGAGATTTCCAAGGAAGTGAGTGCCTACATCAAGAAGATTGGCTACAACCCAGCCACTGTGGCCTTTGTGCCCATCTCTGGGTGGCATGGAGACAACATGTTAGAGCCCAGCAGTAACGTGAGTAGCTTACTGTATTTTTCTCCCCCTTTCCTCAAACCTACTCAGTAGGGAAGTTTAGATTGATGAGGTCAGTGGTATTTCTCCAGCACAAAGGAACCTGTGGTCCTCCAGATGCTGTTGGACTATAACGCCCATCATTCCTGACTGTATTTGCTGGGGTTGATGGGACTTGGGAGTCAAACATCTGGAGGGCCACAAGACCTCATCCTTTCTTTATCCCATGTCTAAAAATCTTACTTAAGCATCTGTTCTGGCACTGGAGATTTAAGCAGACATCTTATGCCCACTTTCAAGCATACCTCTGCAGTCATAAGAACTAGAAACTTCATTTACCCCTCCTTTGAAAATAAATGTTGAGGCTTTTGGTGAGCTGAATTCCACCATCCAGTGGAATTGCAGAAGACACATAGCCCCGTTCATACTGATTTAGGCTGTTTGCCCAGCTGACCCACTTCGGCTAACATAGATTGGCAGTAGTTCTCCAGAGTCCCATGAAGGAGGTCTTTGGTAAGCTCCCACCTGAAGATCCCAGGAAATAAGCTTAGACTTGCCAAGCTTGTTCCTACCCCCTCCTAAAAACTGGAAACACATTCCCAGGAGAGAGACAGGAGAATATGCCCACTTCCAAAGACCAGCTGTAGAAGGTCTCCAGCTGTAGAATTGCATGATGTGACTTCAGGCTGTCACAAATATTTGCAGGCATGCTGAAAACTGCACATGCTCTTCATCTCTGTTGGCAGATGCCTTGGTTCAAGGGCTGGAGCATCACCAGGAAGGAAGGCAATGCCTCTGGCACCACTTTGCTGGAAGCTCTGGATTCTATTATCCCTCCTTCCCGCCCTGTTAACAAGCCCCTTCGCCTTCCTCTGCAGGATGTCTACAAGATTGGTGGTATGCATTACTGTACTGGTGGGATAATAATGTAAAAGGATATTGACCTGCGCTTCAATAGTTATGCACAGATCAGTGATTCAATGCAGGCAAATATTCCAGCTTTCAGGAAGAATTCCGAGTCCTTGCTGGTCTGCATTTGTAGCCTGAATTTCTGCCAAAAAGGCTCCCGGAGCAGCTTACATAGAATCAACTGAAATAAGGCAGCCCCGCTTGCAGAGTTGCAGTCCTAAAGCCATGGCACACAAGGGAAAAGAGACTGGGATGGAAGAGGAGAAGCACAAACTCGGCCACCAATTCTTAAGAGTTAAATAGTACTACTTTACATATGGAAGCCTAGTGGGTTGCCTGAGGCTGACTAGGCCATATTTTTCACTACTCGACTGGGGACGGCTGTTGTTCTATGAGGCAGAGCTTGGAGTAACTCTGTCAGGCCATTAGCTGTGCAGCTCAGTGGGTAACCCTGTTGCTTTACCCTTAGGCATTGGCACTGTCCCGGTGGGCAGGGTGGAAACAGGGTTCCTGAAGGCCGGCATGGTGGTCACTTTCGCCCCCACCAACATCACCACAGAGGTGAAGTCTGTGGAAATGCACCATGAGGCGCTGGCGGAGGCCCTGCCAGGAGACAACGTGGGCTTCAACGTCAAGAACGTGTCAGTGAAAGACATCCATCGTGGGAACGTGGCCGGGGACAGCAAGAACGACCCTCCCATGGAGGCAGGCAGCTTCTCAGCCCAGGTGAGGGGTGGGCAGGGCCAGAGGGGTCTTGGGAGATAGAGGAAGCTTCCATATTTAGTCACTTATTGGTCCATTTAGCTTGGTATTGTCTACACTGACTGGCAGCAGGTCTCCATGATTTGGGCCTGGTTTCCCTCCCAGCCCTACCTAGAGTTGCTGGGGATTGAACCGGGACTTTCTGTATGCAGATGCTCTTCCATTGAGCTGCAGCCCTTCCCATAATGTTTGGTTGCATATCCTTGTAACTCCATAAAGCAGGGATGGGGGACCTTTTTGGCCTGGTGGGCCAGGCCTTTATATCCCCACACCTGCATAGGTCAACTTACTACCTGTCAATCATACATACATACATACATACAAACAAACAAACATATGCTGCCTTTCCACAATTCAAGCCATGCCCAAGGCGGCTTACATAATGAAAAAATACATAACTACAACATAACAAAAGTAGACATCAGTAGTAAATTCAAAAATACAAAACGAAACCGAACAATTCCCATAAATCACAGCAAACAATACAAAAACAACAACAACCTAGCAATAAGAGCAACAACTCCCTCCTCAACACCACCTCAGCAGCCTGAGGCCCCACCCTCCCAGATCAGGTGTAAAAAGGCCAAGCTTCATTGGATACTCAATTCTCATTTCCAGTCTGCACAGGTTAAGCACCTTAAAATCAGGGCCAGAATCAAGGATCAACATGGCTGATACAGTAAATAATAATGCCATGCCATTCCCCATGGGCTCCAGTCACCACTGAGATCAAGTCCTTTGCATTACAAGTATTCTGAATCCTGAACTGTCCTGGTCAGAAACATGAAGTTGCCCGGGTGGTATGGCATTTAGAGAAGAAAACAAAGCTTGTGGAATACTGCATAACAGCAAGAGGAATCTGTTGAAGTTGAACAATCATCCAGTGTCAAGTGGGTAGTTTCCTACCTCTGCTGTGTAGCAACATCATCATAGAACAGGACTCAAGGTGACTTAAAAAAGTAAAAATAAGAACCGCAAAAAAGGGGGGGAAGCAATCTTTAAAAAAGTAAACACTGATAGAACAAAAAGCTATATACATACATACATACAATTTATTTAAAACCTTACAAAAACTACAATAAAAACAGCACGACACCAGCTCTTTCATAAAAAGCAGTCAATTCCTAAGAGCCTATTGGAGCAAAAAAAATGTACCTGCCAGCAGAAGGACAGCAAGGAGGGTGCCAATCTAGCTTCACCAGGGAGGGAGTTTCATAGTTCAGGAGCAGCCACCGAAAAGGCCATCTCCCATGTTCCCAGGGCTGATGGGAGTTGTAGTCCAAAACATCTGAAGGGCACCCAGTTGGGGAAAGGCTGCTGGACAGGTAGAGTAAATGTTTTCAGAAGTCCTACGTGTACTTCCTCCTTGACCTTGATGTTGTAGGTGATCATCTTGAACCACCCAGGCCAGATCTCAGCAGGCTATGCCCCAGTCCTGGACTGCCACACAGCCCATATCTCCTGTAAGTTTGCTGAGCTGAAGGAGAAGATTGACCGCAGGTCTGGCAAGAAGCTGGAGGATGACCCCAAATCCCTGAAGACTGGCGATGCGGCCATTGTTCAGATGATCCCTGGCAAGCCCATGTGTGTGGAGAGCTTCTCTGAATACCCACCTCTTGGTAAGTTTGCAGCGCATTTATCAGAGACTCGTGGCCTCATATATGGGATTGGCTAGGAATTCTAAAAAACTAAAACCTCAGGGCAGTTTTGAAATTGGTGTAGCTTAGGAAGGTTCAGTCCACTATCTTGATTCAAAATGACTTCAAAATGTATCAAAAAACCAAGATGCAGCTTGGTCTCGGGAACCATCATGCAAAAGTGTCCATACTTCCATTTTAAAGGGCATCATTTTGGTTTTTCTCATTATGTGGAAGGGTGAGGGTCTAGGTTGTGCAAGGGCCTTTTCAGGTCATTCAGGTTTGCCTAGGCCCTGACCTGGGGAAGGGCCATAGCTCAGTGGCAGAGCATCTGCTTTGCATGCAGAAGGTCACAAGTTCAATCCCAGGCATCTCCAGGTAAGGCTGGAAGAGAAACTCACTGGCTGATACCCTGGAGAACCGTGGCTTGTCAGGGCAGATGGTACTGAACTTGATGGGCCAGTGGTATAAGGCAGCATCCTATGTTCCTGTTTTCCTCTGGCACTAAGGGGCATTGTGCATGTGCACATACCACAACAGCCATGAGGGCTAGCAACTTGGATTTTTAAAAAATGGACTGAAAAATTAGATTTTTAGGTAGCTAGTACATCTTGCCCTTGACTGAGGATGTGAGACTGAATTGTGGGAGTGGCTGCGGAATGTGGTTTGAGAGTTTGCTATAACAGGAAGTTTTGCGTAGGTTTGTACTTGATGTGTGTTCCTCATGTAAGGGTATTCTTCTGCTAAGAATGACTGCCTCTGTAGGACCTTCTGGGTCTGTTTAGGAGTCTTTTTTCAGGCCTCTCCTGTCTGCCTCAATAGCCATTTTGAGTAGGCTGAACTTGAAAACAGTGCACATAAATCGTCCACATAAACAAATAATGAATCATTCTGTGGTCAGTTGTGATGAATCAGGTCCTCCTTTGAAGCTTGGCAGGGAGGTATGATCTTTGACTGTATCCTCCTATTAAATGTACCACATGCTAACTATTAGTGGCTACTGTATGATATGAGTGGCTAGGCCAAGAGTAGGTAACCTTTGCCCCTCCAGATGTTGATGAACTACAACTTCCATAATCCCTGGTCATGCTTCCTAGGACTGAAGGGAGTTGTAGTGCAGCAACATCTGGAGGACCAAAGGTTACCCTCACCTTGGTTAGGCATTTGTTTCTAGCTTTTAGGAAGGCTGCTGCTTGCTAATGGTGCACTCTTCTAGCTTGCGGTTTTGCATTCTACAGCCATTTATAGCTACATCTATGTGACAGCTTTAAAAACTAGTTTAATAATCAGTCCTTCTTCCTAAGGAATACAGTGGTACCTTGGGTTACAGACGCTTCAGGTTACAGACACTTCAGGTTACATACTCCGCTAACCCAGAAATAGTACCTTGGGTTAAGAACTTTGCTTCAGGATGAGAACAGAAATTGTGCAGCGGTGGCGCAGCAGCAGCGGGAGGCCCCATTAGCTAAAGTGGTACCTCAGGTTAAGAACAGTTTCAGGTTAAGAATGGACCTCCAGAACAAATTAAGTTCTTAACCCGAGGTACGACTGTACTAGGAACTGGTAATTCTGTGAGTGGAGCTACAAATATCAAACTCTTCACAACTGCAGCTAAGCCATGGCACTTTAAACCTGTCGATCATAGGTAAAAAGATTCCAGAAACTGCACTGAACTTTCTGTGCCCTAATGAGTTCTCTTCTCTTTGGCAGGTCGTTTTGCTGTTCGGGACATGAGGCAGACAGTGGCCGTGGGTGTAATTAAGTCTGTGGAGAAGAAGGCTAGTGGGGCAGCTAAAATAACTAAGTCTGCCATAAAGGCCAGTAAAAAGTGAGCAGCTTCTTGCCCCGCCCCCCCAGCATCAACAGCTGGTGCTTAGCCTCTTTCTGATCCCTGACTGGAGCCCGGCCTCGCTCAAACTAGACTGATGGCTGAGTACTGCCATGTAGCGGAAGAGGATCTTGAAGGAAACTGGACACTCTGTGGGTGGTGGGTTTAAAAGCCTTAAATATATAAAAATAAAAATGTGCATCTAATTTGCCATGTTTCTCCATTGTTATAGCATCCATAAGCAGGTTATAATACTTGCGTCCAAATGTACAATTTGCAGACGAGTGGAGGGGAGGAAGAGAGTATATTGGCCTGTTTATAACCCTTAGTTTTAAGGACTGTAGTGGTTCTCAGTGCAATCCTGCATGTCTACTCAAAAGTAAGGTCCACTGAGTTTAATGGAACTTGCTTCCAGGTAAGTGTGCATAGGATTGGAGACTTCTTAAAAACTGCATCTACAGCACTAAACAAATGCTAGTGTTATTTTACTGCATTAGCAACTATGAGGATTCTGCTTGTAGGAGAAGGGGGTAAGAGGATGATTCTACAATCTAGGTCTAACCTAGATGTACCCAGCCATACTTTAAAAAGTAGAGAACATGAACAGCCACGCATAGTTACCAGGATTGCTGGACCGCAGGCAGTGACTTCCTCCTAGGACTCTCCAGCAATGAAGATCTCCAGAAAAAGATAAGCAAGAGTACAAGGTGATTCTTCCATAAGGCTCAAACCCAGCTGTCTTCTCCCTTCCAAACTTTAAGCTTAAAGTTTAAACCATCCTCCCTCTGCCCCATGTATTTACTTTCCAGTCTTTGTGTATCTCAATATTGAGGAGAGTGAGAGGTGGACACCAGGGCATAATATATTTCTCAAAACAGATGGGACAGAAAGATGTCATCTTTCACCAAAGGCCCATTTAAGAGGAAAGTTATCTGGTCTCTCCTAAATAATAAAATTGACAGGTCCTACCAGGTGCCACCCTTGCGTTTGCCGTCTTGAGTTTGAGCAGCTGAAGCCAGTGCAATGTTATTCCCTGTAGGGCAAGGTGTACAGCTCTGGGCTCTTTTAAAATCCCCTCTTTAAGCAGCAATAATCAATTTACCAGCAAGTATGTCTGAAATCAAGGGCTTATTTTGAAGTACCACATTTATAGATTTGCACTGCAAATCTGGCAGTGGAAAGCTTGTTCTGTATGTTGCAAACAGGCATAATGGTCAGGCATGTCTGCCAGTTTAAAATAGGTGGGGAAATTTACAGCCCTCCAGATACTGTTTTGACCCCCAACTCACATCGGCTGCAGCCAGCATGGCTAATGGGTGGGGATGATGGGGCCTGAAGCTGAACAACATGTGGAGGGCCACTATTTCCTCATCTGTTATCTGAAAGCTGCTTTCACCTCTGACACAGAATCCTATGTGTATTTACAAGTCCCATTGTACTCAATGGATATATTACTGTACTTACGAGAATAGAAGAGCCTCGTTGCATCAGGCCAAAGACTCATGTGGTCAAATGCTGTTACCATAGTGACCAGATGTCTCTTAGAAAGCCCACAAGCAGGACCTGATTGCAACCGTGTGCTTCCCAGCAAGTGGTATTCAATGGCACACTGTGTCCAACAGCAAAGGCAGAAAATACCCATTGTGGCTACTAACTATTGGTAGCCTTGCACAGCTTGCATGGCAATTTGCACCTGCTGAAATAATCTCATTTATACAACTATAGGATGCAGGAGCCCTGCCTTCCTCCTCTGCATTCTGACACCTCCCTCCTATGCCAATAGTGTGGTGTAGTGGTTAGAGTGCTGGATTCGGACCTAAGAAGCCAGGGTTCAAATCCACACTCAGCCATGAACCTAACTGGGCGACCTTGGGCCAGTCACGACCTCTAGCAGTCTAGCCTACTGTAAAGGGTTGTTGGGATTAAATGGGGGGACGGGACAGTGTACAGCAACTTTGAGAAAAAGGTGGGGTATAAATGCAATAAATGTGAGGACTGGCTGAAGCACGAAACTGAATGATATTTTGTGATAAGAAATTAATATCGAAAATGTACAATCTGTTGCTAGACTGGGAAACGAAAGATGAAGAGGTTAAATCAGTCATGATTAAATGGGCACAAGATGTGGGACACAATATTCAGATGGAGGAATGGGAAAAACTATGGAAGAGTGGGATTAAATTTACAGCATGTGTGGCGACTGAAGAAAATTAGATACCATCTATTAGATACCAGTCAAATTAGCAAAAATGTATAAATCTAAAGAAAATAAGTGTTGGAAATGTAAAACAACAAAAGGTTTTTTCCTATGTGGTGGAAATGTAAAATAGTAAAAAAAAACTACAGTGGTACCTCGGGTTAAGTACTTAATTCGTTCTGGAAGTCCGTTCTTAACCTGAAACTGTTCTTAACCTGAAGCACCACTTTAGCTAATGGGGCCTCCTGCTGCCGCCGTACCACCAGAGCACGATTTCTGTTCTCATCCTGAAGCAAAGTTCTTAACCCGAGGTACTATTTCTGGGTTAGTGGAGTCTGTAACCTGAAGCGTATGTAACCCGAGGTACCACTGTATTGGGAAATGATTTTTTTTAAAAATAACTTTTGTCAAAAAACCAGAAGCATCCCTACTATTACAGGAGTAGATATACCTAGATTACAAAAGAACTTATTTATGTATGCGACTGCAGCCGCATGAGTATTGCTTGTACAACACTGGAAAGAAGGTGTCCCAACTAAAGAAGATTGGCAAGTTAAATTAATGGAATGTGCTGAAATGGCAAAATGACAATGAAACTAAGAGAAAGAGATGACAACGAATATAAGGAAGAATGGAAGGACTTTATTGCATATATACAGAAGCAATGTACACAGGTTAATACATTGGCAGAGTTCTAGGACTACTTATTGTTCATTCATAATGTAATTACAAGTCATTTTAATGGTTTTTATTTTACATTGGACATGCGGTATGTTGATAAACACTGGAACGAAGGAAGGGACTAGGGGGTAAGTCAATTTTTTTGTTTGATATTGAATTTGTATTGATGTTGTTTTATTTTTGTTATATTGGGAAATTAATAAAATATGTATTAAAGAAAAAAAACCGATTGAGATTTTCGTTTAGTTATTTCATTGGATGCCCTGCCCACCCAGGTCCTCCAATCTCCCGTTCCCAGAGCTCCTCCTTTCTTGAAGAGGCGAGAAGGCTGGTCCAGGGCCGCCTCCTCTCTGTGCACTTGGCGGGCGGGGGGATTTGTGTCATATGACAGATCCAAGATGGCGTCGGCCAGGCTGCAGAAAGTTTTGCTGCTCCAGCTGCTGAGCGGATTTTGCTGGCTGAGTCCCGGGAGCTCGGCGGGGCCGGTGCCGCTGGTCATCTGGCATGGCATGGGTGAGTGAACGGGATCTAGTCAGGGTCTCGGCTGATGCTTTGTCGAGAGAGAGAAAAAGAGAGAGTTTAAAATGTTCATCCCGGTTTTTTGTTTTTGTTTTTGTTTTTGCAGCAGTCTCTAGAGAGTCTTACAAGAGAGTGACCAGGCTAGTTAGCTTTGTGGCTGGATGCAAATTCGAACCCTGGTTCTGGGTAAACGTTTTCCCACGGAGTTCCAGCCTCGTTGTGGTAAAGCACGACATCTGTATAGCATGTACTAGGAGGTGCTTTAACAAAACGAATTGTAGCACAATCCTAGCCGTGTCTACTTGGAAGTAAGGCCTGTTTAATTCAATGGATCTTACTCGTATGTAAGTGGGGATCTCAGCCTTACTAACAGCAGTGTGGGCTTGTTCGTAGTTTAGTATCTGTCAACAGGTTGCTAATTGTCTATTCATTTACCTGTGAATAAGCCCCATTTAACTTGCTGGGAATTATTTCTGAGAAGATCTGCATAGGATTGCACTGTCAGTTAACTCTTGTCAAGCAAAAAAATGGGGGGAAAACCCAGGTGCATAGGATGGAGCAAAGCAAGTGTTAATTAGTTGTTAAACTGTTGGACATGGGTTCAAGTTTGGGTTCTGCTACTTCAAAGTGTCACCACTTCAGTTACCTTGCAAGGTTTCTTTTAGGGTGAAACTCTGTGGCTTTCTTGTTTCAGTTTCACAAAGAAGTTAATGTGGTAACTACCTAATGGTCCTGTAGCTTCAGTTCCTTATCTGGAAAATCATAAGTTTGTAGTGCTTTGAGAACAGAAGCAGCACAGTTACACTATGACTGTGAAACTAAAAAACAAGTCTCCTCCAAGCCACTGTCTCCTGTTTGTCATTAAGCAGCCTAAAGGGTCTGGAGGGATTAGTATCTAAACCAGAGGGTCAGTTTTTCATTGTAGCCCATGTTTGCTAACCCCAGTCTTGTACTCCCCAGTAGCCTGGCCAATCACATTTTCCTCACTGTGTGATTTACTAGGTTATCAACTTGCAGGAAACTGATCCAGTATTTTACCAAGCAAAGCTTGTATGCATTTCTCCCTAGTGGTTTTCCTTAAGAGAGGACTTGTCAGTAGTGACAATCTTTCTAGCATTTCTTGGGTGTTCACAGTTTTTTCTCGGTTGCTGTGATTGATGTGTAGACTACATTAGTTGAAAAGTGGATTGATACAGCTCATCCTTCTGCCAATTGCATACCATAAAAAGACACACGTGCGCACAAATGAAACTTGATTCTGCATGAATAGTGCAAATGGAAGCAGCTTTTATAAATACAGCAGTAATATTTAACAACTACCTCAGTGTACCGTATTTTTCGCTCTATAGGACGCACTTTTTCCCCTTCAAAAATGAAAGGGAAATGTGTGTGCGTCCTATGGAGCGAAGATGCCATAGCCCCGCGACCCTCTCCCGGCTGGAGAGGTGACGCGCGGCTATGGCAGGAACCTCTACAGCCCCGTGTCACCTCTCCAGCCGGGAGAGTGCGCATGGGGGGCTAAAGCAGCCCCCTGCGACCCTCTCCCGGCTGGAGAGGTGACGCGCGGCTATGGCAGGAGCCTCTCCGCTGCGCCTTTCCGCTGCTCCCTGACCTGCTCTTTAGGGCTGGTGGTGGGCTTCCCCGCCAGCCCCAAAGAGCAGGTCGAAAGGAACCTGAAGCCTTGAGAGCGAGAGGGGTCCGTGCACACCGACCCCTCTCGCTCTCCAGGCTTCCAAGGTAGCCGCCTGAACGCACCTTAAACGGCACCTTGTTTTAGAGCGGGAAAACAAGAGGGGGAAAGTTTTCCCCCTCTCTGTGCAGCGCCTCCTGCTGCTTCACTGAAGCGGCGCTGGGCAGAGAGGGGGAAATTTTTTTTTTCTTGTTCTCTCCCCTCTAAAACAAAGTGCGTCCTATTGTCCGGTGCATCCTATGGTGCGAAAAATACGGTAATTATCCTGCCAACAGTGACCTTTTTTTATCTGCTGGCTTTAGTCTAAAAGCAATATTTGATGCATAAACAGACAGGTGGCAAGAAATCTGATGAAGCTTGTTCAAAGCTGGCCAAGTGCCATCCTTCCCTTTATGATCTTATCACTTAATTGGATTATACAAGGGGATGGTTGAATTGGAGTGGCATGAAAAGAACTGGGCATTCAAAGCTCATCTCAGTCAAGGAAAATGTATTATAATTTGTTTTAATGCAGAGGTGGGGAACTGAAGGTCCAGGACCAGACCCTCCAGGGCTCTCTGTCTGGCCCTTGGGACTCTCCCCAGCCCATATCCCTCCCTTGCTGGCCCTGGTTTGCACCCTTCTTGAGTGTTTTTGCTTGGCTGGAATGTGTCCTTGAACTTTGATAGCGCCTCTTTCTTGTTTGGATGAGGATGGAGAGGGATGTGTGTAGAAACCAGCCTTCTGAACAAAGGTAAACATTAAATGGATTGCTGTGCCCACTTTTGCCTCTTGCCCTGCTCCTCCCCCGGAGGCATGTGGCCCTTGGGATGAAAAGGGCTTCCTGCCTCTGTAACTGGGATCATGGGACACTGTTTCTCAAAGAAATATGCTGACCAACATCATTAAATAACCGAAACTAAACAGAAGAGAAAATGAAACTTTAAAAAAACGGAATTTAAAAATTGGAAGAATGCCATACAAAACATAGCATCTAGTTCCAGACAGTGACATTGCAAGTGTTATATGCATTTACAGTTGAATAAGACAGTGAGAAAGGGCAGGTAGCATTAACGCTGTTCCTTAAGACCAGTTTGATTCTCTTGCCTAACCCTCACCCTGCCCTAAAGCAGTTGCTGAGAAATTGCAAATGGGAAGGCATCCTGAAATGGCAAGACGTCTTGGAGTCGGGGTTAGCAACTGGAGGCCCCATGACCAACTCCAACCTTGAAAGAGGACCAGTTGCAAAAGGGGTATTTAGAGGTGATGAGGGGCTACATTAGGAGGTTTACTTGTTAGTCCACTTTGGGTGGGAGTAGAGGGTGGCCCTTTTTTGCCCAGCCTCCTTTCAAGGTAATTGCTGACTCTAGGATGGGGGCGGGGGACCTTGTGCACCTCCTGATATTCGTGGACTTTCATCTTTCTTGACTACCGGCCTTGCTGATGGGAGCTGGTGTCCAGCAACATCTGGAGGAGCCACAGGTTGTCCACCTTGCCCTGAGATAATATTTCTTTTCCAGGGGTAAAGAGTTAGAGGAACTGGCTCCAGGTCAGGACCACCCCTCCAGCCACAGTATAAAAGAGAATATTTGTATCTCCTGAAAGGCCACAGGCTCCAGACTTCTATGACTCTTCACAGTGATTTCAGCCTCAATTAAAGACTGGTTTATAGCATGGCTGCATTTGTGTGATCATTCAGCTTTATAAAAGTCCAAGGCTCCAGACTTCTTGTCTTAGGGTTCTTACTCACTCCAAATCACCATGTAAGATGTTAAGCACACTCAGTACTGTGAGTGAGGTTTGAAATTTGGATGTGCACTCTCCTGTTGCACTTTTGATTCTGTTTCGGACTTTTACTCCCAACGGTTTGTAATCTGTTGCTTTTATCCATGGGATGGAGCACAAACAAGGGAGGGACTAATGACTAGGAAACTGATGACAGAGCTGCTTGGGCAATTAATATTTTTTCCTTAGGGGAAGATGATATGTATAGCTTCCCTGCCCCAGATCCTCCTCCAGTTTCCTGCTGATCTTGTCTCTTCCCCTCAGGCTCTTTTGGAGTCCCAGGTTGATGAGATCAGGCCAGATTTCTTTATATGGTCTAAGGCTGCACACAGACAATACATTTAAAGCGCATGGCTTTCCCCCCAAAAATCCTGGGATTTGTAGTTTAGCTCTCACAGAGCTATAATTCCCAGCACCCTTCAACTACAGTTCCCATGATTCTTTGGAAAAGAAATGTGCTTCAACTGTATGATGTATATGCAGTTATAGACCCATTGTGAAATATAACTGGAATAACACGAAATGTTAGATATAGTATGAAATTTTGCATCCATCCAGACCTCATTCTGATATTATCTGGGCTTTTATCTTGATTACCAAACTTGTTTGTTCTTTCTTTCTTTCTTTCTTTCTTTCTTTCTTTCTTTCTTTCTAAAAGGGGCTACCCTCCTAGTAATAGATTCACCCTCTCCCTTCATTTAAAATTCTCACAACACTATTGATCTGCTAGATAACTGTCCTCAGTTCCCTGCCTCCTATGACGTCTCAGCCTTGTGCTTGGAGAATAAAAAATCCTGATACCCTTTCTCTGCTGGGACTAATATTCAGTGGCAAACAATCTAAATTGATGTCATGAGCATACAATTAACAAGGGGACAGGAAACTCTGGACCGTGTCTAAAGCCACATTCGACATGCATTTATTTTGAAGTGCAGTATTCCTATGTGTGTCTAAAACCATACTCTTGTCTGTTTTCCCCCACCAATTTCTTTGGATGGGGCTTTGGGTTACAGCTGTTCAAGTAAGTGCCTGTTGTATATATCTGGATCAAAGTTTAGTTGATCCAGTTAGGCTGAAGTTTAGTCAGGAAATCAGAAATCCATAGTATTACAGTGGTACCTCGGGTTACAGACGCTTCAGGTTACAGACTCCGCCAACCCAGAAATAGTACCTCGGGTTAAGAACTTTGCTTCAGGATGAGAACAGAAATTGTGCAGCGGCGGCACAGCAGCAGTGGGAGGCCCCATTAGCTAAAGTGGTGCTTCAGGTTAAGAACAGTTTCAGGTTAAGAACAGACCTCCAGAACGAATTAAGTCTTAACCCGAGGTACCACTGTATTTATTAGATTTATATGCCACCCCTCATTATAAGATCTTAGGGAGGTTCGCAGAATAAAATACAGGTTAAAACAAGCACTTGATTAAAACAGCTAAACAATAACCTGCCCACTTCTCACAGACACATTTAAAAGGCTGCAGAATGTTAATCAGCCAAAGGGGAACATTTTCGCCTGGCACCTAAAATATATATAATGAAGGAGCCAGGCGAACCTCCCTGAGGAGAGCATTCCACAAACGGGAGTATTATAAATATTACATGTTCCTTTTGCCCTTGTCTATGTGGGAGGTGTCAGTCTCCTGACTTACTGGCAAGAGAAGATGCACGCCGTTTGTATTAACCCACTTTATCATCACTGTTATCTTCCCAGGTGTAGTCCAGGATGACGTTCAGCAGCCCTCGCACAAGAAAGAGCATGCCTTGCCCAGGATGGTCAGGAATGATAATTGTGTTGTTTGTGTGGAACCGAGAAACAAATGTGTTTTTGTTTATCTGCTTATTATGTACCTTGGCCTTCAGTATCTCAAGAAGATATTTATGTGGCAGTTTTTGTAAAACGCAGGATTTTCTTTTAATGTAATCCCATTAACTTCAGGAGAGATAATTGAGCAATTAACTTAATAGTTGACCACCCTGCTTACTTGCGTTAAGGTGGGAGCCGAATATGGGGCTTCCCTATAGCCCCCTGGGGGCCCCAGTAACACATGAGCTGGGTCTACGTTTGTTATAATTTGCAAATATATTTTTCTAGAAATATCTAAAAAGAATGCTACTGCAACAGTCCCGTTGCTGAATTTCTGATTCCGAATCTTTCCCCTCATCTGCTTTTTTCTCTTTAATCCCAGGTGACAGCTGCTGCAATCCTGAGAGCATGGGTTACATAAAAAAAATCGTGGAGAAGAAAATCCCAGGGATTTACGTTCTGTCTTTGAAGATTGGCAGCAACTTAATTGAGGTGGGGTCATTTTTATTGTGAATTTTCTCAAGTAGGCATGGTGTTTAAAATGGTGCTTCTCATACTTTGTTAACTTGAGCTCCAGCTATCAGCCTGGAGAGCTCAGTTGGTTAGAGTGTGGTGCTGATAACGCCAAGGTTGTAGGTACGATCTCCTTAGGAGACAGCTGCATATTCTTGCATTGCAGAGGGTTGAATTAGATCAGGGGTCAGCAACCTTCTTCAGCCATGGGCCGGTCCACCATCCCTCAGACCATGTAGTGGGCTGGACTATATTTTTTTTTTGGGGGGGGGAATGAATGAATTCCTATGCCCCACAAATAACCCAGAGATGCATTTTAAATAAAAGCATACATTCTACTCATGTAAAAACACGCTGATTCCTGGACCGTCCGCTGGCTGGATTGAGAAGGCGATTGGGCCGCATCCAGCCCACGGGCCATAGGTTGCCTACCCCTGGATTAGATGACCCTCTAGATCCCTTCCAACTCTTCAATTCTAAAGGACAGTGTGCAGAACATTGTGGACAGCGCTGCATGTTTTTGCCATGCCGCTTCCAACAAGGATCTGTGCATTGGGGCAATCAGTCTTGATGCCAAGACTGGCATTAGAGGAGGGACAGGGGCGGGGGAGTGTTTGTAGGGAAATGCCATTAGAACAAAGCAGCATCTCTTCTGCCTGAAAGAGGATGAAATGATGGTATGGTGAGGAGCAGTAATCTCATGAATCCAGTGGGGATAAATGGAGGACCCTTCTGGGGCAGTTGAATTCTTCCCACTCATACCTTTGCTGGCTCATGAGAAAGGCTAGGAGACCTGCCTGTTGATGAGCAGGATTCTCATCCCCACCCCCCCGACCCAATGGACTTGTCAATCACACTGGGTGTGCATGTCTGAGTAGGGTGGGGAGAACCTAAAGGCATCATCATGGACACCTTTAAAACAGGTGTGAGCAAGTAAGGGAGTAAGAAGGGCAGACTCCCATGAAGTAACCCCGAAGCTGCGGGTTGTAATTGGATTTGGACGCAGATCTGCTTATGAGCTCCCTGAAGCCATGATGGCCTCTGACTTAGGCCTCTTCTAAGCCTTGTCTGTGCCTAAGCTCTGATCTCTAAATGGATTTGGTCCTGATGCTGTGCCGCCCAGCTCTCTCCCACACGCTCGTGGCTTTGGTTTTGCTACGCAGAGCTCAGAACTTGGGTGCTGAATCGAATTCCACCCTGGCATTACTTTTCCAAGCATTGAGGGTTGCCTTTCCCCAGTGGAGAGCTGTCGGGGGCTGCATCCCAGTAGTGAGTGGGGCCAGACACAATCACATAAGCACTTAGACAAAGCTACTTCTCATGGTTCGCCAGCTCGCTCGGCCAATAAAGCGAGATGAGCGCCACAACCCCAGAGTCAGTCACGACTGGACCTAATGGTCAGGGGTCCCTTTACCTTTACTTCCCATGGAAGCAGCTAGCTAGGCATATATTCTGGGTGACCTCGGCTAAAGTTTCACCTCCCATTTTTGCCATAGACATGGAACCCTGTAGTCCCCCTCTCCCTTTCCCTCTTGTATCCTGATGGAACGGCTGCTGGCTGCTAGGCACTTGAAGGAGAAGCCTGATGGAGTTGCTGTCCAGCAGAGCCAATGGAGAGACACAGCAGCCTCATCTTTCCCTCTCCATTCTATCATCTATCTATCTATCTATCTATCTATCTATCTATCTATCTATCTAACTATCATCTATCTATCATCTACCCCTCTTGCGTTTGGTCCAGAAATATCAGTTAATGCAGAACACTGCAACATGTTTGCTGATCCTGCCATCATATTACATCCTCAGGTCATAGATCTGCATTGACGACTGATTTGTTCCTGGGCCAAATTCAAGGTTGTCCTCAGCCCGGTGAGGAAGGCTGGGCCTGGGAAGGACTAACACCTGGCTCCTACGAGACCAGGAGGTTCAGCTGCAGAGTGACACTTGTTGGAACATTGGACAATTAGTGAGGGAAATCTATATACAAACTTGTCCCACTCTAGTGACTGCTGTATCATTGCATTATTAATATACTGTAAGCTTCACAAATACTCCTAAATGAGCAAACATCTGGAGGGCCACAGGTTCCCTATCGCTGGGCTAGTGACTTCCTTTTTGAACAGAAGGGCTGATTGCCTGGGGAAGGAAGCTGCAATCTCCCTGTGGGGACTTGCCTTCCTCCTGCTCAGTGGGTGACACTTTGGCATGTGCAGGTCATTGGCTCTCTCCTGTTCTTCAAGTTCTCCGTTTTTTTCAGGACATGGAGAACAGCTTCTTCATGAACGTGAATGACCAGGTGAAACTCGTGTGTGACGAACTCACAAAGGACCCGAAGCTTCGAGGCGGCTTCAACGCCATGGGCTTCTCACAGGGAGGGCAGTTTCTGTAAGTGTCTCAAGCGTTGCAGAATGAGGGAGGAGCTTTGGGTGAAAGGGGGCAACTTTGGGTAGAATGCAGTGGTAGAGCACGTGTATTGCATGCAGAAGGCTCTTAGAAATGTTAAATAATCAATAGAATTTTTTTGAATGTTTAAATCATATTAATTTTTTTAAATCACTTTTTAAAATGTTAGATTTTGTAACTTACTTTAATTTTAAATTTAAGTCCCTCATGTGACATATCATATTAAAGCCCACGAAGTTCTGAAGAGATTGGTGTTTTTAGTTTTGGTGTATGTCAATTCTGGACTGAGCTTTTAAGGTTTTTGTGCAAGGCCAAAATTGTCAATTTTTTGAAATTTCAAACCCTCATAACTCACATACAGGATGAGATAAAAAATTTGAAATTTTAGATTTAAGCTTAGTTTTGATCATTCAACAAGTGTACAAAATATTAAGAAAATTGGATGAGATGAGGTAAAAAAGTTGAATCACTTGATATGGAATGACCTATCTGTGACATAGGTTACAGAACCAGGCCCTTGGCCCCTCCATCTCAGTACTGACTACCTTAAAAATGGGGAACTGCAGCCCTCCAGATGACATCAAATGTCCCCTCCCATCACCCCTGGCCATTGGCCATGCTGGCTGGGGATGATGGGAACATCCGACAGGTCACCCTACCTCCCCGACCTGAATTCCAATAAGTATAATAAAATCTAATGTATATAAATTGAATTACAAAATCAATATTAAATCAAAGCCAATATAATCCTGTCAGTTCTACGTTCTGCCCTGGTATATAAGAACTGTCTGGACAACGTGTCTTCTGCCTTGGAGGTTGCTGCTTAATCTGTTTTTGTCTCTCTCTCTCCCCCCCCCCCCTTTCCAGGAGGGCGGTGGTGCAGAGATGTCCCTCTCCCCCAATGTTCAATCTGATTTCTGTAGGAGGTCAGCACCAAGGTAAGCCCATCTGAGTGGTCTTTTGTTTTCTAGATGGGAGAATGCAGATTTAGGCGGGGAAAGTTATGTCATAGCAACAGAGGATGTTATGCCTGGAGGATGCGGACCATATGGATCCCTTCCAATCGGGATTCAGTCCCCATCATGGGATTGAAACTGCCTTGATTGTGCTGGTCAGTGATCTCCGGCGGGCTAGGGACAGAAGGGAAAGCTGTCCCTGGTTCTGCTGTGAGTGTCTGGAGGCAGCTGGAGGATGGATGGCAGTTAATGGATTGAGGTTGAATCCTGACAAGACAGAATACTGTTTTTGGGGGCTGGGCTGGGCGAGTGTGGGGGACTCCTTGGTCCTGAATGGGGTAATTGTGCCCCTGAAGGAACAGCAGCACACCCTGGGAGCCATTTTGGACTCACAGCTGTCCATGCAGGCATAGGTCAATTCTGTGTCCAGGACAGCTCCACCTGGTACACCAGCTGAGACCCTACCTGCCCGCAGCCTGTCTCGCCAGAGTGGTGCATGCTCTAGGTATCTCCCGCTTGGACTACTGCAATGTGCTTCATGTGGGACTACCTTTGAAGGTGACCTGGAAACTACAACTAATCCAGAATGTGGCAGCTAGACTGGTGACTGGGAGTGGCCGCTGGGACCATATAACACCAATCCTAAAGGATCTTCACTGGCTCCCAATACGTTTCCAAGCACAATTCAAAGTGTTGATGCTGACCTTTAAAGCTCTTGGCCCAGTATACCTGAAGCAGTGTCTCCACCCCTGTCATTCACTGAGGTCCACCTCAAAGGGTCTTCTGGCGTTTCACTTACTGAGAGAAGCAAAGTTACAGGGAACCAGGCAGAGGGCCCTCCCATCCGATGTCAGGGAGATAAAGAACCACACAACTTTTAGAAGACATCTGAAGGCAGCCCTGTATTGGGAAGTTTTAAATGTTTGACATTTTATGATGTTTTTGCATGTGCCGGAAGGAAGCTGCCCAGAGTGGCTGGGGAAACCCTGCCAGATGAGTGGGGTAGAAATAATAAAACAATACCAACAACAACAACAATTATTATTAAAGTAATAAGCATGACTGAGGGCCATTAATCTTAATGGCTGGTGTCATGTTCAGATCCTGAATGCCTGCAAATTGGTATCTTGCTGCCACAGGTGTGTATGGCTTTCCGCGTTGTCCCGGGGAGAGTTCTCACCTCTGTGACTGGATCCGAAGGATGTTAGACCTAGGGGCCTATACTGCAGTGGTCCAGAACCGGTGAGTTCACTTTGGCGGAAGTTGAATGTTATTGGGTAGGGGCATGTGCTTGGGGGTTGGGGCTCAAGGGCTTGTTCTGGCTTGTGTTTTGAACTCCCAGTTCTCCCTCCACTACAGCCTGGTCCAAGCCCAGTACTGGCACGACCCACTGAATGAAGAGGAATACCGGAAGCACAGTCTTTTCCTGGCTGACATCAATCAAGAGCGAGTAAGTTTGATAGGTTTGGGCCTGGCCGGTCTGGCTGCTCATCCCGCCCCTCTAATCAAATCCAGAAACAACCCCTGCAAACTGCAGGAAGTTTATCGTGAAATTGTGAAGGTCTGGAAGGGCTCAAGAAAGAAAAAAACAAGCTAGAAAAAGTAGAATAAAACATGCAGAAATTAAGCAGATATATGCAGGCTATGGTCCATAGGCACACAATGGAGCAGCCTTGCTGAGTCTTGTAAGATCTCCACCTGGTCAGTGACCAGATAGAAGAATGCCTGTGAGCTACATGCTTATGCTTCCTTAGAGGAAGGGTTGCTGTTGACGTTTAACTTGTTTTGTTATGTACTATAAGCCTTGTTTTGAAGGGCGAGTTATTAAACATGTAGTCAATTAGTACCCAAACAATATGTTTGCATAATAATATAAAAGGTAAAGGACCCCTGGATAGTTAAATCCAGTCAAAGGCGACTGTGAGGTGCGGCGCTCATCTCGCTTTCAGGCCGAGGGCGTGACATTTGTCCACAGACAGCTTTCCAGGTCATGTGGCCAGCATGACTAAACTGTTGGGGCGCACTTGGGTCAGGATTTGCATGGAGTTTTCTGCAGTGTCATCAGCAAAGCAGATTCCAAGGTAGCTTGGGATTCTCTTAAATCTTCTTTTCTCTCTGTCTTTTCCTCCCTCTGTGCCCCCATCTTCTTTCCAGAGCAACAACAGTACCTATAAGAAAAACCTGATGTCTTTGAAGAAATTTGTGATGGTGAAGTTCCTCAATGATACCATGGTGGACCCTCCTGCATCTGAGGTGGGCAGCTCTGTGTGTGTGTGCACGCATATACATGTGTGAAAAACACATGCAGAATCTGATGAAATGGAAGGGGGCTGATTTTGCAAACCCAATATACCATATATACTTGAGTATAAGCCGACTCGAATATAAGCCGAGACACCTAATTTTAGCACAAAAAACTGGGAAAACTTATTGACTTGAGTAAGTATAAGCCGGTTCACCACACCACAAACCTGGTGGCGGCGGCAGTGGCGGAGGAAGAACAAGCAGCCCGAAAGGGACAGGCCTTTGCTGGCCTGGTGCATGTAGGTATGAACTGGCCATTGCAACAGCGTGTGGCTCATTTTATTGCTCTCCTCTTTCCCCAGTGGTTTGGTTACTACCGGAGCGGTCAGGCCAAAGAGACCATTCCCTTGCAAGAGACCTCACTGTACACAGAGGTAACTATCCCGAATGTTGCTATTATTCCTATCAAGAATTTGACACCAAACCAGCTGTGTGACATCCCATCAGTTGTTGCAACAAAGAGTTTTGTTTTGTAACTAGATAATAACTTGCAGAAGAGAGATTAATATCTACATATTAGATTGCATGGGGGGTTGTGTTCTGGGGGCCCCATAATTGTGTATAAGTGGGGAGCACTCTTATTTGAGTAGGGAGTGCTTGTGGTTCACAAGGAGGCCTTCCTCTTTGGGCTGTGGGGAGCCAAGAGGACGCTCTAGGGTGCTCCCCTCTTCTGGGTTCCTGTGCTGCAGGTGTGCATAGCTGCATGCAAGTAAATTCCACTCAAAAGTTGTCTGCTTAAAGAGACAACTGTTTCTACAAGAAAATACTGTTCTACAAACACTGATTTGCAGAATTTGAAATTGAGACAGTTGACAGGAAAATGATAAATGAGTCTAAGCTGGTGTAACTGAACAGAGATAATCTTCCAAACCTGAAGATGTGCTGACCACTGGAAGCACGTTCCTTCCAAGCTTTTACGAGAGAGCAGGGTGCACGCTTCCAAAAACTGGCAAAAAAAAAGTTTTTTTAAAAAAAGACTTCAATAGCTTTTAGGAATGCATACAGTATTTAAGAACAGTTACTGCCTCCTCTCAGGGGCCAGTTAAAGGAATTTGGTTGGATTAGTATTGCAACCTTTTAAGTGACTGAAAGCCTTTGTGAATTAATTAAAAAGGCAGCCCTGGTTAATGGGACAACACGTTGGGTGAGGTCCAACAATGTTGTACTCAGAATAGTAGACGCATTGAAATCAGTGGATGTAACTTAAGATAGTATAAATTGCAGAAATATTTGAAGAGCATCATCCCTACACTCTTGAATCAGGGCCATTGATACACTGGCTGTGAGCCGCAAAACATCTGGCCAAGTGGACAGATACTACCCTGAACGATTTGGAGTTAGAGGATAAAAATTAACAGCCTGGTTTCTTTATACCCTTTTCTTGTCACTGCTGCTTGCCTTTAACTTAATGAAGCAGGGGGTGTAAATTCACGCCAGTTAACTTGGTGGAATTTCCCCCTAGACTGCAGCTTAGTTCTAATGGTAGGTTTTAGCATTTTTCCAGTAGTTTCCTTGGTGCTCTCAAACTAGATTGGCCCAGGATCTGCTCAGAGGAAGCCCTGATAGTTAAACTGGATGTAAGCCAGTTTAGGATTGTTCTATATATGCAGCTGTGAAAACATTTGCTGCTGTATTTTCTCAGAAGCGCCATTTATAGGGCTTACTCCAGTGCTTATGATTGCAGCCTTAGGATCTTAATATTGATTTATTTAATAAAATTTATATACCCTTTGATAGTAAGAAAAAACCTCAAAGTGGGAAGGAGTGGACTTGTTCAGCCTACTTTTTTTACTAGAAATCTAAGATCTGCTAACAAGTCTAAAGACATGTAGTTGGAAGCAAACACTCTTTCAGCCAGCAATCTACCAGGAGATCCCAAACCACCTTCTTTGCATGCCCTGCTGCCTAAGTTTTGCATGGTGATTTCTAGCTGAGGTCCATCTGTTTGTTACTCTATGTTCCTTCTTTCAGGATCGATTGGGTTTGAAGGAAATGGACCAAGCAGGGAAGCTGGTGTTCCTGGGCGCAGAAGGAGATCACCTCCACTTTTCCGAAGAATGGTTCTACAAGAACATCTTGCCATTCTTGCAGTGAAGCTGATGATGACCCACAGGCTGAGCCTGCCTTTCTGTGTTGCTGGAGATGAGAGTGTTTGGTGTGTTCCTTTATAGCGCTTGGCTGGAAGGAAGAGACTTCTCACTAATCTGCTAGGTAGGGGCTAGCTTGATATAAGGATTAACACCAATTAATTGAACTCTCTCAGTAGGTCTTCTGCACCTTTATTCCATACAGCCTGACCTCTATCAGCTTTGCCCTGCAGAGGCACTGAAATATAAGAGTCCTTTCAGCTATGTGAAAAGTCATTCGTATTTGTTTTGGGATGGCAAAATTGATGTGGGTTACAATGCTTTATCAGCCTCCTTTTTTGGGATCTGTGCCAACCTTTTCCTGCCCCCTGAATGTTTTGACTACAGCAGGAGGGGAGGATCACTTTGTCTTCTTCCTCCTTTAGTGATTTTATTAGGACAGGCAGCCATCAAAATGAACACATTTGCTTGTGGAGCATGTTGTGCAAGGCTGTGTGGAACTGAGGATGCGATATTGCAGTTAACCTTTTGGAGATCTCAGGGATGGGATATTTAATACCTCTTGTTAGAACAAGAGATAAAATGGGGGTGGGGTGGGGTGGTGCACTAGCTTACGTTTCTCTCACCAGACTGCAAGTCTGAAAGCAGGCAGTAGGTCTGTGGTACACAAGAGAAACAGGTGACTTATACTTGCAACAATACTGTTGGGCCGTGTGAATGGCAGGATTTTAACAAATGGTGATTCAAGCTCTTTGGCTTTGTATTGTATTATAAGCAATAGCACACACAAAAATTGATACATTCCAATAAAAATGTTTAAGATGATTCAGTGAGCAGCAGCACTGCTTTCTTTGTAGAGGAAGATTGCATCCGCACTCCTAGCATGAAGCAACATTCCTCTTGAAGGCAATAGAAGAAGTACTGCTCCCCATGTTGTTGGTTTCAAAACTCCCTTCAACCCCCCCCCAAACCATTATGGCTGATGAGGAATTATGGGAATTGTAATCTAACAATAGGTGTAAAACACAAGATCTGCAGTTCAGTAGAGATACTCACTTAGAAGAACTAGAAGTGTAATTTCCCCCAAACTCCCACCTGGGTTCTAAAGGGCAGAGGCTGGATGATGAAGCAACTACTGCATCTTCCAAGTTGCAGTCTACATGCGAGTCTGGCAAACTTGCAGCCCTTCACTTGTTGCTGGATTACATCTGCTACACCATCCCTGACCACTAGCTCTGCTTGCTAGGACTGATGGAAGTTGGGTAGCCAACAGTTTCCCCACCCATTATATACTATGTTGGGTTATGCATACAGTAGTAACTCTCTCCTGCCCTTTATGTGTTGCCCCCCTCTTCCATTCTTTTAAATTCCAGAATCCCTTCATTTGAAATGTCTCAATTATTTCACTACAATCCCTTGGTGAGTGGAGAGATGGCTTTCTGGGGCCTGATGTAGGGAGGCTGTCAGGCTAGTTCAAGACCTTCCTGCCAACACAACAGATGTCAGTGGCCTCTGTGGTAACAGCTTTTAACAAAGCCAGGAAACATTTCCATGAATGCATTTGCCCACCACTGCCGCTAGCCACAATGAAATTCTGAGTGAAGCCACAGCGGGCTCTGAGAGACTAGTGTGAAAACACTCCCAAGGACTCCTCAGACAAGCTTAAGCTGGAAATGTTGCTGAAAGAGAGCAGCATTGAGTCTGAAGCTGTAAACTGAGATTTGCGGCTTTTCTGGACGAAGCTGGTTGCAGAGGAGCTTAGGAAGGACCACCATGTTAAGGAGCAACTTGGCATTAACTTTATTCTATCTTCAGTATAATTTTAAGTACATAAGAAAGGTTTTATTTCCACAAGCCTCGGGAGAGAAATACAAGTCACAGGACAGTTTCAAAATAAAAAGAAATTGCATATCTTTTGTTAAGTTTCATTTTAGTGGGGGGGGGAATCATTAATGTGGCAAAGAGGGAAATAAGATATGCATATGCTATCCAAAAACACTTATGATTCTGGTGCGCAGGCAACTCCCTTTGGTGGATCAGTACAGTACCATGCCTTTGGTCTCGGCGCAAGCACTGCAGTGCCATGCTAACACACACACACTGGCCTTCCGGTGGAGAAGAAGCTGAGCGACAGAGAGAAGGACAGCCAGAGAAAGTCTTCCAGACTCTACAGGGTAAATAAGCTCAGATGGAGGATTGGAATGAACTTGTGCTTACAAATAATTAAATACTGGACCTGGAATGAAGAAGACTCATCCCTCCCTAAAAAAAAGAGAGAGATGGGCTCCAAGGAAAAACCTGTCCTGGAAAGCCTGGACAACGCTCAGTTGCTCAGAAGAGGGACCCTTTGGGCACAATTTTCCCTTTAAAGGAGGGCTTGAATGGAAGTGGGTGAGCAGCAGTTTTCTAGCCGCTGGACAGACTCCCGGAAGGGGCGAGTGGGGAGCCTGTCCCATGGTAGTCTTGTGGCACCTGTAACTGAGAGGTCTCCCCCAACATCATGGCACAACACAGAATTTTACACTGAGCACGTAAGGGGAAAAATGGGGAGGTGGGGTGGGGGAGGAATGCTATACATGCACCAGTCCTTCAGCTTTTGGTCCAGCAAAGCCATTCCTGGAATCTTTGAACAGCCCCAATTAGATTAAACAGAATGAAGTCAACTCCCTTGTACTTCCCCCAACCCACACCTTCCAGATACACTGTCACACACACATATCACTGGGGACTCTATACCCTGATAACTCGCTTTACTCCAAGAGGAACCATCTTCCTTTGCTTAAAATGAAAGGGGAAAAGAAAAACCTCTAGAACCAAGTCCTTGAGATACTGGCTCCAGGGAGCACAAAAAGAAAGGCCAGACAGAAGTTGATTGGTGATGTGGGTTTGCCTGACCAAGGGGAAACGCCACACTTTCCTGCTGATCAATTGATAGAAGCAAATGATTCTGCCACCCTACCCCAAATCCTAGCCTGAGGTATTTTCAGTGAAGGCAGGTAGGCAAGTCTCTCGGGGAGAAGACAGAAGCAGATTGAGAGCGGAAAAGGTACAGGAAAATCTATAAATCATCCCAAAAAAAGCAGATTTGTCCCACAGCAGTGGTGGGGCGAATGTCGAGCGCCAGGTCAACTTATCCAGCTATCTCCGTGACAGTGGTGACTAACTTCTGCCCGTTCCACTGTGTCTTGAATTGTTCTGGGATTGGGAACTCATTCTAGGGGGAAAGAAAATATTGGAGTCAGTAACATTTACATGGAAGTGACTTGCAGAGATGCACAGCTTTCAAAGCCCCTATGTGCTCTCTGTCCTTTAGTACAGCTACACCTCTAACACAAAAGCTTACTGCCATCACAGGGAGAGCCTTGCTGGATCTGACCAAAGGCCCATTTAGCTCAGTGTCCTGCTTTTCAAGAGCGGCCAGCAAGATGCTTCTTGGAAGCCCACAAGCAAGGTACTAATCTGCCTGGCTGCCCCCCTCTCCTGCCCCTCAATAACTGGCATTCAGGGACAACACTGTCTTGAATGCAGACCTTCCACTTACATATCTTGTCTAAATGAGCTGCATGCCAGGGGTGGAGACATGAGAAAACTGCAGAGGCGCCTAATTCAGCAACAAAGCTATTAACATCCCATTCAATATATCAACTTAAAAAACAGAGCAAGTACCAAATTAAGCCAGATCAGAGAATCTCCGGCCTAAGGGGCTAATTAGATCTGGCACAGGTGCAATTTTGGCCTGCAAAGCCATGTCCCCCTACCACACACCTGACTTCAAATTCGATGTCAAGTAGATGCAGCTGCCAAAGCACAACTGGGGCCCTTAACGTACACTCTAGGATGCTCAGTGGCAAAGAAGGCTTGCTGTCATGCCCATCAGCTGATAGGTGGTGACAGCAAGCCTGGTGGGATCTGCAATTCGGCCAGCCACCCAAGAGGAGCATGAAGTTGGCACCAATCAGCAGTAGCTTCAAGCCCTGCTTGGCTGGGCTTGGAATCTTTGTAGTGGGGCTTGCCATGCTACAGAGAAGAAACTATTCATCTGACATAGTGATACCAGGTTATGACAGGTGGGTAGGGCCCGTTCCACCTGTCAAAGTAGCCTGCTGAGGGTTAGGGAATGCAGGATTCAGCCTGTCAAGATGGATCCAGTTCTCCACCCCAATATTAAACTCCTTAGAGCTTTGCTTCTTGATTCATGCTCCTTAATCCTGTGGTGCAGGATTAAAAGTGTGGTGCAGATGTACATTGATCCCAATCACTGAAAGCCTGCTTCCCTTATTAAAGCCTGGGCTTCTGAAAGCCAGCTAAAATCATTTTGGCAACACAGCTCTTCAGCCTGGTGACTTTTGACCACGAGCTATCCCAAGACAGCTTCTTCCCAATATCAGCAACAACCACCACCCACAGCAAAGTGGCTTTCTCCCAGTGTCTCATTCTACGCCAAGTAACCAGAAAGAAACTTACAAAATCACCACTGTCTGTAGGAACGAGGACGTTCATCTCTGAGGACTTGGCACTGACAATCTCACATTCTAATGAGTTCTTGCTCAGGTAGACATGACAACCGTCTGTCTTGTTGATGGAAATGGTTGGCACTTTACCCAGCACCTAGCAAGAAAGGCAAGGATGTCAGACATGGCTAGAGCGCCTACCACCCTAGAAGTCTAAAAGAAACACAGGAGTTCACTTCTCCTTGTTCTGAAAACATCATTATCAATACTCTTTATATGTACTCTTTATAACATCATATATAAATAATACATCAATGAAGACAATGGATCCATCAATAACACATTCAATTACCAATAAATCATAAAACAGTAGTGTGGTGAATCTTATGAGCGAGGGAAACAAAATTCAATATGTTCTCTTTTCAAGCTCTGAGTGGCTTGTACTTCAAGTGCCACTCGCTCTCAACGTGAACCTGGCCTGGATGCAACATCATCTTTGGAGGGGCCCTTCTTTGTCTCGCTCCCAAGATGGCAGGACCCAGTAACCCAAGACTGGGGTTTTCACAGGATGCAATTGCCCTTTCTCGGAACACCCTCCCTGGAGAAGCCTGACCAGTGCTAACTTTTCAGCACCCGTTGAATACCTTTTTATTCATCCATCCCTTTTAAAGCTGTGCTTAATCCTACAGGTTACCATTTTAAAACATTTATCCTAGCTGTTAGTATTCTGTCCTTTGCCATTTTTAATGCAGATGATAATTGTTGTACAGGCAACCCCCTCCCCCATTTACATGGGGCTTACGTTCCAAGGCACTGCACAGTTAAGTGAAACTGCAATTGAAAAAGCTGGCAAACACGCCGTTCCACCCCTTTCTGGGACGTTTTTGGGTCACTTCTGGGTTCAGAGCAATGTATGTGTGTGTGCATGGGTTGAGGAGCAAGATGGGTTTCTAATTCTGTTAGGGAATCTGAAGACCCTGAATCCCCCCTCAAAGACTACTTCTTCTTGCTCATCTGTTTAAGGGTTCCTGCTCTTCAAAAGAGGCAAGGCAGAGTGAGGACCCTTACGAGGTTAAGGGAAAGCAAAACTGGCTGGGGGTGAGGGAGTGAAATTACCTGAACTTGGATATCCCGACTGTTGATGATCTCAACAATGCCCACCACATCATCGAACACCAGACCTAGCTTCTTGCAGTTATCTACAAAATAGAGGAAAAGAGAACAGAAAGGACCATTAAGGACCTTTTTCCAGTGTGGCTGAAGAATACCTCTGCAAGTTCTGATTTAGCCACCCATCCACTGGGTGCTCCAAGCTAAGTCACAACAGCACTCCTCATTTGCAATGCAAGGGTAATTTTTGGGAAAGTGAGAAACTAGGGGGGGAAACCCCATGGGGTTTGGCTGCACACACCAGTTCCCCACCTATTATCTGGAAGACACTTGTGGTGAACCCTGTTGGACTGAGCAGGATTTAGCTCCCCGCTTTTCAGCTTGGGAGGCGTGGTGTATTAAATCCTGCAGGGAACTGGTGCATGAAGCCAACAGTGAATTGAATCAGAGAATCACACACACCTCCCTTGGAGTGGCCTGAGCTGATTGGTGGGCATGAGTTATTGGTTTCTTCTTTTTTAAAAGCCTCCTGCCCTGGCCCCAGCCGATAAGAACCTACCCAGTGTGATGGAGTTGATCTTGCCCTTGATATGGAGTGTACTGTTCATGCACTTGTAGACGTAGGCCACCTGCTTCAGCTCCGTGTCGCTGATCACCAAGTTGGAGGCATTTTCTTGGTTCTCCTAAAGAGGAAGGGGAAAAACAAATGCCGCTCATTCCAGCCCCTTCCCTCCTCGGATATGCTTATGACCTGCAGATGTGCCTGATGGACAGCGATGAGCCAGCGTCTTCTTAAAAGACTCTCTTATTCAGGTCAGGTATGGGGAACCTCTGGCCCCCCAGACTCCAATTCTCATCACTGGCCATGCTAGCTAGGGTTGCTGCGAGCTGGAGTCCAGCACCCAAAGTTTCCCTCCGTCCTTCTTTTAATTTATTAAAACAAAGACTAAAGGTGCTGCTTGAATTAATTGGACAGCAGACTTTAATAAGTACTCTTAAGAACTGCAGATGACGTGCCTCTTCTAAGATGCTGCCTGCTTCAAAATGCATGCATAATCTATATGCAAAATACAGTTCAGATTTTTCCCACCTTCTCATATGAAATCGCAAGTTATCTATGGCAGTGGGGAGTCTTTTGCGTGGGACCCTTGCGACGCCCCAGCCCCTCGGAACTCACCACTCTCCATTTCTTGCCTTCCAGCTCCAGCACAGGAGGCTCCTTCTTCGCAGGCAGCTTTTGGGAGGCGCTGACAGGACAGGCCGGCTTCGGAGCCATGAAAGGCTTTGGTCCCGTCCGCATAGGACCGCCTGGGTTCTTCAGCGCTGGGTTCTTGTGGGTCTTCATCTCGTCTGACACGTGCTTCAGGCCTAGGAGGGAAACCGCCATTAATGTCCACCTTGAAGATGCCACCAGCTTTAGGAGCTGCCCCTCAGCCATGGCCACCAGCTACTCTTCCCCACCCAGGCGCTTCCATTCTCGTGGCAGCTTTGCAGTCTGGGAGCATAAAAGTGCAGCTCCTTCCCACACCACTTATCAGCAGCCCCAGGCACAAGCCTTTCCCACGCTTGAGTCACCCTTTCTAAAGCTTCAGTACATCTGACATTACCCCCAAGTAGAGCAGAGCTGCCGCTTCTCTACCACAAGAGCAATGTCAGAGCCAGGCCCAAAGAGCCGCTTCTTACAAACCAAGAACTTCCCCCTGAAACCACCACAGCCTGCATCAGACCACCAGCCATTTGTGCCTTGTAGACAAATTTAGTTCCCATTTCTAGCTTGGCACCAATTGGTTGGCTTCTATGCTGCTTTTACTCAAAAAGCTCAAAATGAATTTCAACGTGGAAGTCTAGAAACCAGGGTTTATAACACCAATGTAATGTAATTAAAACAAAACTAATTCAAAGTAAAATTGCTATAAGCCTCAGGAAAAAAAACACTACTACAAACATATCCTAATGTGTCATATGCTGCTTTCCCCAAAAAACTGTCGCTAGGGATGTCGTTTTCAATAAAGAGCCCCACAAACCAGGGTCCATAACCAAGATGGGCTAGTTCTGCCCATTCTTCTCTCTCTGGCTAGCTAAAGGGCTTTCAGCAGTTCTCTGGATCTATAAGAATGGAAAACTTCTTGGTCTCCATCTGTTGCCCCGCTATAGCATCAAGTCCTCAGTTCTTAGAGACTTTTGTTTCTAAATAGGCACAGACACTGCAGCCTGTGTGGAGTAGTAGCGAGTGGAGGGCTGGACTCTTGACCAGGCAGTCCTGGGTTCAAATGCCCTCTTGGCCAAGGTGTTTTCCTCTTGTCTAATTGACACTCAGCCTAACCTACCCCACAGGGCTCTTCCAAAGATAAAAAAAGGATGATACACACTGGATTTAGAGGAAGGAGTGGGTACAAGTTTTAACCACGTTAAAAACCATCCCACCCTAGGAAGGAAATCTCTTGCTCCCATCTGCTGCTGATCTAGACAGCCAGTAAAAGGGCTATGAAAGAGTGAAACAACTCATCACATTTTTAAGGTTTAAAGCTGGTTACAATACATGCAGAGCATGCCTGAAATTTTATCCTTAACAGAGCAGTCTTTCCTCAGCTTACATGAAAACAGAGACTCAGTGCTCCTAGTGGTATGTGATGCGAGATGTCCCTTTCTCCCCTCCCCTTATTTTTGCTTCTGTCACTGGCAGTCATATGATTGGTGTTGCGCTTAAAATGATCCAATAAAATAGCTTTAAAAGCAGGTTCAAGTTCTTGACGGTTCAGCAGGCACCCCATTTGCATCCAGAAGCCAAAAGAAGGCTTCCAGAGCCGCAGGGAGATCTCTGCATTGGCTTACTGCATTGCAGTATGTGCAATTTACACACAGCACTGTCCTCCATGCATGCCCTCCCCCTCAACTACCTGCAATCTAATTGGTTTCACTTGATGAAAAGAAAAAAAGAGGAATTAATTGGCTAAAGGAAGAATATACTGGAGATCAGAGATTAGCTTCAACTATTTGTACAGGTTACCATACAGGGCCTGGAGATTCCAAAAATTGAATTCCATCAATTCCCCAGAAAGGCAGTACAAAAGCTTTCCTCACTATATTTGTGTTTCTTGAACCTTAGGATACGTAAAATTAAACCTTCTGCATATCATCAACCCTCACCAAGCCCAGCATTGGAGTCCTCCAATAATAATAGTAATATTTTTATTTATTTATACCCTGCCCATCTGGCTGGGTTTCCCTCGCCACTGGGTTTCCCTCTTGGCCACTGCAATTCCCAGAGTGCAGATTTCTCCCATCTTCACTAACCACAAAGGTATTTTATGGACCCACTTCTGCTACCTCTACTCCTCATCCAAAACATTCAGGTTGCTTTCTCCAAGGAAAGGACATTCTCAAAATTCATGTTTTGCACACTGAAGTTGAGTGGCCTGTTTAGCAAGCAAAACTGGTTTAGGGAATTATGACCCAAGGGGTTTTTTTGTGGGGAGGGGGAATTCCTCAAAGGGACATCATGAATCAGAATGCAGGAAACTGGAATCTAGACACAACAGAACATTCTGTACACTCAATACATCAAAACACACTAGCAGAATTAGCCATGCATTTCTGCTGCGTCAGTGAAAAGCTATGCAAATTCACTTTTAAGAACAGCTTGTGAAAACCAAGATGACCAAGAAATCCTCTAGGGCCATCTGCAACAAGACCATGGGTACAAATGCATCTGTATGGTTCAAAAGATGGGACTACGCTGGACCTTGTCCCCAGATACTGGAGCGAAAGGACCCCTGCAGATCACAAAGGCTTTGTGTAGAAGGGTTGCAATTTCTATCCCAAGTGAGTTTGCTTAGAGGACAGCCATTTGCTCACCTTGCCATTCCATTAACTAATTTCACCTACCAGAAGTGATAGTCTCTCCCCGGTTGATCTGGGCAAAAAGTGCAGAACGGGACGCAGAGTCATCTGAGCCAGAATTTGTGGAGGTGGGAGCTGGAGGGGGTGGAGGGCCAGGTGGCGGGGGTGGGGGGCCACCAGGAGAAGGAGCTGCTGCTCGGGATCCATTTCCTGAATCAGTTAGAACAGGTCCCTGGAAAAGGGGATAGGATAGGAACAGAAAACAGAGAAATGTCAAGAATAATAAATGCAAGAGTTCTGTGGTGCCTTGAAGATTAGCGTTCAGCCTGTACTCACCGTTTTGCTCCAGGTCAGCCCAGTGGTGTGATACTCCTTAATGTACGCCTGCAGCTCTGTCCAGATACTCAGATAAGCTTTCACCCAGTCCACATGCTTCTTATCTCTAGGAGAAAGAGGAGCCAGGCAAACTAATTGGTCTAGGTAAGGGGGGATATTTGAAACTCCACTTGCAACGGGAGCCGTAGATTTCCTACCCTCCTGCTTTGCAGATGGAACTTTTCACAAACTGACTATTCAGAGCTTTCTGGGAATGAAACCCTGCACTGCCCCCTGCCACTACTCAGGTTCCCTCATTTTCTACGCAGTCACAGCACCATCTCTCTCCCTGCTCTTCTGTATGATTTCATTAACAGCATTCCAAAACTTTGCATCTCAGTAGTCCTATTCATGGTAACTCCACACCCTTGCATTCTCATTTTCCATGAACTGTCTTCATTTCTTAGCATTCCCTTTTAAAAGTGGAGCCCGCCTTGAGTGGCTGAGTTTAAGAACATGCCACACCCATTCCAAAAATGGTTAGCCACCTCCTGCTGTTAGGAATTTGAGGGAGATGAGTAATTTTTTTAAACTAAGTGACGCAAACATTGGAAGGTGATCCAATGCTGCCTCCCCTCAGAATCCTCTGCTGCCGGCAGCACCCCATGGTTCCCCATCCCCCCAAGAGGCAAGCAACACTTACACATCTTTGTATTCCTTGAGGATCCGGTTGCTATAAAACATGGCGGCATCAGTCATTTCCTTCACGTAAGGGCCTGGTTTGGGAGCCTATGAGAAGACAGTGCGTCATTAGAACGTAAAAGTTCTTGCATTTCACCCAGAAGCTTTCTAAACCCACCAGAGTTATTTGGAAGCTGACCCTCTGAGTGAAATGGTTTAAGACCAGAAGTCAAGCTTGCCAGGAGGTAGTGGACAAAGACGCCATCCCCAAACCCAGATAACAGAGGCAAGGCTGGAAGTGCAGTTTGAAATCTTAAAACTGCATCTGGATGAGAGAAAATTAGGTGACAAGGACCAAGTAATCTCTCAGGAAAAGAAACTGGAAGCTTATGGGCACAAAACCACCAACTTACTGTAGTTCCATATCATTTTACTGGCAATGACTTTCCCCTAATTCAAGGGTGGGGAACCTGTACTCCATCACCTCGAGGGCCACAACTACCTTTGTCCACAATCCCTGGCTATACTGGCTGGGAATCCAACAGTATCTAGTGCACCTCAAGAATCCTTGGAAGTGTAGTCTGGAGGGATTGTTGAAGCTTCTGTTAAGAAAGCCCCGCCAAATCTTACAAAACTACAACTCCCAGGTTTCCCTGGGGAAAGTGAATGACTCTTCGACCAGATTGACACTACCAACTAAAACTGCCCATGTGAGAATGGTACCATCAGGGGGGAAATCATGCTATCTGTGCAATATTTTCCTCCTAGCATGTGTCCATGTACAGAAATTGAGAAGGGCTATATTTTAAAAACAAAGCTACAGACATAAGAGCAGTTTAAGGAGCTTCAGGGAGGCCTGCTGGCCCTATGAGTACCAGAACTGAAGAACAAGTTTTGACAGAAAAGCACCAGTTCCTGAGCCCTTACCATGGCGACCCAGCCTAATGCAGGGATGCTCTCACTAACGGTTGAGAGGTGATTGAAGAGTTTGCTGCCACGGTTCTTCTCCCGGAAGTTCTGGACCACCTGGATCTTCTCGGATATTGGCTTCAGCACAGATGAGAAGTTGTTCTGCAACAACAAAATTACAGAAGATAAGCCGAGCAAGGTGTGAACTGCTTAAGCCTGCTGGTCTCTGCCGTCATTTAGATTGCCTGCCCCTGTCAGTGGACAGATTTGCACATAAAGCTAAGTCAGGGTTTGTTTGATGATCCAAACCCTGCCCAGCAACTTAACTTATGTCAAACCATAAGCTGAACCATGGTTTATTGTTGACCTATGAACCTTGGTTAGCTTTTTAGCTATGGCTTGGCATTCTGTGTGAAACTGGCACCCTTCCTTAACCATGGTTCCACCCCAAACGCTCACAAAGCTACAAAGGCACAAGGCAAGAGCAGCTGGAAAACAAATCCAGCTTGGAAAAAACAAGTAATAGTTAAATCATGACTTAAGTTATAGTGTTGTGCTAACCAGGCCAGTGACAGTATTATCCATGTATTAAAGATGCTGGGAGAAAGATGATCCTAATCTTCCTCAAAGGTGCTCAAGATGGTGTATAGAGTCCCTATCCCCCTTTTTAACCTCACAGTAACTCTGCAAGGCTGGTTCACACCAAAGAGAATGAATGGCCTAAAGTCATCCAGCATATTTCACAAGTGGTTTTCTTGGGGAGCAGGGAGGCATGTACACCACCTTGAGCTCCTCGGAGGAAAAGCAAAATATAAATGAAATAAATACATTTACCTACCACCTTTGTCAAAGCAATCAAGCATTTTTTGTAATTCAAAATGGCAAGACACAAGAGGAAAATTGAGCAACGAGGGAAGAGGAAAATAAGCAAGTGCCAGGTAGCAATTGTTTCACTGTGATATATAAGTTACTTGACTGATCCATAGTAGGCAGTTCTGGGGAAGGAGGAACAAAGTAGCAGATAGGCCAGGTTCTGTACATCATGTAGTCACGCAAGAAAGGAAGGTACCACTTTCCTACCAAACCCTAATTCCTTCTCCTGGACAGGAAGGTGTTATGGGATAATCCTACCAACGTACACACCTGGTACCACCATTTGCTAAATCCTGTTTAGGATTCACTCTAAATTTATAGATTTTGGCTTCCTGGAAAATGAGTCCTTGCCTTGGAACAGGCACTTGCAATACCCCAGCACCCATGAAGCTATGCCATGCTGCCTGCAAATGGTCTGTGTCCTGCCATCTGGAGGTCCTGCAACTTTCTTCCTATCCCGGAGGTGTCTGATCTGTGGTCCTCCGTATCTTGTTAGATTCAAACTCCCATCAGCCCAAGCAAACAAGGGAGCCAGTAGTCAAGGACAATGGGAGTTCTAGTCCAGCAATACCAGGAAGGACACAGGCCAGCCATCCTTGCCCTATGCAAATTAAGGGGATGGGGTAGAAAGCTTTATTACCAAAAATGCCTAGTGGGAGAGGGTAGCCCCACTTCCTGACAGTAAACAAGTTTTTGGCAGTATCAGACTCTTTCCACCTCACCAGCCACTGTGTGTGTGTGTGTGTGTGTGTGTGTGTGTGTGTGTGTGTCTTTTTCCTCCCATGCAAGTCAATGGAGCAATTTTTGTATTGGGAAGGAGCTGTGTGTGAGAGAGAAAAAACAGAAAATACAGAGCATGCACCACAAAGTGGGGGTGCTTCGAAAATGTGGTGACTGACCACACCCCCACAGCTGACCATGCCCACAACCCTTTTCAACAATCCTAGGCTGAAAGCAGCTCGGAATCCCCATTCAGAAGACCACTTTTTATATCCTTTGGAAAAAGGAATCTAGTTTCCAGCTGCACCTACCTTTGAGCTTCACTGCTGAAATACAAGGGGTTTCCCCAGACTTACCGCTGTGGGTTGCTGGCACTGAGATGCTGTCACCAGGAGAGCCCTCTCTGTCATCAACCCTGCATACACCATGTCAGCCTTGGAGGAGAAGAGGATACCAAGAGGCAAAAAGGGGGAAAAGTGCACATGAATTAGTTGAACATATATTGCTCATGGGGTGGTAATACACTGACAAAAAGAGCACCAGCTGTATCCAAGGAGGACTGTGTTGCACATGTGACGGTCAGTTTCATATTAAGAGCCAAAAGCTCTGAAGTATCAACTGCAGCAGCTTCACAGTAAGACCGACTTTCTTCTGTATGAGTTTGGGCCGCCTGGAATATGGATAAGAGTGTGCATTTTCTAGTTCCCTCCCTATACTGTATACTTGATACTCCAAAATCACTCTTCCATAATGCCAATCAATTTGATCAGCCCCTGTTTATTCAGGCAGTTTTATTACTTTGTTTTAATCTTCTTCCAAGTGTGCAGAGTGGGGCACATGTCTCCCTCTATCTCAACCCGGTTCATCCTTAGCACATCAGAGAGAATGTGATTGCCCAAAGTCAACCCATGTGTTTCGTAGCAAGGGGGTTATTTCAACCCAAGTCTTTGCGATCCTAGTTCAACACTGTAGTCAGTGCAACTTTTCTAGAAAGAGAGGTGCCGGAACTCACCATGAACACCTCTCTTGTTCTCTTATAATGGCAATGGTGCCCACCTGAGAGGGGCCAGAACTGAGTTCCGGTGAGTTCCAGCTGAAAAAAGCCCTGACTGTAGCCACCTGTCGGATGCACTTCCCTTTTAACAGCCGCTGGTATTGGTTGCTTATGGCGAAGTAAGAGTGATTTGGGGCATTGCTGGTGTTTTTAAATAGACTGACAATTTGTAGACTTTTGTTAAAGCCATTGTAGCCTGTGGTGTGAACGTATCTCTCCTCGTGCACTATAGTCTCTGGCAAAAAATACCCGCATGGTTTTGAGACACTGCCGAAAATAACTCCCTGCAAATGTGTACACATAGACTATGGGGGGGATGGATGGGCAAACCACAGATAAAACATTTACTGCACCACTTCCAACTCTTGGGGGTGGGGGATGGAACATTAGCCAGCTACTTTCCAAAACCTAAATTTTGAGTGCAGTAAGCAAATGTTCTCCCCAAATAGGAAGGAAGCCTGAGCCTTACGTGTTTTTGGACATCACCGCCAATTTCTCTGCTGATCTTCATGTATTCAGCTACTGGACCCGCCAAGAGTGTGTCAAAAGCCTGTACATACTCAGCTATGTCTGTAGAAGAATGCAAGCAAGTCAATCATGAGAACCGAGAGACAGCAGATGGATTTGGTTTGAAACATTTGCAAGTCATGTTTTGCAGTAAGCATCTGTCCTCCACTCCAGCCCCTCCTTTCCCGGCCGCAATGCACAAAACTTTGGCAGAGCACTCTAGGTTTATTAAAATCCTTGCCTGTTAGCACCCAAGTCTTGGCTCTAATTAGATTTTTCACTTTTAAAAGGAAGCAGCTGGACTCTAAGTAAAATGCCAGTATCATTGCTGACACCAGAGTAATGTGACGCCAACGCTTAGCTGCTGAGGGTTGACAATTAGGGCAATTCACTTCCTCTTCCTTGCATATCCCAATCTGGTTTACACAAAGTCAGCTGCATGCACTGACTTTCCTACCAAGTGGGAGAAGTTAAAGTAATTCATCCTGAATACACTGGTCAAGTCAGGGCCTCTCACCTTTGGAAAGGCCATCTCCACAGCCACCCTGCGGGCCAGGGCCATGGGACATCATCTCCAAGCGGCCCACAGCTCTCTCCAATCGCTCCACAAGACCGTGCAGCTCTGTCATCTCTCAGCACCTGCAAAGTTAGACCATACATTTAGAGGAAAGCTTGACGGAGCCAATATTAATATAGATTTAATCAAAGGGCAATCTTGTACCAATCTCAGACTGAAGTGAAGAAATGGCAATTGAAGACTATTTACTTAGTCTTGCTTACTGTACCTTTTTTGGGAACAACTCCCTGCTGAAAACAAATAAGGTCCCGGCCAGAAGCTCTGGGTCCACCACCCAACAATTGTAAACAAAGATAACTTCCCATTTTACCTTTGTTGGTGCACTTATTTAATTGCAGGTGCCACCCTGTAACTAGTGCCCCCAAATGAGTACAGTATTCTGTTCCAAAAGATCTTGATCCTGAAAACACAGTGGCCTGTCTCTGACCAAGTCATACTCAGAATAGTCCCCCTGAAATCATGACTAACTTGAGTCCATTCATTTCAATGGGTCAACTCCAAGCATGACTCAGTATCAAAGAATCATAGAGTTTTAAAGTTGGAAAGGACCAAGAGGGTTGTCTAGTCCAACCCCTTGCAAGGCAATAATTGTTTTGCCCAACATGGTGCTCAAACCCACTGAGATTAAGAATCTCATGCTCTACTGACTGAGCTATCCCACAGGCTCTGAGTTGTATTCGAGTTGTGTGTGCACTGACACTACAGGGGTAAGGTACGCATGCATTTTAATGAGCCCCAGCCACTGCATGTGTGTCGCAACACCTACATTATCAGGAGCTGTGCAACAGGCAGACACACAACTCTCTGACCTCCAACAGCCACTGGCTATCTTGGTTGAAAGATCACAGCCAAGCTGTGCTTTTGTGCCCTCTAGTATGGAAAAAGGGCTCAAGATGAGCCTAGGCCATGGGCCTGGGCTGGTGATAGCAATACAGACTCAAGGCTACAGTGAACACAAAACCACCCCAAGTTTCATCTAGAGCAAGATATGGTCTAGATTCAGGATACGATGTGAAGGCACACGAGGCCACCACCTTGCTGAGGTTAAGTAGGCCTGGTCTGTCAGTGCTTGTATGGGTGTCCATCTGGAAACCACATGAATGCCACCTTGGGTCCCATGACAGAAGATGGGTGGGATATAAATGGGAGGAAAAGTAATGCAGCAGCCTGTTTCTGGATGTGGCCAGCCTGATCCTTTCAGGACCCCTGCAGAGCCTGAAAGCAACAGCCCTTGCACCCGATATTCAGAGGTGACCTACCTCTGGATGTCCCCATTTAGCTACCCAAGCTAACAGCCAAAGGCAAACCTGCCCTCAATGAATTTCCCCAATCCATTTCTAAGGGGCACCTAAATGCCCACCACATTATGAAACAGTTCCCGTAAGTTTATTATGCATCAAGTGAAATAGCTTTTTGTCTTCCCTATTAGATTCTCCTTGGCTTCCAGGTAATGAGGCACTTTTATCAAAACTAGTACCCTCCAGATGTGTTTGACTACAATTCCCATGCTGACAAGGCCTGAGAGTTGTGGTCTGAAACGTGTGGAGAGCACCTTGTTGGCAAAGGGTGAGTTAGACAGTCACAGAGTGCTTTCAAACCCACATTAAGAGGTAAGCAACCCAAGCTTCCTCGCTCTTCTCATCTAAATGTACAGTATAGGACCTGTTTAGAGCCAGGAGGAGGGAGGGCAGGCCTAAATGAGTATCATAGAGAAACCTAACATGTCTGGCAAATCCTAAGGGCTTGTCAAGGGTTGCAGTGGCTCCTCTCTTCTCCAATCAATAGAGGGACAGAGTCATAAAGCTTACCTGAGGCAGACACTATTTTAAAGCAATCGCAAAACCATCGAAGCCACCCAGTCCCAACCATGGCGGACAAATTAACATAGGAGGCCTACTACACGGGCCAAGACAAGCCAGCTGCCCAAGATAATGAACAATGGCATCCCTGTTCATGCTTTTGCACAGGACCTTGTTTTCCAAGAAATGCCGAAGGAGAATGGATTTTGGCACGCGAGTTTTGCTAGCTGCCTCCTGTTACAGGAGCACAAAGTCTGTCTGTAGCCTTCTAAATGGGAGACCATTTCAAGCCTGCCTTCCTCCCTCCCTAGTGTGATGGGAAAGCCTGGAGGAACTGGCAGCTACTTTTTTTTAATCGCTTAGGTCATTTGCACAATGAATCACAGCCATCATTTGGAGCATGAATCACCACCCCAGGCCAAGAGCAGAATTCCCTTATATGCCTTAAGAGCTCAGAACGAAGCCAGGCAACGTTTCACTTTGCAATCACTGGCTGTGGCGCAGGGCATAAAGGAGGGGGAAACACTTGCTCAGCTATACTCCAGGCTTCTTTGCACCTTAAATTCCGGGCGGATGCAATTAGCTGTACAGCAGCTTTGCAGTGTGTCTGTGCCGTACTCATGGGGGTTGTGCAGCTGCCCTTTCAGGGTCCAGTCAAGACACCCAAGCAAAGCCTGGAGAAGCCAGCTGCTTAACAAAAGAGTGTCTGCGGTTAGGGATGACCCATATTTCACAGCAGCTGTCAGTGGAGCAGTTTGTGCTGTGCTGCAGTCCATAACTGCCATGGGAAACGACAGAGGCAGGGCCAACAGAGCACAGCAAGCAAACAGTACGTCAATTATGACTAGAAAGCCTGGAAACTTAACCGTGGTTTATATCAATATTGTATTTCTGTTTGCAAGTTCTGCTGAAAGAGAGAGAAAAGCAAAGTTGTTTTACGCACACTCACGACTCAGATACTTTTAAGAATCATCAAAAGACCCACTAAAGACACAACTGAAGTCCGATGCAATGTTATCCTTCTCCCCACAGATGTCGGCCTCAAAAAAGAGGAAGAGGATAGCTTCCTTCCTGGAACAGACTGCTCTTCTTGACTTCCCCTTTACAGAGGGGCAATAGCGGCTCCTCAAAGGCTCCATCTCACCCCCCCTTCAACTAGCTCTCGTTTGCACGCAACCCCGACACTTGTTCACACAGCAGAGGGCAAGCTGCCTCTCAGAGTGCAAGAATGAACAGAGACATACCTCTTTGACATCAACGACTTCAACAGATCACTGCTGTTGAGGGAGGAGTCAGAAGATTAAAGGTGGAATGTGAAGTAGCACCAAGGAGGTTGCTCCGTTAGCACAAACATTTCTGTTTGCTTGATAGAATGATCTCCCCTCTCCTCCCCAGGAGCTGTTCTAGGTGGGTTTTCCTAATGCCCCTCCTCAAGCAGACCTGGTGGGAGAAACCCTACTGCACTAGTGGAAGTCCTTGCACTGACTTCCACTAGAGTACTGGGTTGAATCCAGCCCCAAGTGCCCTTCTAGATTTTCCATCTACTGGACACTAGGATAGAAAATAAGGATACTAACCACAGTCCATTCTCCCCAGCAGAAGGAACCTCATTAAGTGCTTTGCTAAAGAGGGGCAAAGGTGGAGGAACAGTTTTACTCTGATTCGTTCAGAACTTTGGCAGCTGAGCACTCCTGGGAGATGTGCCACAGCTCAGCGGTAGAACAGCTGCTTTGCTTGCAGAAGGTTGTAGGTTCAATTCCCAGCACCTCCAGAAATTGGTGAGAGAGACCCCTGTCTGAAATGCCAGTGAGTCACTACCACTCAGTGGAGACAAGTACTTGGTCAGATGCAACCATGGCCTGAGCTAAGCCTGGAACTGTCGTCACACACACATCTCAGATGCTGGAAGGAGGGTCAGATGTCTTTTGAAGTTGGGAAACAACTGCAAAGCAGTTCTGACTTGTGTGTAGCTGCTTACAGCTGCCCACATCTGGAAATGATGCATCCTACATCCATAGTAGCTTCTCTTTTATGTAAAGAGCTGTAGGACTTTTCTGACAACTCAGCTCACAACTCAGTAGCTTTTATGTGGGCCTGGCCAGATATTCATACTAGCCTACCTATGCTTGGATGGCCTCAAAGAGGCAAAGAACCAACTTACTAGAAAACAGGCCTTCTTGCCTGTTTACCCAAAAGCAATCTGGAAGTACCATGAGTGGATCTTTAAAAGCCCATGCCAGCAGTGATAGGATCTCAGACCCATTCATACTCCTTCTGGAGACACACATACACACATTTTACTCCACTTTATGATGATAACCCATCTAACAAAACGTAGGACCATCCACTGCCTCTTCTGCTTTATGCTAGATTACTTTCAGCGATGGAATTGCAAGCTGTCATGCTAAGCCCAAACTCTGCATCAAGAAGTCACGGAAAATGGGAGTTACAGCCCAGCAACACCAGGCTCCCCACCACTACTCTATAGCATCATCATCAGAAATGCAGGATATGTGCTTCCATCTGCTGAATTATATGGTTAAAGTTGAGAGCAGCCAATTCTAAAGCAGCTGTAAATGGGTCAACATGAACAGTCATCTTGTCCACAGCCACAGACACCAACAGGTTGATGTTAAGTGCTGGACTTGAACTGGGGAGACCCAGATTTGACCCCCTATTCAGCCCCTAAGTTCACTGCATAACCTGTGCCAATCATTTGATCCCAGAATCACTTACTTGTGCAAGTGCTGGAAGGATGAAATGGGGCAACTCCAAATAAACTTACTCGAAACAAAGGGTCAGGCTTGCAAAAAAGCCTGATCTGGTTTGCCTGTGGTAAGTCGGCCACAGAAGTTCCTAAAATTGATTCTTTTAGGCCACAAGCATCTAAATTAGGTTATGTGTGGGCGGGCAGTCTAGTAATATTTTCATAGGCCAGTACCTTGTCAGCTTCAGTAGGTGAAAGCTTTTTTGCTCGCCCATAAACTTTAATGCAGTGGTCAATCTGTTTGCGAGGCTGCGCAGAATACAGATGTAAGTCACACGAGGCCACCCCAGCTGTAACAGGCCCATCCATTACACTAAGATTCATGACACAGACCCTTAAAAATTTCCAGTCTAACAACCACAGGCTAAATCTCCTTCATTCCTAGTTTTTCCATTTCATGAATAATTCTATAAAAGAATGCAGGAAGGGGGTGGAGTGGGATTAGGGTAATAATTGGTTCTGTTTCTTTGTATGCATCCATTTGAAGAGAGTACGAAAATGAAAATGCAGCTGAACATCTTTGCTACAGGCCTTTCTCTGCGCTGTCTGAATATGCTGAGACTTTATAGACATTCCAATAGAAGAATTTGTTTGTAAGTGATTAATGGTTAATGGAACAGACAGAGGTGCCGTTCTGCTGCATTCCATATGGGTCTGATCGGATTAGAGCCCCATTACCCTCTCTCTGATTGCATTTCAGATATAGGGATTACTTGCTCCTTGAAAGCTTAGAAGCAGAGTGGCTTCTAACCCAGAGGAATTTGACAACCTGTTGCTGGTCTGTCTGCAGTGGAACATGAGGCCTCCTTGAAGTGGACCACTAAAAAAATAAGTTCCTGATCATCAAGAAGCTAACGCCTACCTCCAGAATGTCAGACTTCCCTAGTTCTCCCTTGTGGTCTTCCAAGAGATTTCGCAACATGCAGACCAAACGTATCTGAAGCCGGTTCTCAAACTACAACTCTTGGAAATATTTATATTCTTGGCATTGTTTATAAAGGCCTTGGTCCTGGACTCAGCTTAACTGCTAGTGATACAAGCTCCTGTAGAAAGATAATTAATTTATAGAAGCACATACGGTATCAAAGCATCTCTACATGAAATTTAGGAAAAGCATGGATACTGCAAGTCAGCATTAAGGAAACAAACCATGGTTAAATTTCCAAGGGTAAAAAATGAAACCATGTCTTCCGAGGGCATCTACAGGAAGTCCAGTGAGACCAGCAAACAGAAAGCCATGGAAAATACCTAAATTGTGGTTTTGACAGCACACATGCAACAATGATTAGCCAATGCAAACTATGGTTTGCAAACACACTTCAAAGCATGTCATATAGTTGTTAACCTCTAAACTGCCAAAGGACTGCTGTTTTTACTTCAAAGCATGGTTTCATGCCCAAATTTGTGGCTAGCCCTTAATTACTGAAACTTTAGATATTGAGACCCACTGCTAACAGAAAACAAGCCACATTAAACATCATGACTGCATATGGATCAAGCGGTTCAACACATCATTCATATCTGGTTTTATTCTACCACAACATGTCTCTTCACTGTAACAGAGTAATTATTTCAACCCCTACATCTACTGCCAAGTAGCTCTTACACAAGTGTTACTCAAATACTAACAAGCCCCTCAAGTACTCCTGATTCACTAAAAGTGCCTGAAAAACAAAGATGTTCTGAGGCTGGGGTATGGTTTAGAGGGCTTTGTTACCTGGGGCGTGTGCATTGTTTTATTTAATGTTTGTGAATTCTTTTGTTATGTTGTAATTAGGCATTTTTTCATTCTGTATGCCACCTTGAGCATGGTTTGAACTATGGAACGATGGCATACAAATAAAATTATGTATGTATGTATGTATGTATGTATGCATTTAAAAGGTAAAGGTAAAGGATCCCTGGAAGGGCTTTGGCCTTTGAATGCTTCTGTTGCAACAAGTGCTGTAGCTCAAACTGGTATAGTAATGTTGCCTTCAAGAACTTTAGTATGTTCAGTGGGAGGTGGGGTAGGTAGTGGAGAATAAAGCCAACTGGATTCGGTTTTTCTGTCACAGCATAGTTTTTAAGAAGACATACTGATGGATGCAAAAGATGCTCACCAGTATTCCACATCTTAAGATCAGATGAGAATTCATTACCATTCCAAAACACAAATGCAACGACTACACTCCTCTTCTCCCAAGTATAAATTCTTGACATGGGGCCTCACACACCTTGCCCAAGCCTACAGCTTGTCTTGCTTCGGTTATCAACCGCATAAGCAAAAACCACCAGACGTGCTTTGTTCCAGAAAGAGAAACTAAACCACATTTTATTGCCAAAGCTGTGATAGGCAGTGAGCAGCAACAGTGGAGAAACAAAAGGAGTGTAACACGAAGCCAATATGCAGAAAGAGGGCACCACCCCTGAATTGCATTAATGCACCTAACTTGAGTACTCTTTTCCCATTTGTGCCAAAGCCATATGTTTACTAGAGCTGGCAGCAGGATTCAGAGTCATGCTAGCCGATACTTGCAGGAAGCTTGAAATGCCCACTGAACACATTTCACATCAGAATGCATCTAAAATTCCCCAGAGCAAACCCTGTTGACCTGACATTCGCATGAGCAAATTTCATTTATTTACCTTCATGGGTATATATGGTGCTATACAGAGCAATGTTTATTTACAAAGTAAGAAACTTCTCTGCCCCAAGTAGTCTGCAGTCGAAAAGTTTGCAATGGGAGAGAAAGAGAGGTTCCTGTAATGTGGGATGATCTGAGCATGTATGGTTTTGCAGGCATAGACTTTGTTCCAGCTGCAAATACTTAGCCTTAGTTTCAGTTGGGGATAAGTGTGTTGGCCATTTCTTTCTAAAGACAACATACTATAGTTATTAATGTAGATATCTGTCACTCAGGCAGTTAAGCAAAAGTCAATATTCACACAGTCATTCATTCCTAATCCTTTGTAGATAAAATCACTAAAAACCCTTGAGAGAGTCAAGGGTCTAGGGAAAAAGAAGGGTCTTACAGATTTGAAGAGCAAGATGGTGGGATGTACCCTTTTGTAGGAGAAAGCTACAGTCAAACCTCAGTTGTTGAACATAATCTGTTCTGGAAGCCCGTTTAGCTTTTGAAACGTTCGACAACCGAGGCATAGCTTCTGATTGGCTGCAACAGCTTCCTGCACTCAAGTGGAAGCCGCGTCGGATGTTTGGCTTCCGAAAATTATTTGAAAACTAGAGCATTTACTTCTGGGTTTTTGGTGTCTGGGAGCTGAAACGTTCCAAAACGGAGCCTTTCGGGAACCAAGGTTTGACTGTATAAGGAGCAGCAAGAAAATGGCCAAATTCCAAGGAGGCGTTGGCAGGAAAAGTTCCTAGCAAATTGAGCTCACAGAATTTTACCAGAGATGCACAAATGAGTCACCAATACTGGTATTTTTTTTACCACACTTGTACTGCAGCCCTTCTCCAAAGAAGTCAGCACAGCATACAGAAGTCTCTCTCATTTTATTCCAACAACCTTGCAAAGTACGCCAGTCTGAGACATAATGAGCACAGGATCATCCACTGAGCTTCATGCTTATTTTTACATTTTCTATCATGCAAAATCAGTGTATATAATTATAAGCTCTTGCTGTGCCTGCAAGATTAAACAGAATTTTTTACATAGAGGTTACAAGACCAGTCAAGAGAATCTTGCAAGCAAGTTTTGATATGAAACATTTCTGTTACTCTAGAAAGTCTGATGTTTCTTACAGTTTAGGAAAGCGTTGTGCAGATGCACCTGCCTGAGAAGGGAGCGCCAATGAGATGGTGCCACTACAGGAAAGGCCCACAGTCCGGCCGCCATCTTTTGTACTTAAGCCGAAGAAGAGGATTAAGCAAACCCTCAGTCTTTCTAATTATGCAGCAGGACAACTAAACCCAGGCTTTTCCAGTCCAAAGTTCAATTCACACTCCTCTAAACAACTCCTTTGAAGAGAGAGCCCAAATCCACCAACAGCAAAACCTTCCATTCCAACACATTACAAGAGCCTTTCACTGAACGAATTATAGGCTGCTACCAAATATTAATCCAGGAAGTTGTCATAAAGCAATCTGTCCTGCCTTAATGGAGGACATCTGTAAGTAAATCTCTTTATATTAAACTAAGTTTGGTAGATAAGTGCACCTGGGAATCATTATTTCTTCTCATACAACTATGCGACTGGTTTTCACTTGGCTCTGTTATGTCTAGTTAAGAACCAGAAACAAACAGTACTAGCTTCCTCCTCTCTCACTCTCACATTTGTGCTTACCCTTGGAAGCATGCATCTCACGCAACTGATGACTCAGTGGAGGAAGATCCTTGGCCAAGAGTTCCTGACTAACTGGGAAACACAGCAGTTGGGAAGCAAAGTGTCTCTAGTGCCAGCGTGCTGAAGAGAAATGGGCAGAAGTCTGCAGCTTCCTTAGACCACAGGGCAAAGGCTTCTATTTTACAATGTCAGAGCTTCGATTGAGGACACTAAATATGCATCTGCTGGCATGTAACCCCTGCCCCAAAGGGAGGGGGAGGCAATTCAATAGCAATTACATTTAGCATAGCTGCCCTGCTGAATTAGACCAAGGGTCGGCTAATCCATCATTTTGTTTCATCAAACCACATGCCTCTGGGAAGTTCAAAAGCAATGTATGGAGATATCTTCCCCTCTTTATCCCCCGTTTCTTTTATCCAAGTGCACCATTTCTGAGCCAACCAGTCCCAAATATCTAAGCTAGTGGCCACCACCCCATCGTGAATTCTGTAAGTTACCGTATTTTTCACTCTATAAGATGCACCAGACCACAAGACGCACCTAATTTTTGGAGAAGGAAAACAAGAAAAAAAATATTCTGAATCTCAGAAGCCAGAACAGCAAGAGGGATTGCTGCACAGTGAAAGCAGCAATCCCTCTTGCTGTTCTGGCTTCTGTGATAGCTGCGCAGCCTGCATTCGCTCCATAAGACGCACACACATTTCCCCTTACTTTTTAGGAGGGAAAAAGTGAGTCTTATAGAGCAAAAAATACGGTAAATATGTTCTGTGAGAATTAGCGCTTCCTTGTGTTTGTCCAGAGCCTACAGCCAGCCAGACACATTTATGCCTGCATTGTTTTTTTAGATACGTTATAACATTTTAAAAACAGGTGTTAAAAACAGTTAAAGCACATGACTACAAGGAGAATAGGGCAGGTTCAAAATTATTTTATCTCAGGCATCAAAGACCAGGGCAAAAAGGCACACCTTCAGCATACCATGGAAACCACATTGTGAAGGTGCAACTGACAGCTTAAAGTCAGCTTATGCCTAGCCACCGTCAATAAGACAAGATACTGACTCCCAATTCAATCCCCAAGCTCCTCCTACCAAGAGAAAACCTTACTCCAATTCGCACTATGCCTCCAAAACCAACCCAAATCTTTCATGGAACCAAAATACACTTTTGTATTCCACCACTCATCTGCAAACCACCGCCTCCTGTTATTTTCATGCCCAGCTAGTTCTCTCATCCATCACCTCTTCAATTCACAACATGACAGACAAGATACCCAGAAGAATTATTTATGTTTACTGTAGCCTATCCACAACTGGTTGGCAGTTGGTTATGTAGTATAAATTAATTCCTGCTGTAAATCTGCTTCCTTCTCTCAGGATCAGGCACAGCAAACCATTTTATGGCTCCTTTTAACCCCCAATACAGTTACAAACCTTCCCACCGTACCTAGTATATGGGCTCCTAACCTGAATTCCAGCTATACTCTTTCCATCGGAAGGTGCTTTTCAGACAGTATATAGACTTCTCTCTTTTCAGAATCACACACACAAAAGCATACTTCCTACTACTAATAATTAATATTGCACACTCTTCACTATAAGGTCCAAGGGTGGGTTACGTCTAAAAAGATAACACAGTACAATAAAACAAATAAAACAAACCTGCCCTTAAGTACGATACTATACAACACAAGACACCAGATACAATGGGTTGAATTCAACATAGTGCTAAGGAGATTGTCTCTTTTTCCGCCCCCAACACGCTGTTCTAAGGTTCTCCCAGCCCTCCTCTACAGATATGAAGAGGGTGAAAAGGTGGGTTAGAGTTCCACGTTGGGCAAAAAATTCCTGCACTACAAGGGGTTGGACTAAACGACCCTTGTGGCTTCTTCTAACTCTACAATTCTATTATTCTATTAAAAAAAACAGAGTAGAAGTCAGGGGAGTCCTGTTGCACTAGAATAAACCACTGTGCTACTTTCCACTAGTGCAACAATTTAGTTGAATATGACATGCCGGACTACAGATAGGGGAACACTAACAATAAAAATTCAACTGCCAAAGGCAGAAAAGAGATATGCCCTCAATAACCGCCTACAGCTGTAAATAGGTAGTGTATGACACACTTCTATAGAGAGGAAGTTGCAGTTTCGGGATCATTACAGAGAAGGGTCTCTGGTAGGCCATCACCCTCCTCACTGCCAAGGGTTCAGGCCGCCAAAATCAAACAGGATGTGTTGAAATTGAGCATCCATACTACTCAACCTAGCGCGCACACACACAGAAACACTTCGCTAGCCAATTTGTCATAATTGACTGTGGCTTGCTAAAGTTCTAAAGACAAATCAGAAAGCACAATGCATACTAGAAAATAACCGCTGTTTCCACAGCTTTCAGAGGTTTTCAAATTCAAATATCCGGACCCTTTAACTCCTGGCGAAACATTTAAATAACTTTAAAAAAAATACCCCCAAAAAAAACCTTACAAGGGTGACCAGACCTCCAGCTACACAGAGCCAAATAATAGTCCTGAACAACTTAACAGCTCGCCTTGTCACCTTAGCCACTTGACACAGCAGTTCCTAAGGCTGTAATTCCCATGCGCTCCCGAGCGTTAAGCCCTCTCCACCCAACGCAACTTTCTCCGGAGTAAACACACACATGACTGCAATGCAACTTAACAACATGTTCAAAATCCTCCCTTACAATAGGCAAATACCAGAGATGACAGCGACCTGAATCCCAGGGTCGTTCCTCGCGAGGATAAACCGGACTGTCAAGCATGTGGCAGAAAAGCGTCCCTTCCCCAGAAAATTAGCGCAATAATTGGGATTATTCTTTACTCCATCCATGCAAACACTCTCCGCCCCTCCTCCCTGTCCCCGAAGTAGCACCTCAGACACTCGTTGCTTCAGCCTCCCCCCCAACCCTTTCAGACGTGCATGATATTGACCACTCAACCCCCGTCCCCTCCTTATCCTCCTCCCCAAACACCTCAGTCAAGTACAGGCTACCCTCGGGAGCCTCAGCCGCCGCTGCCTTACCTCGCTCAGCCACGCAGGGTGTGTCTCTCCCGCTCTCCCACCCACTCACCTCTGCCCAGCTCGCCTCTTCCCGGCTGCTCCACTTCCGCCTGGAGACGCCCAGTAACCCTACCCGCACCACTTCCGGCCTCACCGGAAATACGCTCGCGAGGGCTTGTCTGCAACTAGAAGAAGGCGCGAGAGATGGTCAGAGTGAAGGAGGGGGCGGGAGCGGGAGGAGGCGGGGAAAAGAGCAGCCACGCCTCTCTCGTTCGGAACGTTCGGGAGGGAGGCTGGCGATTGGGCAAGGCGCGGTGAACGAAAAGGAGCGGGACAAGACGTGGGGCGTGGCTTTTTGGATAGGGAGGTTCCCGCGAGAGAAGGGGCGGGGTTTTAAATTATGATGGACAGTAAGCAAGGGATCTTAAAAAGCAGAGACATCACCTTGCCAACAAAGGTCCGTATAGTTAAAGCCATGGTTTTCCCAGTAGTGATGTATGGAAGTGAGAGCTGGACCATAAAGAAGGCTGATCACCGAAGAATTGATGCTTTTGAATTATGGTGCTGGAGGAGACTCTTGAGAGTCCCATGGACTGCAAGAAGATCAAATGTATCAATTCTTAAGGAAATCAGCCCTGAGTGCTCACTGGAAGGACAGATCCTGAAGCTGAGGCTCCAATACCTTGGCCACCTCATGAGAAGAGAAGACTCCCTGGAAAAGACCCTGATGTTGGGAAAGATGGAGGGCACAAGGAGAAGGGGACGACAGAGGGCGCAATGGTTGGACAGTGTTCTCGAAGCTAGTAACATGAGTTTGACCAAACTGCGGGAGGCAGTGGAAGACAGAAGTGCCTGGCGTGCTCTGGTCCATGGGGTCACGAAGAGTCGGACACGACTAAACAACTAAACAACAACAACAAAGCAAGGGAGGGGTGAAGGGAGGAGTAGGCATAGCAGGGTAGGCAGAAATTTAGGTGGTGCAGCCTTCCCTGGCTCAGAGACGGAAAGAGCTTTACCTGTTGGATTTCTGCCAGCCAGGCATGCGCTGGCAATTTGTGTGTGTTTTGCATGCTTGGGGTGTGAAATGAAATAAAACTGATGCAAATGACAATAAAAAACATGCTTTAAAATTGCTGAAACATTTGAAGCAAAAGTTAAAAGCAAAAATACTTAATTCCTTGGGGAACTCTGGTAAGACATCCTCTTTCAGAATCTATTTTATCATTTTTTTAAAAAAATCCTCTCAGGATTATCGTGAGGATAAGCAATATAAAACGCACTTTATCGGTTAAGAACCTGATCCTATAAACAGGTTTATTCAGTAGAATCACTCAGGTCCCGTTGACATCAAATCTGTGTAAGACTATAGAATCTGGTAGCAGATTGAGGTTTACTTCTGTTCTGGGAAATGCCTCCCTTTCTTCTTTCATCCCCACTTAGCCTATGCCATCCATAAGGCTGAATGCTGCAGGGATGGGCTCTAGCTATTGATTGCTTAGTGTAGCCCTGACGGGACACTAGAAGTCTCATGGTGAGAGGTGGGTGGGCAGGAACAGGACAGAGAGAATCACTGCTAGCCCTTGTTGTGCCACCACCTCCATCTCTGAAAGTAAGTGGGTGGGGTTTACATAAACAGACACCACCAATCCCATAAATCCTTGATCAGCAAAAATAGTCTTTGAAGGGCTGCTTTCCTCATCAAAGTGAACATGGACCACCTGTGCTACAACTCTCACCCCATGAAGTCATTGCAGCAAGTTCTGTTCCTGGAGGAGACACTCACAAAGACATAGCAGCTTGGATCAAACCAAAGCCCTATCTTCTTGAGCATCCCGCTACCACAGTGGTCAATTGGATTCCTCTAGAAAACCCAAAAGTAGGACATGAGGGCAAATGCCTTCTCCCACTGCTATTCCGCAGCAACTGGAATTCAGGGACATGCTGGCTCAGATCATGGAGCCATCATGACTAATAGGCATTGATGGTTTTTCCCCCTCTGTGAATTTGTCTAATCACTTTTCAAAGCTGTTGTGGTCATCTCCACATCTTGTCGTAGTAAATATCAGAATCTAACTGTGTGTTGTGTGAAGGTGTGTTTTCTTTTGTCAGCTCTGAAGCTCCCACCACTCACCTTCATCTCACAACTTTTGTTTCCCTCCTCACCTTATATTAGCATTCTAGAGAGAAGGGGAAAGTGTACAGGTAGTGGATTTGACCCAGAGGCTTTGAGTAGATCTGGATTCAGAGTCTTACAGAGTCCACTAAAGGATGGAGTGATAGATTCCAATCCTATCAGGCAGAAGAAAGGCGCCTGTACCATGTTTCCCAAACAAATTCTGAAAACCCCGATTTAGAGCATTTTATTCCATTCGTGACATCCGCATTCCTTCCTCATTCTGAACATTGGCTGCATTCCCAGCTATTCCTTTCAGTCCTAAACTACCAGCCTCAGGAGGCAAGAACAGCTTACAAATGAAATAAAAATAAGCCTGTTTGTTTGCAAGGGAGCCTTGCCCATAAAAGCCATGATGCTCTGGGACATGTTGAGAAGGGAAGGAGGGGACACCGCAGTGAGGTTGGCTGTTTTCACCACCATTTCCTGCCCTCGTCTTTTTTTTTACCATAGATGGTAACATCGACAGTCACACACCAGGCATGTGGAAACTGGAAACAAACAGGCGTAATGCTGGCCTGGAGCTCATACATTGCTTTGTAGAGACGGCTGCTTTATTTCTCGGATTCTTTGCATTCAGAGATGGGGGGAAGGGATTTGTTGCTAGGAGGGAACAGGACACAGTGGATTCCTGGTTGTGTGTGTGTGTGTGTGTGCATACATGCCAAGGATATGGAATTGCTGACATCTAGTGTCTTGCTTTTCAAATAGGTTGTGTATGAATTGATGGTTTAGAAATCATTGGACTCTCAAGGGGATCAGAAGGTCTTCAAGACTGCCGCCCAAGTTCCACAGTAGGAGCTGACCCCTAGATAAAGATCAGATGGAGATTCAGGTTCACCAGATCACAACAACACCTGATTTTCATCTAACAAAGTGATTTCTGTGGTGAATCCAACATTGTATTAATCCTTCCCTAGAGAGGTATATTGGATCTGGCTTTAAGTGACAAGCAGGTTTTTGCCAAGCTTTCTAGGTTTTCAGAGCGTACTAATTACTGTGCTGTTGTTCTGAGCTAGCTTTAGATGGCTCGGTTTTCCTGTTGCCTTTACGGTTGTATTATGAGGACTATTCTAGGGGAAAAGGAAACATATTGTTGCATGCCACCCCGATTTCCGAGTGGTGCAGATTCCAGAGTTCCATGCACTTATACAGGGTTTGTGTTTCCTTTTGTAAATGAGGCGCAGCAGAGACTGTAGTGTCTTTATTATCTATAGTTTATTCACACATACAGTGGTGCCTCGCAAGACGAAATTAATTCGTTCCGCAAGTCTCTTCGTCTTGCGAGTTTTTCGTCTTGCGATGCACGGTTTCCCATAGGAATGCATTGAAAATCAATTAATGCGTTCCTAGGAAGCCGCCTTCAGACCAGGTCCGGGGACAGTCTGTCCCCGGACCTCTTCTGAAGGCTGGGGGGAGCAAGGGCTTTTCTTCCCACCCCCAGCATTTTAAAAACCCCGGGACAGCGGAGGACTTCTCCGCTGTCCAGGCGATCTTAAAATGCTGGCGGGCGGCATTTAAAATCACCCCGGGACAGCGGAGGACTTCTCCGCTGTCCGGGGCAATTTAAAGCCCCTGGGAAGGCAGGCAGGGGGACAAAGACTTTCGCCCCCGCCAGCCTTCAGAAGAGGTCCTGGACCTCTTCTGAAGGCGGGCGGGGCGAAGTCTTGCTCCCCGCCTTCAAAAGCCCTCCGGGACAGGCAGGCAGGGGAGCAAAGACTTTCGCCCCCGCCCGCCTTCAGAAGGTCTTCCCTCCCCCCGCCCGGCTCGGAGCACCGTTCCGAAGCCGGGCGGCGGCGGAGGTCTTCCCTCCCCCCGCCCGGCCGGAGCACCGTTCCGAAGCCGGGCGGCGGCGGAGGTCTTCCCTCCCCACCGCCCGGCCGGAGCACCGTTCCGAAGCCGGGCGGCAGCGGAGGTCTTCCCTCCCCCCGCCCGGCCGGAGCACCGTTCCGAAGCCGGGCGGCGGCGGCAGGTGTTCCCACCCCCCCCCCCCGCGTCGGGGCACCGTTCCCAAGCCGGGCGGCGGCGGCAGGTGTTCCCTCCCCCCGCCCGGCTCGGAGGAGCCTTCCGAGCCCGGCGGCGAGCGGGAGGAGGTGTCCCCGCCCCGCCGCCAGGCTTCGGAGGAGGTCCGAGGACAGTGGGGAAGACGCGCTGCGCTTCCCCGCTGTCCCTGAGATTTCCCTATGGGCTGTCGTCTTGCGAAGCAAGCCCATAGGGAAATTCGTTTTGCGAAGCGCCTCCAAAACGGAAAACCCTTTCGTCTAGCGGGTTTTCCGTCTTGCGAGGCGTTCGTCTTGCGGGGTACCACTGTATATACAACCTGAGTCTACAATGGAGGGGTTTGCAGCATTAGCACCCCCAGATGGTCTTGTTTCTCCCATAGCCTTTGATTGAAACAGACATCAAACATCACACTCTGCTTCTGCCTTTTATTTTTGCCCTGGCATATACCCCATGGAAACCCACTCTTTATTGCTGAATCGGAGCAAATGGCAATCCATTGAAAACCTGAATTACTGTATGTTCCAATTCAGCGTTAAAGAGAGGGTTTTCCTGGGGAAAGCAGGGAGGTGAGTGCTTGGATAGGGCACTTAAAAGTGCAGACCTATACCTAGAAAGACCTATACCTAGAAACTGGGACGCGGGTGGCGCTGTGGGTTAAACCACAGTGCCTAGGACTTGCCGATCAGAAGGTTGGCGGTTCAAATCCCTGCGACGGGGTGAGCTCCCGTTGCTCAGTCTCTGCTCCTGCCAACCTAGCAGTTTGAAAGCACGTCAAAGTGCAAGTAGATAAATAGGAACTGCTCCGGCGGGAAGGTAAACGGCGTTTCCGTGCGCTGCTCTGGTTCGCCAGAAGCGGCTTAGTCATGCTGGCCACATGACCTGGAAGCTGTACGCCAGCTCCCTCGGCCAATAAAGCGAGATGAGTGCCGCAACCTCAGAGTTGTCCGCGACTGGACCTAATGGTCAGGGGTCCCTTTACCTTTACTTTATACCTAGAAAGTACAGGGCGA